TTTTTTCTTCGAATAATATGTCATACAATTCTGAATGTTCGTTGGGCCTAAAAAGACTATCAATCTGGAACATGACGCTTGTAGACTGGTACCCTGACTGATGATAGCGCACTTTTACATTTCCCCCGACCTTCCCCTCGCCTCACAGTCATGCATTGTTCCGCTCCCTTTGTTGACGAGGTTCTTATTCCTCCATGGTTTGATGTTGGTATTTGGGGGTCCTACTAGCATCAACAAGCATCAACAAGCGTCAACTTAGCATCAACATATTTTGTATACGTTTTTAAACATCAGAAGTAGCTGTATATATGGCAGAAATAGCGAAAAAGAACATCTTCAGCATATAAATTAAAGTTAAAATTAATTAAAATGCTGGGTTTTTTTTCAACCCGAAACCTACACCGAGGTTTGTCAATTTAGTACTGGCCACCATCTTGCTTAGAGCTCCGCTTCACGAGAACAAGATGGCGGCCAACACTAAACCGACAAACTTGTTGTACATGTACGGTAGGTTTCGCATTGAAAAAAACCCCCAACTTTTTTATGATTTTAATTTTTAAGTATAATTAATATGCTGAAGATGTTCTCTCTATTTCTACCATATAAAGCTACCGGTACTTCTGATGTTCAACAACTTATACAAAATTTGTTGATGCTGGGTTGACGACCGTTGACGCTTGTTGATGCATTTTAGTAGGACCGGTAGGAAAAAATGTTGCAACCTGACGTCATTTCCGCGATTGTATACATTTTCCAAACAAAATTGGAAATGTTTCTCAGTCCCAGATTCATGTCTTATCATATCATCATTTTTGCAATGAATGACCTTCATTGAGATGATATATGAAGAAAAAAGTGGCGTCAGGTTGTAACATTTTTTCTGGACCGGGACTTGGTATTGAAATAGAACCTTTTCATTTCCATAAACTAAAAATGCTCATAAATAAGCCCTCTTATTGTTTCATTGTTTATCAATTAATGATCTTTGTGAAAGTGCAGGAACATGCAAAGAATTAAATACACCAAAAGTATCCTACTACTTACTAGTACGTCAGTCTTTTGTTTTTTATTTAAAGAAATTCATTATTTAATTTACAACACAGTTCAGGAAGGTAACTAACTTACAGTCTGCACTTAAAGCAAGAAACGATCTCAGGTGATAACAATTAACATGTCAACATACAATTACAAACAATCTGACATTCGTGACAATATACAAATATGTTTCAAGCATTAGCATGTAATGGAATTTCACTCAGGGATGTCAGAATCACGCCACATGATTATCACGTGCACACCGACACTTTTGACAGTTTTAGACGATACAAAAGCAGAAACATCGACAGCAACACAGTCAACTTATCATTATAACTTCTTCCACTTACACATTTCATCAATTTTACGTGTATATTCCGTTTTCTCTTAAAAAAAACACACGATTCTAAATTTACCTTTCACGTGTCCCGCGCGCTTTGCGTACGTAAATTTGTACTGTACATCATGTACTGTGTGCGTAAATTATATGCAGTGACGTGTAGCAGCCATATTTGACAGCTTGCCAGCCACACAGTTAATTACGTTTTTATTCAACAAAATTAAATACCTGGGGAAAAACAAGGCAAATGAAACATCAACGAGAAAAACACGGTGTAACTTACCAAATGGCATCAGATTTGGAGGGGATGTTCCCCTCCAAAACCTAAAATAAAATCCCACATCCCAGTACGAGGCGACATGTTTTTCCGATCGGCCAAATGAGCTCGACCGCAGAGTTCACCATTGATTTTGATAAAATCTACTAACCAGCGATGGGCTGTCACTTTACTTGACAAACCTCCCTCTGGAAAACGATTCCTGTTTCACCTACTGTTCCATATTTTTCCAATAATAACCCAAATCAAAGACATTTGGGCAAATATTTTAATTATTGTAAGCTAATAGTAAATTTGTGTTAATGTATTTACGACTTATTTTTTTAGAATATGAAATACGAATTTTATAAAACACATGTACACGGAGGGTAGGTATTGGCTGTTTAATCGGCTGTCACGTGATAGCTCTAAATTTAGCCATGACGCCTATGCTAAATTTACAGGTGTAAGCAGGAGTAGACTTGAGATCAGTCCATGCTTGTCAATAGCTGCTGTTTAGGAATGAATTATCCGATAATAATACGTAGGTACTGACGTTGACGTAGTGACGAACTTGATCTCCAAGTCTAGTCGCGGAATTCGAGGAAACGAAGTCCATATTGGTGGCGCTCTTTATTTTATTGCGAACAACATCTTACAGCGAGGAAATAGGGCGGGGCCGGCAGGGTGGATTTGGAGGGGGTTTCAAGTTGTCACGGAAAATGAATTTGGTGCAGGAGAAAATAAAAAAAACCCGAGAGAGGATTATTTTGTTCCTTTAAACTGTTTGGAGGAAGATGTGAGAATGATGCAACTGCCATTAAAATGACAATGAAATGAAAAAAAAATGCATCTCTTTGAATAACCTCCTCAACTGACTGATTTTCTTGTAAGTTGAAGTCAATTGTAGACATTATGCATGGCAGCAATCTTAAAGAGGAAATCCCTTTGTTTTGCTGGCATATGCATGAGTGAATATTGTGCATTCATTGTTACTGAATTAAAATAACAAAGATACCCTCTAAGATGGCCGCTGTGCATAAAGTCTATAACTAAGGCCTATATAACAGGCTGTTTAAAAATATGCATACAATACAGTCAACTCTCATTAGTACAAACTCTGTTAATACAAAATTCTGGTTTTAACAAACACAAAGCCTTGGTCCCGACTGTGCATTTATACACAATGAATGGGACTGATGTTCCTCTTTATACAAAATTCTGATATAACAAACAATTTGGCTAGGTCCTAACGAGTTTGTATTAACGAGACTCGACTGTATTATTTTAATGGCTTTTAAGAGTGATTTGTACTCGAATAAAATACACAGGAAAAAAATGCGCACAAACAAGCAAGAATTGTTTTATTCAATCAAAATATTTCAAAAATAGAGTATAACAGTACAAAAATACTCACTATCAAGTTTACAAAATGCAGACTTCTAGCAAAATTTTTGATGAAAGACATTACAAATACAATATTTCCCGTCACCAATACATACATAAACAGTCCAGATATTCTTCATTGGAAGTCTTTAGAAAAATGCTCTAGCAGAATACAAAAGTTAACAATGGTAAGCAATTGTGTTAAAATTTAAAACTAAAATTATTTTAAAAATATCTAACTGAAATACAAACTGTTTTACCCTGCCTTTTTCTTGAAAATATACTGTTTGTTTTTTACTCATATGAAGAATAACACTGCTTGAAAAAATAAACGTGTTTTACTATTAGGAATCTAAACTTACTTGACAAATATTCACACTTGAAAAAATGCACTAAAACTTGAAATTCTTTAGGCCTTTTTCTTTTAACCTTCACCAAAATAATGCCTGCAACCCTGAATCACTACTTATTACTTTGGTATCAAAATCTGTCAGTACAGTCACATTTCCTCATCACCGATAATTTATTAGAAAACAAGGTTCAATTAAAATGGTTCAGATAGGACTAAAACAAATTCTAATCAAATTAGAAGAAAATGTTGAGATGGAATAAATCCTCCCTGATACTATCAGTAAACAAAGGTAGGTCAAAGTTGAGTAGTCAATAAACAGTAAACTGAATCCAGTTAAATCAAGGTTATCATTATTATAAATGTTTTAAAATTTGAAAGACATAAGAACAACATTTGTTGTACTTTATTTGGTAAAAAAACTGTACTGAAGTTAGAAGGTAACATTTCTGCTTTGCAATTACCTTTTAGTGATTACATCACAGACAACATTTGAAGACTTTCTTTCCAAAACTTGATAAATGCTGTCTTTTGGCTGGCCAAAGTCAGGTTTGAGGCGTTTTATACGGTTACACACTATTTCAGAAAAAACCGACAAGCGAAAATTTAAGTTTCAAAACAGCTGTTATATTGTTTTTACTATTTAAACCTCGATAAACATGCACATTTTTCACTTTTCTTCAAATGGATATACTGCGTATTGGAATTAAAAAAACTCTTCAATTATAGTGATTACATCACAAACAACATTTATTGTGCAAATTGTTGCAGAAAAAAAAGGTCACTTGACTTCAATTGTTGATTTCCACATGCTGGGCTTGAATATTCTGGAATGTCTTACTTCTTGACCTGGATAATGGTACAAGATGAAAGAGAAGGAAAGGCGAAGGAAAGGAATCCAGGAAAACAGACATTGGAAGCACAGAAAGGGGAAATACAGAGAAGAACATACAGCAGCTCAAAACTGCATTGCACATTTGCAATGTTAGAGAATGCAGAGAAAGAAGACTGGCCTAATTGGCGGATGGAATTAAATTTTTCTTTAGCTGAAGAAAATACAGACTAGCATAAAGGCATGTAGGATCGTTTGCTTTTTATGCATTTTTTTCGTTTCCACCACTCAAAATCCAAAGAAGAATGTGCAAAACCAACCTCTTGAAGTTTCAGCTCAGTGGATATTACACTTTTTGAGAAAAACAGTGAAAAACCATTGGCAACCTTTTGATCACGAAAAAAATGTGATTTCGTCCATAGCACTTTGCATTTCCAAAAATCATTCAATTGACTGATTGTTGTAAATCACATACATTTCTTGATTCATTCTTAATGGCAGCAAGCCAAACGGAACAGTTTCACCAGTACGATCTTTCATCCAAGTAAACTTTTTGATTATAATTTGGTAGGTTATTTTTGGCGGGTTAAATGTAAATGATCCTAAATGCCTTTAAGTAAACTGCAAAAAAAAAGGTGTGGTTTTTTTGCCAAAGCAAAAATATAAAAAAATATTTGACGTAGGAAAATGCATCACTTAAGAAGGTTCCAATATTCAGTTCCAATAAGCACGTTGTCCTGCCAAGATTTTAAAAATGCAATAATTTCTTGCAATTTCCAGGAAATCTCATAATTCAATGTGCTCATAGGGATGGGGGAATTCAGCATCTGAAAGATGGTCATTGTTGTCCATGTCATTGGACCTAATGAGACCCTCGACGACTATGTCCAAGGTGTCATCATCTGTCATTCCCTCTAAACCATGCTCTCTAAAGTAAGTCTTCAACTGATGCCAAAGAATGCATGCATGGGCAGAATGATTTGATTGATGGATGAATGACAGGGCATAGTGTACAGGTGAGTGATAGATTGATTAGATGAGTTGCAAGCATTGGTACAAATTACAAAAGAATGGGTTGAAGAAAATTGATATTGCAAAAGAAACAGAAGACAAATGACAATTGGCACCCATGTGAAAAATATAAGATAGAGTCAGAGTTAAGAACAGGAGGAGAAGAGAAGGGAAATAGAAAAATTGAAAGAAGTTGAAGCGGGGCAAAAAAAGAAGGAAAAAAACAAACAATCAAAATTCATCATGATTATATTTAGGCCCTTGGAATTCCTGGTATGTTATGGTGTCATCTTGGTCTTTGTCCTGGTAATGGAATAGTGTATCAATATCATGTTCCTTCCCAAAGTACTCCTGGATCTATATATGATTGACAAGAAGTCATTGTTATGATGAAGATATTGAGATTTGGTGGGTGAGGTTTGTAGACAAAGGTGATTTGTGATGGTGGTTGTGGTTGAAAAGGAGGAGATGGTGGTGATTATTTGATGGTGATTTTGATAATGGTTATTTTTTGTTTATGAAGATGGTAAACAATTTTGGCGGGGATGATAAATGATGAAGGTGATGCATGATCACAGCAATGTTATTGATGAAGATGATGAATATGATGATAACAATAGCCAGGATTGTGGTTACGAGGCAGATAAAGTAAAGGAGAAATCAGGATGATGTTGATGATGTAAATATGTGATGAGAGTTTAAAAATTGAACAACAGAGGCAACCAATAAGCAGGAGACCGGATTAGTAAATGCACATGAACAGAAACAAGCGATATGATTGAGAATAGGACAGAGTATTATAAGAAAAGTGAAGCGAACAGAACAGATCAACATATAAGTCAGTGATGGGAAATGGGGGGGGGGGGGGGAATTGGAGAAAACCAAGAAAATCAGGTAAACTTGGATTTATTTTTAATTAAACCATTGCTATGACGTCACACTATTGTTAAAACTGTGGATTCGGATCTACGAATCTCTTACACTGGTCACAAAGTGTGGATTCGGAACGAAGAATCTTTCGTAAAGTGTGGATTCGGAATTACGAATCCACACTTTGAACATGTCGGACAATTGTTCCCCATAATGAGCCTGAATAGGACCATCTGCGTGAAAATTTGTTTTCCGAAAATTACCAATGCATCTTCATGCATCTTAATAATTTAAGTCATTGGTGAAAATAAAAGGTACTTCTCATTTTTTCCTGATAATTTTTGAATGAATAAATTTAAGGTAAACAATTGCGCAAGGTTATTTTTTTTTTAACTAGCCAATTAATCTTCAAAAAATTCTGTTTATGTAAAAGACAAATTTAGACAATAGACTGACTCATTGATTATCAAAGTCTGCTGGGTTATTTCAAACCAGGTTAGTTTATTTAAACCAGGCCCAGTAATATACTTTGTCCTTGGTTCAGACAGAGCAGTCACATTTTTTTAGCAACGGCCACACTGCAGAGCACACGTACATGTAGGAAGTGGTGGAAAGTGCACAAAAGCCCCAATAACAATGAAACTTGAGTCATAATATCCAGCCAATCATAGCAGAGCACATCATCATTTTGCAAGGTCACAAGGTAAGGTCAATGTAATGGTTGACTGCATCCCAATAGTCGCACACTTTAGTGAGCTTCGCCTACTGTGCCTATTAATGGGTGGCCATGGTTCCACATCAACATATAAATGGCAGACTTTTCTATTTGAGGTGTCAACACATTTTATACTCTGAATCAACAGCAGGAGAATTGATTGATTTTTGTCGCTTTAGTAAAATGGATTTTTCGATCACTCAAGAGTTGAATTAATTGTCCCAAAATGGTGGGCAAAAGCATTAGTTGGAAAAATCTCTTCTAAACGTGTATGATTGTGAAAACAATACATGCCAAATTGATACAAATCTTCAAAATAATGAAAATATTTCCCGAAAGCTAGAAATTTATATCCCTTTCAAATATCACCATAGATCAATTGCAAGAGAAATCTACAACTGTTTTTCAGCAACCCTTTTTTTCAACTAAGGCAGGGTGGTATGAAGGAAAACAATTCTAGGGGGGAGTACTTCCCATATTTTCTGTGATGTATTAAGAAATTCTGAAATTTCTAAAATCGGTAAATTTGTATTAAAAAAAAAACAGTTGGCCCTAAGTTTCTCACCTACATGTACACCTACAGCCCCTACTTATGAAGAAAGTGGGAGAGTTATTTTTTTTGTATATATTTGACAAACTATACATACCTCCTCTCTGGATAATTCGTTGTTACTATCCAAGTCTATCTTGGCAAACATGTTGACTGGCTGCTGGTCCAGAATGGATCGAACCATGACTTCATACACTGCTGGTCTATCTGTCTGGGGTTGGTTAAGACCTGCTTTACAAAAATAAAAAATAATCAAAACATCAAACATCATCAATGGATACAACTTAAAAGTTTGACTATTTTTGTATGGTGTTAAATACTTTTAGCATTGTTTTTTTTTCTTTGGTTTGGGGATTTTGTCACATGCAATGGCAAAGTACATGAATCTCTCTCAAACATGTAAAAATGGATTGGCAGTTTTTGGGACCCCGACCTTTTATGTAATGTAATGTCAAGCACTGGGTAATTAATTAAAGGTAATATACAACACTTGCAAACAATAAAAAACAAAACTGCCAAATTATTATGAAATACCTCACTTGGGTGTTAGTGAATAATAGTCTCAAGCATCGGTCACCTGGTTTGCTGCCATTTTCAAGAAAAGTGACATTTCCAACAATAGTTGGCCGACCATCATTGGGAAAATATCCCGACTTTTTTCAAACACTGCCCCCAAATTTATCAAATTTAGTCAGTTTGCAATCGGTTACACATCCGTGAATAGGTTTGTACACATCTGTGAATGGGTGCAAAACAGCTAGTCTGGTTCCCTGACCTGACAGTATTCCCCGACGTCTATAAATTGCTCCGTTTCTTCTGAAGTAGGTAGGTCAGGAAACCAGACTACAAAAACCACATTTTTTCATGGTTTTCAAGCATCCATGATGAACACAAAACTTAAAACAGATCAGTCAGTGTAAAAATATTGGCTATTAATACTTAAATCCACAAATCCATCCATTTCTGAAAATTACAGCAAAAGCGATGTTGTATATATTTATTTATTTATATTTATTTATTTATTATCCACATCCAACAGCAGAACAAACCGCCAATTACAGGACTGGTTAAAAAATATTATACAATTATTAAAAAAAAAAATATAGATATATATACACAAATATGATCAAAAAGAATCATTATAAAAATATATATTGATGTTATAAAAACAAACTAAAAACAAATTATATGTATATAGGGATGAAACGAGCACTGTGAATTATGTGATAGGAGACGATTTCATTTTCATATATACCTTTAACTTCGAACCAAGTTAATGACCAACTGTTAGAGTTAAAAAAAACCATGAAGGTAAATTGCTTGGGCTACTATTCACAGATCATGCATATTGAAGTTATTTCTGTGAGACCAAACATTTCTACTACTTACCAGACCTTGGGTCTACTTGCATCAAGGGTGAACCAGCCTGAATAGTGATCTCTCGTTTCTCGCCTACGCAGACATCTCTTAAGCCCTCAGTCAGACCAGGCAGCTTCTCCTTGTCGTCAACTGCTATATATAAAGGTCTCCCTCTTGATTCGCTGAAATTTAAGAGGAATTATTTACTCACATTACTAAACAGTAATATCATTTTCAAATGATGACATAAAAAGCCAGGTATCTGCTAGATAAAAAACTGTCATGAAATGTTGTCGCAGAAGTAGACAGAAATTGCAACTTTGTAAATCCTGGTACCACACCATCGGTCCCAACTTCAGTTGGACCATCCCAACTGAAGTGTTCCAGTTGGGCTGGCCCAACTATAGCTGTCCTGGACTCAGATAATTTTTCACGGTAGAATTCATCACACATGTTTGCCGATTCATTCATATGTTGCAAACACAATTTATGTTAACAAAATACAAGTTAGTTTCTCTGGCACTTTGCATCAAGTGTGTACGACGCAAACATGTACATACGACATGGTTTGTAAGCACAGGCTCAGCGTCCCAACTACATACAGTTGGCCAGCCCAACTGCAACACTTTAGTTGGAATAGTCCCAACTAATTGGGATGGTCCCAAGTAAAGTTGGGAGCGATGGTATATAGGTGGGGCGCAACAATCCTGCCAGATTGGGTGACATTCAAGCTGTGGTGAAACTAGGCATTCTGGCCTTCATACAAGGATGTTTTGCAAGCTTCAGCTTAACAACTACAACATTGTTGCAACTGTAGGTCTAGGCCTAGCTTGAGTGACTCCAGCTGACATGCTCATATTCATTCACATGTAGCGCTGGAGGAAGGCCTGTGCGTTTCCATGTGGTAGCAAGAGACCCTAAAAAAATGGCCTCTCCCAAAAATTGTTCATTTTCACCTCTAATATCCCACCCCAGAGTTCACCCACATACCTCATACATTCAGCAGTCATTTACGAAGCCTAATGATCGACTTGAAACAAGACCACAAAAAAAAAAACGTGAAAAATCTTGACAATTTCGGTGGCTTGTCCGTAAAAATACGCCAGTTCCAACGGCTGTCTTCCATTTTGTTTTGCTAATTATATTAATATATGCATGACGTGTGACATCAAAAATCGGCGCGCGCGCGATGTATGTGGGTACCACACCGCTTTCAGGCGTCGCAAGTGAGTTCAATTTTCGTCTGGTGCGTTGTCGCGGAAAGCAAGACAACGAGAATGCTCTCCACGGCAACGCACCAAACGAAAATTGAACTCACTTGCGACGCCTGAAAGCGTTGTGGTACCAACATACATCGCGCGCGCGCCGATTTTTGATGTCACACGTCATGCATATATTAATATAATTAGCAAAACAAAATGGAAGACAGCCGTTGGAACTGGCGTATTTTTACGGACAAGCCACCGAAATTGTCAAGATTTTTCACGTTTTTTTTTGTGGTCTTGTTTCAAGTCGATCATTAGGCTTCGTAAATGACTGCTGAATGTATGAGGTATGTGGGTGAACTCTGGGGTGGGATATTAGAGGTGAAAATGAACAATTTTTGGGAGAGGCCATTTTTTTAGGGTCTCTTGCTACCACATGGAAACGCACAGGCCTTCCTCCAGCGCTACATGTGAATGAATATGAGCATGTCAGCTGGAGTCACTCAAGCTAGTCTAGGCCTAGCACAAATATTACAAAATCTTAATTATTGGACAACTCACGTGGAGTCAAATTCCTCATAATTCTCTCCGTCATCATTCATCTGCTTGGCCACAAATTGCAGCTCCAGCCAGTTGCCCGAGGCAGCCACTCTTGCACAGGATTCCAACCGGTCCAAGACTCTGACTGTAACACCCTCCTGGAAATCGGGAAGGTCTGGGTGTGGTATGATTTCTTTTGGAGGTACAACATCCTCCTCTGCATGCTCTGCATCCGCCGATGCTGATGCAATTAAAACTAAAAGTACGACGACAAAATCAAGGAGAAACAGATGGCTCATTTTCATCATTTTCATTGTCTATTGGTGTCTTAAACTTCAATACAAAATAACTTTTTTAAAACACGCTGCTTTCAAAAGTTCCCGAACAGTGCTCCGCGCGTGTAGAACCAAACCCTGTGATGTGGGAATTTGTGCAAGTGCTAAATTTCAACGTGTCCTTAACTTCTGACACAATGTACAATAACAACAATAGACGAAATAAATATTTAACAACGTGCAGTTGAGGAATATCGCGGTTGGAACAGTTCACTGTTAAGAGGGAAAATAGGACGTCGAGCGGAAGTGCTAATTTATTTTGTGAAAGTATGAAACCAGAAATCCAAGTTTATTGACAACAAGAAGAAGCGATCATATTTTTTTGTAGGAAATAAAAAGCTTTTAATCACTGAAATTAATATATTTCAACTTTTGAAAATGACGGATGAGTTTGTGGTTGAACTTCGCGATGCATCGAGCTAAAATTTGCAACCACCCCTCGAAATTTTTGGGACGGTCTGGACTATACGCATCAACTACATGTTTGAAAAGGAAATTACCTTGAATCAGTGAGTATTTTGCTATGCTGACGATGACATGGCCGCGTTGGCGCATGGACGTCCGTACGTACGTACACGTAGGGCGCTGTGGTCTTCCGCAAACATCAGTAATATCCAACATCTGTTTGTACACAAGCAACGTTAGTTGAATTCCTGCCCTGCTGATACCGGGTAGAGGACTCCTGTTCAACGTGCATAATTAATGGCTGAAATGCAAGGGGTACTCTTTAAGTGGACGAACTACCTGGCCGGTCAGTATTGACTATTGTCAATTATTGTCAATGTCATGATTTAATTGATTCATGTCTGAAATTGTGATATTTGTCGTATGAAAAATGACATGCTTGATTTAGCACACTACATGCACTAAGTCAAGCAGCAGTCATGGCAGTAGGCTACCGTAGCCCAGGTGGACTCCCTTTCCTCCCTACGTTATGGAGGGAGTCCAGGATATGACATGTATGAAGTGCTCAAAACCGGGCGAAAACATTTATGACAAATATTTTCAATATTTTTACCTTGTTGGAGAAGCCAATTTTTACGTCGTAGTATTCTATGTGTCCTTATCTATTGGGCTGCTGGGTTCAGGAATTCCATATGCGATGCTGACCGACGTTAATCAGGAAAATAAACTCTAAAGCAACGTTAAACTTGTACGTTGTTGTAGACTCTTTTCATCAGTTTCTCACCGCCGAGTCTAGTTGTACATGACGTACGTCCGTGGCGTGCAGCATGAACGCGCAGTGTGCACGTGCGATTTGCTTAGTAACCACTAGTCTGGTTCCCAGACCTGACAATTATTCCTGACGCTCATGTCTAAATGGAACCAGACTAAGTAACCACCCTCAAACGCATGCGCACTAACTTGTATTTGTAAGCGCGGTCGTCTATCCAATGACCGGGCATGTTTTAGCGACCGTGACCAGAAACATGTTTCGGCTTTGGTCATTGGTGGAGTGTTTTCATGACTTCGGTTAGCTGGAGTAACGTCACTGCACTTTCCCACCAAAACCAACCAAGGAGGGCGCTAGCGTGTGCACTTTCGTACGACGCGGTACGGTGATGAGAAACTGATGAAAAGAGTCTACAAACACGTACAAGTTTAACGTTGCTTTAGAGTTTATTTTCCTGATTAACGTCGGTCAGCATCACATATGGAATTCCTGAACCCCCTGGACCAATAGATAAGGACACATAGAGTATGTAGGCGTGAAATAAGCTTCTATAACGAGGTAAAACATAACAAAAATCTGGTCCAAATTTTGGGTGGTCTTATGTAGAGAATTGTCATCCTGGACGTCAGTCGTAATGCAATGAAGACTTCGTCCAACCTGGGGTATAGGCTACCGGTACACATGGTACATGCATGACACGTACATCGTATATGTTCACAGAGCGCTTTACCCCTAGACATGCTAGAGTAGAACTTAAAGCTACAGTCCATCATTTGTAATTAGTGCATTTTGTTCGTTTGAAGCAACAAAAGTGTTCAAAATCTAATGAAGGATACTGAACAACTTACTTGATGAAGTTTCAGCTCAGCTTCAGCTTTATATTCCGAGAAAAACTGTTCTAGGATCTCAATTTCAAATCAAAAGTTGCTAAATCATGTTTCGAATTGTTTTGAATTGCAGCTTTACGCGATGTCGCGCACTGATCCGTCGAATTATAGCAACCGCGCGCGCCTGTGCGTCGTTCCAATGCTTGTGCGCGCTGCGCCGAATAACAAAACGAACAACTAATTTAAATTTTCCTACAGTGCTTCTTAAGAAGCACCGTTGGAAATGCCTTCTTTCGTTGATTTCTTCAAAATGAGAGCTTGCCAGAAAGGATAATTTCACAGGGAGTTTAGTCCCCTTACTATCTTTCAACCAGTATGTTTTTCAACAATAATTACGCCAGTCACTTTTTTGGATAGCTGCAAATGATGGACTCGGGCTTTAAGTAGAATTTAGAAATAGTAGGCCCTATGAGGCCCCATATTTCTGGGCGTAAGAACGTTTTTAATATCTATAGCCTACCTATAGCCCTAGTCAGAGTAACTTGGACCTAGTCCGAGTAACTTGGACCCAACTTATCGCCTTTTTAACATTCGGACATGGTCTGGCGATAGTACTGCTGTCTGGCAAAGCGCACTGCTGCTGTTGCCTGTCATTCCAAAATCTTTGGCGCTCTGTGAAGTACCCGGATGCAATACGCGGCCGCGGATGAAGAGCGCACACAAGAGCCTCACTGCAGAGGGCTCAAAGATTTTCCAGAATTAAGGTCTTTTTATTTTGACTTTACGATGTCAAAAGTACCGATTTTCCTAGTTTCTGATTGGTTTAATCAGTTCCGAATCGTTCAAAAGCTGCTTTGCGCGGGGAAAAAAAAATGACGCGAGAAAATAAATTTTTCAGCCAGAAACACCCCGAATCAAGCACATTTTCTGATAAATTATTATATAATTTTTCAAAATTAGTTCATTCAAGAGAATTCCAGCAAATTTTAAAAAGAGAATAATTAACGTAAATGATTTTGAAACTTTTGTCTGCAGCACAACGGCATGAACTCACACACCGACCAAAAACATTTGACACAGCACGGAAAACGTCACACAAAATTGATTAAGGCGCGTGTGGTTGGGTCGAAAGTGCACGTGCGATCTGGAACTAGGCAAAAACATACGGTCATTCGTTGGCAAATTTTCAAATATTAGAGTCTCTACAACTTATTTTGATTCAACTGACATTCAATGGAAGAGTTTATTCAACTGTAGTGTATGAACAAAATATTTGGAATCACACGGTACGAGTGATGAACCGAGGAAAAAATGTGTCGTCGATTTGCAGCACCCGTGATTTTCTACAAATTTTCCAAACATGTCAAAGTGCGAGTCAGAAATCTCGCCAAAATTCCTATTCTAAAGATTTTATCGAAAAGATCTTTGTGTGTCAAGAAGCTTACATTTTCCTTTTCAAAATGCACTTCGTTAGAAAGGTTTTTATTTGAAGCGATCCAGAACTAGGAAAAATCGGGAACTAGGCCACAAACTGCCAATTATATGCCCTGTGCGTGGATAGTCCCTTTGCTAGGGGAGCCGAAAATCAATTTGAAATCACAATTATTTTGTCACTTTGTACTCACACAATGCCGTCTGCAACTGCTTAATAGCAACAAAACGTTAAATTCTGTACCTTCAGAGGTATAGTTATCCTGTAATTTCGGGTTGAATTCGGACGACTTTCGGCTGCCAATGTTCACAAAAGTGTCATGCTGCAAATCGCCCCCTCACTAGCATGACTTCCAAAAGTGCATGCATGCAGGCGCACTTTTGAACTATACTGAATGACAGGCAACAGCCGTACCGATGCACTTTGCCAAAATTTGATGCAATTTTGACTCAGACTTGACGTGCATTACTCTGGACTGGGAGAACTTGGACCCGGGAGACGTGACTCGGACTCGGAGCTTGGTCCGATGGGCCCTAATGTTAACATATTTTAAATTCAACTAGAATTTGTTTTTGGGGAGAGATTTACTTGAGGTGTGTCTTGTTTTATCCAGGTTGGCAGCTGCGGTGGTTTGTCCTAGATAAAGGCATCCTAGCCTATTACAAGTCTCAGGATGAGGTTCATCTGGGAAGTAAAGGATCCATCAAAATTGCCTGCTGTGAAATAATAGGTGTGTTTTTTGTTATCATTGTGTAATATTAGAAATGCAGATAATGCAAAATATTGACAATCACTGAAAGTATTTGTATGAAATATCAAGCAAACTTGCAGTGTGATCAATTTGATTAGGGTGTGCATTTACGGATAGTACAGGAATCAGGTACCGGACTAAAAAACACATGGGCCTGGGTACCGTTAGAGAAACCCAACCGTGAAATGTAAATCTCAGAAGTTGCTGTACAGATTGCTAGTAAAGGTCTACTCGATAATACTACCACATCAAGCGTCAGTATAGCAAGATACCACTTGCACAGTGAGCTCAATACAGGCATGTAGCTTTTCGGTACCTGAAACCAAAACATGAAACAAGTGACCGGAGATCCACAGAACATTGCATGAACTACATTACTTTTTACTCTGTTTTTCTGTACTGTGAAACTGTAGGCCTATTCTTTGCAAACAAACTGTGCTCTGATGTAAATGAACAGTGTAGGATTTGATGATTCCAATATTCTTTTATTTGACTCTGATTACATCCAAGAGTTAGGATTCTGTTCAGAAACAATTTTTGTCCCAGCAGAAAAGGGAAACTCTCAATCAATCCACTGATGAACTGCAATAGTAAAATCCCTAACAGGATGTCATGTATATGTGTCATTACCTTCTGAGTAAATATTCTGTTTCTGTGTCCTGTCCTGATCAGTCCATCCATCAGATATGTGTCGTCTTGATCTGATTATTCCTGGAGAGCAGCATTTCTACATCCGAGGCACGTCGCCTGCTGAACGCCAACAGTGGCTTGTTGCCTTGGGCTCAGCCAAAGCATGTCTGACGGATGCCAAACAACAACAGAAAGGTAGGTTTGGAAACGGTGTTGCGATAGCTGTGACATCTTGACAGACTGGGCCATATGTCCACATTGTATCGCTGACAGTGTACTAGTTTGCTGTCATTTCATGATAGGATCTTTGTTTGATTATAAGAACAGGATCATGTTTCGTAAAAAATATGCCCTTGCCATGCTGTGTTCTTGCCTGCAATGTACTTTCAATCCTACTTGCTTTAGATTCAAGTATGACACCGAGTATTTTATTTGATTGAACAGCAAATTTGCCAAGAGTTGGAAAGCACGCATGCCTGCCTTCAAAGGAATATGGCATTGTGAACCCATCAAAAGTAAAGCATTAGGAAAGATTCCCATATCTGGCCATCACTTGTCACCCTGTGCACAAACCCTATGAGACTGGTCTGAACATTTCTGAGTGTTTTCTCAGTAAATACTTCAATATTTTCCCTGCTAAATTATCATATTATCACATTCTGATGGCTGATATGTCACTGAAGGGAAAAATTAGTGATGTACAAATTGTAATTGCATTATTGTAATGTACAAATGAAAGCTTTTAAAAAAACAAAGCGCTTTTTCAATTCACTTGGTCCCCATTTTTTTTTATGGAGAGTTAGAACAATCTGAGTGTACGTGTACATACCATTGGTGCAGTTTTATCAAAGCTACATACCATTGGTGCAGTTTTATCAAAGCTAAACGGTACATATGTACATATGGAACTAATCCAGATACTGCCTGTGATAAGAGACCAGTGAGGCTTATCACCAAAGCATCCGGATTCAGATGCTGCAGTGTAGGATTTAACTCAATTAGATATTTATGAACTGCATGCCACATTCCAAAAACAAAAAAGACTTGGTTAACAAGAAATTACTGAAGGAAAAAATACATCAAGGGTCATAGCAAGTAATGACATTGCCCAAACTTGAATGCAGGTGCATATAATAATGTGGTTCTTATACAAAGCTTTACACCGGTGTCTCAAAGCGGTTCACAGTTATTACCCCTGATTATCAGGCCATGAGACCAGTTTTCTGCAGCTGAGATCAGCGCAATCTGGTCTCTATCTTCACAGGTAGCCATTTATACTCCTAGGTAGAGAGGCAGTTGTAGTTAAGTGTCTTGCCCAAGAACACAAGAACATATAAGATGGTAACCATCGGACCATGCTGCTTCACAATCCGATTCGTTGTTCAGTGCAATGGGGTCTCCAGTCTGCTGTGTGACAAGTGTTAAGGCCAAATCTCAGTCGCTGGTAAGGCTTGCCTTGTTGTCAGCCTGCTGGTCACTGATTGCTTTGTTTTTGTGCTTCTATCCAATACAGATCGGACTGAAGAGCTCTTAAAGGCCAAAATGTCCGAGTTACGCCTGTACTGTGACACACTCATGCAGAGTGTAGCCAGTGTGAAAATATCAGCTAGTAGTGAGGAAACCCCAGACATTGAGGTATGCCACTCTTGAACATTAACACGTGGTTCATTATTGACAAAATGGTATTGAAATGACATTATTCACAAGATATATATGCAATGAAGACTGCCATTGTAGGTTTATATATATATTGTTTCCTTCTTTTTTGGGGGGGGGGGGGCCCACAATTGACAAATATCCTACCACTAGGGCTGTGCCGAATATACTGAATATTTGAATATTCGGTCATCAACAAGATACCCCAATAACATTTGTTCAATTCAAATATTCGTAAAATATGGGCAGCCTCGAGGCGACGGTGAAAAACACATAAGCTGAGTGATTTTATTGTTTCACAAATGCCACACTTTTGTTCAAAACCATTATCACACGTGATTTGAGAGCGTCCATGAGGTATACTAACTCAAATTTCTCGTTTAAATAGGTCAAATATCAGCCCTTTTGTCAATTTTGGAAAATCAAATATTTGAATATTCCGTCAAGTCCAAGTCAGAATAATCAATTTCTAAATTATTTGAAAATGGACAGCCCTATAAATCCACTAAGAAATCCACCCACAGCCACCCCGACCTTCACATTCATAATTTGTTACCCCATGGACTGTTTTCCCCACCCTGACCATAGATCCGCAGTGGCATTCTAGGCTACAGGTGTTAAACGTATACAATTCTTTTGAACAACCCTTATTGAATTCATAATTGTGGCCCTTTAAGGATTTTTGTTTCATGGAAATATAAAGTCTGAAATATCTGCCTTTGACTGTGGAGAGACACTATGATACAAATATTGGCATGAATGCTGTAAAACTAAAAACAGTGTGCTTCTGCTTTGTTTTGTTTCTTTGATGAGTTACACAATTAAGAATAGTTTCCTCTTTTTTTGGCCCCACAACTAGAGTGCACGGCAAGTATTTTGCTATAAACTTGTAGGTTCATCTTAACTTGTATCAAAGCTTACACGTAGATGCATGTTTCTACTTTTTCTGGATTTTCTCCGCATTTTTGTCCTATCTCCCTGCAGAGGCTGAATACATCTACCACCCTTCTATCTGAGACCTGCGACACCTTTATATCCACACTTCAAGACTGCATGAGACTAGCCAACAGCGCCTATAGCACATCCTTCTCCAACAGTGCATTTAACGAGACGGTGGTCCCCCCTTCACTCCAACAGCAGGTAAGCCTCAGTTTGTTGGTGAGCACACACGCAGGCATACATATATTAACCAATTTCTGTCTTTTCATAAATGACAGCATATTATAAATTCTAGCTACATTATTTTCTCCTTTATTTCTCACTGTGCAGTTGCCTGCCTGCAAAAGGCTTTGGAAATTTGAGTACACTGGACAGTAAACTCGTATGTACATGTAGACACTTATTTTTTTAACTCCAGCCTAAGGTGTGGATAATCCGTGAAGCTGGTAATAAATGATTATGTGTGCACAGAAAACTGTCGCTCATGTACCTGAGACAGTTTACCCATTCCCATTGGTCGAGAACCTGTCACGGTGGTGGTGTTAAACGGTTGATAAAACACTAACTGGTTTTAAACACTTTTTTTTCTGGTGTCACATGAATTTGGACTCCTACGAAATATGATTCCTTTTACCCTTTTATTGTTGGAACGTTTACAATCTTCACAATGAGTCCGTATTTCATAAGAATCATAAGAGTTTTTATTATTAAACAACAGGATTCTCATTGTATAGTTTCATGGGGACTTACTTCACATACATGTATGTATGTTTCTTTCTGAAGTCTTTTATCAATCTGAAGTTTGGAATTCATAGCTTTCCTTGTAATATGTAATTTTCACTTTGTGTATGTACAGTATCTTGTAATATTAATTTAAAATCAATGTATGTATTGTTTAATAACTAACTAGTTTTTATTGTCCTTGTAATTTGTATTGTTTTAACGTTTTAATCCAGGGCCCCCAGGGAGATCAGTTCTCAGAAAGTTGATGGGGCTACCCTGGTAAAATAAAACGATAAATAAATAAATAAAAGTCTGTATTTCATAGAGTCCTAAATTCTCACTACACCGGCACTGCCGCGTTCTGCACCACATCGCGCAGTATGCCCCATGCACGCACCAATCTCTATAAGGAGGTTTTTAGTACTACTCGCGAGAGGCACATACATGTACCATAAACATAGCATAAACAGAGGGGTGTTTAAAAAACACGAACTTAAACTTGTTGAACAAAATCGTTGAAAATGTACAGTTTTGACTTGTTTTGACTTTTTGACCAAAATGCGCTGATATTTATGAATGTGAACAAATATGCGGCTCGGTCCATTATCTGCATTCATGCCCCAAGCCCGTTTTAAATGTACTTATTTAATACGGGCCTGACACATATTTATTCTCGTGTTAATTCTTGTCAAAAATTTGAAATGTTTTATGCCATTTATGAACCTGGAAGTTTTGTCATTGAGGGTAAGTTAATTAGTTCTCAATAGAGGGTATTTCTGTTAGAATAGTTTATTCTCATGGTATATTTCAAGGGACATAAAGGGGAAGACCAGAAGCAGATGAGCAAGCAATACTTTAAGGGAGCACTATGGCTGCATCCGAATTACTTAGCTACGGCAGGCATGCAATCAGCTTCTCCCAAGGGTGCATGAATTATTGCTGGTCAGAGCCACGTCATTTTGGATCCAACCCAGTCATGCACTAGCACAGACCATTCCATGGAGTATAACCCCTCGACGAATAGTGCTCGCTCAATGACGGCAATCTCTGTAGGAGAACTGCACCTGCGTATTTTACGCAATCAAGCATGCATTGCACAGTGTTGAAAATGTTCCAAACACACGCGCTTGTTGCTCGAAATGTGTTTGAAATATGACGCAGCCGATGCGCGTTATGCAAGTTGACGCTCAAAATGCCAATGCACGTGGATGGTCTGTAGGAAATGACTTCATTTGAACGAGACCTATAAGATCAGTCCTTAATGCACGGTGCCACTACTTGTTTGCCTAGAAGTGACCACTTTGCAACTTGGTGGCGTATACGAATCCGGGCACAGATCACTGTACACTCACAAGGCCCCCTTCAGAGGTGAAAGCATTGTGAAAGCTATTGTGCAAAGCAATTGCCCTGTGACAGATTCCCTGAACAATAGATAGCACAATGCTTGCGCCATTGAAGGGGGCCTTCATGGTAGAATTGTTAGCGTGCTCAGATTGGTCTATTGATCATTTGCCCTCTGTTGTTTACATGCGTTACCACATGCACAAATGCATGTGAAAAGGAAAAGTGTTTCCCTAGTGCAACATTAATACCATTTGCCAATGTTTTCAAACAGATTACAGATGTCACATTTTCCCAAGATGTACCTTGGGTAAGGCAATATTATTGCCTCCAACTGCAGCTTTTCTGGACTGTGAATGTTTGGAATTGTGAGCATATGCTAGAACACATGCTACTTGATATTCCCATATAGGAATGTTTGCCTGTGAGTATATAGGGACGTTTACTCGTTCCCACTGGGCATGGATTGTCTTCCCGAAGGAGCCTTCCAGAATGAACAGTGATGTTCTAAAATAGCGACACTCCCTCATCTAGGGTTCCTTGCAATCTTGATTCAGACATATTTTTCAGTTCCCATTAACGCTGATGCTATATTTTGTCAACAGTCCAAGAAGTCTACATCAAGATCACATTCTGTGGAAGACAGGTAGGGAGTTCTGTGAACAGGTTGCTCATTGCCTTCTGAAAATGAGATAACTTGTAATTGGCCCAAATAGTCTACAGCAAATGACATATTTGGGTTACAGCTGGAAGATGATCATTCTTTTACTGAATGTGATTTGAAGAAGTGTTTTACTTCTTCAATAACTATTTTACTAAATTATGGAGTCCTTTCATGTTCAAGTTTAAGTAGAGTTTGGGCACGATTTGTAAAGTACATTGTTGTGAGTGCAAAGCATTAGCATTTGTTGTAACAAGAAGCTTCTGGTATGACTTGATAAGTCCAAATTATTTGGTTCCAGTTGGACAATTCCAAATGTTCCCTGGGTGTGGGGACAGTTTCTGACATACATTTTATGATGTCTGTCTTTGTTTGTAAGCCCCGTTTCCCAGGACCTCTTAACAAATGCTCAAAGTGTTTACATCACTGAAACTCTTGGACAACTCAACTTTAAAACTGTCCGAGTCTTCTGTCATTTTGAGGCTGTAGGTTGCTTCATTTCCAGTTGAGATTTTTTGAGAATGAGTTCTATGTATCCACTCTTTGCTCCTCCTATTCCAGGTACAACCCCCCTCAAAGCAAGTCTGGAATCCCGACCAAATACAAGAACCTTGAAGACATAGCAGCGCGTCCCAAACCTCACCGGACGCGGGCACCACACCACCAATCCCTGTCAGCTCCCACGACACCAACGGCTAGCACCACACCGATGTCACTGAGCGAATCAGAAGACGCCCATGTGGCTGATTCAGGAGATGGTGGCCAGTCACATCCGTCGGTAATCAGAGAGGCTGAGGAGAAGGGAACTCTGTTACAAGTGGCCATGCAGCATCCATCCATGCAGGAGAAACCAAGGTTGCAGACATTCTTCTCCAAAATGAAACCGAAGTAAGGTCCAAAAGCTGTTCTGCTAAAGCAGTTTCATTTCTGCTAAGAAATGGAAATGTTTATTCATAAAACGGAATTTGCATCTGGATGATGTAAATCAATATTAGGTTTTGGCCTTCGCCGACATATAAATGCTGTATACTCAGTGTATTACCTCCCGAGTGAAAGTTGGAAAAAATCACTCGGGTGGGACTCAAACCCACGACCTCCTGCTTTCTAGTGCAGATGTCTTACCACTCGACCACCGAGCTTGCGGGATCGGTTGGCTAGTTCGAATCTGATGTATATGAAGCAGCGGGTAACACAATTAAACTATTCATTAGATGAATTTGCGTCGGGGTGATGTCAATCAATATTTGGTTTTGCCCTTCACCGAGGTATAAACATTGCATACTCAGTGTGTTACCTCCCGAGTGAAAGTTGGAAAAGTTCCATGATTCTAACGGCTCTCATTTACTTTACGGCAGATGCATGTCTGTGGCATTGTACAACAAACTACAATAGGCTATGAAAACTCTCGTGCTCACTTGTTAACAGAACTGTGCCAAATACAGCATTATTTGAATATTTGATCATCTACTGAGTATTCCAATAGCAAATTTTCTGATTGAACATTTTTTTGACAAATGTTAACGATGTTGAGAAGATAAATAAAAAAATGGTGTGATGTAATTTTTAATCATGTATTAAGTTGTGTGGTTTTATTGTTTATCGAATACCACATTTTAGTTGACTTTACACACATGATTTGAGAGCTTCCTTGAGGACTAATAATTGTTATTGCATCATCAAAATTTTTCTAATATCAGCTGTTCAGTCATCTCAAAAAAATATCTCCATACACACATGCTGCTGAGCTCATGCTCGCACATGTGGTCAATACCCAGACCAAATGTTGGCTGAAGAGAACAACTGGTAACCTTTCCCGTTCTAGTGGGAGACAGAAGTTATCCAAAGGGACATTTTTTTTTACTCACCCTGTGCTAACCATATTGAACAAAGGAGGAGAGAGACGCAATTTAAAAAAAGATACTATCCCTAGCAAAATTTACAAAATGTTGGGAAGCTTTATTAGAATTCAACAACAAATGTAGCATCTATGCATTGTGTATGTTTAGCGCTATGGACAACTAATACAGAATAAGCAGCTTTGACTCTTGTGGAAGCATGATAGCCGTATTGTGACATAACGTGCTGTTTCTGTTTGCTGCCCTCATTGACGCAATTTTGTATTCTGAGCGTTTTCATGCTAGACATGTACCACAAAATGTTATTTTTTGTCATAAATTGGCAATGGACTTGATAACGAACAAGTCCCTGACGAAAATGAAGTTTTATGGCAAGGCAAGGTGGCTGAGCTTTAAGATTGAGTATTCAATGGGAATTGAATCATATTTTTTTTAATTCAAAAGCAGATGTGTGTCTTGAATCACTTATCAATTATGAAATCTTTATTGAAGCTTCTTGTAAATTGTTCTCAGCTTTGAAGATGTCCAGAAGGACTTGGATGATGGCGTCAAGACCAAGTTGTTCCTAGATGCGTGCTCACAAATCGTGGCGATATTTGGTCAGTTGCTACTTTTCTTTTTTGTCTTGCTTTTTTTCCTTTTTAAATTTTTTTAATGACATTTAAATGCAGGCACTTTTAAGACTATAATTTTCAATCTTGCTGCTTGCAGGATTTTGTGTATGTTCAAGGAAAATTAATCAACTATGTAAACCCCGAAAATTAATGAATTGTGTTGGGTACTTTTATTGAGATTGAAGTTGGATATATTTACATCAGATTTAATATACAGTGAAATCTTGACAAGTCAAATCTTGACTTAAGCAGAGTTTTGAGTTACAGTGTGTATACTAGTGAAGGTAATGGATTCTTCGTTGGACTTAACAGGTGTTTTGAATTATCAGAGTTTGACTTATCGAGATTTCACTGTAGATGCATTTTGTGTGTGTGTGTAGATGTGATGGGCTCGTCAGCATTTGCACTAGTCAAGATGGACATGAATGGTAATGTAAAGGTACAGTGAGTGATCCTTGTTATCAACATTATGCATAGGACTCTGGGTCAATATTTTATGGGTAAGAGGTTGTCACAGATATATACGTAAGAGAAAACATGTATGTTTGAACTTTTACAAAAGACGGGGGTGGGGGGGGGGGACAAACTGTAATGTGAGCTGCCAAAAAATATCACTCTAGAGATTTTATGATTGATTATTTTTAATAATGGAAATGGTAGCATGTGACTGTACCCGCATGATGTCGGAACACTAAAAAGTATGAGAAAACTTTCAAATACAGGATATTACAATTTTTGTCATGTTTTTTCTTGAAATGGGATTTACCGATAAAAAACTTATTGCCAAACCAACAGAAGGTTATTTTGTTGGCCTTTTTTGTAGTTAAGTCACTTAAAGTCAAGGGATCTTCTGTGAGGAAAATACACTCTAAATGCTTTGATTTTATAGAATAACAGCACAAAGGTGATGGAAGACCCCCTCTAAATGTAACATGAGTTACCATGGAAATGCCTGTATAGTCACTGCAACACGTGTCCTGAATAGGCACGGAAAAGTTCATTTGTAAGCAGGTCAGTTAATGAAGCTATGTTTTTTTCTTCTTCCACTCTTCAGAAATTAAGGCAAAAGTACTCAAGCAACCCCGCCGCTTTCCAGACTCTACAATCCATTGTCCAACAGGAGAAGAGGAGCAACACTCATCAACTCAAGAACTCTGCAACAGATGCACTCATGTGGCTCAGGAGGTATGGAACTCATTATGGTACAACGCCACTGTAACAAATACAATGGGGTCCACAAAAGAATGTTCGTTTTAGAGGTCGTTTGTTATAGCGAAGACTCTCCTCAAAATGTGCTTTCATTGAATTTCATTAAGTGACTGAAACTGAAGGAAAATTCAAGCCATGTAAATGTATAGTCATGTAACGAAACTTACCAACATGGTCAGTACCGCTCAGATTCAACGTGTGTGGACATCCCACACAAACAAGCGGCAGCCTTGCCAAAAATCACGGTGTTCTATCATTACGGATGTGAGGATAAAAAACCTCACTTAGGAGAATATTTAACTTTGTGAATTAACTCAGATTAGACTTTAATCACGAGTTGGCCATTTTTAATAAAAGTTAGGTAAATTCTTCATTTTTGGAAGTTGGGAGGAAAAATGAAAGCAATGGAAAAAAATCATTACAAATTAATATCAGTCTGCTCTGATGAAAAATTTCAACTTTGTGATTAGACATATATCTAAAAAAAAAAAAAATTGAAAGTGAGGCTTAGAATGCACTCCATTCGTAAAATAGTCTGGCACCATCCCATTCAACAGTTTACAATTTATAAAACAGATTCAGGAAGCACGATTGAGAATGGCTTACTCATGAATACGGTGTATGACTTGATGTTTAAAACAAAAGCATGACCTATGTATTCAGCATCATTGCAGGTTTAGACAAAACTGCATTTGAAACTGTTTTCAGGACCATTTTAAGTTACAAATTTTTTTTTTTTCACTCACGGGAAATGTTAGGTGTAGCTACTTACTGTTTATGCCTTTTCTGTTTTGTTTTTAAATGTCCAATCTGAAATGTGCAATCTACATGTATCATTGTTTCTTCTATAGTCACAAGAATCTTTGATTTGTTTTTACTTTTCAGGGCACTGGAGTTTGTCTGTGCAATGATGGAGGAGCTAGGAAATAGTGGAAAGGACTTCTCTGTAGCTGCAACGACAGCGTACAAAAAGTCACTACAGAAATACCACGGATGGGTGGTTCAAGGAGTCTTCTCAGTAAGAAATGAGTTTGCAGTTACACTAAATAAAAATCACTACAAGCATCCCCACACAAAGCAAGATCTTGGGAACATTTGGACTAGTGTGACACTTTCAGTTTCATATGAACACTGCTGTGTATGTGTCTCATGAGAGATTATTACATAACTGCGGACCAGTACCAACACCAATACTTCACCATGCACACTTTCCTTTTTATAAAAACCATCAACACCAACATGAGATGCCAGTCCATCACAGGTTACTGCCCAGCTAATGCCAATAACCATTTATACTCTTAGGTGGAGAGAGATTATTGGGGTGAAGTAACATGCCTAAAGGACACAACATATATGACTTGGAGTCACAAAGCCCAACCACTAGGCCACACTTTCTCCTTCTTGGTTCTTGGTTGGTTCATCTCCTAAATACTCTGTGTGGGAGTTTATACAGGAGAACAGAAACACCGGGGCAAACCCCTTCTCTTAGCGATAAGTGTCACTGGGTTCTTTTACGTGCATTGGATTACACAACACACGGGACCTACGGCTTTAAGTCCCATCCGAAGGACGAAGCAATAATGGTTAAGTGCCTTGCTCAAGGGCACAAGTGTCCACCCTTCGGGCTCAAACCCATGCCACTGTTGCCTCTGAAACACCAGAGTATGAGTCCAGTGTTCTTAACCGCTAGGCCATGACACTCCTGGGGGCTGGGATGGTGAAGTTTTATCTATCAATTTGGGATCCGCGTTCTTTCAGTGCCTTCCCCCTCTTGTCATCCTCTGACACCATGGTCACTTAGTGGAGATGTTGGTTTTCCCATTCCTATTAAATCTACTTGCTTTTACCAAGATTTTTGTTCTCCTTTTTAAACTTTTCTAAGTACCGGTATCCTTCCTAGTCTCTTCTGCTGACAGATCTTGATCAGGGTTCCCCTGATGAGAAGAAAACAAGAAGTTAAACAAATCCCCTTGCATTCACAAGCTTGGTGCTCACATTACTGTCGCCTATATTTTGACTGCAAATACAAAGGTCTTTTACTTGATTTATTATTAGGGCTTGAGGGTCTGATCATAATCTCAAACAAAGGCAGGAAGGAGAAAGGATAATTGGATTTGTTTTTTACAAGACATCACAATGTCATTTTAATCTTCCAAGCTAGTTGATGTTTTGTTTTTACAACTTTTGTTGTTGGAGTGGTGAACCATTTATAAGTACGTATATTAAACTGAGCTATCTGGCTGGCTCATTTGTTTGAATTGTGTTGATTTCTTCACACCAAAGATAGTCGGAAGAAGCTATATGTTTGCACACATGTAGTTTAAGAGATGCCCAGAATCAATACATTACTCACTGTGGCTGAGAAGGGCACAAAAGCAACAGATGTTACAAACATTGTACTGGGCAGAATCTGTCACTTGTTTACTGCAAGATTACTGGGTCTGACAAGCTGCAATATCTAGTATTCTTGTTCTTTTGTCAGGTAGCGGTTCGGGCCTCGCCTTACTATGAAGACTTCATCAAATGCCTGTTAGAGAATCCCGAAGACATGGAACGGAATGGGGAGCAGATCGTTTTAGAAGACATGGCCACTAGTATGCAACCCTTACGTATCCTGGTCAACCAACTTCAACAATATTACTACTCCGAGAACCTGGAAAACCATGCGCAGGTATAATGTCAGGCAATGGACATTGCAGTGTAGCTCAACAAAAAGGTCAGGTCAATTCTGAAATTTATTATTCACGATGCAGTGATCAGATGAAATGGGATGAAATTTGCATCAAGGAGATTTAAATTCGATATTTGGTTTTGCCCTTCACCGACTTATTTTATAAACATGCCTGAATAACTCCCTTCATCTGATTGGTGGGTCGTTGATCATGTGACATTGAATTATATGTCCCAACCCATGGCCAGGCTGCAACGCAACAATACAAGTTACTTTCCACAGTAGATAAAAGTTCCATCCATTGCAAGGTCACACTATTGGTTGTGCTACAAAACGGCTCAGATGACATGGATTTATTCAGGCATTGTTAACCCTAACCGCCCTGAATCCTTCAAAATCCTCTTTGCCAAAGTGGAGGAATTTGAAGGATTGAGGTTACATGGTAAAAGTGTGTTACTGATTTCTTAGGATGCACTTTGTCAAGGTCTTGGGCCGGACCTTGTGTTGTTTTTGCTTAGCCATGCATAAATATATGCCTGGATTATGCTTGAAATCCGCCGTAGTGCTCCAGGATTGTCACTGGTCAAGCCTCAACATATTGACAGTCACTGTCGCAGGATTTTGCAGGATTCAGGCAGTTGTCACCCCTCCATGGACCATATTCAAGAAATATTGGAGGATTTTGCAATATTGAGGCTAAATAATGAATGTTTTAGGCTTCGTCTGGTGAAAAAAAACAACACTCCATCTGTCCTTTATGAAATTAGTCTTACCATTGCGCTGATAAATATTAATTTGTTTGTATAATATACACTGTATGTTCAGTGTTTTACGAGGGCTTGGGAATTCACAGGCTTACTCAGGTGCATATACTATGTATATACATGTGTAAAAAAAACGGGGGTTTTATTTTCCAAGTGATCTTTTCCACCATGTTTTTGATAGAATTTGGTTGGTTTGTTGCCCTTTCCAAGTTAACAAGCTCGATCAGATCTCAGAAGCAGCGGGCCAATGAATTCATGTTCATGCATGAGTCACGTGATTGTGCCACGTAATTTTTTGGAAGGAGTAGTGTTTTGAGTAAATAAAATCAGCTTTTTTTTATCCCAGTGACCCCATGATGACCTTTGACCCCAGTTTTGGCCATGTGACATGTTGGGGCTGGGCTGGGCTGCTGACACTTTTGACAAAGTTTGGTTGAAATCGGTCAAAATATGTAGGAGCAATAGACAATCTCACCATTTGTAACTGATTAACGAACTAGTGGAGAGATGACTTGTTGAGCTGCTATTCTGCAGCTAAACAGTAAAAGATATATACCTTATGAAGGAGATTTAACTTACCGTAACTGTTAGCTTAGGGTGAGCCAATATATGAGCTGAAAATTGCATCCTGTGAAGAGGTCATAGTGCATTGTCTTATCAAGGAATTAATCTTGTATTCAAAGCGGTGAATGCCCCTTGACCTGTTGGGAGAAAAGAGGTGGGGTCTATCTCTCCGTTGAGATATTTATAAAAAAAAAAAAATTAAAATTTGGGATCAAGTTGAAAGTGTACGCAATAACCCCACTGCTAAATTGACATGGTACGATCTCCATGGATTGGTCAGAGGTCGTATCAAGGTCAATAAAAAGGTCAGTTGGCTGTTTTCACCGAGTGTCACATTTTTGTTCTTGGTCACTATTTAACATCCGTTTTACCCAGTTTTGTTATCCCCTAGTTTTATAATGGTAGTACGTGTCGTGCTTTCTCTTCTGGAATGCATGTGGGTCATTCTACAAATTTGGGGTCCACTTTTTTTCCCTGACATATCTGAAATCTATGATTTTGTAATGCTATAGCGCTCCTACCCAACAAATACAACATTGTTTGAAGTCATTCTTAATGATGCTTGACTGGCAACTTACAAGGTACAAAGGTAACAGGGACTGGAAAAACGTCACAACTTAGGACCCTAAATTTATAGAATGACCCATATGACAATAGAGCTGTAAAGGGAATTTACTGGATCGAGAACACAAAACATACCCTACTATTCAACAAATATTGTTTTTAATTTCCAAAAATCTTTTACCAAAGAAAAGAAAGTCCACATTTACTCAATACACACATCATTTTTTGTTATCATTTGCACAAAGTAGGTCACAATTTCTTTTATATAAAGTGGTCACATGTTTGTTCCATTAGAAAAAAACCCACATCGGATATAATTTGTACAGAATATTTTAAACGATTATATTTTCTGGTTATCTTTTCAGGGAAACTGAGATAAGTCACTTGTTTTCCATGTTTTTGATTATTTTTTTAGTTAATTTACAAATAGGAGAGACTGAGCATTATTCCATTGAAAAGATGATGAATGAGTTAAAATTGAATAATTGTACATATCAGAATTAAGTGGTCATTCATTGGCTGTATAGCAGAGCTGGTGGTTTTTAACTTAATAGATGCAGCCAGTCTGCTACCGGTATGTGGTATTCAAGTGTAGACATTCTTGTACATTCCAGCTCCTTAGTGTACATGTGTATTATATGTAAAGACATGCTGTATCTACATATCAGGGTCTCTGCCAAGAATTTCCGTTCCTGTAACATTTTGTTCGAGGCAGACATTTTGTAGATATCATTTGGAAGCATCAAAGTGCCCAGCTGTGTTTATCTTTTTGTTGATCCTTAACACAAACACACAATTTTCAAAAGAATTTGCCCGTCACCATTGTGGTACTTGATTTGCAAACTCAACTCAACAGAAAGAATTACATGCAATTATATTTCCAAATCCCTCACCATAAAAGTCACAACAAAGACAATGATTCATTTTTTATGACGATTTCTCCTTTTAAATAAATGAACAGCCTGCTATTAATATAACTGCAGTTTCATCTTCTCAGTCTAGTGTGCACTCTTGTGATAGTGTTTTTAAGCTCTGGCAAGAGCTTCTTCTTGTTACTTCATGGTCAGTCGGTCGGTCAGTCGGTAGGTCTGTCCCCAGCAAACTGACCAAAAATGGACCATCTAAGTTTCCCATAAAAATATAACTACCACTTGACCAAAAATTGACCAAATGCAATGCCGTCGTCAGTAAATACACTCTTAGCAAAACTTTTTTGAACACGCCCCTTTGTCTCGATCGATGCACATGCGCGTCTATTTTGCATATGAAGTGAGACATTCTGGATCCGGGCCAGAGCTTACTGTGCACTCGCTCTTGTTTTTTTTAAATTACTTTCAGCTAAAAGCACCATTACAATACCACTTTTTCACAATACTATACATATCGTGATTCAGAGGTGTTGATTATGATACAGGTCACAATATGATGGGCAATTCCGTGGTAACTTGCATTACATTAAAAGGTACAATCCATCATTTGTAATTTGTGCATTTCGATTGTTTGAAGCAACAAAAGTGCTCAAAATCTAAAGAAGGGTACTGAACAACCAACCTAATGAATTTTCAGCTCAGCTTCAGCTGTATATTTCTAGAAAAGCAACATTCTAGGATCTCGATTTCAAATCAAAAGTTGCTGAATCATGTTTTGAATTGTGCCTGAATTCAGCGTCCGAGACACGTTCTCACTGAGCAGTTTGCAGCTACACGATGTCGTGCACTGATCCGACGAATTATAGCAACCGCGCACGCGTGTGCAAAGTGTCAACGCTTGCGTGCTTCACCGAATTAAAAAAATGAAGTACTAACGGAAATTTCCAATGCATTGTTGGAAAGGCTTTCTTTCGTTGATTTCTTCAAAATGCCAAAAAGAATAATTACACAGGGAGTTTCCCCTTACTATCTTTCAACCAAGCATGTTTTTCAACAATAATTACGTCAGAAACCTTTTAGATAGCTGCAAATGATGGGTTTTTGCTTTAACAGGGATCTTCCGTCAACTCTGTGCTGTTATTCTATAACGGCCAAGCATAGACCGTTCTCAAGCCCCCCACCCCCCCCCCCCCCCCCCTTCCCGCCAAACACTCGGGCTTATAATGACCCCCAAAATATGGTGGAACAGTTTTGGTCCTCTCTCCAATAGAATCCAACAGAAAGTATGATATGGGGATGTGGTGGCATCAATAGACTTAACATTATCCTTTCAATGTTTTGTTAGTACATTTTCCTTAATAAAGGCATGAAACAAGATACTCCAGTCAATACCTGGCCAGTACTCATTGGCTTTGTGCACCATAAAACATTGGCTGTACAAGTACAAGATGGTTGCATCTAATAATATGTGTTGCATATAACGTTCACTTACATTTCACATTCAGGACCAATGCAGCCATGTGTAATATGTACACATGTGCTCTATGCATTGAACAAAACTTGTCTTTTGATTAACTGCCAATGTCAACATGTCAGTCATGCAGACACAGCCTTATGATTATTATGTTTCGGCTAAAGTTCAGGTTTTCACCTTTTGCGGTCTACCCGATGTTCCCCAATACCTATGTTCCCATAAATCTTTAGGGTTAGGTTGGGGGGGGGGGGGGGGGTTGTACCTGTTTGACTAAATTGTTATAGAATACAATGCTCACTGTGTTTTCTCCGGCAGCATACATAAACAAAAAGCACTGAAGTGTAATATGGTGCTCAAAAAAATATAAATAACACGAGGCAGGCGGAATGAGATTTTTTGTACTCAGTTGAACAGTATGAAAAGATTATGGACGCTTCACATTTTTACTGAACAGATGACAAAAGTGCACACATTGTGGGTCAGGATTGGGCCGTGCAAGACACTTTATTGATGTATTCTTGATTCAAGACAGCAAGATGTGGTAACCGCCGTACTTCACTTAGTCTTGATCCAAGGCTGGATTGCATTTATATTCCATAATACAGCTGGTGTCTGACAAGTGTGGTTAGCCTCTGCAGTGGCCAGTCGCTATCAACATGATGAATCAAACCCAGTGATTGAACTTCAGCAGAGCTATGCAGGATAGTCCAAGCACACCTTATACATGTGCATTAGTTTTAATACAGTGTGCATGAGGTATGCTCAGAATGCTCTGGGTAGCCCTGCCGAAATTCCCGAGACTGGATTTGATTCTTCCTGTTGAAAGCAACTTCTACCCTTGGCGGCTGTACTCTTTAGTACACTAAACATAGGTCACCAAAAGAGGGCACTTTCCGTGCAATTCATTTGTTTGTTTTACATGCATTAGGGTGTGTAACCAAACATCACTGTCTTGAACAAGGACTGTGAAAGGTAGAAAGCACATTGTAGCGAAGGAATTGAGGTATATACATGTATCCTCCAACCCACAGTGCAGTTTTAGGCAGGATGGGACCCTGCCTAAAACTGCAGCATCCAGAATCACTGGTATCCAATAGTTTCCAACTACTGCCTGATACAGTAATATTATATCCTGACATCAGACACATTGTGACTTATTTTATCAAATTATTTCAATGCAATTATTAGAAATGAGAAGACATATGTTGAAATTCAAATAAATGTACATATGCAATAGTATACAAGACTGTTTCTGTGACTTGTAAGTTTTTCTTTATTTTCATTTGTAGCTTGAGACTTCCATACACAAATGAACACGTTTTCAATTTCCATAAAATCCAAAATGAAATAGCAATTTTGAGTTGAAGTATTCAATTCTATTTTGATTGCAAATGATCTATTATTTAATCCCTGCAAAGGACTAAGTCCTTTTCCATAAAAAAAGTAAACCAACCCACAAACTGTCCATGCATCAGCACAGGGAGCAAGGGATTTTTATTGTACTACTTGTTTTGTTATCTCTTAGGGAAATGATACATGTAGATAAATATACAAAGCATGTAGTCACATGATTTCACTGACTACAAGTATTCATGTTCAAGGAATAGTTATCAAATATACCGTCTCTCGGTTATGTTGGAATGTGTTACAGTTTTCTGTGTTATTTATGGGCCTAATGATCTTTATAAAGTGCACATATCCCCCAGCATTGGTGCTCAAGGCACTACATCATTATTACCCCTGCTCATTGGGTCGGTTAAAGATTGAAGCTGCCATTTTAGTGCAAAGCAACTAAAATCGATCAGAAAATCAACTTCTGCCCTCACAGGTACCCATCAGTGTGGAAGTTGAGAACTTTTTTTCCCTGAGTACTGCCGAGTACTTAGGTTACCGAGTACAAGTATGAGTACTTGTACTTCCGAGTACAAGTACAGGTCTCCGAGTATGAGTAATTGTACTTCTGAGTACAAGTACGAGTACTTCTATTTCGGAATACGGCCATACGGCAAATGGTTCATTGTGTGTAATTGGCCCAGGCCCAGTCAGACCGATATACAGACCCACTCACGGCTAGCTGTTGAATGTGTTTGTCCAGACGTGCACAGAGAAAAATCAGGAAACTTTGACTTTGCCGCAAGCCAATCAACCATTTCAAACTGAAAATATCGATAAAATCCTTATTTTATAAATCAAAAAAATGGTAATTGACTTACCACGGCCTTCTTCCACGGAAGGCCGTGGTAAGTCAATTACCATTTTTTTTAGTACTGCTATTCGAGTACGAGTACTTTGATGATCGAGTACAATTTCGACATGTCGAGTATGAGTACTTTGCTGCCCGAGTACAAGTACCGTCATTTTGAGTACGAGTACTTTGACATTCGAGTACGTGTACGAGTACTCTGAAAAAAAGTAGTCAAGTAATGCTCGAGTAGGAGTACCGAGTATGAGTACCACAACACTGGTACCCATTTACTCCTGAGTGGGGAAGCAACAATGACAAAGTGTCTTGCCCAAGGACACACACAATGCAACCCCTGGCTGGACTTGAACCCATAACCTGCAAAATGCAGAATTTCCTGCAGACCTTGAGTTAGGCAACAAGCATTCACAAGAAAATTCACAATTGGATACTTTTATACTCTGTGCCCATATACATTTTTTACCTGAAACAATGTAAATATAGTTCCAAAAATACTCAATTCTCTCACCAATTATTATTGAACTATACAAAATGTTCTGTTTTTTGTTTTGTTTTTACATAATTCAAATACTTTAAAAGGATATTTATCTTATACAGGAATTTTTGATTAATTATTCACTTCAGAACCACAGCAATGTAGTCAACAGTTAAAAAAAAATATAATTAGAAAAGATACATCACAAAATATACATGTACATCAAATAGCTATTTCTTTGCACAATTCTCTTCTTACAGCTCACAAAAAGGTGTTTTCATTATTTGTTAAACATCTAAAGGATGTATTTAACTATTTATCTGGTGCAGACGTATGGCCTTGCAATTAAATATATATAACTTTTCAGCTAAAGGCGTAACGATACCATTGTTTTCACAATGGTATACCTGATTCTGGGGTATTAATATGATACATATCTGGGTTTCCAGGTCACAAGATGATGATAAATATAATTATTTCAGGATTCTGAGGTATTGATATGATACAAATCACGGTATCAGGTCACAATATGATATATAAATAAGATAAAGATTTGCAGTAGCACTATGTGACAAATCTCTTCTGTGAGTTTGTGAGGTTCTGAAAAGAACTGGTGGGAAACTCACAAACTCAGAGAAGAGATTTGTTACAAGGTGCTTTCATAAATCTTGATCTGATTCCTATCTCCACCATGCAAACATTCAAGTCTAATATAATAAATAATGATTCTGAGGTATTGATATGAAATGATTGACGGTATCCAGGTCAGAATTAACGATTGTTAACAAAGGTAAACTCAATCACATAATCAACTTCTGCCCTCACAGCTACCCATTTACTCCTGCGTAGGGAAACAATGAGTGACAAAGTGCCTTGCCCAAGGACACACGCACCACAATCCCAAGCTGGACTCGAACCCATAACCTGCAGAATGCAGAATTTCCTGCAGACCTTGAGTTAGGCAACAAGGATTCACAAGAAAATTCACAATTGGATACTTTCATACTCGGTGTCTACATACACTTCTTACCTGAAAAAAAATAACAATTACCCAAAAAAGTCCATTCTCTCACCAATTATTATTGAACTTTTACAAATGTACTATTTTTTTTTTTTTTTTTACATATTTCAAATACTTATCTTATACAGGAGTTTTTAATTTACTATCCACAGCAATGTAGTCAACAATTCTAAAACCAAAAAATATATCACAAGATATACATGTACGTCTCAATAAAGTTTTTCTTTAACAATTTTCTTCTTACAGCTGACACGAGTGTTTTGGTTTTTTTACTATCAAAATGAGGTATTTAACAATTTATCTTGTGTAGACCTATGGCCTTCATTTAGCAAATGTTCAAAATTTACAAAAAATACCCTGGAATTATTCATAATTCACTCTGATTGAGGTAAATGACATAACAACTTTCATGATTAATTATATACACTCTTCAGTGTATGAATAAAGGTTTATATTGGGTTTATTATTTTAGTCAGTAAAAGTGCATTCACATTGACAGATTTTCAGTCTGTCAAAAAATATTATAAGTTTGACAATTAGCGTGTCTGTATTCACCTGAAAAGAAGTGTGTAGATTATTTGTCTTTGACTGTACAGATCAAATTGTATGCAAATGTCCTAAAATGAATTTCTTACATTTCTAACTATAATAAATAAAATTGTCATAAGACATTTTTTGTCAAATTCCCAAGAAAAGTTTTCGATTTAGTGAGGCAATTTCTTTTCTTGAAATCAGACTTTTATCTCTTGAAATAAGATGTTTTCTTTTTTCTTCTAATGTTTATAAAACCATTTGTTGTAGTGTTTATGTAGAAATATTTCACGACTTATCGAGGCACAGCACATATCTTGAATTCACAAGGCGAGTAGTTGATTCCCGGTTCCCCCATCACATCTGGACGATCTTCATTGTCCGGAAATCTCAGCGTGAACTTCTGCAAGATTGTCGTGATGTACAGGAATATCAAGGAACGAGTCCACATCTCCCCGGGACATGATCTTTGACCTACGTATCAATAGAAGCGAAAAAAGATTTGTGTATTAAGCATGTGCATGTTTAGTCTGAGTATCGACCGTTATCCACGGAGCCCAGTCTCCTGTCTAACGTCTGATATATCTAAGCATGCATGATGTCATTTCATTCCGAAATCAGGACTAAGATTGTGATTGGTCAATTTCGATGCTGCGTTTTTGTAATACAACAACCTGTACAAAAATGCTACTCATCATGGGCGTGATGTTTACGCACGCGGGGAGCTCGCATTACGCGCGTATAGAAGGCGCCTGCTGATTGGTCAGTTTCTTGAGATCATACTTAGTCTAGTTGCATAATTAATTGATGAATCTGTTAACGCATCATAGACCATGGTCGGCTTCGCCAGGGCCAGGGTCTATTACATAGACTAGTGCATGTTCATCCCCCAATGAAATAAAAAGAAGCTAAACGCCCATGTTATGATGAATTGCACACCTTATGAATGGAACACCTTATTTCTTAAAGATATGTTGTTTTTAAAAGAGCTTTACTGAAACTATACGATAAAACCATAAACACAATATTATTTTGGAACAGGATGCTGTACCATGTCAACCTCTTCACTGTACAGAGTTAAAAAGAAAGTGACCCAATGAGACAAAAATATGTTAAAAAACATGTGGCTTGCTGCATTTCATAAAAATAACAGGAATAAAGTACATACTATTGATTAGTAACTGTGAAAATTTCATGTAATTTGCGTACTATGTTCACAAGTTATGTCTCTTTTAATACAAACATCCCAACATTTAGCTGTCCACCAATGATCATTTACCGTTCAAATACAATAAAACAAGGGCATTTTCCTGCCTTCATAAATGAAAAAAAATTTGCACAAGACAAGACAAAAATCACCATCATTATTTCAAAAAAGAATCCTCATATTCAAAACACAAAATCTGACAGTAAAAATAACGTTCGAGTCTTGACAAAAAGTATAAAAATCTCATTTGTATGTAATCTCAATAGCTTCAAGTGTCATTCCATGGAAAGCTGTATAAATGGACTCTTTTAGTAAAATATGCAAAACTTCTGATAGCATGGATCAATTTCAGTACTTCCTTTTTGAAATAAGTGGAAGAACATGCCCGTTTATCTTAGGCTTCGTTGTGTAATTGCTTTTTAAGGGGGAAAAAAATCATTAACCCAGGTCACTTTCTTGTTGACTCGCCCTGTACTTTGATGTGGTTTGTGATAATTGCAGTTTTGAAGTGTAACTTGCTTATAAGACAACTCGGTACTTTATCAGTTGTTTTTTAAGTTGTGGGTCAAATTGTTAATTTCAGTAAGTTTTAAAATGGCCACAGCAAATTTTGTATACCTGCAGAAAAGGTGACCATCCGGTTCGGTATCTTGAATTTTCCTCCCGCATCCAAGAAGCGTCCGGGATCAAACGTATCTGGCTCCTTCCACAGCTTGCTGTCATGATGAGCGGCGTAGATGTTGGTCAAGATGTAGCTGCCCTCGGGGATGAAGTAACCCCTGAGGAACATGTCTTGTGTCACGCGATGAGGCGCCCCCAAGGCAGCTACTGGTCGGAAACGATACACCTCTGAAATGGTTGCCATGGTTGCATGCAGTCTGCGCTTATGCAGCAGAGAAGGTGCATCTTCTGTGCAGATGTGAGCACATACAAAAATGTATAGTGAATGAGAAGTATCAAATCTTTAATATTACAGATATGTCCATATTGAGCTATTAGGCTTAGTTCTTGAAAGTGACTTATAGTCCCAAGTCCAACCAATTCAAGTCTCCTCCAAAATCTTCTCACCTGTCCCAACGACTTGATCTAGTTCTTCCTGAATCCTCCTTTGCCACTCTGGATAGAGCATGACCATTTGCAATACCCACAGCAGCTCAACTAGCGATGTCTCAGCTCCCACAGTGAAGAAATCAAAGAACATCTGCATGTAATGTTCATCAGGAGCTAAAGCAGCAGCAGCTTTATCCATCACGTTGCTATGGTTACCATCACCTTGGTTACCCGCATCATGGACACTACTGCTAGAACTATTGTTTTTGTTCATGTACTGTTTCTGAATCGCTAGGATGCCGTCCAGGAAGGAGTCCAAGCTGGTATCTGTTGACCAGGTGTCGTCTTTGAGTTGTTGTTGTTGACGCCGTCCCTGGAAAATCTCCAAGAAACTGTCGGTGAGTTTCTTCTTGTTTGGCATGAGCTGCTCAACGAAATGCTTGGGTAGGATGTTTGAGGCCAGAATGAAGGCTGGGTTCTGGTGTAACAGCTCGGTCGGTGAATCCCGTAGTTTGATCAATGCCTGATTGTTGTCAGAAGCGTTGCCAAAAAAGAAGCTGGATGGGAATAATGAGCTGAACCTTAGAACACATAATGGACCATTTGTGAATTCGAAATTTGCACAAAAAGTGAAAATCGGGCAAGTTCACAATCCTAGTTCACACTTCAAATCTTGGTTTTTTTTTCTGGTGGCTGGTTACGAAATTATAAAATGCTATTTTGACATGAATTCCCAATTATATTTTAGAGCACCGGTAGCCCGATTTTTGTGCCAAATTTGTGGAAACTAACTACCTATTTTGACTTCCGGACTGAATTTCAAGATACATGCACTAAAATTATTCTCTTGATTTGCACTACAAGTTTTACTAAGGAACGTGTAATCCCATCAATAGTTATTTGAATGAGTTTAAAGCTCATCCATAAAAGGTTCGGCAATGCCTGAGGAGGAGGAAGGTCGGGGAAGGGGAAGTCGAAGTGCACAATGGGAGACTCCACTACAAGACACATTGACATGTGAAATACTTTTCTTCAATTTAAAAAAAAAATGTTTTGCGGGTTTTCATAACGGCCGATTTGTTTGGCAAACCCGTACACTGAGAAGCTGTAGAATACGAAGCTGGATAAAGTGGTTCTGGCGTCCAGAGGTCGCCCGGTACTCTCCGTTAAGTGTTGGCACAGCTCTGTTAGACTCTTGGTGAAGTGTTTCTCTCCCTTCACGCACCCAATGCCCAGGGCTCGCATGATCTCTCGTGTGAACAGACGCTGGTATCGGTGGAAAGGACCGCTCTCAAGGGCCACCATTCCTTAAAACATCGTGGAAAGATAATAAGGTATTAAATTTAGTATTATACCTAAATAAACAAACAAAACTATTTTGTATGTTAACCAATTTGTTGAATGTAAAAAGGGGGTGGGGCAATTCTGGACACCGGTCCAGGGTTTCCCACAGTCGTGGAAAAGTCCTGGAAAAATCCTGGAATTTAAAGCTGTCATAATTATGACTTAATACTAAGTCATTATTATAGATATAAGTCATAACAATGACTTAATAATAAGTTATAATTATGAGATACAAGTCATAATTATGACTTTTTTGTATTATGTCCCTTAACGCTTCCGTAGTTAAGTGATTGAGCAGCACCTATCGTTCATGTTCATCGTTTACAAGACTTCTTATCTTCGCTTTTAGAGGGCGATTTCAAACAGTGACCACTCTATTTCACTTTTAGTTTAATGTTCTGTGATCTAATCTGCTATTTTGAATGAGAAAAATGTACTTTTGATTGCACATTCACGAAATTGTATTCCAGAACTCTGTGCGAAAAGGAATGCTTGCGTAAATGAATGCGCAGATATAAACGTACGCCTAATTGGCCGTCTGTTTCTCAAAACCGAATGCACGGACAATAAATGAAAACGATTGAACTTTCGTTGAATTGAAATGGGATTTAAGATGTGCATTTACAGACGAAAACGAATGACCGAATTTTAGAAGTGAATGAACATTTCGGGAAATTGGCCGGGAAAACCTATTCTGCTATAATTGCAGTCCTCAAATATGCATTCCAGTTGAAGCTCCCGAGTCCTGTTGGCTGTTGCACCAAGTTGACATGCGTTGGTGGTGCTCGGTGGTCTTGTGTCAAACTGGAATGACAATGTGGATCGGCATCCGTTGCATCAGTGTGGTACTGGAAAGCCCGATTTTGTCCTAGAAACAGCGAAAAGTCATGGAACTTCACTTCAAGATTTCCGTGGGAACCCGCTGGTCAAACCAGGTACGGGTACACAGCCATATGGTTGCGAAGGGCGATTTCTAAAGGTTACGTAACACTTTATTTTGAATGAAACTACATGTACACAGACATGTTCACGTTGGCGGGTGAAATCTTTGAAAATTAATTTCTCCCGCTTGGAAGACCGTATCTTCATGCAACTTTCAGGATTTATTTCCCCTATAGACCTCATGATCCAAGTATGTGCTAAAACTCATTGTGATATGTTCATTACTTTTCGTTGTGATTGGCAAAATAGGCCTGGCTACGTGCAATTTTGAAACTTAACTGGCGTGCGCAATATCTATCAATCTTTTCAAGCCTCACGAATATTAATGAGGTTCCTATTCATTACGGTGTGCAGTAAACAATTTGTATAAAAGCCGCCTTCACTCCAACCTCGTCCCCAGTGCTTACTTTATTTCCAACATCATTTCCATTAGTGGGTGCGTACTGCTCGACACCATGGGGACGAGGTTGCCTTCACTCTGATTTGCTCCGATTCATTCTTTAGTGGGGTCTGGGAACCAGACTACAAGAACATGATTGGTTTTCTTGCTTTTTCCAGCATCTACAATCCCAAAACGTAAAACTATTTAGTTTAGCAATATTTGCTATAACAAAATTGCAGCAAAAGCAAATATTGTACATTCCCTTTAAAACAAATCCTCCTGAGCCGGGAATCAGGAAAAAATGTCAAATTTATTTCATCGATTATCATTCATTTTATTTATTTGGTTCTGTAAGAGATGTGTCACAAGTACTGCATAATGATTTGTACATGGCCTTCAATGATCTATCCGGTTCGTTAGTGTGACGTCATCTCAATTTAACCATGCGTCCTTCACACGGTGTAGCAGAGCACGAATGGAACCAGAAGCTAAATGCAACTAGAGCGTTTATCCAATGGGCGCTAGTTATCAGTGGTGCGCGCGTGTGTGACGTTTTTATAAATGAACCGGATACCCTTGGATCATGTTAATAAGAAAACGCTATTCTTGCTAAGGTTGGCTGTCCGCAGAGTATTATCAAAGCTTCTCCATGACGACAAATGACGACAGTGCTTTGCAAAGGGCAAGGCACTTCATCTGCCTCAGTTTAACACCCAGAGAGACATCAATCCAAGATGTGGGATCCTCAACGGTCATCGCTTTCAGCCGAGCCGATGAAAACATCTTGTCATTAGCACGTGCGTTTTCATCGGTTGTTATGTGTTACCATTCAGCACTCGTGACTCAAGAACCGTTGAGTTTTACGTAAATACGTCTGGGAGCTAGATAAGCCAATGCAAAACATTCCGGGATGTCCGCGCCCGCCTATACAGCCACTTCTATTATCGGTGACCACCGTTGCATGCTGCACCTTATGGATCTGCTTATTATAAAATATGTAGACGAATTTCAAATTTGCATTGAAACCGAGCTGTTAGTGCTAAGCCATTGTATCAGTTGAGGATCTTTTTTTTTTCAATCCTCTTAACAAAAGAGAGCACTGTGGCCGGGCCGCGAATTTGTGTTTCCCAAACGAGATCGGACAATATCAAAAGAGGGAGCTCTCTCTCTGCGTTATGCATATTCATGATGTCCAGGTCTTTACCGCTTTAGAGAATAAGTTATATAACAAGGAATAATGGCGTTTAAATCACCGACGATTGGCAGCTGATTCGTGAACTGGTTGAGGGTATTATTCCTCATCGGAGTTCGAATCTCGGTGTGCGTTTTCCACTTCTTCTCATTTTACGTTTTAAATAACTAAAGTGAGGAAGGAACATTTCTCACAAGACGTAAAGCCTATCTTGGGTTTGTGTTGTGGAGAACAAGACATTAGATATGCATGTAATGGACCAATCAGAAGATGGGAAACGGAGGTCGCCAAGTTGGGGAAAAAGATTCACGGCCCGACCTTGGCTTCAATGCCATACTAATGACGTCCCACTTTGTTTACGTGTGCGCTTTCCTATGGTGCTCAGTGGACCATGGGCCCCCACTGGCTCCATAGGAAAGTGTACATGTAAACGAAGTGTAACGTCATTAGTACAGAGGCTTATTTACGTGATCACTCATGGTCCTTCGGATCGGATCGCGCTTGAGTCTAGTAGACGTGCACTTGTACTTACGAAGGAGTGACAACCAGTCATTTTGGGGCATTCTTCTGTACTGTTGCTTCTTCTGTTCACTTTTACAGTATAATAAATAAGATAATAAGAAATCTGAGCTCAAGCTTCTATATTATTTTGTCACTCGTCTTTTTTTACTCGTTTGGCGCAATATCTGCCAGATTTCCATCGAGGCCAATTTTAAGGATTCATTGAATCAAAATGGTTGCTGCAAATTACGCTGCTCATAATTTCTGTTTCAGCTGGAAGATTTTGATAAAGCGTATCTTATCATACCGATTAAAGGTAAAATAGAGTGACCAAGAAATATGAATACCACGCTCGAATCCTCAATTGTCATAATGCATTATGTACATTGTCATAAAATGTCTTGATTCAAGATTAAGACTGTAATTTAAAACTTGCAATGCACACTCGACCCAAAGGCGCAACTAAAGTAGAGAGCCGGGCATTCTGTGATCGACGTAGCCAGTCATGCCTTACTCATTTCGGTGCTACAGTGGTGCTAGGGATTGGAAACAAGTTTGAATCAATAATGAAATGAACACTGAGGTGCGTGCACTCTTAGTCAAATTTGCCAAAACCAAACTTGCATCCTGATCATAGCTGTAGTCAGAATGGCTGCAAGTTTAACTACTTACTACAAGTCAATCAGACTACGTGCTTTCCAAGACTGTAGGAAGCGAAAACTTTTGAAAAACAAACCATCAGAACAATACATTGATTGAGGTATTTTTGGTAAACCATTTAAGGCAGTATAATCCCAACACAAGCAGGTCGTGACTGTAAACTTGGGCATCCAGCCTGCAAAGCTACAGTTTGGTTCCGTGGCCGCAACCATTTATATTATTTTCAGGGTATAGGTCTACTCGTCAGGATTTTGCGCCCAGGGCAGAACTATACTTCACGTCAATTTTGTTCAGCAGTTGTTACTCTATACATTTTCAAAATCACTCATGCGAAAAGAAAATACAAAGTTACAAACCAAGTAACACTTACCCTTTTTACTGCCAGACCCACTCATAATTCCTAGAAAGGCAGGTCTGTCGTTGAAAACAGCCCCATTGATTACAAGTGCCTCGTGTATGATGTCCACTTCACTCAGAATAAACATCCGAATCATTCCCAGCTATACAGGTTAAAGAAATGTGGAAGGGTTCGGGCTTGTCAAATCATTTCTGGCTCAACAAGCCGGAAAGTTTTGTTTACAGTTCGGTACTATACAGCCTAACGGTTTTGTTTACCTGCAACTGGCTACACGACTTTAGAAAGGGCCTAATTTAACTTTTGGAAATCGGACGGATGCCCAAAATAGAACGTGCGGCTTTGCCACTCGTCCGGATACGTGCAAAAGAAACGTATTTCTCTCAAACAGATTACTGTTCTTTTAAGTCAAGGGTATTTGAAGTTGCGTTGTGTCACTTGTGTGATATTTATATCGGGTTTTAACCCCCCCCCCCCCGAAAAAAACTAGATTCCTTTTCAAATTTGCAATTTTTCTATAGCAAAACACAAGTTTCGCTTTTGAATGAGACATCGATAGAGAAAGCGGTCCCTTTTTAGGGATTGAGTTATCGCAGAGCGGATCTGTTTGTGCCCCAAATAAAACAAACCCAAACAAACGTCCAAAACGGTGGGAAAAGAGGGTTTTATATTTGGTTGGAATAAAACATACAATTTTGAATTTATTAACATAAACAATTCGAATTGGTTGAAGAGCACGGGGAACGCAAATTTAAAGCATAGAAAAACGATTCCCAAATCATATACCTTAATTGTAAATATAGGGCCATACTTGATAGCAATTTCACGGAGACGCTGGATGGCGTTACCTCGTAGCTCTAGGAGCGACCCAATGAAGGGTAGACCGGTCGGTCCTGGAGGCAGCCTATTCATAAGTGAGCGACGCTGAGAATGCTCTACCCAGACATACAACAAGAGGCAAGCGTTGGTGATCACCGCTAATAAGATAGTTTGCACCTCTAGCACTGTCCACGGTAAAGATGACGGTAGTAAGTTGCCGGCATGAGAAGTCGCTGGCTCGTGCAAGGAAGCATCTTGACTGTCATCATGAGACATTGTCGCATCGGGCCGTAACGCGTAATGATCCTCAATTAGACCATGGAGGAATAAAAACTACCGAGCACGCATCATCCCTTTATAACCATATAAGCAAGGATACTGTCAGCCCATTTTGCTCGTCATTGGCAAATCTGATGGCTAAAGCATAAAACGTCGTAATCATTATGCCAAGCGATCGTGAGTGGGCCTATAGGCGGGGGCGCCTTGTTAAGTTTGTTCTCAAGAGCGAACCGTGTTGGTGAACGACCTTCTTTCACAAAGCAAGATAGGATCCTTCCGCAGTGCACACAGTGCAGTGATAAGCGTCAAGTGGGGAAAGACCCCGCGTCGCGTCGATGCACGTCGGCTCGGCAAAGGGCAAGGACGGCTGACCACCAAAGTCTATTTGATGTTTTACGACGTGCATACACTTGCGTGCCTCACAATAATAAAACCAAGGAGCTTTTAAACGTTCCACGCTCAAACACACCACCAGCTAGCTATAGGACTGCTACACAGTATCTTCAGTAGACTTTATGTGCCGTGGTGTCCGTGTGTCCCACCGATATCTGCCACACGGCGATAAAAGTGTGTTGTGTTTAACAATGTGATTATTCGTCCCAACAACGAACGTCGTGGCCGCGCCGCATCACAAAATAGAAGTTCAATTGCACGGTTTTTATTACTACGGGTGGTGGCGCTGTATCACGAATCTGATTGGCAAATTGGCGGACGATACGCGAGAATCTCCGTTTGTTCTCCCATAGAGGCTAGAGCAAGGACGCTGCTAACACAAAGAAGGAAATAAGAAATGCTGCCAAACGAGTAGACGAATTTAACTTGTCGAGAACAGTTTTTAAAATATATAAATTGGATATGAAATAGGCCTACATGTAGTTGGGGAATAGTTTTAAACCGAGATAAATTGAATATGCTGGCTAGTTGAATAGTTCTGATCATGGAGCTAGGCTAGTAACAGTTTTGAATAAATAGGATACTGGAAGTGAACCACCAGTTATTGCCATCTGAAAGAAGTAGAACATTGATGTAAGTACCAGTTCACAAGTCAACCAATCAGATAACAAGGATTTACTCAGGTGTTAACAAGTAAAACAAATAATGAATGTTTCAATTTCATTCGGTGATAGAATGAATGTTCCACTCCACGAGGCGATCTGTCACCTCGTGAAATTATTCTTACCATTGCACTCACAAAAATGCATTATTTGCTCACTATTTTGCTGGGTTTCGGCATGGCGTATGTACATGAGTCGGAGAAGAAACAGTCCTGCGCGTTCCGCGCGGCACTAATTACGCGGAGGTGCAGTGTTGTTGACTCATGGTTGACTCGTACGTGTCCCTGACTCGGACTCGAGTCGGACTCAAGTCGCTATTTTTTGACTTGAGACTTGAATTGACTTGGGGAAAAATGACTTGAGACTTGACTTGACTTGAAAACAATATGACTTGTGACTGATGACTTGACTCGAATAAATTTGACTTGCTGACATTAACAAATTTGAGACTCTTTAGATACAAATATTGGTGTTTGAGAGAAGATGTTTGAAAAGTATGATATTTTTGATGAACCCCATTCCCATCTCTACTCTGGCTCCGTCGTCGAACACATAAACTGGTTCCCTCATCACGTAGTATGTGCATTTACTCGAGACTTGACTTGACTTGAAAAAAAATTGACTTGGGACTTTACTTGACTTGTGAACAATTGACTCGCGACTTCACTTGACTTGGAAAACATTGACTTGAGACTTGACTTGACTTGCTAAAATTTGACTTGGGACTTGACTTGACTTGGAAAAAAATGGCTTGGTTACACAACTCTGCGGAGGTGACACGGCGAGCAACACTCGGCCAATTTATACCGCTCGTCTACCTTTTCCCGGGGTCTTTGCAGTTTCAACCTCGACCGGTCTCAATAGCATCGGGGAGCATGGCTTCCCGTATTCTAATTACTTTACGCAATGATGAGTTTATGGATTGTTACCTTAAAACAATCCTTTACGTGTTTAACGTAATAACTGCGAATCATGCCAGTTATATCCCTGCGTTATATTGGTCCATGCACTCATCGTGCATGACATGCCCTAAAGTTCGATACAACCAGCGAGGCGAGAGATAAACAAAGTCATAATCATATATTTATTATGACACAGTACTTTTTCTTTTAAACGTTGACGTCAACTAGGGCCTATATCGACCGGTATAGGTGTTTACGTATACACGCACATTGGACCTTGCTCGGGCCGCTTTACGTCTGTGGTAGCACCCCTTCATCTATCGTATGTTGTTATGGGTCATTCGTAAAAGTGCAGTCAAAAAGTTATTTCCAAGGAAACATCCAGGTCCGAGCTTATTGATCGCTCTTAAAATGTGCGTGGTTGGTGTCTTGGATACCAACTTAATGACGTATAGATTTGTGTGTCGACAATCGGCCGGGCAGGGGGTGGGAATTGAAAAATCCTGTTACTCTTTGTACGTTGTAAACAATAAATATGTCACATTTGTAGGCCTACGTATGTGATGTACGGTGTGCTTTTGTTTTCTAGTATAGGCATATAATATCCCTTCCCATCAATTCATATCGCTCTAGGCCTACCATTGACCCCTCCAAATCATCCGGGGTTTACGCTCTTGTCATATTAGCTGATTGCTGAGTGTATATCCGCCTCAGATCATTTGGGTAACTCAGTGTACTTGTTGTATTGGTCGAATTAGGAGCCTGAAGTGCGTACGTACTACCTGAGCGCAACTCGCGCGAGCCTGGTGCCACCTCAGAAAACGGCTGTATCACTTTTGGATGACATCGAAAACAAAAATCGACACCCGCTTGGTTATTAAATAAAATACTCCACACATTTTGAATTACTTGCGATTAAATTACGACCCGACAATAATTCAGTTCGGCGCCCCCATGAGAGTCGATTAAAGTCCAAAATCACAATATGGTAGTTTTTCTCGTTGTAATAAAACATATAGGCCTATAGTAAGTTGAAAAAATGTTCATGAGAATTGTTTCTTTTAACTTTCAAAGAACACGGACTGATGTGAACCTTACTAGTCTCCCACAGTCGATCATCAAGACCAAAAGGAAGAAGCAAAATCTCCTTCATAGGCCGCGTTCATATCCAAAATTCCAAATCCATATGCAGCAAGTTGCAAAAGGCGTGGCGATGGTTAATAACGGAGTCTTATATAGCGCACGTATCTACCAACAATTAGGTACTCAAGGCGCTGGAAATTATGTCAATTATTAAAGAAAGGTAAATAAAGTTTATGAGAAATATGAGACCCATTATGTAGCACCTTATAATGGTTTACAAGGTGCTGCGGCGCACATTGCAGCCACTGCCAGAAACACCGGGGCAAACCCCTTCTCTTAGCGATAAGTGTTACTGGGTTCTTTAACGTGCATTACACAACACACGGGACCTACGGCTTTAAGTCCCATCCGAAGGACGAAGCAATACTGGTAAAGTGCCTTGATCAAGAGCACAAGCACCCATGTTCCAACGGTCAGGATTCGAACCCATGGTTATACGGTTATCACAAAAATTACAGAAGTTACAAATTACAATATCTTTGCAATGGATTTCAGTGGGCTTGTTTAATATTGCGGAGGCTAGGCAGGCGGGCTTGGGTAAGTCACAGATCCTCTACACAGTGTAGCGGATCCGTGGGTAGGTGCACAGGGTAGCGAGGACACCTTGTGCGTGGGAAACCAGTAAAAACAACGCACCAGGTCGATATCCTCGTTTGTTTACTCGCCCTGCTGTCACGAAATTAAGATGACAGCTACACAACAACTTCAACATAAATTCTTTCAAATCAAGGCAGAGAAATCAGACTTGCATGAAGAGAGACGGAGATGGAGTGAGAAAAAAAATGGAATAAACTTCTTTTTGACAATTACTTTGTTTCAATGGACAATAATTATTCCCATTCCCCCACACGTTTTGTTTCATTGACATTTACTTTGAACACAGCGGATTTGAACCTACGACATCCGCAATATCTTACGTTGCTCTACCGACAGCTAGCTATCTAGCCCTAGTTTTATCTGAACTTGGTCTGAAACTGAAGCATGTGGACCCTAATTCTGAAACCAAAGACAGAGCTATCTCCATGGAACCATGGTATGATCAAAATTGGGCATTCTTTGTTCGTGCAAAATATACTTTGATTTTAAAGTGACAAAATTTACCACTGCAACAAGAAATTTGGCACATTTCAAGATCTGGTCGACGTGTAGTGCAACCGCTTGTGCCATGCTGGAATTTTCTTAGCGCACATTCTGCCTTCGAAATAAGAATGCTTTTGTTTGTCTTTGCGGACTAAATGAAGTTTTCGTAAGCAAAAAACCGACTATAGTTTTAAAACAAATGGATTAGAAGTGCTGATGTGCGGGCTCCTATTACAGGGATTCCTGTTTAAAATGATTGATTGTATTGGCCCTACATTGTAGCATGCCTTCGGATTTTTAACAACCATCGATACAAATTCTTTGATTCTCAAATGGAAACATTCGTTATTTCTTAACCAGTAAACCTCAGAGAACAGAGCATGTAATCAGTACCTAAACTTTTATGAGTCAAAGAATATTTATGGAAAAGGAGTAGGACCCCCTCCCCAAAAAGAAAATAGATATTGTTCTACTCGTACGACATCAATGAAATCAGAAAACAGTCGTTTTTGAGAGACGTTTTAGATAGTGTTGCACAAGTTTTATTTACATGTAACTCATTTGGATTCTCCATACAAAAATACACACTGAACTGCAAAATAGATCATACAATACTATAAATACATTGGTTGATTTTTTTTGTTTTGCTTACAAAGACATGATCAAATATTCTGACAGCTTGAATCAAGAATTGGTTTTACATAATTAAAGTACACAAAATGCCAACAGGGTTATCATGTCATGTGATTAATTGTCGACATAGATAACAACATTGAGGAAACTGATAGTTCATCTTCTGTTTGTCTAAACGAGGATTTCGCATGCTGTAAAATAAACCCTCGTGTCCACAGTGAAAAACCTTTGTGCTTTGTATAGTGAATGTTCATGGTGTAAATCGAGGACACACACGTGCAACACCATCGATAAATCGAGGACAGAAACCGAATCGAGGACTCCTAAAAAGGAAAATGTGTACAAAACCAATGGGAGCTGTTGCGAAAAAGTACAAACAAAGGAAAAGGGAAGAGGAACAAAAGAACATCCTCGATTTACACTATGTGTGTGTGTGCGTGTGTAAACACCGGCAATCGTAGACGTAGGACAAAAGAATGTGGGCGCAAACAATACGTCCAGGATTGACCGAACGTCCACGATCTCAAATCGTGTACAAAACCAATGAGAGCTGTGGCTAAAAAATTAGAGTACAAACAAAGGAAAGAAGATTAGGGACAATAGGAGTCCACGATTGCCGGCATTTACACACGTGAGTGTGTATGTGTGTGTGAACCAGACCAGTTCAGCATTGTCTCATATATCATTCAATGACTTCTGATAACATTAATTGCACTGCAAAGATACATCTTTCATTCCCCGCATATCTTTCCTGTTGATGACTGTTAAGGAATTCTGCAATCATATCTCTGAGTCCCATGGTCATTCATGACGGGGCATGGCTTGTAATAAATAACAAATAAAGATTTTTTTTTTGGGGGGGGGGGAGTTTATTTATATTGGGACTTGATTTTTCAGGGGCATTTGAAAACCATTTTAGTCCCAAACAGAACTTGATTAGGTTATATCGCCTTTAGCTCCTCTAATATGGGTCCATCATTTTTGATGTAGAAATGAGTCCATGGTCATCTCGCGTAAGATGCTTATTTTACTGGTTTGACCTAAATCACAGAAAGTAAAAAGAGAACAAAAAAGGGTGACACATTGGCATTGTGTTATTAAGGTAGGTGCACAGGGAAGCGAGGACACCTTGTGCGTGGGAAACCAGTAAAAAACAACGCACCAGGTCGATATCCTCGTTTGTTTACTCGCCCTGCTGTCACGAAATTAAGACGACAGCTACATAACAACTTCAACATAAATTCTTCCAAATCAAGGCAGAGAAATCAGACTTGCATGAAGAGAGACGGAGATGGAGTGAGAAAAAAAATGGAATAAACTTCTTTTCGACAATTACTTTGTTTCAATGGACAGTAATTATTCCCATTCCCCCACACGTTGTGTTTCATTGACATTTGCTTTGAAAACAGCGGTTTGAACCTACGACATCCGCAATATCTTACGTTGCTCTACCGACAGCTAGCTATCTAGCCCTAGTTTTATCTGAACTTAGTCTGAAACTGAAGCATGTGGACCCTAATTCTGAAACCAAAGATAGAGCTATCTCCATGGAACCATGGTATGATCAAAATTGGGCATTCTTTGTTCGTGCAAAATATACTTTGATTTTAAAGTGACAAATATTTACCACTGCAACAAGAAATTTGGCACATTTCAAGATTTGGTCGACGTGCAGTGCAACCGCTTGTGCCATGCTGGGATTTTCTTAGCGCACATGCTGCCTTCGGAAATAAGAATGCTTTTGTTTTTCTTTGCGGAATAAATGAAGTTTTCGTAAGCAAAAAACCGACTATAGTTTTAAAACAAACGGATTAGAAGTGCTGATGTGCGGGCTCCTATTACAGGTATTCCTGTTTAAAATTGATCGTATTCAAAGTGGCCCTACATTGTAGCATGCCTTCGGATTTTTAACAACCATCGATACAAACTCTTTGATTCTCAAATGGAAACATTCGTTATTTCTTAACCAGTAAACCTCAGAGAACAGAGCATGTTATCAGTACCTAAACTTTTATGAGTCAAAGAATATTTATGGAAAAGGACCCCCTCCCCCCAAAAAGAAAATAGATATTGTACTACTCGTACGGCATCAATGAAATCAGAAAACAGTCGTTTTTGAGAGACGTTTTAGATAGTGCTTGCACAAGTTTTATTTACATGTAACTCATTTGGATTTCTCCATACAAAAATACACACTGAACTGCAAAATAGATCATACAATACTATAAATACATTGGTTGATTTTTTTTGCTTACAAAGACATGATCAAATATTCTGACAGCTTGAATCAAGAATTGGTTGTTTTGCATAATTAAAGTACACAAAATATCAACAGGTTTATACACAATTGAGGAAACTGATAGTTCATCTTCTGTTTGCCTCATCAACGAGGACTTTGCATGCTCACCATTGACACATATCATTCAATGACTTCTGATAAGTGACAATATAAATTGCACTGCATATCTTTCATTCCCTGCATATCTTTCCTGTTGATGACTATTAAGGAACTCTGGAATAAATATCTGTGTGTCCCATGGTCATTCATGACGGGCATGGTTTGTAATAAATAACAAATAAATAAATCTATTTTTGGCAGGGCACATAATTATTTTCAAGGTTATTTATATCGAGACTTGATTTTTCAGGGGGTTTTGAAAATCTTGCAAAACATACCAAATGGATTCCAGAAAACTAAAAAAATACAACTGTAACAAAATAAGGGCACAAAAATTGGCGAACCATTTTAGTCGCAAACAGAACTTTATTAGGTTTTATCGTCTTCAGCTCCTCTACTAAGGGTCCATCATTTTTGATGTAGTAATGAGTCCACGGTCATCTTGCGTAAGATGCTCATTTCACTGGTTTGACCTAAATCACAGAAAGTAAAAAGAGAACAAAAAAGGGTGACACAATGGCATTGTGTTATTGAGGAGGTAATGGTAGTCATATGGTTATATTTGCACTAATAGTGCATTGTTCATACAACTACACTAAATGTGCTGCCTTATATTTCCTAAAGGGGGCAAAAAGGTACTTTCCTAATGTAAGCGAGTGAAGAAAAAACACTATGAAGAGTTTTTCTGTCATATGCTATTTAACAGAGTGGAAGTTTCTCTCTTAAAGTGAAGTTACACTCTTTAAGAATACCTTTTTACTATGGCCAATTTTGAAGGGAAAAAACCTATAAAAGAGTGAAACTTCCATTCCTTTAAGGAACCATATATGGCAGCCAACTCTTTTAGAGTGGTTTCTCACTATTTTACATTTAGAGAGTACAATGTGTAGCCATTCTCACTTCATTTTTATGATTTTGTTTCCTGCATTCATTACCTGCAAAGTAACAACCATGAAACCAATGGAGTGAATTTTCACTCTTTAGTAATGTACTCTTCGTTAGGACAGAACTGTGACATCAATCCCATGCTGGTTGCACAAAAGATCAGTTAGCATGAGGAAATTTAACGTGTCCTGGTGAGCTTGAATTCAATATGTACAAACTTGTTGCCATAAATTTCAAGAACATTTTCGGAGCAGGTTTAGGGTTCCTTTTGAAGTGAAGGTCAGGAAATTATGATTGTTTCCCATCTAGTGAAAGTTACTGAGTTCCACAGTTTCATACTGTTACAGAAATTGGAGCATATATTCAATTCATTTCATTTTCCCCTTCTTAAACACACGGTTCGAAAAATAAAACTGAACGTCCATTGCTGAAATGACAGCTGCACGAATCGGACATCTACCACCATTTACCACTTTCGTTTTATATCCTAAACTTGTCAGGATATGCACAATGTCAACAATATCAGGCTTATCCCACCCCTTCCAATTGAAAGACTCCCCAGGAGGTAGTTTGGGTTGGGACCAGTGGTCCCTGGTTCATTATTAAACAGAGGTTATATTTAACGAGAATTCCTCGAAAAGTTTAAGTATAGCTATGATTGTCAACAATGACCAATTATGCCCAGGAACCCTGACAGACAGGGGTGCGTGCGGGAAGGTATTGTGCACTGAGGGTGCGCTGTATGGAGGTGATCACTGAAGCAAGTCGCTTTACAAAGTACAGGAAGTCCAAAGTCAAAGGCATACATGTAAATGCCTCCAGTGGCTATTGGGAAGGTGTATTTGTTTGGTCCCTGTAGTTCATGCTGGGAAGCTGAGCTCATGCACTTTTTGGGTGTGAAAACTGTGAACATGTTGGCATATTGGAATCTGTTACAAGCTTTGCTGATATCTCCATGTTTGGATAATCAATGAATAGGGCACAAGTTGTACAAACGTTTATACTGAAGCTTTGAAATCCCCCATTAGTCCATTTTGTAGAAGAGAAATCATAGTCTGTTAATTTGTAAACATAACTTATCTTGCAAAAAAGCATTTCGTGTTGCTGGCGAGAATTTTTTTTTAAGTTTCATTAAAATTATTCTCACCCAAATGATCTTGACCTTTTTCCATGTAGCTTCAAAACCAACAACATTCAGCAACCTATACCTTCTCACAAAGTTCATTTCCAAAAATTGCAAGACAAGTTATCCCAGTTATATTATAAATTGCAAAAGATGTATGTGTGTATGCAGCAGGCGCAATGGACTCATTTTCTAAGCCTCATTTTCTATAACCCCACGAAGAAGCCTGAGCCCTTCGGGGCGGCATTGCTAAACATATGACTCTCTGCAAATGTAGCTTCTGTTCATTTCACAGAGACTTTAGCAGTCAGCCCAGCAAAGAGCAAACTTACATTAGAGGCAACAGTTGCTTTAAAAAGTGCCACAAGATCAGAAATCTCCATGTGCCTTGTGAGCATAACCCTCCCATGCAAACAGACATGTTCTCTGCCAAGTGGTCCTTCAGTGAAAAATCAATCAAGTGACTGTTTTCAACAGTTAAGAATTTGTGATGCGATCAAGCTAATCGGAAAATCAAGCTTGTCGGGAATTTTTATGTGGAGATACAGGCCAAAATAGGGCCACTTCATCACATCACTTCATCACATCTCTTGGTGTTCCGACTTACATTATTTTTGAACTAAAGATGGTATCAGCATGCAGTTTTCACAGCAGTAATGCTGAGATTGTGCTCTTTCGAAATCTGTAATAAATTTTTTTTTGACCAGGGTCGACAAACGACTCATGTAGCTTGATCGCATCACATTTCCAGCCTTCATAAAGCAGGACTCACTGGCTGGGACTGTTCAAAGCCACGTCGAATAGTTTGCGATTACCCGGAAAAGTACCTACTAATTTAATGACAGAAACCTTTCCCAAAGTGAAACCTAGGACTGATATCAAATACGCTGTAAAATTATCCTACCTGAATGGTATCATTCAGAATCAAATGTGGTTTTAGCAAATGTGCCTGCGGGCAGGTTTATATTTTTTTTAAATTTTTTTACATGCGTTAACAACGGAATCCAGTTATGAGACCCTTCTTTGTTTTCTCATAATACATACATTGTAAAAAAAGCAAATGATTCTCCACGTATGCACCTTTCACTGAATTTGCATGGCCAGAGCATCTTTGCATGAGTGGAAACTTATATGGATATGCTAGCTACATAGGCAAGTGTTTCTAGGATTAACAGCCAGCTATTTTACCTCTGACAGTTCAAATATACAGTTGACGGGGGTAGAAAACAATCCCAGTTTCCTACACAAGGCTGCAATGCGCCTTGCCTCCAAACTAAAACACATCTCAAACTATATCGTGAAGCACTGCTTCACCAGTTACCTAAAATCATCTGACTTTGATCAATTCACTTCAAAACCAAATTGGCAAATATCTTACAAAATGATGATAATTCCAAGCACTGAAAACCAAAACCAAATCCATTGGTTGCTGTTTGGCAAAGGTCACAGTGCAAACCTACTTCCTAAAACTGAATGAGAGACTTGTCTGATATCATTCACGAGGCACGCAATGTTAGCTTTGTATTGTTCACCCAAGTGAAGATAAATTCCAAGCACTCAAACCAATCCATTGGTTACTGTTTGGCAAAGGCCACAGCAGAAACCTACTTTGTCCTCCAATTCAATGACAGAATTATCTGAAATCATCCATGTGACATATTCAGTGTTAGCTATGTACTGTTCAAAGAGGGTGGCTCTATGGGTTATCACTGAATTACTTCCCAAGTTGTGGGTACAAGGTATAAAGTGCAACGCAAGGACATGATACCGATAAACCAAAGGGCAAGGTACCGGGTAGACCACATGTATGTAAAGATTGGAACAGGTCAAATGCTGTGTTACAGCTGATACACACTGGACCACCTCCACTGGTATTAGTTTAGCTCCAGGAAATTGCCTGGAGCTTATCCCTTACAAAAATGTCCCATGGGGATGTCCCATGGACCCCATGGGAAACCGATGTGGAGAGTGGTGAGGTAGGGTTCGTCAAGTCAGCGTCATGATTGTCGAGTCCGAGTCTTTTGCCGATGTGACTCAAGTCAAGTCTGAGTCACCCAAATTGCAACTCGAGAAAGACTCGAGTTCGAGGCTTAGACTCGAGTTCTACAACATTGGAAATGGTAAAAGTAGAGGTGGGGAGTCCTGTAAACTACCTGACTTTAATACTATTCTTATCTTGGTAAACTGGCATTTCACTCTTTGGTATTGGATTGAAATGCTAGAGAGTCATGTCAATCCAGTGTGTTGGATTGGTCTGAAAACCTAGTATGGGGAAAAAGAGTCCTGGAGATTAAATGAGGACGGAGCAAGAAGATAGTTTAGCTCTTTTTTTTCAATCCACACTTTTGTTCTCTTGATGCAGTTTCTGAGACCGATTTGGAAGGAAATACATTGTAAGGAAATGCCAGGCTTACCTAATATGATTTAGATATCAGCTTAATACAGTAGGGAACAATTTGGAGCAATTGTTTATTTCTCACTGTTCATTTTATTTTTAGTCAGAATATGTGTTTTTGTACAATTTTATAAAAACAAGCTATCGTTTTTTTTTTGATCAAACGTTATGGAAATGACTGTTATATTCGTGTTGGAAAGGGGAATATGTTCTATATGTTTCTCGAAATTTCTAAGGCATGTAAGAACCATTTAACTGAAATATTCTCTATTATCATTTTATTATTCAACACACTGCCAAATCTAGAGTCATCAGTTTATCTCAGCAATGACAAATGAAGTGATTCGAATCCTCACCATGATTAATGCCACCCTATACAACTCAATTTACCAGAGTAAACATTGTGTCGACAGTATCAGGCTTGTCAGCACTAGCCTAGCCACTGTGAGTACAAAGTCACCATATTTTTAGTTTGGTTCCTAGTCCACTATTTGGAGGGCCTATATCTAGCATTATCTACCTCAGGGACAGTTGTCTTTGAAAAGTTTCAACTTGTAAAGTCAGCAATGAACAACTATATTCACAGACCTGGGGGAAATATAAGACACGGTACAGTTCCCATCCCACTGAGGGTATTGCATGGGAGCAATCACTGAAGTAGTTCCCTTTTATTGGACTCACAAAGTGTACAAAGTCATACGACCAGTGGCACACCCAGGATTTGGCTGGGGGGGGGGGGGGGAGGTTTCCACACTTTTTTTCAAATTGTTTAAAGGTTAAATTTTTTTCAAAAATCTTGCCCAAAATTTTTGGCCACAGAATTGTTTTTTTTTTTTCACGGACTATTTTCACGTTAGTGGTGCCACTTACACCCCTATTTTACTACTCGAAAATAGGCCACATACATATATCACCAAGGTCAAATTGTGGGACTAAAAAAATGAATTACCCCCCCCCCCCAAAGTTTGACAACCTCTTTTCGATTGCCAGATTTATTGATATTTGTAATCCAGGGCCTCACACAATTTGGGGGGGGGGGGGGGTGGTGAGTGGTTGTGCGCCACTTTGCTTGCTAAAGCACAAAGCTACCAACATAATGCCGGAAATTAAACCACTTCATTCCAAATCGTGAGTGGGCTGTCTGTATTGTGACTTGTGAGCACCATATTGTTGAAGTGCACCGTGGGTGGTTGTGGGCGGTTGTGGGAACTTTTCTGATATGCAATGGACAAAGAGTGTTTTGTTGCATGGTACCTTAAGTTGCACGACAAGGGCAAGGTACAAACAGTCCAGGTCTCTGATGACACAGATGAGCAGCAATGCATGAAATGAAGCCAATCCCTGCATTCCACCATTGAGAATTTCTTAGAAGTACACCCTATTCATCATAGTTTATGATTGATGCCTAACCTAATTCTCAAGTGTTTTATTTTCCTCAGAACCCTGTCATTCAAATAAGATTTTTAGTGGTAAACTGCATTTACAACCATTTGTAAAACTTGTCTCGGATTAGGGATGTAACAACAACACACCACTTTGACAATAAGACAGAGAGTTTTTATTCTTATTATTTAATCCGTCAGTGCCATAAGCTTGTTTCTAACTGAAAGGTCCACTGAGGTTTTTAAAAAAACCAATGCAGCCATTTTTAGAAAGATATAATTCAGTTGAATATTTCTGAAGTTCTGGTTGGTATCGTTGTAATCCATGTATACAGTGGCTGAATACACATTACTAATGGAAGAACAACATTACCGATGCTAACATGCATTATTATTAAAACAAAGTAAACTGTACCATTTACATTGTTGTATCGCAACATTCTTTCTACATAATTACATATGCATTGATGAACTTTCAGTCCTCTGAGATATTAAACTTATTGTTAAAGTTTATTCAGAAAGGAACTACATGTATTGTGATCCCCCACCCCAAAAACCAGCTGAGATATTTTATGAAGCGTATTGGCTATCGTTACGGCAGCCGTAACGTAATTTTCAACTGCTATCGTTACAGCATTGCAAAACCACCATTGTGAATCACATATGCTGTATTTAACATTTATAACTGCCCTTCCAACCAGAGCACTTTGGACACTCGATTGGTTTATTGAAGTAAGCTTCATTTTTTTTCCTAAGTGATCCATGGCTTTGGAGGACTTTATTAAAAACGGAAAAAGAAGTCCAAAAACCATTTGGATGATAGTCTGGTTCCAAGAGCCAAAGATCGTGACGGTGAACATGTTGAATATTGTCAGGTCAGGGAACCAAACAGTCAACTGTTATAACGATAGCTACTGCTAAATCCAGTTATTACTGCACTTATGAAAAGGGACGGTTCGTAAAACTTTCAGGGGAAACATAACAGCACTTCCAAATGAAAAGTAAGAAATAAAAATGAGAAACTGCTGTATTCAGTGTGTCATATTCCCTCCTTTGGGGTAACATTTGCAATATTAAAATATGACCAACATGACCAATGGGAGATAAATGATAAATGGAGGTCTAAAGAGATGTGAAATACTTGAAAAATGAAGGCAGAAATCACATTTTCAAGATGTAAAATGGGGGAAAAACTCCTCAATACCTGCTCATAATAATAAGAACTTTTGCTGGGGGGGGGGGGGGGGCAGTGGGTCGGGAAGTGGGGGGGGGGGGGGGGGAGAGGTGAGGAAGTAGAAGGGGAGGGGTGGTTAGGGGGAGGGGGACTACAAATCGTTGGGGCTAGATCTTCTGACCTTTAAATGCAAGCATTGCCATACAATGCTTGATCTTGTCACAAGTTTTTCAAAAATAATGCGACAATTGTAGTTCTTACCTCCTTGAGATATATGTTGAAAGCAATGTGCACAAATTCATCTTTTGTCATCGTCCGTCTGCGTTCATTCTGACTGGCCAATAACATCTGAGTCATTTGAGATAAGAAAGAGAACAAAACTTGTGATCCTGCCTTCCTTAAACTTGTTCAAAGCTTGTTCAAAACTTGTTCAATTTCTTCTCAGTCAAGAGAGGGCGCTCTTGTGAGTTGACATCAAGTCAAGTACATGTTTGTTTTTTTACTTGTCCCAAGTTTTTCAAACATTTTTAGCCTCTGAAGAAGAACATGTTAAAGCTACTGTCCATCATTTGCAGCTGTCCAAAAAGTAACTGATGTAATTATTGTTGAAAAGCATACTTGGTTGAAAGATAGTAATGGGACTAATCTCCCTGTGAAATGATTCTTTCTGGAAGTTGTCTTTTTGAAAAAAAAAAACAATGAAAGAAAGCCATTTCCAATGATGCGTCTAAAGACGCATTCTTGGAACTTTCTGTTACTTGTTCGCTTTTAGTTCGGCGAAGCGCGCGCAAGCGTTGACATGACGCGCACACGCGCGCGGTTGCTATAATTCGTCGGTTCAGTGCGCGACATCACGTAGCTGCAATCGGCTCAGTGAGAATGTGTCTCGGACGCTGAATTCAGGCCCAATTCAAAACATGACTCAGCAACTTTTGATTTGAAATTGAGATCCTAGAATATTATTTTCTCGGAATATACAGCATTCACTGAACTTGTTCGGCACCCATCTTCAGATCTTGAGCACTTTTGTTGCCTCTACTGAACATAATGCACAAATTACAAATGATGGACTCTACCTTTTAAGTTTGCAACTTCAGGCAGCATTAATTTTTTACATTGGTACATTTCGGGTAAATCCGTTCAGTAAGCAGTTTGCAGTAGTCCTATTCATTTTCACACGTTTATGTTATGACATCCCCGATAGTCATTCTTTTTGGTATATGCACAAGCCACTTACGTGATTTCAACTTGACTGTTGTGTTTTTTCATTCACAAATCTGGATACAAGTTGCAAATAGTTTCACTTCAAAATTAAAGTTGCAACAGAAACCATAGTTTGGCCTAATCTGTACTAATATAATGCTGTGAGCAATGAGTGTTGCCATAGGGCAAGGAAAGGTTGTCCAAAGAGTTTACTTGCTTGTTTCTTTTATTTAATTTTGAACATTTTTTTAAACTTGACAAAGTGATTTCAAATGTGCCAATTGCAAGCTAGGCTTGACATACAAAGCACCTCAAAAGAATTACTTTCTGAGTTTTCGTTTGTGCAAAAATATAAGAGATTCCAATATGCTCGAAAAAGAGATTGTGAAAATTAGTTACCTCTAATAAGGAGTCGGTTATCACTTCATTGGTAAGCTTTGATCCTGCAGTCAAAATTCTGTCAATAAAAAAATAAAATCATTCAGTACTAAAAGAATCCTGATCCATAAACAGGCCCACACTAAGCTGACAAAAACGGTGTCCAAATTCCATAACGTACAGGCTGGAGTTATGTCGTCAGTGGTAGTACTTTCAAAGGGAAATTAGGGGTTCTGCCAACAATCTGAAAAGTTTCCCCTAATTTCTTTTTTTTAGCAGCAACATTACAATAAGTACAAACTTCAATGTACTGCAAACAAATGACGATGAGCCAATCAGCATGCAGTGCCATGCGTGAAGCGCAAGTTGAACGCGCGCTAGAGTTCCACACGCGCGCGGCAGACACAGTTGCTAGAATCGATTAGCATAGCTGCAGTTGATCAACTTCAGATTGGTCAATGGCTTACGTGTATTGCATAGGTACATACAGTAAAATTATGTGAATTTCATTTAAATTTGGGTCGGATATTCATTAGGGTCGACAGCAACTAGCTGTGCAGTTACTTCATGAATAAACTACATGAGTGACAGTCAAATAGACAGCCTTTGGAGACCATCTGGCCTGGAGGAGAGACTGTATTGCAGACAGCGCCTGAGACTCACACGAAGACGCTATGGCTCTTTGAACATTCAAAATAAAATACGTTATACGTACTTAAAGCAATACGTGTTCAAACCAGTCCATGCACACGGTGTCCCATCCAAGGGTAAGTTCTATCAAGGACTAATGGTTAACCAGGTGGTGGTTCGTGACGTACCTAGCGCATGCGCACTAAAGTTGACGTGCAAACGACTGTAGTCGAACTATTGTCATTAACGACCATAAGAAAATTGCAGTCAACCCATTTGGACGTTTCTGTTTATTTACACAAATAATAGTGATTGTGTATTTAGAACACCTTAAGTACATAATCTCCATATATAACAATAGTGACAAAAGTGACAGATTCGTAAACTAATATGGAAAAAATATGCAATGAAAATGAGATTTAGCACTCACAGTTTTCGTTTGCCACCATTTTTGCTGACAGCTGGTTCCCTTTGCACTATGCTATGAAAAATTGCTATTGATAACCAGCTATGTGTATATCGTGGCGCGACCAACCGCGGTACAACCATCGTCGACTAGCATGCATTCTATCAGAGTTAGTCAAACTATGGTTAACTATAGTTCTTGATTAAACTTGCCCAAGTGGCTCTTGATACAGGTCAAAAAGCACCCTTGTTCATGTATGGAATGCACGTACTGCGTTAACCCATTGCATCAGCTCCATGCTGTTATCTCACCCAGTGCATGATGCAAATTATTGTGTCAAACATGTAAACATGTCAATGCACAGTCCGTCTTACTGTTCAGAAATCAGGTTCAACTTACGAGATAGGATCAGTTGTCTTGACGGACAGTGCATCTTGTAGTTCCTGTAGCATGGTGGTGGCCAGTTCATGATCAACTACACCCTTGCTCTGATGGGTCGTCAACAGCTGAAATAATTCCTCAGTCTGTTTCAAATAATCTTTAATGTGAGAGAAAAATAAAACACTCAGTTTGTGACCATCTTTTACCTATGGGACGAGTCAAAAAAGCAGAACACAAACCCCTACAAATATATTTCATATTTATACAAAATATGTAGCACCAAACATAATAATTACTGGAAAGCCAATTGTATATAAGCTACTTTTAGATGAAAAAAATTACTAAAATTGCTCAATCCGTTGAAAGAATATCACCATTTAAATGCAATGACCCTAAAACCTGTTTCGTCCAAAAATAAAAAAGAGCAGTTTATTGTGTATTCAGACTGTTTGGAACACAAAGAAAATGACACAGAATACTTGTTTCAACAACTGTCAACAACTGTAGTACACAATAGCTTTATTAACAACCCTGGTTAGGCAAACAATATGATTTTAAAAAATCCACTTTTTGTAAAAGACGGGCCTTCAAAAGGGCTTTGTTGAACATTTTCTACCTTTAAACTGAGGTTTTATCACTGGTGATGTTTGAAGACAATTGTGACGACGATTCTTGAAATCGCATTTTTGGACGAAAGCCGAGGTTTTAGTGACTTTCAACGGATTGAGCAGTTTCAGTAATTTTTTCATCTGAAAGTAGCTTATTGTAGAAATTGGCTTTCCAGTCATTATGTTTGGTGCTACATGTACATATTTTTTTAAATATGAAATATAACTTTTTTGGTTTGGGTTCTGCTTTTTTGGACTCATCCTGTATAAATTTAAGGGTTTATGACAGATAGGATTCAGATTTTTGTTGCCTTCATGCAGCAAACCACGCAGTATGCAAATTAGCTTGAATATAGCGTGACTAAGATTTGCTCAAAATTTCATGGGTTGTCAGAGTGCCAAAGTTCCAAAGGCTGGATTTGATTCTTTTTGTTGATAGCACCTTCTACCACTGCTGGGGCTTGACCACGATGGCCATGGAACAGGGCTGGCTATGTTGGGGGAAGAAAATTCAAATGCAGTCTTGGACCGAGACTAGTGACTAGTGTCAATCGGTGTTGTACATGTAATCGAGTACTTTTATCAGAGTACAAAGTACTGCCAAGTACCACTCGCATCTGAGTACTTTGACCCTAGAGAAGAGTACAGATGCCCCAGTCCGAGTAAAAGTACGAGTACTTAGACCTCCGAGTACGACTAATGGGGTACTCAAGTGAACTGAAAACATGGATGTAATAGACTACTTTTGAGCAAGACTTCTTGAAAGCCAAAACTAAATTTCTTGATTCCCCCCCCCACGAATCCTTTTAATTGAGTACAAGTGCTTTGATGATGGAGTATACCAAAAAGTCAAGTGCTGTTCCAGCACTTTGCTTCTCGAGTACGACTACCATGAATTCAAGTACGAGTACGATATTTGAGAACGCATACTCAACTACTGGAGTTGTACTTGAGTGTGAGTACTGAGTACTCGAGTACTACAATAATGAGTATCATACATGAACTTACCAATGAGTACAAATGCCGCCACAACTCCAGAATGAAAAATGTCAGGATATATGACTTCCTCATCACGTGGTCCAATCTTGTTGAGCAAATGCTCACAGAATGTAGCTGGAATGTTTCTACCAAGATGGAGAGAAAAGAAGCCCATGACAAATCAATTTGGGTAGTAATGAACTTTTTCCATGATTTTCCATGGTTCCTATAAATCACATCAATGCACTGGAAGAAAGTAGTTGCTGTCTAGTTTGAATACGTCAGTACAGTTGTTCTTGACTCCCTCATTAAAAAAAAATTCAAATTGCAGATTTTTGCAGTTTTAATTAGCTTTAAAACTTGCAAAAAAGGGGACTATTTCAAATATTAGTATGCTAAGAACCGAAAGCCTACACAGATTCACAATTTTTTTTCTAAATGTTTTTATAAGTTTGAATTTTTTCAAAAATGTTGCCCAACATTTTTGGTCTCAGAAAATATAGTTTTTGTTAATTTTTTTTTTTTTTTAACATTGGTGGTGCCATTTACACCCCTATTATACTACTCAAAAATTTGCCATGTATCCATATCACTACGGTCAAATCATGGGACTAAAAAACAAAAATTGACCCCCCCCCAAAAAAAAAACCCCAACCAATTTGAAAGCCTCGGGGGTGGGGGGGGGGGGGGGGGCTCTTAACCTCTAGATTTTGACCAATCGGCGAGTGCTTTCTATATCGGGTCTCATCATGGATATCTATCAATAAAACCTAGACATGCTGAGAATTGAGTAAACAAGTCTGCGGTCACGCGCTCTGTAACGATATGTTACGCGATATGCCGGCAATAATAGAACTGGCAAATCACGGTCGGGACTAGGTTTTGAAGATCTATATGCGCGCTCGGTCGTTGTTGTATTTCAAAAACACTGCATCTGAATCGACCAATCACAGTTTTAGTCCTGATTTGGGAATGAAATGGCGTCACAAACTAGTAAAGGCGTCGCATAAAGTTGCATTCCTAGATAAATTAGACGTTTGACCGGAGATAGGGTGCCATGGAGAACGAGTGATACTCAGACTACTACCTACTGTGCGCAACACTATATTATCCTTGCCTATTACAATGGCGACGCTGGGTCACTTGGGTCAGTGATGAGAAAGCCCTATTGACCAATGTAGATGAAGGTATTAATCATTTAACATATACCCAAGCTGTTACCTGCATATCAAATTGAGAACGTCTCTGTAAGCACTGCCCATCAGTCCAGCTGGTGTTCTAGATCCTGCTGGCACACAAACAAGGGAATAATAACATAGTCCAAATGAAATCAATTAATACAAATTAATTGAAGTTGGCTTTTGGGCTGAATCAAATTCATGAATTTTATAGTACGTCTTGTTGAAATAGCAATCCAGGCACGTGATCACTGTACACAAACCAACACATTTCACAAGCGACAAAGAAGAGACTGTGACGGTGAAAAGACTGACAAGAAGAGACTGTGACGGTGAAGAGACTGACACAAAGAGACTGTGACGGTGAAGAGACTGACAAGAAGAGACTGTGACGGTGAAGAGACTGACACGAAGAGACTGTGACGGTGAAGAGGCTGACAAGAAGAGACTGTGACGATGAAGAGACTGACAAGAGGAGACTGTGACGGTGAAGAGACTGACAAGAAGAGACTGTGACGGTGAATAGACTGACACGAAGAGACTGCGACGGTGAAGAGACTGACAAGAAGAGACTGTGATGGTGAAGAGACTGACAAGAAGAGACTGTGACGGTGAAGAGACTGACACGAAGAGACTGTGACGGTGAAGAGACTGACAAGAAGAGTCTGTGACGGTGAAGAGACTGACACGAAGAGACTGTGACGGTGAAGAGACTGACAAGAAGAGACTGTGACGGTGAAGAGACTGACACAAAGAGACTGTGACGGTGAAGAGACTGACACGAAGAGACTGTGACGGTGAAGAGACTGACAAGAAGAGACTGTGACGGTGAAGAGACTGACACAAAGAGACTGTGACGGTGAAGAGACTGACAAGAAGAGTCTGTGACGGTGAAGAGACTGACAAGAAGAGACTGTGACGGTGAAGAGACTGACAAGAAGAGACTGCGACGGTGAAGAGACTGACAAGAAGAGACTGTGACGGTGAAGAGACTGACAAGAAGAGACTGTGACGGTGAAGAGACTGACAAGAAGAGTCTGTGACGGTGAAGAGACTGACACGAAGAGACTGTGACGGTGAAGAGACTGACAAGAAGAGACTGTGACGGTGAAGAGACTGACAAGAAGAGACTGCGACGGTGAAGAGACTGACACGAAGAGACTGCGACGGTGAAGAGACTGACAAGAAGAGACTGTGACGGTGAAGAGACTGACAAGAAGAGACTGTGACGGTGAAGAGACTGACAAGAAGAGACTGTGACGGTGAAGAGACTGACAAGAAGAGACTGTGACGGTGAAGAGACTGACACGAAGAGACTGCGACGGTGAAGAGACTGACAAGAAGAGACTGTGACGGTGAAGAGACTGACAAGAAGAGACTGTGACGGTGAAGAGACTGACAAGAAGAGACTGTGACGGTGAAGAGACTGACAAGAAGAGACTGCGACGGTGAAGAGACTGACAAGAAGAGACTGTGACGGTGAAGAGACTGACACGAAGAGACTGTGACGGTGAAGAGACTGACACGAAGAAAGAGACTGTGACGGTGAAGAGACTTACAAGAAGAGACTGTGACGGTGAAGAGACTGACACGAAGAGACTGTGACGGTGAAGAGACTTACAAGAAGAGACTGTGACGGTGAAGAGACTGACAAGAAGAGACTGTGACAGTGAAGAGACTGACAAGAAGAGACTGTGACGGTGAAGAGACTGACACGAAGAGACTGCGACGGTGAAGAGACTGACAAGAAGAGACTGTGACGGTGAAGAGACTGACACGAAGAGACTGTGACGGTGAAGAGACTGACAAGAAGAGACTGTGACGGTGAAGAGACTGACACAAAGAGTCTGTGACGGTGAAGAGACTGACAAGAAGAGACTGTGACGGTGAAGAGACTGACACGAAGAGACTGTGACGGTGAAGAGACTGACAAGAAGAGACTGTGACGGTGAAGAGACTGACACGAAGAGACTGCGACGGTGAAGAGACTGACAAGAAGAGACTGTGACGGTGAAGAGACTGACACGAAGAGACTGCGACGGTGAAGAGACTGACAAGAAGAGTCTGTGACGGTGAAGAGACTGACACGAAGAGACTGCGACGGTGAAGAGACTGACACGAAGAGACTGTGACGGTGAAGAGACTGACAAGAAGAGACTGTGACGGTGAAGAGACTGACACGAAGAGACTGTGACGGTGAAGAGACTGACAAGAAGAGACTGCGACGGTGAAGAGACTGACAAGAAGAGACTGTGACGGTGAAGAGACTGACACGAAGAGACTGTGACGGTGAAGAGACTGACAAGAAGAGACTGTGACGGTGAAGAGACTGACACGAAGAGACTGTGACGGTGAAGAGACTGACAAGAAGAGTCTGTGACGGTGAAGAGACTGACACGAAGAGACTGTGACGGTGAAGAGACTGAAAAGAAGAGACTGTGACGGTGAAGAGACTGACAAGAAGAGACTGTGACGGTGAAGAGACTGACAAGAAGAGACTGTGACGGTGAAGAGACTGACAAGAAGAGACTGTGACGGTGAAGAGACTGACAAGAAGAGACTGTGACGGTGAAGAGACTGACAAGAAGAGACTGTGACGGTGAAGAGACTGACAAGAAGAGACTGTGACGGTGAAGAGACTGACAAGAAGAGACTGTGTCGGTGAAGAGACTGACACGAAGAGACTGCGACGGTGAAGAGACTGACACGAAGAGACTGTGACGGTGAAGAGACTGACACGAAGAGACTGTGACGGTGAAGAGACTGACACGAAGAGTCTGTGACGGTGAAGAGACTGACAAGAAGAGTCTGTGACGGTGAAGAGACTGACAAGAAGAGACTGTGACGGTGAAGAGACTGACACGAAGAGACTGTGACGGTGAAGAGACTGACAAGAAGAGACTGTGACGGTGAAGAGACTGACAAGAAGAGACTGTGACGGTGAAGAGACTGACACGAAGAGACTGTGACGGTGAAGAGACTGACACGAAGAGACTGTGACGGTGAAGAGACTGACAAGAAGAGACTGTGACGGTGAAGAGACTGACAAGAAGAGTCTGTGACGGTGAAGAGACTGACAAGAAGAGACTGTGACAGTGAAGAGACTGACACGAAGAGACTGTGACGGTGAAGAGACTGACAAGAAGAGACTGTGACGGTGAAGCGACTGACACGAAGAGACTGTGACGGTGAAGAGACTGACAAGAAGAGACTGTGACGGTGAAGAGACTGACAAGAAGAGACTGTGACGGTGAAGCGACTGACACGAAGAGACTGTGACGGTGAAGAGACTGACACGAAGAGACTGTGACGGTGAAGAGACTGACAAGAAGAGACTGTGACGGTGAAGAGACTGACAAGAAGAGACTGTGATGGTGAAGAGACTGACAAGAAGAGACTGTGACGGTGAAGAGACTGACACGAAGAGACTGTGACGGTGAAGAGACTGACAAGAAGAGACTGTGTCGGTGAAGAGACTGACAAGAAGAGACTGTGTCGGTGAAGAGACTGACTGGAAGAGACTGTGACGGTGAAGAGACTGACACGAAGAGACTGTGACGGTGAAGAGACTGACAAGAAGAGACTGTGACGGTGAAGAGACTGACAAGAAGAGACTGTGACGGTGAAGAGACAGACAAGAAGAGACTGTGACGGTGAAGAGACTGTGACGGTGAAGAGACTGTGACGGTGAAGAGACAGACAAGAAGAGACTGTGACGGTGAAGAGACTGACAAGAAGAGACTGTGATGGTGAAGAGACTGACACGAAGAGACTGTGACGGTGAAGAGACTTACAAGAAGAGACTGTGACGGTGAAGAGACTGACAAGAAGAGACTGTTTACGGTGAAGAGACTGACAAGAAGAGACTGTGACGGTGAAGAGACTTACAAGAAGAGACTGTGATGGTGAAGAGACTGACAAGAAGAGACTGTGACGGTGAAGAGACTGACAAGAAGAGACTGTGACGGTGAAGAGACTGACACGAAGAGACTGTGACGGTGAAGACACTTACAAGAAGAGACTGTGACGGTGAAGAGACTGACAAGAAGAGACTGTGACGGTGAAGAGACTGACAAGAAGAGACTGTGACGGTGAAGAGACTGACACGAAGAGACTGTGACGGTGAAGAGACTTACAAGAAGAGACTGTGACGGTGAAGAGACTGACAAGAAGAGACTGTGACAGTGAAGAGACTGACACGAAGAGACTGTGACGGTGAAGAGACTGACACGAAGAGACTGTGACGGTGAAGAGACTGACAAGAAGAGACTGTGACGGTGAAGAGACTGACACGAAGAGACTGTGACGGTGAAGAGACTGACACGAAGAGACTGTGACGGTGAAGAGACTGACAAGAAGAGACTGTGACAGTGAAGAGACTGACACGAAGAGACTGTGACGGTGAAGAGACTGACACGAAGAGACTGTGACGGTGAAGAGACTGACAAGAAGAGACTGTGACGGTGAAGAGACTGACACAAAGAGACTGTGACGGTGAAGAGACTGACAAGAAGAGACTGTGACGGTGAAGAGACTGACACGAAGAGACTGTGACGGTGAAGAGACTGACAAGAAGAGACTGTGACGGTGAAGAGACTGACACGAAGAGACTGTGACGGTGAAGAGGCTGACAAGAAGAGACTGTGACGGTGAAGCGACTGACACGAAGAGACTGTGACGGTGAAGAGACTGACACGAAGAGACTGTGACGGTGAAGAGACTTACAAGAAGAGACTGTGACGGTGAAGAGACTGACAAGAAGAGACTGTGACGGTGAAGCGACTGACACGAAGAGACTGTGACGGTGAAGAGACTGACAAGAAGAGACTGTGACGGTAAAGAGACTGACAAGAAGAGACTGTGACGGTGAAGAGACTGACACAAAGAGACTGTGACGGTGAAGAGACTGACAAGAACAGACTGTGACGGTGAAGAGACTGACAAGAAGAGACTGTGACGGTGAAGAGACTGACACAAAGAGACTGTGACGGTGAAGAGACTGACAAGAAGAGACTGTGACGGTGAAGAGACTGACACAAAGAGACTGTGACGGTGAAGAGACTGACAAGAAGAGACTGTGACGGTGAAGCGACTGACACGAAGAGACTGTGACGGTGAAGAGACTGACAAGAAGAGACTGTGACGGTGAAGAGACTGACACAAAGAGACTGTGACGGTGAAGAGGCTGACAAGAAGAGACTGTGACGGTGAAGCGACTGACACGAAGAGACTGTGACGGTGAAGAGACTGACACGAAGAGACTGTGACGGTGAAGAGACTTACAAGAAGAGACTGTGACGGTGAAGAGACTGACACGAAGAGACTGTGACGGTGAAGAGGGTGACAAGAAGAGACTGTGACGGTGAAGAGACTTACAAGAAGAGACTGTGACGGTGAAGAGACTGACAAGAAGAGACTGTGACAGTGAAGAGACTGACACGAAGAGACTGTGACGGTGAAGAGACTGACACGAAGAGACTGTGACGGTGAAGAGACTGACAAGAAGAGACTGTGACGGTGAAGAGACTGACACGAAGAGACTGTGACGGTGAAGAGACTGACACGAAGAGACTGTGACGGTGAAGAGACTGACAAGAAGAGACTGTGACAGTGAAGAGACTGATACGAAGAGACTGTGACGGTGAAGAGACTGACACGAAGAGACTGACGGTGAAGAGACTGACAAGAAGAGACTGTGACGGTGAAGAGACTGACACAAAGAGACTGTGACGGTGAAGAGACTGACAAGAAGAGACTGTGACGGTGAAGAGACTGACACGAAGAGACTGTGACGGTGAAGAGACTGACAAGAAGAGACTGTGACGGTGAAGAGACTGACACGAAGAGACTGTGACGGTGAAGAGGCTGACAAGAAGAGACTGTGACGGTGAAGCGACTGACACGAAGAGACTGTGACGGTGAAGAGACTGACACGAAGAGACTGTGACGGTGAAGAGACTTACAAGAAGAGACTGTGACGGTGAAGAGACTGACACGAAGAGACTGTGACGATGAAGAGGGTGACAAGAAGAGACTGTGACGGTGAAGAGACTGACAAGAAGAGACTGTGACGGTGAAGCGACTGACACGAAGAGACTGTGACGGTGAAGAGACTGACAAGAAGAGACTGTGACGGTAAAGAGACTGACAAGAAGAGACTGTGACGGTGAAGAGACTGACACAAAGAGACTGTGACGGTGAAGAGACTGACAAGAAGAGACTGTGACGGTGAAGAGACTGACAAGAAGAGACTGTGACGGTGAAGAGACTGACACAAAGAGACTGTGACGGTGAAGAGACTGACACGAAGAGACTGTGATGGTGAAGAGACTTACAAGAAGAGACTGTGACGGTGAAGAGACTGACACAAAGAGACTGTGACGGTGAAGAGACTGACAAGAAGAGACTGTGACGGTGAAGCGACTGACACGAAGAGACTGTGACGGTGAAGAGACTGACAAGAAGAGACTGTGACGGTGAAGAGACTGACACGAAGAGACTGTGACGGTGAAGAGGCTGACAAGAAGAGACTGTGACGGTGAAGCGACTGACACGAAGAGACTGTGACGGTGAAGAGACTGACACGAAGAGACTGTGACGGTGAAGAGACTTACAAGAAGAGACTGTGACGGTGAAGAGACTGACACGAAGAGACTGTGACGGTGAAGAGGGTGACAAGAAGAGACTGTGACGGTGAAGAGACTGACAAGAAGAGACTGTGACGGTGAAGCGACTGACACGAAGAGACTGTGACGGTGAAGAGACTGACACGAAGAGACTGTGACGGTGAAGAGACTGACACAAAGAGACTGTGACGGCGAGGAGACTGACAAGAAGAGACTGTGACGGTGAAGAGACTGACACGAAGAGACTGTGACGGTGAAGAGACTGACACGAAGAGACTGTGACGGTGAAGAGACTGACAAGAAGAGACTGTGACGGTGAAGAGACTGACACGAAGAGACTGTGTCTTATATTTACATGTGTTAAATGTGTTATGAAATAAAGACACTGTCTCTTTTTGTTTGCAGGTTCGTGGTCTCCCTCACTCCACTAATTTACCAGCACACGCTAATGCCACAAACAGTGTCAATTTTGATATTATGGAGCTCTTACGTTTCAAGTCATGGGCTTAAATCTTTTCAATCAATTCAGTTTCTTTTTCCACAGGCAATAAACACCCATACTGAAATTTGTATCCTTGTGGAGACATTTCTTTTTTTCTCGTGTACTAAAGTTTTCGAGTTTGTGTACTTTCAAAATGCTCCTATTTTAACCAGAATCAATTTCCTGGGCTGAAATTTGGACTTAATAAGCCCTACATAAAATACTTCAATTTGCGACAGATCAACACACCTTTGGAAATTCCTAGTTTTTGAGTAAAATCCATATATCTATTTTGTGATAACCCTGTGGAGACGTATACAATCTTTTGTTCCCTATTGTCCACATGTCTCCACAGGGTACCATGTACCAGATCAATATCAACAGCATGAAAAAAAACAAAAACAAAATTTAGTCTCAACTGACTATTGTTTAGTTATGGCCGCTGATTTGTCCGGGCCCACTTTTTTCTGGGACACACTCTACATGTATTTCCACTGCAAGTTCACTCATTCATATACACTTATGTGTTTACATGTATATATGCAATTTGTAAAAACTTTGAGGACTTGGTTTCAGATTTTGAGGACTCGGACTCAGACTCGGATTGGAAGGATTTGGACGTAGTGGACTCGACTACAACATTGGAAGAGGAGGTAGTCAAAATCATCCAACACTGAGTGACCAGTAATTTCCCCCTTCTCCCCTCCAAGTCCCCCCTCCCCTCACTTTCAATCACAACTGCAGCATAGTTGGGAATCTGGGAGCTAATCATTAGGGACTATTTCCCTGGTACTAGTGACCAGTTGGGCGATAGTATATGCAAACTATCGGGGCTGGTAGCTTCATTTACGTTCCTGTCACACTGCAACATTGACCAAAGAAAGAAGCATATTTGATTCATTACGATGTATGAGATGTAATAATGAAAATTATCCAACACCTCAGGACTCACAACACTGCTATAGAAGCCCATCACATGGCAAATCAATTAATTATTGATGATTAATTTAAAGAATAATAATGAACTATTTCACTGTTTCCTCTCAAACCATGATGCAATTATACGTACTGTTGACTTACCAGAGGATGAGCTGAGTATTTCATATGCTGTGGACACATTATTTGCGAATGCTGGCTGATAGTGGTCACTCAGTGTGAGGTAGTGGTAGGCACGGTTCAATCGATTGGATTTCTCTCCAAGAGTGCTGAAACTGCACGGGGAAAAAATGCACCAAGAAATGTTTGTCCTTCACATTAGAAGTCTCAGTCTTTTTATTTTATAAAGTTTGTTTCAACCGCAACAGGGGGTTTATCTACTCTTTTGGGTTTGTCTGTGTGTTTTTTTTTAAATTTGATTGTTAGGTTTGCCGATATTTTTTTCCGCAAATGATTATCATCTTACATAATTATGTCCTGTCACTGAAAGCATCAACTACTAGAGGGTGCTACACGCCCCTAGGGTGTTAATAACATCATATCCCACATCAAAGCAGTCAACACTTGTTAAACGTAACATTAATATTGCTGGACATAGGAAATTTAAGGCCAAGTAAAAAAAATAACCAGTTTCTCGTCCCCACTCGCTTCCATTTTCCTGCACCACCCCCATTTAAAGGTAGAGTCCATCATTTGCAGCTATCCAAAAAGTAACTGACGTAATTATTGTCGAAAACCATACTTGGTTTAAAGATAGTAATGGGACTAAACTCCCTGTGAAATTATTCTTTCTGGCAAGCTGTCATTTTGAAGAAATCAATGAAAGAAGGCCTTTCCAACGATGCGTTTAAAGATGCATCGTTGGGAATTTCCATTAGTAGTTCGTTTTTTTATTTGGCGAAGCAAGCGCAAGCTTTGACACGCGTGCCTGGTTGCTATAATTCGTCGGTTCAGTGCACGTAGCTGCAATCAGCTAAGTGAGAATGTGTCTCGGACGATGTAATCAGGCCCAATTCAAAACATGACCCAGCAACTTTTGATTTGAAATCGAGATCCTAGAATATTGTTTTCTAAGAATACACAGCATTCACTGAACTGAAACTTCATCAAGTTAGTTGTTCAGCACCCTTTTTTAGATTTTGAACACTTTTGTTGCTTGAAACGAACATAATGCACAAATTACAAATGATAGACGCTACGTTTAAGTGAATGCATTTGCAATATAGTTTGCACATTTGGTCAATATATTGTCTTTTTACTTGTTTCCAACAAAATTGTAGCCAAGTTGAGAAAAAACTTGAGAAATTGGTAGAATCCATCCGCCATCTTGGAAAAATAGGAGGGATGTTTCCTTCATTTTTTCAAAAAGCTCGGATGCGAAACTTTTTTCACTCGGCCTCATGAACTGGCACTACAATATACAAGAACAGCAAGGCTTCATTCACAACCTGTTCTACCATTCACCATGCACGACTTATCTTGTGTAGGGTAGGATATGAACCTGGGCCACCTCTAGTCAACACCTAGCCCAGAATGGACAGCCTCTTCATTGCATTATGACTGACGTCCAGGATATAAATTGTACCACCACAGCGAAAAAAATTATGACACATTTTTTTCATATTTTTACCAGACGGAGGAAGCTGAAATTTCGCTTACATATTCCTTGTGTCCAGGATTGTGCCTGCGCTGGGTTTAGAAAAGGCAAATATGTCCGTGGGCGGCGTGTTTACCGAAAATAAACCGCAAGTTCTACGCATTCGTTGAAAACAATTTCAGTACGAACTCCCCGCGTGAAGACGTACACGTGCGTGCTGTTTGCTGCCGCTTGCTGCCGTGGCGGCAGCGTGCTAGGTGTGCATGCACGCGCACGCGTAATCTTTACACGGGGAGCTCGTACTGAAAATGTTTTCAACGAAAGCGTGGGATTGTGGTTTATTTTCAGTAAACTCGCCGGCCGCGGACATATTTGCCTTTTCTAAACCCAGCGCATGCACAATTCTGGACACAAGAAATATGTAAGCGAAATTTCAGCTTCCTCCGTCTGGTAAAAATATGCAAAAAATGTGTTATATTTTTTTTCGCTATGGCAGGAGAGATTCATACCCTGGACTACGTTGCGTGTACACAGCGGAGTCCAACCTGGGCTAGTCAACACCGTGTATACCACTGAGGTTACTCACTATTGTGCAAGGAATCCGACAGCATCGTCTGGTCGATTGGAGAGAATCTTAGATAATGCATCTCGGATCCAGTTTCCAACTCCACTTTTTTCTGTATGTAAAACATAAAATTCAAATGCATGGAAGCTGTGAGTCTCAAATATTGAAACCTGTTTATTTTTGCAAGGTCTCATGTAATTTGCTTAATTAACACAGCATAATGCAACAAATATCAGGAAAGCTGATATTTTTCCCAGTAACTTGCAGAATCCTGTTTTTCCCCTTTTACCTCTGTTTGTGGGTACAGAGTGTTTATTGAAACACAAGGAAAAACCAAAAAAGGTCCCCCTCCAATAAAAAAGACATGCCAATAAAAAAGTGATGATAATTTATAAGCACTTTCAGGTTAAAATTGTGCATCTTGTTTACGAGGTAAAAATAACACGTGTTGCTGAGCATGCCCATCAATCGAAAACTGTTGCGCTTCTATGTCATCATGCGTTCATTCCGATATGCGCTCGTGTCTAGCAACGCAGTCTAGCAACTGTTTCATGCACTAAAATGAGGTTTACCACTCGCATCACAGCTTTGGTACTGGAACGGCAACCGATAGTGCATGAAACAGTCATCGAGTGTTACGCTTCCGCGTGACGTCATGCGCCAACAGCCAGCGCAGCCGGCAAAAACGACTAGTACCAGCGCGCTGTGCATGGTAATTGACCGCCATTCATTGTACACAATTTTTTTTTGTGCACAAAGCCACAAACCAATTGCAGTCCTCGCCATGCCTGCAAGGTTGTCAGGTTAGCGGTTATTCCTCCTTTTTCGGTTGCGGTTCCAGTACCGCAGCTGTGATGCGAGTGGTAAACCTCATATTAGTGCATGAAACAGTCATCGGGTGTTACGCTTCCGCGTGACGTCATGCGCCAACAGCCAGCGCAGCCGGCAAAAACGACTAGTTGACAGCCTGGTAACCGACCGCCATTCATTGTACACAATTTTTTTTGTGCACAAACCAATTGCGGTCCTGGCCATGCCTGCAAGGTTGTCAGGTTAGCGGTTATTTCTCCTTTTTTCACTGCAATTGTAGGCTGAATCTTCATCGTGGATCGTTTTTTACTTCAATAAGTTCAAGGACCTGTGTAATGGTTATTCCAGGCAAGTTTGGGGTGAGTTGCAGTCGCAATTTTTTTTGGGACCTGCCTACGCTGCTCGGTTACGTGAAAAACTAGCTCCAGCCCTAAATGACAACCCAATGATAAAACTCAGGGCTGGGTAACTCCAGCTAGTCCAAATGTTAAAAAAGGCGATAAAAAGTTGGGTCAAGTTACTTGGACTAACTCGTATGATAAGCGTCAAAGAGGGCGATCTGCCGGCTTAATATCGTTTACTAAAATCGGCGATCGTGTAGTTACGATCGTGTAACTTGATAGGAGAACAAAATCCACTTATATATATTTCGCTATTACCAAACTAGTACAGTAGGCCTAGCCTAGTAATGTTGTTGGCGATGTTCAGCTGTGGTTCAGCGCAATCTAGATTCTGTACACACAAGTTCACAACTGAAAAACACGTAGGCCGAAAAGCCTTTATTTCAAAGAAAACAAAAATCCATTGAATTATATGTAAACATAATTAAAACAAAAGGACAAGGTCGAATTAGATAAATCATACCTAGAAATTCGCGTTTACTTTCATTGTTTCCTGAAACAATTCTGTCGTCTGCCTTCTTCTTGTTGTCAGACATCTTTCACATTACTTGTGTTTCCCAAAAGAGGGCGCCCTTTAATTTTAATGGGGACCGCGCCGACCGGGAAGCGAGCAGAGACTTGCGTGAGGATTAAAAAACTTTTTGCCTTTTGTTTTTCTCAGTTCAGTGCAGGTGAGGGCTCCGGTACTAGGCCTATTACTCCATTTGGGAAAGAATGTTGCATCCTGACGCCACTTTCTTCATCATGTCAGTTCATTGCAAAAATGTTGAAAAGACATGAATCTGTGAGAAACATTTGTTACAATAGAAAATACTTTGAAAATGCACTCAACTCTATAGGGGGGGGGGGGGGGTTAAACTTTAATTGTACACAACCACACAAGTGGCGTCAGGATACTACATTATTTCCCTTCCCTTTTTTAAGTTCTGAAAAGAGAAGACTCCAGACTCACACTAAATATAGGCAAGGTAAAGTTCTTGCGTGTTTGATAGTCCGAGTAACTTGGACCCAACTTATCGCCTTTTTTAACATTTGGACATGGTCTGGCGATCGCCAGACCATGTCCAAATGTTAAAAAAGGCGATAAGTTGGGTTCAAGTTACTCGGACTACGTGTTTGACCAGTAGGCAGTACACTTCTGAATAGTTCATGAGCTTCTCATCCCAGCCTCGATCCTTCCAGAATTTTCCGTACTGGATCACCACTTTTTTTCAATTAATTTTCAAGCGCCACAAGTTGCATCCTTTATGGTTATTCCCTCCACTTTCCCTCCTCTACTCTCACCCTCTCCTTTCCTTTATTCCTGTTTATTGATCAGTCACTTACTTCAACAAGATTCGAACCTCATGAGAAAATAAATATTCATAATGACGTATTGCACTATCATTTGCCGGCTCATGCGTTGTCTTGGTTGTCGATGTCATGCGTATAACGTACCGCTGTCTTCCAGACACTTCAATCAGTTGACCGGCTGCTTCAACTTAGTTCTGCACAACGTGATCCAAAATGTGCTCTAAAAACACATTTTGCCTATTTTTTCCCGCATTTTCACAGCTTCCTGGATTCCTCTTGGGTGAAATCACAAGGTGAGGTGAAAATTGATGTGTTTGGTGGCAGGTAAAGTGGTGATCCAGTATGGATTTTTTCCCTTTTAATTATTTCCAGCAACAGTTTAGCAATGACTAATGTATTTCAAGTTCAAAATCTGAGAAAGGGTGACAGCTCCTTTAATTTGAATCGAACACAAAAGTATCAGCACAAAAGAGTTGCGAAAATGGAAGATTCCATTCGCCATCTTGGAAAATCTGCCTACTTGGGAGCAAAATCAAAGGGCCACCTTTTTTTTGCAAAAGCCTGAACGAGAAACTTTTTTTTGGTTTACTTGGCCTTATTATTACAGAATTCTGTTCTTACTTACTTAGACTAATTATATAGCTCCTCCCACTCCCATTGGAACATCGGGCAACGAGGCTCCTCCACTGACTGCAGTCAAAGGTAACCCTCTGGGTGTCCCTCCAGCTGACTCCCAACTCATGTCCTCCCTGAATGTGTTGTGCCATGTTTTCTTCGGCCGACCTCGCTTCCCTCTGGCAGATGGAGTACATATCCAGCTAGTTTCCTTTGCTGCGTCATGACGACGTCCTGTACTGTAGGCGTTCCAGACCAACTCTCATTATCACCTCTTCATTGGTCACATGGTCTCTCCATGAGATGCTAAGAATCATGCGGAGGCATCATCCATGGAAGACATCTAGCATGTGTGAGATCTCTCCTGTTCTCTTCCTCGTCTCACATGCATAGATAATGATTGTCGGGGATAACGTCTGACATGTAGAGATATGCAGCTTGGTAGCCCTGCTGATGGTGCTGGAAGACCACACTAAGTGAAGTCTCTGGAAGACTGATGCAGCTTTGCTGATTCTTGCCCACACATTGACCTCCACATCTCCTTCTCTCGAGGTGTGCCGGTAGCTTCCAAGGTATGCAAAGTTCTCCACGTACTCGATGTCTTGCTGGTCAATGGTGATGGGTGGGTAGTGCTGTGGGCCGATGATCATGGCCTTCGTCTTCTCACGGCTGATGCGCAGTCCAACATTCACCCCATTGTCATTGAGGTTGCCGGTCATATCTTGCAAAGCCTCGGGGGTCCGGCTGAGTAGTGTGATGTCATCCGCCAAGTCTAGGTCAGTCAGCCTACACCGCCCCCATTTGACGCCAAAGTTTGGGCCATTCATCGTCTTACTCATGAAGCATCGTCTTACTCATGAGGAAGAGAAAGGGGGTAAGGATGCAACCTTGTTGCACGCCAGTCATGATGTCGAACACGTCGATAGTACTGCTTTTGGTCTTAAACCAGCAGCTGGAGTTCCGATACAGCGCTCTGAAGATGTTGATACACTTGTGTGGGACGCTGTACAGCTTGACTATCTTCCAGAGTGATTCCCGGTGAACGCTGTTGAATGCTTCTTGAAGTCAATGTAGTTGACTTGAAGTCACGTCTGGTGCTCTCGACACTGCTCAATGATGTTACGCAGAGTGAAGGTCTGTTCGCAGCAGGATCTCTCCTCTCGGTAGCCAGATTGCTCTTCTCTGATGATGGAATCAACCTCCACCTTCAGCCAAGCAAGGAGCACACTGAAGAACACCTTACCAGGCACTGACAACAATGTAATGCCTGTCCAGTTGTTATATTTGCTGAGGTTTCCTTTTACTTTACTTTATTTTACTTTACGTTAACTTTACTTTACTTTAACCCTAAACAGTTAATACAATTAGACACAAATTGATACAGGTTTGCTTTCTGAATTTAATGATTTATTTCTTCCTGTCCTTTCATCTTTGCCGTAGCCCAAATTTTTTTTTGACTCGCCAGCTGGGCTACTTAAGGAATAGTTTGACTAGCCCGCTGTTGTTTTGACTAGCATTCGGCTAGCGGGCTACCACTAAAGTCGAACCCTGATATACACAAGGGGTTTACTGCTCAATCCAACAGGACCCAACGGAAATGTAAAATAGTTGGATCCTATTAGATTGAGCAGGGTTAGGGATAATTATATAAGGAATCTAGGCCGTTCAAAAGTAAATCACAAGTCTTTTCACAATTCGGATAGTCCAGTGCCTAGCAACAGGGTTAAACAAGTTTGTCACAAAGTTCATCTGTATAGCTTGTTACTTGACATGACACCTGCCAAAATGTCAAATTCGTCTGTGTTTCCATCGGGGGTGACCACTTTGGAGCGGGTTCCTGAGTACATTGACTGAATGGCTCAAAGCAGGTTCGGTCGGACTCCGTATGCCTTAACAATCTTCGCCATCTTCCCTCTGTGGATGGAATCAAATGCTTTTCTGAAGACAGTGAAGGTCAGGATTGCGGTCAGGTTAGGGCCCGTGACCATTCAGCCCCGGTATGAAAAGGGCCCCCTGTTAAGCTTGTCCCCTCCCAAGAAGTCCTTTCGTACCGTCCCAGCTACCGGCCCAGGAGCTGGTCCGGTTGCTAATCAGGAACTCCTCTATCCTGGGGTCTATTGTTTGCAAGTATTGAAACCTGCGTGTGGTTTTCATCTCTCAGCGCGAAACAATAGAACACTTTTGTCGGCACAGATTGAAACCCCTGCCATGTGGTTTCGCGCACAATGGGACCGTAAATTACCAAAGAGTTCGGAAGGATTTTATCTTTAATCCGATAAGTCTGCTATAGTTCTGCTCAGAACGTTCTCCGAAGGGGCAATAAATTGATGCGCCTGACTGACTTCAAAACTTCTGGTCAGACAGGACCATGTACCGGACGAGACTGGGCTGAAGACCGGACTGGCTCTGGACCAGACGAGGTACCGGGGGGGCCCTTTTCATACCAGGGCTGAATGGTCACGGTCCCTTATTGCTGTTCACCTCCTCGATTATTCGCCTCAGCGCCAGGATCTGTGCTGTTGTGACCTCTTCTCTCTGAACCCGTTCTCGTTATCTCTGAGGTGAGGGTCGATCGTGCTGTGTAGCTGATTTAGTATCATACAGTTGAACATCTTTGCGATGATACATGTGAGGCTAATGGCACGGTAGTTGTCGGTTTTACCGATATCACCAGATTTGGGCACGGGTATGATGTTCGACAGCAACCATTGTCTGGGGACTTTGTTGTTGATCAGGGCGAGGTGTGCAGATTTCCAGAATGATGTCAATCTCACAATTCTTGAAGACTTCTGGAGGAGGAATGCCATCCGGGCCTGCGCTCTTCCCATGTTGCAATGTCGACTTGACCCTGCAATGTCGACTTCACCCTGGCCAGCTCAGCGGCCGTGAATGGTCCATCGTTGATGTCGAGGTTAGTGAGGATGCCAAGGCTGTCTTCTTCAGCATCCTCAATATCTGGGACGGTTGGGATCGGCAATCAGGATCCTCTCAGAATGGAGGCAAACCCCCCGAAGAGCCCTTCTAGCTTGAGGACTGAGCAGCAGTCCCACCCCTCCAGTAGCTGCCTGCGCCGCATTCCTCCACTCCGACGACGTGACGAGGTAGCTGCCCTCCACTCTCTCTAACACAAGCGGGTCCGAGTGAACTCTCCTGTGTTCCTGCACACCCAATATCTCCCGTCCACATTTCACTGCACAATGGGCCATCTCCCTGACCCTCGCCTCCTCCCTCGCCGTGTTTGCATTGAAGGTGGCCATAATAAACGGCCTCCCGCAACACAGAATCACATTGGACTTATTGCTGTTGTCAGGAGACCTCCTCCCAGGGGGGTTTAGGGGGCCACCGTCATACCTGGCCAGTGCCTATGTCCACAGCATCGCTCCTGTCCACTCCCGGGACTGGAAATATAGGATTTGTTGTAGTAAACTTCACCATTGGATTTTCTTTCAAGGCTAATAAGACCTGGGGGGTGCCAGTCCTCTCTGGACTACCCTGCCCGTTGGGGGCATAGCCTCCCATTCACCCTTGCCCACGCTAGGCTGCGTGTAGGTAGACTGCTGACCAAGGCTAAAAAGCTCTACCTATCCGGGTTTGCGATCAGAGTGTATAGAAAGATATGCATCTTCCAGAACTTTCATTGATTTTCAGACTTTTTTTAATTGGCAATCTCATCCCTGTTGTTGGAAACAAATAAAAAGACAGTATATTGACGATATATATTTGCAAAATGAATATTGTAAATGTATGAAATAATTAAAAAAAACAAACAAACAAGTAGGCGGGCAGGAAAAATGAAGTGGGGGGGGGGGGGGGTGGAAGATTGGTTTATTTTTTTACGCATTTTAAAGTGGATGCCATACATCAACACGATTTTTGCGCATGATTCACGGTGCGTGGTAGCCCCACTAGTGTGGCCCAAGTATTGCTGATATTTTTTACTTTAATAGCCTAATGTGCAAACTAGCTTTCAGGATATTCTCTTTTTTATCAACCAATATCATTTTATTCTCTATGTGAAATGACATTTGAATTTTCAATAATTGATGCTGACTTTCCGTTTTTTTCCCAGCACAATGATGTTACGTGTTCCAGTCAGTGTCGTCTGTCATTTGATGTTCATCTTACCAGTAGTGTTCTGTGATGAGACTGGTCGGCACAGCTCTTCCGATACCAACAATCTGGACATCTTTTACGATCCCGCCGCCAAAGCTCCGTTGGGCTCACATCGTGAACCAAGCGACTTCTTAGAGGAACTATCTGAAGTCCCTGGCCCTGTAGAATTCAACCAGCGTTATGTCAGCCAGTATCGCCCAGTTGTCTTTCGGGGCGCTGGACAGCAGTCCAAAGCCTACCACCTATGGACTGAGGAATATCTTACTGAGAAGTATGGCAATTTGACAGTCAGACTGGAGGCAAGGTAAAGTGTGTCATGAAAATAATCCTTTGATTCTTTAGGGCCTGCAACTGTACATTAGGCAGATAAGATCATATTTGCTTTTCATGTTTTTTTGGGGGTGAAAAGTGGGGCGCCGTGCCCTGAATGAGCATTGAGTTCATGGTCTGCAGGTAATTCTGCAGGTTATGGGTTCGAGTCCAGCCTGGGGTTATGGTGCGTGTGCCCTTGGGCAAGACACTTCGTCACTCATTGCTTCTCCCCACCTAGGAGTAAATGGGTACCTGTGAGGGCAGAGATGGTTATTGTGATTGATTGTAGCTGCTTTGCACCGAAATGGCAGCATCCAGCTATACCCTCGCCAGGGAGCTGAGATTGTCTTTGGAATGTTTCATTGACCCAATGAGCAGGGTAATAATGATGTAGCGCCATGAGCACCAATACTGGTGGATATGTGCACTTTATATACGCATTATTGTTTGTTTTTAATGGTAACACCACTTAAAATTCAAAGAAGAATGTTCAAAACATTATCTGTTGAAGTTTCAGCTCAGTGGATAGTACACTTTTCGAGAAAACTGAAAAACCATGCACAACCTTTTGATCACAATACACGATGTCATCAATGACACTCTTTTTTTCCAAAAATCAGTCAACTGACAATTGTTAGAAATAACCTACATTTCTCGATTTCTTTGAAATAACAAGCCAGATAGAATAATTTCACGGAGTGTTTAGTACCGGTACGATCTTTAATCCAAGTAAGCTGTGTGATAATAACTTGGTACGTCATCATTATCTTCATTCCCATTTAGCGTCCATTATTCCCATGCTGTGGGATGGGATGTTGTCTTTCGTTGGCCCTGTTCCATGCAGTCCGATTTCTGACATCCACATTGGTGAGGTTTGACAGTCTGAGGTCTTCTGCTAGTGTCTCATCCCAGGTCTTCTCTGGCCTGCCTCGTGGTATCGGACCGACTGTTTCACAGTTCTGTACTTTCTTCAGCCAATGGCTTTCCTCCCTTCTTGCTACATGTCCATACCATCTCAGCCTGCCTTGCCTGATCTCGTCTGTTACCTTCATCAGACCCTGCAGGAGGTCGCCATTCCTCTTTTTCTCACATGTAGGCTACTTTTGGGATAAATGCAAATAATCCTATAATGCCTTTAACTATAATGCTCTGCGACATCTGCCTTTTGCAAGCACTTTCTATTTGGATCGTGTTGACGTGTGAAGTTTTCTAGCTTTTTGATAATGTAACACTCTAGACCTATGCAGAAAGCTTTAAAAACTGCCGTTGATAGATTCTCTTAGATCAGGGAAAGTGCCCAAAGAAAACCATACGTGGGCAATCAGACTCAAGTTAATTACATTTGTATATTTCTACCATTTCCCTTTCCCTTGTATTTCACATACAATTTAAGTTAATTTGATCATGTGAGTATTTATATTTTTCGGTCATAATCTAAAAATGCTTCGAATACAAATTAACTTTTAGGGTATGTTAGGAAGAAAGGTACCAGTTTTACATTTTATTTATGGTTGCAGCAACTAGGTGGTAGGGAGGGACAATCTTCATTTTGGCTGATCTAGATAAAATTCATGCCCTATTCCCAATCCCCCCTACACACACACACCCACACCCACACCCACACAGAAAAACTGAAAGTAATAATATGAACAAAAAAAATCAACACTCATTATCAAAAATCAAAATCCCTGATTTGAATGGTTCCCATCATATCATCAATTTTTCATTGTTAGACATGAATCCAACTCGCGCATACCAGCAGGTGTAGGAGGCCTAGGACGGGATACCATTGCACACTTCCTAGAGCATTACCAGACATCTGATGGCTACATTATCTCCCAGATACCCTCCCCGATGGAGCCTGATATCGCCTTCCCTCCGTGCCTGACCTGTGGTTCCTTCTCAAGAAGCATTCAGGTTAGTTCAAGCCACTGCTTAGTCTTTTGTCCAAGACTGGATTTCAATTTTCTCCCCTGTTAATTACAGCCGGTCTATGACTAGCACAGTCAAACTGCCGAGGTGACAGAGGGTGCTTTCAACAAAATGAATTTTGGATGTTGGACCCTTTAAATTCCTACTGGCCTACCTCACACATGCACAGGCTTGAGGGATGTTAGGGGGTAAAAGAGCCAATATTCCCATGACAGATTTTGATTCAACTTCTACCGGAACAGCATTTGCCAGGGATTGGGACCAGCAGCATTAGGGAAACATCTCTACAGTGCTTGATCTGAAATATCCTAAAGAAAAGATCGGGGGATGGGAGGGGGGGGATATTAAGAATGAAAGTTAAATTAAATAGTTGCTACAAGAGTGATCTATTACTTCAAAAGGAGAAAGTGGGATTCTGAGCATTTGTGGGAAAAATGCTTTGTTATAAAATTTTGCAGTTTTTGTGACACAAACGAGTCCTGAATTCTGTACAACTGTATCTCCATATGTAAGTATCCCCAGATGATCGCATCCCCGCACTACATGTATGTATGTTAAAAGTTATTCAAATTACTCTCATTTCCCTAGTAGTTGTCTGAATTCCATAAAACTTGGATTGGGTCATTGAGTGGCAAAGATAAAGTGGGATATCTTTTCTTGTAATAAGGGCGATAGTTCCGTGATTGCTTGGTAGTTTTGTTAATAATCTGTGTATGTGCATTATGTGTGTGAATCCTTTCATGCGAGCTTGGTCAGTAGCAAAACTAGCGGCTGTCACGTGATGGTGAATGGAACAAAAACAATTCAGCTCTTGCTCTTGAATATGAGGTATAGTTATAATTGTTACAGTTGAAGGTGTTCAGAAGACTAAATAAGTTAATTACATTAACAATTTGTTTGCCTCTGCAGGAAGTCCACGTATTTTTGAGTGCTAAAGGGGGCAAGACAGTGCTGCATCGAGATCCATATAGCTCAGTGCACTGTGTCTTCAATGGAACCAAACAGTGGATTGTTATTGATCCTAAGCAGGTTGGTATAACAGTCATCCCTTGTGTTTCTTCTTGTTTTCATACTTAATTATCAGTCTCCAAATTTCATGAAACTCATCGTAACTTACATTGTGTATGATGCATCGCAGCACTGCGACGCGTCATATCCCTACGATGTGTCGTAGCTGCGACTCGTCCTGCGATTCGTTTCAGAAAATACGTCATAAGTGTGACGCGTCGTATGTGTACTTATAGCACAACACGATGACTGTTATATGTATTTAATCAACTTAAAGTAAATAGTCTTCTGATATTCTGCAAAGAGCCTTTGAATCTCCTTTTGAAAAGTTTTTAAAACTTAAAACAAAATAAGGGACGTATGATGCAGTTTTAAAGCAAAACAAGCTCACGGAAGACTGTATAGCTAATTCATATTTCCTTTGATGCATTTTCCATAAACTTGCATCTTCACACACATTATCTTGGTATTATAGTCTCGTTTATGTCATTTTTATGGCATTTATGTAACACATCGTAAGTTTTGAGAAATGGATCATGCGTCATGAGATGATGCGTCACGAGTTGCGCTGTGTGACTCGTTGTAACTCGGGTTGCGACACATTGCAGTGCTGGACTATTGAACAGGGCCCAATCTTATGGCTCTTCTCTGTTGCAAGTTAAGAAAAATATTGAAGTTTAATTAATAAGATATTAATGATAAGCCAATGATCCTTGAAGGTTTGCATGGTGGAAAGATCAAGAAGTGAGAGGTTTGCAGTAACACCATGTGGAACTATCTCTTTTGTGAGTATGTGCGGTTCTGAAAAGAACCTGTTGGTTTAACTCGACGTTTCGACCAGTATGCTCTGTTCGTCATCAGGAGAAAGATGACGAACAGAGCATACCGTTCGAAACGTCGAGTTAAACCAACAGGTTCTTTTCAGAACCGCACATACTCACAAAAGAGATAGTTCCACATGGTGTTACTGCAAACCTCTCACTTACTAAGCCAATGATCATAATAATTCAATGGTGGATCATGCAGTGCTTAACAAAAGGTGAAGCTGCATACCCTGTGAATGGAAGGAAAAAAGTCTCTACCTCACTCGAAGGTTTTCCCTCGCACCTCTAAAACTCTAATATCCACCAAAGTTCCCCGCTAGGAATAAATCAAAAGACTGTCATGGTATTTTCCGGCTGAATGATATGTAGTAATAATAAGTACGTTCTGTCATTGTCAGGGTACGCAGTGCCCTATTTACGCAGTGCCCTATTTACTGTGCACAAAGCCAATAAAAATAAGAATACTGAAATAACCAACATGATTTTTTTCTCTGAATGCACAACTTTATTCCACAGAAAGCATCTCTGTACATATCAGAGGAATCAACATATGAGTTTGGTGGATATTCCACCATCGACGTGGATAACGTGGACTTAGACGAGTTCCCCAAGTTGAGAGACGTGGAGTATGCCCGGGTCATACTGAATAAAGGAGATTGCATCTACATGCCGAGTGGTAGGCTGACAATTCATACAGTTCTTTGATTTAATGGTACATAGGATCATTTGCATTTGTCGTAATTTAATGAAATGGACCGATTTAAGGGCTATTAATTTATAGCAGACTTCGTTCTACTGAGCTGTTTAATATTTTGAGTCCCTCGGGGCTGGAAAAACACAAACAAAAATGCTGTTCATTTTCAACCGTCAAAGTGCAGATAGTGGAATCTGTCGTGCAATACCTTTAGGTCACTGGGAGTGCTGGCTGTGTCGTGGGAGAGTAATACATACATATACATGTACCTAGTATACCCGAGGATACGCATGAAGTCAAGAGCTGGCTGGTGGCCATTTATCGGATATTGTATTTGAGAAACCTGTTTGTTCTTAGTGATGGTTAGGTCTTAACCATTGTTAAAATTGATACAATGTTCCTCTTTTCTTGAGAATGACAGCATACCAGGCACAACGATTTTATAGGATGCCTCACACTGTTATACTTGCAATCAAGTGGGCTATTTCATGATATTGTGGGCAGTTTCGTTTGTTAGTGTTTGCAAATGATCCTATATGTCTTTAATCAAGGGATTCTGAATTTGAATATGAGAAACTGTAATAGCGAGTTTATCCTCTCCACACTATCTAACGTCGCTGGTGACTTTCATTGGATATATTTTCTTATAGTCAGTGATCCTCTGTCAACACTTACTACAGATGATAGCTACAAACCCAGTGCATGGGCCACAAAACTTTCCATTACAAGAGAATGTGACAAGTACATGTATACAAATTGTGATTGGCGGGTGTAGGGAATTTTGGGCCTATTTACTGGTCTGCACCCTTGGGTTAGTGCACTGGTGATGAGCCAATGTGGTGATGAGCCAAATGGCCAGGATGTTTTTGCCATTGAAAAATTCAAACACTGCAGTAATCCAATGGTATATCTCGGCATCTCAACAAAATTGGAACATCCAGCCCCTATATCAAGTAGAAGTGTCATAACTCTATGGTCCTGAATCCATTAAAATTCACTTTATATGCAAACAATGTTAATGTTTGGCAACGTTAGCAACACTTGCGCAAGAGGGAACATTCTCTGCTATGTTCCCACAACGGCTGATGCAATGAATGTAATTATCCAGACCAGGATAATATTTTTTTGTTTTCTACATCCCAAATAAGTTCATATAGTACTGGTAACATTTCCTTTCGAGTTGTAGTTAATTTTTCAAGGATTTTAAAAACTGCTATCCAAGCAGTGACACAATTTTAAGGATTGGCGCCGCCATTTTGGCAGCAATGTTTTATGGCATATTGTTCCATTTGGGGTTGGCACGTTCAAAGGGCCTAGCTAGTAGCTAACAAACGCAGACATGATTGCGTTAGAATTCCTGTCCGACGCCGGCCCCCTATGCCTGAGTCGACGTAGTTAGTTAGATGAAACATGATTATAATGCAGTCTCTTTCGATAATACCAAAAAGATAATACTTAAAAAAAATTACTTTAACTTGTATTTTTTTTTTACCAAGATGGACGCCTGCAGTGGTTGCCATTGTTTTTGTCACATGTCTGGAAACTGTTTAAATTCCACATGTTTCCCACCAATTCCCCCAGGCTACATGCATCAGGTCCGCTCCAACGGTTACATGAATGCTGCTGTCTCAATCTGGTTCTCCCACTACTACGAGTTTGACGCTGAGGGTTGCCATGACGACCATGGTCCAGCAGATTTTCGACCAATGAACGAGGTGGATGTGTTGTGGAGATACAATGGGACAGGCAACCTGTCACAAGGCATGATGGATATTCACATGCTAAGGTATCTGAGAAATAAAAAAATGGCTGAAGCCAGTTCATACTTAATGCGAACGCGAATGAGAAATTTGTGGTGAAATTCAACAGAACTTGAATGCATTCAACTTTTCATAAATTGTAACTCAAATTTTGGCCTTGATGTCATCACAAATTTCCATTCATGTCCCTGTCTTTATACAAGGTATGAATCAACCTTTAAATAAGGGAATAAATATGTGCTTGGCCGGGTTTAAACAAGTACGTTTAAAACCAGCTAGGGGCTTTGTAGCCGATAATTCGCAACGGCCATTATCAGCAACCAAACCCCTAGCCGGTTTTAAATTTACATGTTTAAAACCAGCCAAGCACATACTTATTCCCATTCATAAATAGCTTTCGAAAAAAAAGTCAAAAATCACCAATTTTTCCAATGACTTTGTTCAACAATGTACTTTGTGTTTTGTGAAACAGCCCTCTGGCCTTGTCTATGGTATGTGCCTCGCTTGACTAGTGCTACAAATCCGCTTAAATGGAATTGGGGTGTGTCCGGCAGATACTACGTGATATGGCACAGAATGCAGGAATTATGTTTAAATCCAGCCAGTGTTTTTTCCAGTGGTTTAAACCATCCATGTGACAGGTTCTTGACCGATAGGAATGGGTAAACTGTCTCCGGTATTTATGAATGTCATTTAATTTGTATTGCTTGTGATAAGTTCTGAGCTGATTTAAACTGCAACTCACTATTAAAAAAATGTTCTTGTCCCTCAAAATATTTTGTCAAAAGAAAGTGTACCTGAAGAGTTAAAGAAGATATATAGTTTTAGGCCCAAAATATTGTTGCACTGCATAATCACATTTATTATTGTTTTTTCTCTTGGTATTTGAGCTTATCTGTCAGCTTATTGGTTCTGCATGCAGTGCATAGTAAATTACACAAAAATGTCTGCTTCGCTAAATTAAAATATATTCTAGATATTTGCAAAATGAAAAAGTGTTGGCAGTGTGCTTTTGAAAGTAAGCAGAGATTTTATTTCTTTTGTTGAAGCAGATGAGGTTGTATTACCTTTGTTTCCTTTGTTAAAGTGAAATTGAGGTGTTTGATTTTCAGAGCACATGTCAGTTTTTCAATGTTGTTTGTTTTGTAGAACTGTCATGCTGACTGTGGCTGACAAGGAGGGCAAACTATGGATTGAAGATTTTGTAACCAATTTTATTCATGTGAGTGTTGATTATTTATTGATGTGGTGTCAGTTAGTTTTAATGTAAATGTAATAATATGCATTAAGGCTATAGTCATTATTTCCCATATCATTGACATTGATTGCATGTAGCTGGCTATCGTGAAAACTGTGTTTCTTTCTTTCTGATTGGATGGGCATATGAACACAGATGTGGCTTTTGATTGAAAAAAAATTGTGATAAAAAAAACTGGAGCAAAATTGGGGCAAAAACCATTGCTTGAAAATTCTGGAATGTGAAGTTTTTTTTTGAAAGGATTACTTCTAAAAACATTTATGATCAGTTTTGATTTACTTTCCAACATGTACAATTTTGTTGGGTTTCAAAATCTTCATCCACGTATATGCCAATTTAATAAGATTGCTGTAGTGGGATTGCTGTAGGAGTACAAATCCTGACAAGGAATTTTAAAAGTGTCATATTTCCATTTCAAATCGTTGCTTATTTCTCTTTTTTTTTCAGGGTGAAACCAACGAACCAGAGTATTACAAGACACTACAAGATTCAGTAAGTGCAGATTTTTAACTTTTGCATGCTCAGCCAAAATATGCAGTGAACCACTAATGTACAGGGCGAGTAAAACATTTTTATGTCCCTTTGGATAAGTTCTTGTCTCCCACAAAAACAGAAAAGGTTACCAGTGTTTTCTCTTCAGCCAACATTCAGTCTGGGTATTGACCACATTCAGTAAAAGTTTCACCGATATTCAACCATGCATGCAAAGGATACAGGCCTTTCTTCCACAAATGTTGTCGAATGTTGGCTTAAGAGAAAAAGCTGGTGACCTTTCCTATTTTTGTGGGAGACAAGAAATTATCCAAAGGGACATCGTTTTTACTCACCCTGTACATTGCACTATATTTTGGCTGATAACATGTTTTAGGTGAGCAAATGATTTTTGTGTTAGCAGAATGCTGAACATTGAAGTTCTGTGAAACTGACCCTATGTGTACTGTTTTTAGTTCAAGGTGTATTTTGAAATAAAGTAAAAATAATTGATCGTGCCTTAAAAAGATTTCAACATACATGAATAAGTGACCATGACAGCCACTGGAACTTGAATAGCTTTTCATTGCAAAAGCAAGCTAGTGCAAATTATTTGCAAAAAGTTATTTCATTCCCATTGGTTCATCATTGGTTGAACATATTTGCAGCTGTCGGTTGTCTTGAATGACGTCATTGATTAGAATATATGTGTACAGAAAGATGCTGTTTGAAAATGTAGATAATTTTATGTGGCTATTGGAAAAATGAGGGAGAATTTATCATTTTGGGGTTTTGGAAATGAGTTGGATTAGGACAGAGTTTGCAAGAATTCTTTGTTATGGGCTCCATGCACAAGTACTCCTTCAAAGGGCAGAAAAGGAGAGTTGGGGGAGACCTAGACTGGTTCCCGGTCCATCGTCTGCGTATTTCGAATGATCCAAACTTATTGGGGGCGGGGTTTAGTCTGGGAGACCATCGCAAGTTAAATTTGAACATATTCCCACGCAGACGATGCCTGACACTCATGCGAAGACGCTGTGGCTAATAGCTTTGGCACATTCAGGAAGTCGTACGTACTTCACGCGTGAACCAGTACTGTGGAGTACGCACACGCTGTGCGTCCCGTCCACAGTGCTCTAAAAAGTGGTAAAAACACGCCCTCTTTTGTTGGCGCACGCAGCCCATAATTGGTAGGAAGTGTCAGGTTTTTGCTTGTTTTTGGCATAGTGTCCAATTGCAGTATCAATATTGACTGCTGCATTTAAATGATTGCATAAACATCACTTGGTCAACACCGTCACGGAATAAACATGTCTGGATTATGGTTGTGAAAACATGCCCCAGATGAGTAAATGAAGAGTGCAACACCTTGTAACGTTTCACAGTTAAAAGTTTTCTCCCAAAGTTCAAAGATTTTCAGCTGGTACTATTTTCCTTTCCAGTTCCGTTCAGCACTTGATCCCACCAACAGAGGTTACATCACAGTAGAAGAGCTGAACAACTTCTCCATCTCACAACTCAAGGACCTGGTGTGGTCATTCCAACTTCTGGACCCATCGGATACTGATCTGTTTGAGTACAGTCATATCCAGGCCTATGACGTCAAGTAAGTGACAATGGTGACATTTTTGCACTATTCTAGATATTGCTTGTCCTTTAGTAAGCATGTGCAATACTACCAGTTGGTCAGTATTTCATAGTCCTAAATTCACAACGCACTCACCACAGCTGCATCTGTGCATCATCGATCACGCAGTATGCGCGACGCGTGCGCCAATCTCTATAAAAGGAGTTGTTTACGTCTAGGCTCGCGAGCTGGACACTCCATTATATAGCTAGAGGGGTGTTACGAAAAACAGAAAGTAAAATTGTTAAACAAAATCGTTTGAAATTTTTAACTTTTGACTTGTTTTGACTTTTGGACCAAAAATTAGATTTTTTGACCGAAAAGGTCTTTATGAAATGCTGATATTGATGGAATGCTGATAATGACCCTCGGCCTCGCCTTGGGTAATTATCAGCATTCCAGACTCCAACCAGTCTTAAACATAGTGTTTAACACCTCCCAAGCACACATTTATTCCCTTACAATAACAAACAAACGAACAAACTAGCATTGCTAATGTCTTCAATTTAGCATCATGCCACACAGAGTGATCCCTGGCTGTATGGCATGCACAGGTTTATGGTTTCTAAGTCGCACCCCTTAAGGAGTGTCGTGGCCTCGTGGTCTGGATCATTGAATTTTTCGTTTTCTGCGGGTAATTCTGTAGGTTGTGGGTTCGAGTCCAGCCTGGGGTTATGGTGCGTGTGCCCTTGGGCAAGGCACTTTGTCACTCATTGCTTCTCTCCACCCAGGAGTAAATTGGGTACCTGTGAGGGCAGAGATGGTTATAGTCATTGATTTAAGCTGCTTTGCGCCGAAATGGCAGCATCGAGCTGTATACTCCCCAGGGAGCTGAGATGGTATTTGGAATGTTTCATTGACCCAATGAGCAGGGTAATAATGATGTAGCGCCTTAAGCACTGATACTGGTTGATATGTGTGCTTTATAAATACATGTCATTATAAATACACATCATATACTAATGTACCCTTAACCAGTTCACGTCGGAGGACGTGATAACACTCACAGGCGCGGCTGACGGGTTAAAATGTCAAGATTTCCTCGACTGGCCTCTGGGTGACGTCTAAACACGCTAATCCTTCGTGTCTTTTGTACACACACACAAAGTCCGTGAAGTCTCTGGAGGCGAACCGTGTGTTGATCTTGAATTGGCCGTTGTGCATGGCTTATTGTTCGACCTTGAAGTATTGAAACATATGAGGTTTTTGCAAGAAATATCGTACAAATACTGTTGAAATGACTCTTGCGAATCAATATTTGTTGTGTTTGGCTGTATATCAGGTGTTGGCTGGAAAATGTTGCCTTTTGCGGAAATCAAACTTTTCTGCAAAAATAATCCGGGCGCGTTTTGGTTAAGGTTTCCTCATAAGTTATACCTTAGGGAGACACCAGATATTAGGGAGATATTTCAATGTCAGGTGTTGGCAGTGCCTCAATATGTCTCTCCCCGTGGTCTCCCCCAACTCTCCTTTTCTTACCGTTGAGGGGGCACTTGTTCACGGAGCATATTCTGCGCTTATACCACTCGTTCAAACATTCATGTGTGGGTACTGAGGTGTGTGTTTCTCAGACAACTTTCAGCAAAAGGCACACACTACTGCACCTTTCAGTTTTGTTAAACATTTCATTGGAAATAGGTCAGGCATCCATTGTGTTGTTGGCATGTGGGTTAACTTTAACATGCATCAACTGATTCACAGGCATCATCAGATTCAAGAAAGTGCCCTGACTATCCACAAGTTGTGGATATTCCACAGTCTCTCGGACAGTATCCGCACAAGCACAACGATGGGACAATAACATTTTAAGTTTCATTAGTGTTTTACTTGTCTCCCTTGTTACCTGTTCATCTTGTCACTGGTTGAATTTTAGGATGCTCTACGAGGATCTGTTACATCAAAGCCAAGATGGATCCTTCTCAAGAAGTGAGTTCATTGAAGCATACGTGGAAGATCTTGGAGGCACCAGCGTTGTTGCTAATGAGGCAAGTCATTCATTTCTCACCATAAAACGGCTTCAAATCTGTAATTTTGCTAATTGTTTTGTTTTCTAAATGCCATTTTTTACTTCAGAGTGTTATTATTATTGGCATTCCTGTGTTTTTCATAGTGCCGGGGGATTGATTCCTCGTTATGCAAACACTGACATGTTCATACGAAATTTAACGCAGCTCCAATTGTTTAAAAGGTGTAGTAAGCTGAAATATCCTGAAAACTAGAAAGGACCCTAATTCCAATAGACTGATCTTTGAAGTTCCGCGTCATGACGTTATGATCAATCACATCCATACTGTAACCAAATGTCTACTTTAATATCACACCTTTGCACTAAATGCACACATGCATATTATTCGTTATGACATCATGAAAACGAGGAATATGCACAATCATTATGGCGTTTTTACAGGTCTTCATATTCTTATGTTTGTCTGAGAGCAGTGATTCTGTTTACTTAGTGCATTTCGTTCTTATATAAAAGTAAAATACAGTCTATCTGCATTTGAAGCATTTGATGTTGTGGATCACCTCTTTGCAGTCTTTCCTAAATCGCCTGTTTGCTATTCCGTAAATCAGCGGATTCAGGAGAAACACCACACTGGTGATGAAAAGCATTCTAGTTGTTGCGGGCGTGTTGTACGCTAAGCACACGTAGCATCGCCTAGTGCAAAGGTCATGTACACCGACAGCAGTGTTGTGAAATCGTGCATGTTTTGTGTTGAATATTACGTTGGAAATTCGGGTAGGCAGAATAAATATTACGAAAATGGAAAATGTCAAAGTGATCGAACGAACCGACAGCTTAAAGGCCATAGAAGCAAAATTTGTATTTTGGCTACAAGATAAAAATGACAACAGGGACTTTTCTCGGACTTGCAGTGGCTTTTTTACACACAAAAAAGTTCCGTTTTTTTTTTCCCAAGCAGCCGTTCCGGTTTTTTTAAGTAGACCCAATTCCGTTTTTTTTTCTCAAGCAGACCCTGTGGCATCTCTGGACCTAAAGCCTTCAGGTTCCTACTGCCTGGAACTGACACAAGACACTATTTTAGGCCTTGCATATAAATAACATTTGATAGCTGCTCTTTGCTGGCAAACGGTAATGAGATATTCTGATTATCCATGTCCATCTAGTGTTTGTCGTAGGAATAGCGTTTTGAGCGCATTACTAACTGTGATGAAGACTGACTCATCAATATTCGACAGTAGATCGCTTAAAGCCCGAGTCTTCCTGCTCGCTTGAAAGACATTAAGTTTGATTGCGTATTATTAGGGAATCATGACTGGTTGACGGATTGTTAATGAACATGACGTTATTGCAAGTTCCTGTATCAGTCAACCATTTAAATTTACACATTAGTGGACATCATTCATTTCTATATTAATCGAAGAAAAAAGCCAAGTTAGCTATTTGTCACGTCAAAATTAGACTGAAAGTACAGAAAACAAAACCTGTACCGATACGTTATTGCATGCACATCAATCATTCAAACTTTCATCAGTAATTTCACTGTTACATTTACAGGTGAATGTTGTTCATTTTTACGGGGACACTAACAAATGACTTAAAGAGGGTTAAATTTACTGATAACACACCATTCCCTAGCTGCAACCCCTTCCCACAATCCAGCAAATTAACCTTAAAAAAACTGATCAGAATACCCTGTTTTTTGGTGCTCGTCCTTGTGTGTTGTCTGTAAACTATTTATAATGATATGCGAGCAAGTGTTTTTCCCCCAAATTACAACACCTGGGTCGTAGTCCTACATTTAACGTTGATTCACTGATATCAAGAAATAGGTATAAACATGTTTCGTTTTATAAATATTATGGGCTTATAGACCTAATTTATGACCTCACTTTTTGAGTGACATTAAGCCCTTGCCTGTGCACTAAATGCACTATAGGTTGCAGACCAGTAAATAAACTTCCATAGACCCCAATGGTAAATGCTCCCACTTCAGAAATTGGTAAAAAATACTAACAACTCTCCAAGGTGTTCGAGACACACATCAAATTAAAGCTTATTTCATCATCTTTCATTTTCTTTTCAATTTTTGGGGGGGTCAACTGATGACTTTTAGGAGAAATTTCCATCCGAAGATGATCACCCCTGATAATAAAACGATGTTTATACTTCATTGCAAAATAGAGCGCGTTAAGGGCCCCAAGTCCATCCAAATTGAACGGAACTACAAGCTCACAGTCCTATGCATGGCTTCCACCCATATTTTTTACAAACCCTCAAGTTCATGGCCCATAGCATGCTCAAATACTGAAGATTTTGAGGGCATGCAAATCGTGATTTGGCCGGCGTAGGCAATTTCGGACCGATTTACTGGTCTGCAACCATATGGATATTTGGCTTACTGCACTTCACTTAACAATTAGGACCAACTCATCTTTACGTCATTAATGGGTGACTTGTGCGTAAAGCGCTCGCCTCTCACCAAGGTGACCACGGTTCGAATCCTGGCCGCGGATCGCATGTGAGTAGAGTTGTGCGTTGGTTCTCTCCTGTGCCACGTGGGTTTTTCTCCAGGCCCTCCGGTTTTCCTCCCTCCGGAAAAATCAAACAATTTCGATCTCAGGCTGTGCTCCGTGGTCATATATGGGTCGATGTGGCCGGCAGCCATAGGTGCCTTTACGTGCCAGCGGCCCGACCACGTTGTAGCCGCGTCCTTTGCAATTCAGCATACCAGCTGCGAGTAAGGATGATTAGCCTCCCAAATTATTATTATTATTATTATTATTAATGTTACATGGTCGTTGACATTGTCTGTTCTTACTACTTTGTTTGTCTGATGACAGTGGCATTGTTTTTTTCAGTGCCTGTCATTCTTTTATAAGAATACAATACATATTTTTAAGTCTACCAGCATTTGAAACATTTGATTTTTCGGATCACCTCTTTGCAGTCTTTCCTAAATCGTCTGTTTGCGATTCCGTAAATCAGCGGGTTAACTACACTGTTTATCAGAAAAGTGATCGAAATAGCCCTAATTATTGTTTCAAAATCATCATAATATGGAGTCGCAAAATTTTTGACGACGAAAACAAGGTAAGGGATCCAGGTCAGGAGAAACACCACACTGGTGATGAAAAGCATTCTGGTTGTCTTACGCTGTAGTTTGGCAGCACCGACCCTTTGAGGGGCGTGTCCTGGCTCTGGACGGGCCTGCCTCTGCGATGGAGTATTGTCTTGGGGCACAGTTTTAGCTTTTGGTTCAGGGATCACATCGGGTTGGCTAGGGCCAGAAGAGTCTTGGTGTGCAAAAGATACAACGTAAGCAGCAGTGCATGCATCATTGGGTTTCTTTTTGTGAGCGTTTGCGTAAGTTGTTAAACTTGTGCTTGGTGGATTTATGAACGTCGTCACGACCTCGTCCACAAATGATTCACGTGTCGGTAACTCATTATTCTGCTGAGGTGGTGTCGGTGGTATCGAGCAGTTAATGTGACGTTGGACTCTCAGATCGCTCGGTCTGCGTTCATCGCGTGCAGTTGGAGCTTGGGCGGGCCCTACCTTGACGTGTTTACGGATAGTGGCGTAAACTTTCCCGTAACATGCACCCATTGTCACTAACGCTGTCACAAATAAAACTGGCTCTACAATCGCTTCTATTTTCCGGTATAACTGTAAAGAAGGGGGTGTGGTGCCTGACACGTTAAAGCAGATACTTAGGGCCATTTGCCCAGCATTAATAGCAATTGCAAACAACACTGTCACCAAAACAGCTCTCTTAGACCGCCGCGGGTTGAAAATCCGTTTTTTTGGACGGCATACGCAGTCATAGCGTTCTACCGCAATCACCGCAGTGATACTGAATGACGAGGCTATTGCTGCATCAGTAAGTCCAATGAAAACATCATATACTATGAGCAGCCCCAGGGGAATTGAATACTGCGAATGTTCAGCGGCCAAATCAAGAGAAATTGCGATAATCGCCGGGATCATCAGCAAGCAGACGGCCAGATCAGCCCAGGCCAGGGCTCTGATCAGAATATCGGTGCTGGTCTTACGAGTCTTGGTCCAGTAGTAGACACGAAGAATCAGGCAGTTACCAGGTACTCCAAGTAGAAACACTAAAATACAGACGATGAGGAAAAGAGTACCGGTATATCGAACACCGATGGGATGGTCCTCAGCGAGCGACCCGTTTGTGGCTGTTGCATTCAAAGTGAAAATGTTCTCCATGTTGGTATTTCAAATCAATTGGATTCTAATTAAAAATTTCACACAGCACAGGATTTGCCTCTATCTTAAAATTGAGCCTACGTCGAAAAGAATGACTCGAAAATTAACATTGAACGTTTATGGTGAACTAATCATTTTAGCCAGTTTGGTATAGACTGTGTCGCTGTAGACCAAAAAGCCTGCATTTTCCTTCCGTCTCGGCAAACTGACACAGGACACTATTGGGTCCTTACTAATAGCTAGCCGCTCTTTCCTGGCCAACAATAATGAGACATTCTGATTATCCACTTCCATCTAGTGTAGGAACTAGGTATAGCATTTTCAGTACAAAAGTGTAATGAAGACTGACTCTTCAAATGACAACACTATACATTGACCAATAAGCCTACGTCTTGCTGCTCGTTTGAAGGACATCAAAGCCTACTTTTTATGAAATATTATTTAATAATATGGGATCGACTGGTTGACGGATTGTTAATGAAGATAACGTTATATTGCAAGTTCCTGTACCTGTCAATCATTTTAAATATACACATTAGTGGACATCATTCATTTCTTTATTTATGGGAAAAAGGTAAAGTTTAACTGCTTGTCACCTCAAAATAAGCCTGAAAGTTCAGAACACAAAACCTGTACCAGTACGTTATTGCCCATCAATCATTCAAACTTTCATCAGTATTAATTTCAATGTTCACATTTGCCGGTGATGTCATTCATGTTATATATCGGGACCACTAACAAATGACTAAAAGAAGTTCAAATTGACAAGTGACACACGATTGCCTGTACCTCCTCCCCACAATCCAGCAAATTAACCTTACAAAAACTGATCAGAAAACCTTTTTTTCGGTATTCAGCTTTGTGTGTTGTCTGTTAACTATTCATAATTATATGAGAGCAAGTGGTCTTTCCCCAAATTACAGCACCCGGGCCGTAGTCCTGTATTTAACGTTGATTCACTGATATCAATAAATAGGTACATAACATGTTTCATTTTATAAATATTATGGGCTTATAGACCTAATTTATGACCCCGCTTTTTGAGTGACATTAAGCCCATGCCTGCACACTAACTTCACATATAACACGGATATTACGTTTGACAAAACAAGGTGAGGGATCCAGGTCAGGAGAAACACCACACTGGTGATGAAAAGCATTCTGGTTGTCTTACGCTGTAGTTTGGCAGCACCGACCCTTTGAGGGGCGTGTCCTGGCTCTGGACGGCTCTGCCTCTGCGATGGAGTATTGTCTTGGGGCACAGTTTTAGCTTTTGGTTCAGGGATCACATTGGGTTGGCTAGGGCCAGAAGAGTCTTGGCGTGTAAAAGATACCACGTAAGCAGCAGTGCATGCATCGTTGGGTTTCTTTTGGTGATAGTTTGCGTGAGTTGTCAAACTTGTGCTTGGTGGATTTACGAATGTCGTCATGACCTCGTCCACAAATGATTCACGTGTCGGTAACTCATTATTCTGCTGAGGTGAGGTCAGTCATGCCGACCAGTTAACTTGACGTCCGACTCTAAGATCACTCAGAATGCGTTCAGCATCGCATGCAGTTGGCGCCTGGGCGGGCCCTACCTTGACGTGTTGACCTGCTGAACCTGCAGAGTGGCATTAGGGAAGCACACGTATTGCTACTCCTGTGTGAATTGGCTGTGCTTATGGACTCCATGCACAAGTACCCCCTCACCGGTTACAAAGAGTGGGTTGGGAGGGACCACTATGACAATGGGAGATACACTTGTATGCATTTGCATTGTATGCCTACAATTCGTGCATTGACATTACAGGTTTGTGCACTTTCAATTCAGAAATATTTCTGCATACTTCATGCCATAAGTGTGCACACAGTGTGTCCCTCCGAAGGAGATCTCATAAGTGGTCAAAAAGCGCCATCTGACCATATACCCAGAGAGTCCATTCAAGAACGGTCCATTCTAGCAGAAGTATGCTTAAAAGTAATGCACACTAGAAAAAGACAAAGTTGGTACATTCTGAACTCTAGCTAATCCGCCGCTTCTTGACGTTTCAGATCCTTGATCAGTTTGGGAGCGGTCTTGATACAATAACGGCAGAGATGGTAGACCGCATGGCCGACGCTTCTCTCTCCAAATTCCAGAAGGTTCCAGAATTTGACCCGTTTTTGGAACATCTGTGGTACAAACACTTGGTCAAGGAAGGGATCATTCAGAAATTCAAGGTTGTACACGACGAGCTGTGAGTGAAACGTTTCTGTGTGTGAGGAAGCTGTATCAAGGTAAATTCAATATTGGGGCCATTCCATGAGAAAGTAGACATGGCTGAAATGTGGACAATTTATGAAATCTTCAAAAGTGCAGGCATCACAAAACCTCAAATGTGATATCAATTTAAAGGGGACAACCGCTGGCAGTGAGATGAAATACTCTTCAGTGTGTTTTTGCCAAAAATATGTTTTTTTTTGTGGCTGCAAGGACGGTTTTAGGTAGTCATTTTGGCATCTTCTTTTGCATGCAAAATGCAAGTGTACAGCGTGTGTCAATAAAAACGCAGGATTAGAAACAAAAATATTAAGAATATAAACCACCCCTATTCATCATAATGTTAACCCTCTTTTCAAAGTACCTTTCCTTCTCTTCACTATGCTTTTTATCCCATCTCATTTGGACAATCCTGTCCAGAAATAGAGTACATTGAAGAAGGGTTATAAATTCCAAGCTGGTCTGATTTGTGAAATCACACATACCTAGTGAAAGGTTTGAATTCAGTACAGGTCAGTATTTGTGGATCACAAAGAAGGACATGTGTGGCAGGATTAGGCTTACCGGTACATAATCCTTTAGTCCACAATCAATGTTATTAGTCAATAATTCTTGATGCTTTGAAACAATGATATTCCAGTTATTAAATTTAAGTGATACTTATCATCAGTTGTTTCAAAGAAAGTTTTGTTCTGGTTTAATTGTCTTCAATGCATACCTGCATTGTACATAACTGGTCGTTGTGTTAAGGTCATTGAATCAGACCAACCCGCTTCGTAGTTGAGTTACTTAGTTTCAAGGGATCTTCTGTGAGAAAAATCCACCCTCAATGCTTTGACTTTATGGAATAACAGCACAGAGGTGGTGGAAGACCTCTAAATGTAACGTGAGTTACCATGGCATTGCCATTTGGGTTTCGCCCTTCACCGATGTGTGTTTAATAACACTGTGTACTTGGTGTTTTCTGAAGGCTTGCGAGAAAAAAAACCACAAGCTTAATACTCTGGATGGGACTCGAGCCCACGACCTACTGCTTACTAGTGCAGATGTCTTACCAGTCAACCACCAGACTTGCCAGAGTCGGTTGGCTGGTGGTTGGTTCGAATCTGATACAGCAGTAAGTACTGCAATCAAACTATTTATCGGATGGAAGACGCCTGCACTGGTAAGCAGGAGGTCATGGGTTCCAGTCGCACCACAGTAAGGTTGGGATTTTCTTCTTTCTTGCATGCCCTCGGACAACACTAAGTATACAGTCTTTAAAAAAAAATATGTGGGTGAAGGGCAATTGAATTTATATCTCCCTGATGCAAATTCCATTCTGTAAATGGTATCAAGATACTGGTAGATGGTTGTTCCAACAATTATTTTTTATAAAATATATTTTGGATGCTCCTACAAAGCAAGGGCAGATCCAGAACACAATTTGGGGGGGGGGGGGGCCCCAAAATTTTTTTGGATTCTAGATGCTCTGTGGTGCGATCTGAGGCAATTTCTGACCACTTTAACCAATGTTTTTTGAGGAAAAGATGGTGGTGTACTCATTGCCTGCCATTATTGCGACGTCACATAAAAAAAAAAAAAATTGCTTTCGTTTTTTTGGGGGGGGGGGCCCTGGCCCCCTTTGGCCCCCCCCCTGGATCCGCCCTTGCTACAAAGTAGGCACTCTTAATTGTGTCTGACCTGGCCATCTGTCCTTTAGTTTATAGGACAGGTGGAAAGAAAATAGTAGATCTCTAAGATAGATTCATCTTTAATTAATGGAAGTAGAAGTAAACAGTACTAATTGCAATTAAATTGAACTGTATTCTTATTTAGTATAGGTTATAGCTTGAAGGCTCTTTACATTTGAGCTCTGGGCATGATACAACTATGCTTTACTAAAGAGCCAGTGAAACACATTTCAGAATATTAAGAAAATGGACAAGATGTGGCTGGCCATCATAAGAACTTGAAGGATGGAAATGGTCCATTTTATTTATTTGTTTCAGAAAAACCTCGGAATGCCATTAGAAAATGCAATGCAAACAATTTTACATGGGTGCATTGCCAGACTTCTAGTATCTTTTTAGTATTTGGTGGGCCTGTTTTTGAATCTTTTGTAGTAAGTAGTAGTTTATCTCCAATTTATACTCCCAGTTTATACTCACTGAGTAGCATGAAATGACTGAGAATACTTCTATTCCCCCTGGATGGGATGCCAGTCCATCACAGGTTACTCCCCAGCTAATGCCGGTACCCATTTATACTCCTGGGTGGAGAGAGGCAAGTGGGGGTGAAATGGCTTGCCCAAGGACACCTTACCAGCAGCTGGATTTGAACCCCTGACACTCTGATTGTGAGTCACAAACCCTAACCACTGGGCCGCACTCCCCACACTTTTGAGTATGGAATAACTGCTTGAATCAGATGGAATTCAAACAGTGTTATGTCAAGCTGAAACATGTGCTAGCTGTCTGTAGCAGTTGCCATTCTGTGAGGATATATTTGCTTGCTGAATGTAACTTTTTCTCCCTACACTTTAGGCATCAAGCATATTCATTTTAACAATGTCTGCTTTTACTTCTAGGAATGTAGTTGTTATTCAATATTTTGGGTTTTGCCCTTCACATACGTATTTTTAGGTTTACTTGGTTGGGACTGCTTACAAGCCCTGATTGAATTTACATCTCCCGAATACACAGAACAAATTCAGAAATATTCAATTCACACAAAAAATCATGTAACTAGTTATTGCTGCTGTTCCTATAAGTACCCCACTATATTAAAATCATCTTGTAATACTGTATTGTTTTTTTATCTCGGAAGTCTAAAAATGATTGAAACATATGCGTTTATATTTTACAAAATATATGTTATCATGTTTTTGTAAATTTGATTGTATGTTTACTTGTAAATAGATACATAATTTGGTATATATTTTTCCTACAGAAATTGCTTTTTTGAAATAAAAAGTGTGTTTAAATGAAGTCTGTTCCTTTCATTTTGATTGGTTTTGGATTTTTCTGTTTAAACATAAAACCAAATTTAATAGGAAAAACTAACACTTCAGATTTAATCTGTGCTATTAATAGGAAAATCACGCCCAATTTTCAAGTAGGACATAATTGTAAGCCCTTATAAGTGATCATGTGTCATTGTTTGATGTTTGTGTTGTTATCACATATCCTGATTGCTACAGGAAGGGGAACCATTGCCTAAAATAAAACCTCTCCTATCAGTAGGGGGGCTTAACGAGATCCCCACAGAATGGTACAGAATTGTACAAGGTTGATTTAATACTTGCATTATCAAGGAACTGTGTGCATAATTATTATTACATGTACCAATAGTTGACGCCCATGTACCGGCACGTTAAGCCAAACCGCAGAGCTTCCTTGTGTAAGATAGGCTGGCTGGGTGGATTGGTATCTTGAAAATTGTTTTCTGATAAAAATGAAATCGTTGCTGTAAATTTTGGGTAACTCGGAAGACCTTTGGAAATTGTGGGGGGGGGGGGTTTAATTTGAAAGAAATTTTCCTGACAACAGTTACTAACAAATCAATGAATTACTGTTCAGATAAAATGTATGGGTGGTAGAATGGGGACGCTCTTCTGAATGGCATCGGAAGAGGTTTATGGATACGTTATCATTACGAATAATCTTGTTTTGGTAAAAATGTGTGCATTTCTGAAGTCGTTGCCAACTGTAGAATTTGGAATCAATCTAGTGTCGAGTAAATACATAAGATACATAGTTAGTTATACGAACATCAGATGCATTCATTTCAGTGTCAGATGCTAAGAAAAGTAAGTAGGACTGAACCCATGTTTTTATTTTGTTTTCTGGCCAGTGAAAATAAGTTATTAGATATGATTTCTTCCTGGAGACATGCCACAGCATTTTTTTCAAGTGGAAGTTAAAAATCATGCCCCTGCTCTTAAAAAAAAAAAAAAAAATTTCTCCTAACGAATTTGTTTGTTTTGTTTAAACAAGAAAAACTTCGCTGTTTGCGCACAAATGAACCCGCCCTGCAGAGGCGAATTATTGTCTGGCAGCTAGTAATTCAAATTTTGTGAAGAAATAATTCAGTAACTAAATGTCGGTGGACTTTTGCGATCGATTTCTCATTCATAAGTGAAAAACTTTTATATTGCTAGGAATTTTGGAAAAAACAATTCTATTTTTTGAGATGAAACTCGAAAATAGCACGGCCAAGTGCATATTTAATTTTGTGCAATACGTTTCTCTTTCCACATAATTTACAGCAATTTTGCCCCCCCCCCAAAAAAAAAACAAAATTCTCTTCTGCAAGTTATGAACCCCCTTCCCGGTCACACACATCTGAAATTTTTGAACTTGCGTTCCTCTTTCTTGTTACTTACAGTACACCAACCTATTTTTAAATAAATGCCAATTTCAAATATTCAATTTGTGTTTGTGCAGAGTTGGTCTAAATGGATTAGCCAATCTCTGTGGCCTCACATATGACTGCTCACATGCTGTTGTTATCACACCATTAAGTCATACCAGATAACAAGCTTTGGGTTAGGATTTGGTTTCTAGGGATGACGTTTATGATTATGGCTGTGCAAATACTACAATCAGGAAGTAGCTGGAATGACATGTGACTACTATCCACCAATCACAGGCTTGCTTGTGGCCTTCCAAGCAGCTTCACTTTAGTAACCCAAGTTGTGATTGGTCCTTTTTTCCTTTAACCTGTTCCTTTTTTGTGAGCATCTTTACTTGCCAGGAGGCTGTGCATGATTGTGGTACAGTACATCAGCATTTCAGGAGTTGCAGAGTGAACGTCAAGTCTGCTGTCGCCATGGGACGACTGATACTCCCTGGGGTTTTGCTCTGTGTGTTACTCCATATCAGCACACCAGCTACCACAGGTACTTGTCATTTGTGTAAAGGAATATTGAAGTTTTGTTCTTTTGTAAATCTTTTGTAAACTTGTGTTACATTTGGAGGGGTCTTCCTCCAACCTCTGTGCTTTTATTCTATAATATCAAGCATCTAGGGTGGATTTTCTCACAGAAGATCCCTTGAAATTAACTTTAAAAAACAACAAACAACAACACCAGATTTCTGTTGGTTTGGCAATAAGTTTGTTATTGGTAACTCACGTTACAAGAAAAGGACATGGCTAAAAATTTAAACGCCCATGTCATATGAAAGTTTTCTCATACTGTGCACTTTTGGAAAAATTTTTTTAGTGCCAAGACATTGGGATGTAAGTCATTTGCTACCATTTCAAGTATTACAAAAATAATCAATCAAAAAATCTTGAGAGGGTTATATTTTGGTAACTCATGTTATGGTGACTCACGTTACAATTTGTTCGCCCATCTTTAGTACAAATTAAGACATATATGAAGCTACTAATCAAAATAAAACAATACCCTCTTTTCACATAAAATGTGTTGCTGTGATGTCACTTTAGGAACACACTCTTCAGATTTAGGATTTTTCTCTTCAAACTGTAAACCCCAAATTCTGCCTGTGGAAAACATGTGCGCAAAAAGTTTTCTAATTGTCTTACTGTCATATACTCAGACAACAATGAACCACTGAAAGCAGAAAGACAACCACAGCAAACCCCTAAAATTCTGGTGACATTTTGTGCTGAAGCAAATGTGAAACTGAAGTTTCTGCTTTCACTGAGGCATCACAGCTTTGCCATGAATATGGAAATTTGCATAAGCATAAAAACCAACAAGGCACCAAAACACTCTTAAAATGACAATATGAAGATCGTAAATAAAGTTAAATGGATTACAAAGGTAGATTTCAAAGATCTGCATTTAAAATTCCATTCATAAATACCTCGGACAGTTTAGCTATTCCTATTGGTCGAGAGCCCTTCACGTGGCCGGTCTTAAACGGATGATAAAGACATGGCTAGCTGGTCTTAAACACTTTTCCAGTGTCACAATAAAATGTGGACTCCTAAAAATCCGGTGCCTCTTACCGTTTTATTGGTTGAACGTTCACAATCCTCACGTAGGCATGCACAACACTACCAGCGAGTCAGAATTTTATAGTTCTAAATTCAACACGCAACGCCCCAGGTGCGTTTTGCGCGACATCGCGCAGAACATGCTACGCGCGCGTCAATCTCCATAAAAGGGTTGTTTACATCTTACTCGCCAGCTGAACACTCCATTATTTTGCTAGAGGGATGTTTCAAAAAGCATGAAGTGAACTTGTTGAACAAAATCAGGATTTTTTGAACGAATTATTTGATTTTTTTTACCAAAAAGGTATTTATGAATGGGAATAAATAGGTTTTGGTCGGTATTTATCACTCTGTTTAAGACCGCTTAGAGTCGGGTAATTACCCGAGCCGGAGGCAAGGGTAATTATCAGCACCCAGACTCTAAGCGGTCTTAAACAGAGTGATAAAAACCTCTCGGGCACAGATTTATTCCCTTATTATATGTGCATTTTAATATGAGAATTCCTCCTGATCAACCTTGACATTTCAAGCTTTAAAGGGCCATGCAGTGTAATTGTTTAAAATGCAATCCTTGAAAATGCACCTTTGTGTGCACCATTTAACCTTTTTTCAATTTTCTTTTGCCATTTTCAAGGGTATGTTGGTGCCTTTTTGGTTTTATGCTACTGAAATTTCCATATTCATGAGCAGAAGTGTGACATCATTTCAGGCAGAAACCTCAGTATTACAGCTATTAAAGGGAATATACAACATTTGCAAACATCGAAAAATAAAACTACCAAGTTTTTACGAAATACCTTACTAGGATGTTGGTAAATGACAGTCTAAAGCATCCTGTAAAATTATGGCACCTGGTGTGAAGTCATTTTCAAGAAAATGGTATTTTTGTATGCATTTCGGCCGACCACCGTTGGAAAAACCTAACTATTTTTCAACTGCTGCTCCAACTTTACACTTTTTCCAGTCCAAATTTTGTTTGCTATTGGTTACATGTTCATGAACGGGTGCAGGCCAGCTAGACTGGTTCCCTTACCTTACAATTTTCCGGCATCTATAAATTGATCCATTTTATCTTTAGTGGAGTCAAGGAACCAGACTACTTGAACATTTTTGTTTTTTTAATTTTTTTTCAGCATTTTCGAACACAAAACTTCAAACATGTCAGTGCAACAATATTTGATCTATTATACTAACCCCTCAAATAGTTCATTTCTGAAAATTACAGCAAAAGCCAATGATGTACATTCCCTTTAAGCTCAGCACCAAAAGTTGCCAGAATATTGGATATTTTGCTGTTGTAAATTTTCTTTTCTTGTTGTTAATTGTGTCAGTACATGGCAGTAAGCCAGTGAGCAAACTTTTCTCAATTTTTTTCAATGTATTTTGTTTATTAGTTGTATACGGTCGATGTGTACAAAGACAAAGGGTGTTTCACTGATACTTTTTGTACATCATGTGGTCACGTGTTTATAAGTAAAAATAAAATAAAATAAAATTTAAAAAAAAACCAGAATTCATCGGCTTGCTCATTGTATCTGAAGATAGACAATCCCAGAATAAATCTGATTTGATATTTTAGCATATTCCTGTCTGGTGTAATGCTACTATTTTACGGTTATTTCACAATTCTTTGATCTTTGACCTAGAATTATCTGTAATCCTTAGGCGGTCCTGATCAAGTCTGATAAATTGCCAACCTCATCTGATTACTTTTGTTTTTGTGCAACTATAGTTACTGAATCATGCTAATCCATGATATCATTTGTTAAATGATATTTAATTTGAGATAATATTTAATCCTCACATGACTGTGCCAAAAGCGCTTGGTAATTCTTGCCTATAATCTGTTAAGGTTTGTTACTAATTTTCTTCTAATTATATCCAAGTTATAGGAAATGTTCAAATGATTTTGAATTTTATGTAAAGCTAATCTTTAAAGTGTCAGTAATGTGTAAATTGTTGGCATGCACGTAGTCTACGTACAAGATTATGCCACAAATGGCATCTCCTACTGTCAGACAGTGGCCAGTCTTGTTTCATAACCCCTTCCCCCCCCTCAAATGAAAATTGTCTCTTGGGCTTCTGATAAATACTAAATTACCTACAGTATATGATGAACAAACTGCTAGAAATGTTAATATTTTGACTCGCAAACTGTTACAGGCTGCTGATGAGTTATACAGGGTGAGTGCAAAAAAACATATACATACATCCCTGTTTCGTTTTGGTGAAAGAACACTTAACTTTTTTGGTGATCGATCCGTGGATTCTGTGGACAGAACTTTAAAACAGTGTTTGTGTTTAAAATTCTGCAACTTGAAAAGTACATGAGTGTGTTGAATGATTCTTGTACTAAAAGAAAGCTTATTAATTGGGCTTTTATATCTTAGATTATGAAAGTGCTACATGCAGAATTTCGTTAAAAAATATTGTCCTGACCATTGGATTTCCTTTTTTTGACTCGCCCTGTATACTTTGATTTCAGTGACAATTATTTTCAAATTTGTTTCAGTAAAGTTTTGTTACTTTGAAAATATATTCTGTAGGAAGTTTAGTAACAAATTGCATGTTAACAATCTCAATGATCCCTCCATGAAACTGCCCCAACATTCATGTATATCCACTTAGTCAAAATACATGAGACAGTTTACCCATTCTCACTGTAAATAGGAATTCACTGGCTGTTCAGACACCGGCCTGTTTAAAAACGGTCGCAAGATGCTGCACTATGCACGCCCCACGTGCACGCAGTACCCGTTGCATGCGCCTACTATATACAACCGTGTGCTTGAGAACCACTGATATGACCTCCATATAAGGAGAATGAGATGTTAAACAAAGAGAATGACATAATGGGGAACTGCTAACATTAAACTGGATAGCTCAGTTGGTAGAGCACTGGTATGGTATTCTGGAGGTTACAGGTTCAAACCTAGTCTGAGTATCACCCGTTGTCCAACGGAGCCCTCTCTGTCTCCGGTCCAATGTCTGATATATCTCAGCATGCAATGTATGCGACCCCTTGCACCAGCCAATGGGATTCAACATGACGTTATTTCATTCCGAAATCGGGACTAAGCTATTGAGTGGTCAGTTTGGATGCTATGAGTTTTTGCAATACTACGGGTATAGAGATCTAATGAAACCCGACACTGGCTTTCAAAACGGGTTACAGAAGACCCGATAGAAGGCGCTCGCTGAATGGTCAGAATCTTAAGTCAAAATGCAGTTTTGTTTGCATAATTAATTGCCGAATTTGCTTGCATATTATAGACCTTGCTGTGCAGGGCGATATTCCATAGACTAGTTCAAACCCCACTCCTGACAATTTCCTAGTTTAACTTTCTACTTATTGCACTTAGTCAGTTTCTGTTTATGATTTATTTGGACTTTTTGTTACTGTTTGTAGCATGCTACGTACCAGTGGATTTGTCTGGTCCATCGGGCAATGCATCTTCTCTTGAGCACCCTGATCCCTATCCTTGGGACTATGACTGCCAACTCTTCACCATTACTGTCGACGATGATAAGATCATCCGTCTGATGTTTGACAGCTTTGATCTCGGGGATGATGATGTTCTTATGATCAGTGAGCCCAACAAGGTTGATCCTTTGGTGAGTTTTCTCTCCCTCTCTTGGATTTACATGACACTTAAGTTGCAATGTACGCAATTTACATGTATTTAGTATTTTAGATTGTTCGCAGATGAGGGGGATCGGAGTATGGCCTAGTAGTTAGGATTCGTGACTCATGATCAGAGGGCCACCGGTTCGAATCCAGCCACTTGCCATATGTTGTTTCCATGAGAAAGACACTTCACCCCTAGGAGTATAAATGGATACTGGCATTAGCTGGGGAGTAGCCTGCGATGGACTAGCATTGTAACTAGGGGAATAGAAATAATCTGAAGTTGGTTCATGCCAGGGAAACTGGAGATAAACGCCAGCCTGTGGGCCATATTGGCTCCTGTATGACAGACTTTACTTGTTATTAATGGTGCAATTTTGTGCAAAATGTAGTTTTTGATTAATTTTTCTGATGATATTTTTAAAGGAATTATTAGCCAAAGTTGTCAACAATTCGAGCACATATGTGTTTGAAGCAATGTTTCAAAAGTAACATTTTCAAGGTATTATTGTGTTTATCTTTATCATTTTGTGTTTTGCTGACCCCTAAACGGCGCATTTGAAACAAAATACTCCTGTATACTCTTGGTGGCATGGGTGGCTTGTGTGTAAAGCGCTCGCCTCTCACCAAGGTGACCATGGTTCGAATCCTGGCCGCGGATCGCATGTGAGTAGAGTTGTGCGTTGGTTCTCTCCTGTGCCACGAGGGTTTTTCTCCGGGCCCTCCGGTTTTCCTCCCTCCGGAAAAATCAAACACTTTCGATCTCAGGCTGTGCTCCGCGGTCATATATGGGTCGATGTGGCCGGCAGCCATAGGCGCCTTCACGTGCCAGCGGCCCAACCACGTTGTAGCCGCGTCCTTCGCAATTCAGCATACCAGCTGCGAGTAAGGATGATTAGCCTCCCAAATTATTATTATTATCTAAGAGCATGAAGGGCCACTGCCTGGACACACAACTCAACTCAGTTAGACACTACTCAACCAAACTCTTATATTTGAACCCAACCAAATCCTATTAACCCATTTCAACCCATTTCCAACTTAACCCAGCCACTAACCTGGCCCAACCCGGCCCAACCAACCACAAACGAGCCCAGCCTAAACAAATCCAGCCCAAACCAACCAAAAGCCTCATGCAGCTAGGTATCTATCAACACTATTCCACTAGTACATTTTTATTATTTCAATTTTTTAGGAATTGCTTTTTTATATTTGATCTGCATGACGTCATTTTCTTTTATGTTCCTTCTTCAGATTTTACGAGCAGGGAGGCTTCCCAAAAACTACTACAGTTCTGGAAACACAGTGCAGCTCAATTTCACATCGGAGAGCTACAATGCAGACAACCGTACAGGCTTTCTTGCTTACTACACAGAGTCAGATAGGGGTACGAACTTCCTTTAGTTCCCTAGTTTTTAGTCTTCATTTTTAAGTAGTTGTGGTCTTAGACTGGTAGTTTTTGTGAGAGTTCATCTACTATCCGTACATTAATAGAGATGGTACTACAGGGTATGTGGCAATTCTGGATGGCAGGTTTCAAAGAATTATCCTTCATTTTTTTTTTTACCCAGGACATTTATTCTCAATTTTTTGTTTGTTTATCATACTTAATTACACACATTGCTAATAGTTGTGTGTGTTATTTCTGGTCTAGTTATTCCAGAGCTGAAGCAACTTGTCCAGTCCTACAACCTCATTCCTGGCAAACCTACTGTGATTCGATCCCTGGATTACCCACAATCCTACCGTGACTTGGTGTTGTATTTCTTCACCTTCACATCGACCCCCAACACCAGGATCTGGGCTGAGATCATGGATCTGGACACGGAGGAAGGACTTGACTTCATCGAGATGGGCAACGGGGTCAATGCCAGCCAGCGATTTGAGACCAGGTTGGCACGGGTGTCTGGTAGACGAGGCAGGTATCAGCCAGTGGTATCGGAGAGCAATGAGATGTGGTTGCTGTTTGAGAGCGACTATTCAGTTACTGGACGTGGATTCTCTGTCATGCTGTATGAGACGTCAATGGGTAAGCACAGTTACTTGAAAAAAATCCACATTTTATGCTTAATAGATAAACTTGATAATTTTTATGGACATTTTCAATTCAAAATGGTACATTTTGGCATGAAGTAGGAAGCTATTTAAGAATTGTTAATTATATCAAATGCCTGGTATTTTAAAGAAAAAAATTATTTAAAAATTAATTTGAGGACCTGCTGCCACATTTGTATCTAAACTCTCATTTTTTGATGGAAATATTTGCCGGCAATTTAACTGTTGGGGATTAAGTTACACTCCTAAAATTATTTGTAAAAAAAAATGTCTTGTAAATTTTTTTAATATGAATTGAAAATGTTTCACTATAATTTGTAAATGCCATTACAAATTGAAAAATACTGTGCAAAGTCTTGTGAGGTTTGGAGTTTCCTTGTTTTTTTCCTAAATTCTCAGTTGCATGCCTGAATATAGGCAGTTATTAATTCAGTATCTACATAGGAATCTGCGATTTCACCATAAATTCAATTAAAAAATGGAGAGTGTGGTTTGTTTTTGAATCCGGCTGCTGGCCATATGTGTGTCCTTGGGCAAGCCACTTCACCCTCACTTGCCTCTCTCCACCCAGGAGTATAAAATAATGGCATTCTGAAGCTGTCTTCAGGCATTAACAGGGGAGTAACCTGCGATGGACTGGCATCCCATCGGGGGGGGGGGGGGGTTACAGAAATATCTACAGTCGTTTCATACCTAGGATCGAAACCAGAGGTAAATGCTGGTCTGATAAGCTATGTTGGCTTGTCACAGACTTTACTACTTACTTCAATAAAAAAAAGGCTGTTTTCGATTATGTTAATTTCTTTGATTAAAAAATTTAACAAGTAAAAAGAGAAATGGAAATATTTGAAGACATTGAAATGAATACAAAGTTGTTTCAAATTAAAAAGAAGAAGTTGCTGTGATGAATAGCATAGTATATCTTCTGTCTTGTTTCTTTCAGGTCTTCCAGATGCGAAAAATGAGACTGCTATGCCTGCTAATGTTACATGTGGGGAAAATATCACCATTCCAGAGTCAGGTCAGTAGTGTTTGAATACTTCAGCAACCAAAATATCTTGTTGGTTAAGGGTTTTGGATTGTGATATATGAGACAGGGATTGCTCATGCCAAGGATGACAAAATATGGAAGGAAAAGCTTCATGTAGTTAAATCGGAAATCTTGACCCAATATCAAATTGAATTGATACTACAAACACGAATGATCATTGGCGCTCATCCAGTGTTGATCTAAATGTGTGTCCCAGTAGCATGGACACTGGTTTGGTTTAAAATTTGTGTCCTTCAAAGCCTAATTTTCACTGAACAAAATTGCAGGGTTTAATGTGGGGTAATCCCAGAGCGAATAACACATTTAAAGTAATTGTCAATCTTGGCCCCCCTCCCCAAATTGCTCAAAATGAAGTTACAAATAAAATTCAGCATTGTTTTATTTGCAGGTTCCACATCTGTATCACTGTCCAACTACGACAATGACTTGCTGTGCATATGGAAAGTATCTGGTGTTGCCGGTTTGAGAATTAGAATGACACCAGATAACTTCAGTCTGGAATATGGGTATGTTGGTTTAGGCCTGTTATACATTAAAGATCTATTTTTTCCTCCAAATTTTCAACTTGTATGTTTTGTTTTAAAGCTAGAGTCCATCATTTGCAGCCATCTGAAAAGTAACTGGCGTAATTATTGTTGAAAAACAAACTTGGTTGAAAAATAGTAAGGGAATTAAACTCCCTGTGAAATTATTCTTTCTGGGAAGCTGTCATTTTGAAGTAATCAATGAAAGAAGGCATTTCCAACGGTGATTCTTAAGAAGCACCGTAGGAAAATTTAAATTAGTAGTTTGTTTTGTTATTCAGCGCAGCGCGCACAAGTATTGGAACGACGCATACGTGCGCGCTGTTGTTGTAATTTGTCGGATCAGTGCGCGACGTCGCGTATAGCTGCAATTTAAAACATTTCAAAACATGATTCAGTAACTGTTGATTTGAAATTGAGATCTTAGAATGCTGTTTTTTTTCGGAATTGTACAGCTGAAGCTTAGCTGAAACTTCATCAGGTTAGTTGCTCAGTATCCTTCATTAGATTTTGAACTCTTTTGTTGCTTCAAACGAACAAAATGCACAAATTACAAATGATGAACTGTAGCTTTAACAAAAAAACCTACTTTAATCCAATTTTGGGCATCTGCAACACTATGTCTTAGGTCTGTTGAATTCATGTGTGTTTCATTGTAGGTGAAATAGGTCTTAATTAAAAAACAAAATCTTTTTAGCAAACTGTTGAAGTTATCAAGCAAATTAAGGTGTGGCCATGACTAAAGGGCTGAGTACATTTGTGCCTGTCTGAAGAGTTATTTCAGATTTCTGTGAGACACCATCTTGTGGCTGTAGACATCTAAAATCCTGAGACATCACGCAAGACACTGCTATTTTATTTGCAAAATTGTTTTATGTGTTCTTAGTGTTGACCCTTGCTGACTTGAAAAGTCTAGTGATTTGAAACATGAAAAAAAACAAGGATGCATTTTTGCAAATTGCTAAGCCGTTGCTGTACAATTGTTCCAATTTCGGTCACAAAATGTTGAGGTGTTAAGTGCCTCAAACGGTTCTTTTTTATTTAATCTTGTACTTTTTTTCCTTGTGTATGTCCAAACAGTTTTGATGTTCTAGAGATTGGCAGTGGATCTGATCCCATGGATCAATCCTCCCGTTTCATCTCGCTGACTGGAGATAATCTCAGCGGTCCCATGATGCTGGAATCTGACGCAGTATGGCTCAGATTCCGCAGTGATGCCACGACCTCAGATCAAGGATTCAGTATTACATTTGATCAGCCCACCACAAATGGTAGGTGATGTTGTGGACCTGTGGCAGATTTTCAAAACTTTACGCCATAACGTAACTCCACTTTGGCACATGTTATCATGTAAGTTTAGGCAATAGCTCATGATGTCACAACGCACAGCAACTTTCAACACACAGCAACTTGGGGAGTCAGGTTGGCTTAGCATTTCTTTCCTTGCCTTCCACCGCTGTTACCCGGGTTCAGTTGCTGCCTGGGATAATCTGTGGATTGGGTTTTCAGTCCCTACCTGATTCCATGTGTTTTCCCCAGAATTTTCTTCTGGGTTTTTCCTCCCACCTCTAAAACTGTAATTTCTTTTCATTGTCTTCTCTACATGTTTCTTCAGGCTTGTGAGCTACAGTGCCTAGGGCACTTTTGAGGAGTCCTTGTTTAGATTGCCAGAAATAATTAATATTCATAAATACCTCAGACAGTTTAGCCATTCCTATTGGTCGAGAGCCCGTCACGTGGCCGGTCTTAAACGGATGATAAAGACATGGCTAGCTGGTCTTAAACACTTTTCCAGTGTCACATAAAATGTGGACTCCCATAAAATCCGGTGCCTTTTACCATTTTATTGGTTGAACGTTCACAGTCCTCACGTAGGCATGTGCAACACTACCAGTGAGTCAGAATTTTATAGTTCTAAATTCAAAACGCAAAGCCCAGGTGTGTTCTGCACGACATCGCACAGAACGTGCCACGCGCGTGTCAATCTCCATAAAAGGGTTGTTTACATCTTAATCGCCAGCTGAACACTCCATTATTTAGCTAGAGGGATGTTTCAAAAAGCATGAAGTGCACTTGTTGAACAAAATCGGGATTTTTGACCAAAATGTTGGATTTTTTTGACCGAAAAGGTGTTTATGAATGGGAATAAATATGTGCTCGGTCGGTATTAATCACTCTGTTTAAGACCGCTTGGAGTCTGGGTGCTAATAATTACCGTCGCCTCTGGCTCGGGTAATTATCAGCACCCAGACTCTAAGTGGTCTTAAACAGAGTGATTAAAACCTCTCGATCACACATTTATTCCGTAAATAATAATAATAATCAATGATGTCACATACGAATAGCTTGTCAGTTAAAACGATTGGGGATTTTACCTAGTTTGTACCCATCCTTCCTGAGCAGTGGGGGTCAATTTTCTCTTTTTTTCTTAAATGCAAATTCTGGTATGTTTTTTTTCGTCTTGCAGATTGCGGAGGAGAATTCTACATTAACGACACCAACCCAAGCATCACTGTAGCAGTTGACGGCACAGACTTACCATCGTCGCAATGCCAGTGGGTCATTCATGGTAGACCTGGCCGCTTCATCAGTGGCAACACCATCAATTTCAACACAGGTTTGTTGATAATTAAAAAAAAAAAAAAATCACAAGAGGATTCTTGAATCCATAATGAAGACATGTGCTCAATGTTGATATATGATAAATGTTCCTTGTTGAAATTTTTATTGGTAAACTGACAAAATTGTCAAAGATAGACCCATACTTCTTTAGTTTTGCAAAGATTGTAAGTTAATCCTTAAAACTTTGTCAAATCAAAAACTTAAGAGATGTCAGATATTGCCAAATGTTGATATATGATAAATGTTCCTTGTTGAAATTTTTATTGGTAAACTGACAAAATTGTCAAAGATAGACACATACTTCTTTAGTTTTGCAAAGTTTGTAAGTCAATCCTTAAGACTTTGTCAAATCAAAAACTTAAGAGATGTCAGATATTGCCAAAAAGCTATGTGTAGCCTAAACCTTAGATAGAATGCTTTCACTACTCAACACTCCTCTAAGATTGGTTCCAAACCAACCAGGCCAACTTAATGTATCAAAAAATCCATTCATTAGACTCTGGAGTAGTTTCACACGACTTTAAAAGTCGATCTTTTATGTGAAGTCATTCCCTGTTATTTCAGAATCGACAAATGTTCAGAATAGTTGCCACAATCTGCGTGTTGTTTCTTCTGCCAGCTGTAGATTTATGTTGGGAATAAAAAAGAAAACAAATTTATGTTAGAGGCATAATTATGTTATAGGCCAAACATTTTTAGGACAACAGAAGAATCAGTATATCTTCTTCAGGAAGTTTGGAAACTTTGAAGACGTGTAAGGAAACCTAGCAGAATGTTTGCATTTTTGAGGAAAGTATTCAAAAATCTGTGGCATTTTAAATTCACTGCCAATTTAAGTTCTGTCAAAACCAACTTGCAAACAAGTAGGGATATTGAACAATTATTTTTTTTTGTGGGGGGGGGGGTGCTTGATCCCCAAATTTCTCCTCCAGAACCCCTTAAGTTCTCCGCTACAAGCAGGCATTAGACAGTTTTTTGTTTTGTTTTAAAGAGAACATTTTTCAGGCTTCAAAAATGTTGGTTTAGCATTTGTGTTCTTGACTCACCAAGCATGGGTCTCTCCTTACATACAATCTTGCAGAGGATGTGTATGACGTAGTAGAGATCGGCACTGGGGATAATCCAGCTGATCCTAAGACAAGAATTAAGATGATTGCAGGAAGTATGGAAGAAGGGATGTTCTACACAACTTCCGACACTGTGTGGGTCACTTTCACCGTCAATGGCGGCCAGGCTGGGCAAGGCTTCAACATGTCATTCACTGATGGTAAGGATTGAGGGACATACTTACTATGGACTCTTTAAAAAAAAAGAAACCCAAATGGTGCCCCCAGTTTTTTGAAGAAGTTCTGCATGTAGCGTTTTCCACATCTAGAATTTGAGAGCCCAATTGATAAGCTTTCTTTTAGTGAAAGAATCATTCTTATCGCTCATGTACTTTTCCAGTTGTGGAATTTCGAACACAAACACTGTTTTTTAACGGATCACATTTAAAGTACGTGATATTTCAGTAAAAATGAAACATGTCGTATCTTGAAAATGATATCAGAATAATGCTATAAGTCTCCGGGTAGCCAAATAGAAGGCAGGGCAAGACTTTAAACTCTTGACATTGTAAACCATGATGTTATAACATTGGAAGCAGCAGGTTTTTACATAAATGTTATAAGTGCCAGTTATCATGGTTATGATAGTGTTCTGATGTGTTTTTTGGTATATGAATAGTTTTCGTTTTGCTGTAATATCACTAACCTTTACTGTGATCGGTGGACAAGCTTAAAAAAAGTTTTTGTGTTGAAAATTCCCTAACTGGAAAAGTACATGAGCGATTTGAATGATTCTTTCACTAAAAGAAAGCTTATGAATTGGGCTTTTATATCCTAGATTTGGAAAGCGCTACACGCAGAACTTCTTTAAAAAATAGGTTTGCACCATTTGGGTTTCCTTTCTTTTTACTCACCCTGTATATTCGAGGAAGCCCCCGTCAATGATAAAAGCATTGTGCAAGGTATCCGGTTCGTTAGTGTGACGTCATTTCAATTTAACCATGCGTACTTCACTAGGTGTAGCATAGCATGAATGGAACCGGAAGTGTTTATCCAATGGGCGCTAGTTATCAGTGGTGCGTGCGCGTGTATGTATGACGTTTTTACTAACAAACCGGATTGTGCAAAGCATCTGCCCGGTATAGGATCATCTAAACAAAAGCTAGCATAATGCTTTCACCATTGGAGGGGGCCTCGATGAGTGTTCCGTGATTGCGTGCTGGAACGGTCAATAGGCAATGTGAATGTCCCTATATATCATAACAATTCTTTGATCCAGTTGGATATAATTGTGCATTTTGCATATTATCTTCAAACAAACTTGAATCCTCGATCCTGATTGGTCGAGCTATTGCAACGACAGTTTGGTATCCCATATACCACGGTCCATACACGCACATGTAACAGAATTACTGTTGAAAAGTTTGTGTACGGCATGCTCCTTCCATCTTTACTGTGCGTAAAGTTTGCTTGAAGGTAAAGTCGTCATCCCACGCGTGTTTGTGGAACACGGAAAATGTAGTGCCTTTGTAATCCATCTTCGGCTGTGTGGCGTATGGGACACAGATGCACTACAATAGACCATTATCATGTTGCGGCCATCGATTTTTTTCCCATTTAAATCAATGTAACTAAAGCGAGGCAGGATGGAAATATAGTCTGGTTCTTTTTTGCACAAAAAACATCATTCAGTACTTACATGGGATACATAGAACATGACTGAAATGGTGGCAACATGATAAAGATCTATTTCGGTGTTCCACTTGCGCTTTTATACTCGCGCATTTTCAGCCATAAGAATGCATTTAGATATGAGTCACTGCCTGGCACATTACTCAAGACAAATGTTGCCAAGCATGGGAACAATGGACAACATGTAAGGGTGACATGGGTGGCTTGTACGTAAAGCGCTCGCCTCTCACCAAGGTGACCATGGTTCGAATCCTGGCCGCGGATCACATGTGAGTAGAGTTGTGCGTTGGTTCTCTCCTGTGTCACGAGGGTTTTTCTCTGGGCCCTCCGGTTTTCCTCCCTCCGGAAAATTCAAACACTTTCGATCTCGGGCTGTGCTCCGTGGTCATATATGGGTCGATGTGGCCGGCAGCTATAGGCGCCTTCACGTGCCAGCGGCACGACCACGTTGTAGCCGCGTCCTTTGCAATTCAGCATACCAGCTGCGAGTAAGGATGATTAGCCTCCCAAATTATTATTGTTATTATTGTTATATAAGCTGTCATGGAGTGCTGTTAATCACGTTGATTTATCCCCAACCCCATGTTCTCAGATGCCTGTGGAATCACCACCCTATTGGACAGACAGGGAACCATCCAATCCCCTGGTTACCCTGTCAGTTACCCTAGCGACGCCGACTGCCAGTGGATCATCCAAGTCCGTGGGGGTTATAACATCAAACTGACCGTTACTGACCTGAGCACAGAGTATGGCCATGATAAGCTGCTTATTGGTGGTGTGGAGCCCCAGGATTCTGGGTGGTCACCGTATTATGTAAGCATTTTTTTTTTAGAAAAGATGGGGAATAATCCCTAGGCCGCATTTAAAATATCTAGTACCTTCGCCAAGGAAGTTAAGTTTTCACCAGCATTGGTTTGTGTGTTGGTTGGTTAGTGTGTTGGTTGGTTAGTGAGTTTATCTGTGAACAGGATAGCTCAAAAAAGTTGTGGACAGATTTTCATGAAATTATTTGTAGGGTGGTCCTTGGTACAAGTACGAATCGATGAGATTTTGGAAGTGATCGGGATCTGCGTGTGGATACAGGATTTTTCAAAGGACTTCACCCATATGCATGTAAAACTTTCACCAGATCGCTCTGTGCACAGGTTTGTGTGTGTGGCACTGACCCAGGGACCCTGTATGCCTTGTAACCCACCTAATCTAACCACACAGGTCAATGGACTTGACCATTTGTATACAGTGGGGGAGTGGAAAAGTAGACCAACACAGGCATATACATACAAAATGTTTGAGTTTAAATGTGCACTAAAATATGGAAGTCCAATGGATATGCAAGGCTGTATGGGTGTACTAACAATATGGCGGGGAATTGTTCAGCCTTGGCGGAGGTGTGCGCTCTCTGAGTGCTTTCTAGTTTTTGTTAATTATTTAGACAAAAGTCCCTTGTCTCATTTCCAGTGGGGTTCCTTGGCAGTAGATGAGGAACGATATTACAGAAATTTGGGGAACAACTAAATAATTATTTTGGTATATTTGTGTGGAGCTAGAGAAATATGTAAGAGGACAATATTTTTATTATTATTATTATTATTATTTATATCTGGTAATGAAAAAAAGATTCCTCAAATGGGCCCCAGGCACTGTAGCTCGCAAGCCTGAAGAAATTAGAGAGAAGAAATCACAGTTGTAGAGGTGGGAGGAAAACCCCAGATGAATATTTTGGGGAAAACCCACGGAATCAGGCAGGGACTGAAAATGAAAACCCATCCACATGTTGGCCCAGGCGGGATTCAAACACAGCACAGCTCACAACAGTGGAAGGTGAGGAAAGTACCGCTACGCCAACCTGACTCCCTTATGTTTGGATGTCAACATGCTCTTCGTTTAATTTCATCAGAGGGTAATTGGAGTACAATATGAAGAAACCATAACGAGGACAATGAGAAGTTCTAACTATACACACTTGCACATAAAATATTCAAGAGAATGAAAGATTTTTTTTAATGATTTTGTAGTCTGTGGTTTGAATGGTATATTGTTTCGATTGTAGGAGCTGACTGGTGAGATGGAATCTGCTCAAGTGATGAGCCAGTACAACGGCTTGTCCCTGCGACTCATCAGTGATGGATCTATGCAGTATGGGGGATTCTCTGCCACCTATGAAGAAACATGTAAGTCTTGTGTCTGGTTTACACAATGGGCTGGATTTAGCCCATTCATTGGTATTGCAGGGTGATCCTATATGATAGCACTGCCCGGCTGTCTTCAGCAGTCTACTATCAGTCTGAATTAGTCACTAGTGACAGTTAGTAATTCAGTCAGTCAGTCAGTGAGATAGATGCAAAGAGGGCACTAGGTTGGTTCTCTGGGACCAGCAAAAATAAAGAATTAAAAAAGTATGTACAATAAAAAATAAACAATAAAATCAAAATTTAAGTGGACTAGTGCAGGGTTTGAACCTTGAACCTCCGGACTGCCCTTCCGGTGCTCTACAAACTGAGCTCTCATATGGTCACTACTTATTTACATACATTTACATACATCTGCACTGAGATGGGCTCATGACTAGCGCCATGTCTGAAATCAATCACTCGTGAGTCATTCTGAACGACTCAGACAGTCGATCTTTCGCCATCTAGAATGTCTAGTCGCTGCTAATTGTGTCAGACATCAGATTTTTCATGCACTTAATTCAAATCTTGTCGTAAATTTGGTTCGGCTCTACTCTGGAACGCTCAAGTGTCTTTTTTTTCATACACCACTTTGATAGTTTCCTGCCCCGAGGGATATGTACTGGGCAACAATGGCAGTGCCTGCTACAAGTTTGTATTGTCCCCATCTACTTGGGAGGAAGCACGAGATGAATGCCTCAATGTTGCCGATGGCGACTTGCTTGTTATCAACGACCAGGCAGAGTTTGAGTACATCCAAGAGATGGCCACCAACATCACTGGTGACTGGTGGGTAGGTGAGTGGAAAGTAGAAAAATTGTAGGCCTTGTCCGTAGTGTTATTGAAATGATTGTTTCTGGCCAAGTGACCAAGAGGGTAGTTTCATTTTATGCATGTAGGACTTTTTTTTAAGGAGTTAAGATAGGTCCTTGGCTACACAAGGCAAGGGTGCCTAGCCACTCTGGAAATCAGGGAAAACCTTACAAAAGAGGTTCCATTTTTCCAGTCAGGGAAAACTGAGGGAATTTGACATTGACCCAGAAGGGAATGGTTTATGCTGGTTTGGCATATGTGCGTCTCTGTTGCATACGGTGAGGAAAGGATGGCTAAAAGGGGAGAAGGGAGGCCATCCCTTGTCAACAAGTTGCCCATGTATTAATTATCAGTATCTTAGATGCTTTGCTGCAACCACCTCTTGACTTCCAAGCAACCTCGTTAAAGTGAATATATTTCTCATGGAGTTTGGGGGATTTCGTAGGGAAATATCAGGGGAAGCTCACAGACTTTTATTTTCAAGAAGTGCTGGAACTCTGTAAGCATGGCCATCTGGGGTAGCAGTATCACATGAAATACTGTCAAAATGCATGGTTGATAAAACGTTTGTGGCATACCTGTCTGTCAATTTGTAGGGCCTAATTTCATGGAACCGCTTAGCAAAATTATGTGTCAAGTAAATGTCAGTTGAGATCCTGACACAAACAATACATATAATGCAGTTTTGGCTTGTAACCTGTTTTTGCTCGGCAATTATTTCTGTGCTTAGCAAGTTTCTATTTTCTGACCTTAATCTCAGGATGGTATGATCTAGCCATTGAAGGGCAGTGGAGCTGGGTCGACTGCCAGGCTAGCACTAGCTGGGCCAATAGCAGGTGGGCCAATAGTTCCTCTGGAGATGCTGCTATGGAAGAAGACTGCGGGATGTTGCTAGGAGACTCGGGTCTCCTTGACGACAGGAACTGCAGCATCCCTATGAAGTTTGTGTGCGAGACCACCAAGAAAGGTATTTCACACGTTTTTTTCTGCAGAGAGAAACTAGCCTATGTAATAAATACTTTGTGTTGTTACATATTTCTAAATCCCAAAACAGCTGACTCAAACAGAATCCAGCAGGATGTTTCTGTTGTATTTTCTTGAATACAGCGGAGAAAGGAGACCTTATATTAAATCTAGCTTGTTGGATGACATGTACATTGATACATGTATCCTTTAGGAATCTTCACTTGTAGGTTTTGAGTGGAATAAGCAGACTGTATTTTGCTGTTGGATAGTGATATATAGAAATATAGGCAGGCTTGAATTATGGTGATTGAGTCTTTGTACGTTTGCGTCAAGGTATCTATATAAAAACCTTTTCTGTCAAAATCTATAAAAAGTCCAAAAAGTTGAAAATCTTCAAATGATTTTGTTCTCGTGGTACATGTGCTCAGCATCTCCTTATATGGCGATCATATCAGTGGTTCTCCAGCAACTGTTTGTAACTGGCGCGCGTGTCGCATACTGCGTGTATGTTCCGCAGAGCGCAGGATCTTAAGTTGTGACTGGTTTAAAAGATCATTAAGACCACCCATGTGAATGGCTCTCAACCAATAGGAATGGGTAAACTGTCTCAGGTATTTATGAATGGTGGTTTAAACCTAAACTACCCATGTGACAGGCTCTCTGCCAATCAGAACGGTTAAACTGTCCCAGTCACTTTTTAAATATGTGTTTTGTACCTCTGTAATTATAGCAATGGTTTTATCCGATTTATAGCACCTTGGGGTTGCATAAGGCATTATGTATTTGTTATTTTGTATCATTAATTGTTCAGACTATACTGATGCATCTCCAAGTCTCATCCGTGGTCGAGCAACCTCCAGCTCCAGTATTCTACTGTCCTGGCGTGTGTCGTCCATCATCTGTGATCTCCGTGGATATCAGATCCGTTACAACACCACTGCAGCCATGGATCAGTTCAACTACATCGACGTCATGGATCCACAGGCAAGCTCAGTTGAAGTGACTGGTCTGATGCCCCAAACCACCTATCTCTTTGAGTTTGTGTTTGACACATTCTCCGATGGTTTGTCCTCCTACCGAACCGCAAAGTCAATTTTTGCCTCAACAGAAGGTATGTGTGTCTGTGAAATAAAAGTCATTTGACCCTTTAATTGATTACTGCACTAAAAACTGCCTAGAAAGAATGTTACATCCTGACGCCACTTGTTTCATCACATATCATCTCAATGAAGGTCAGTCATTGTAAAAATGTTGAAAAGACATGAATCTGGGACTGAGAAACATTTGTAATTTTGTTAGAAAATACTTTGAAAATGTTCTTGACTCTCCATAGACTTGGTACACAACTGCTGAAGTGGCGTCTGGATACTACATTCTTTCCAACTGTGCTTAATACTCATTGCGGTGCCCAAAACTGCCTAAGCACTATATGGTTTTATATATTCTTCAGGGAATAAACACAATGTTATACAAATAATGAATGTTTGTGGGTCCAATGGTAAGATTGATTTCATGAGGTGACAGATGAAATGTTCCATTCCACGAGGCGAAGCCGAGTGGAATGGAACATTTCATCTGTCACCGAATGAAATTATTCTTTCCATTGCACGAACGTGAAACATATATTATTTGTTTTATATAACACCTGAAAAAATCCTTGTCATCTGATTGGTTGACTTTTAATAGCCAATTTATTCAGGTTAAAAACTGTTTAAAAGTTCGACAAGTTCATCATATTTATATTAATTCAAACTGTTTGGCAGGTTGAGAACAAGCATATTAAATTTATCTCTATTTAAAACAGCGCCACCACCAGCAGCAGCGACACCGTGCAATGGAAGTTCTATTCAGCGTGCAATAGAACTTCCATTGCACTGTGCGCTGTGCGCCACGCACGCGCCGTGCGTTGGTACAAATAATTCAATGACATGTGATCAACGATCCACCAATCAGATGACGGGGATTTATTCAGGTGTTGTATAAAATACAATGTAGTACAGGTGCTACTTGGTTAAGTCATTGTATATGTTGAAATCCTATAGAATTCTTTGTCTTGAACTGTCTGTGCATGTTATTTCATTAAAGCACCAAAACAAATTGCCTGGTCTTCATGTTTTTTTTTCAAAACTTTATCAGACGAATGTTGTCCACTGTTGGAGTGTTGGTATTTGAGGGTGGAAATTGCAGTGTCTTTTCAGTATGATGTGAGGGATTCTTTAAATATTGATGTCATTGACAATTCTAGTGACAATGAGTAACATAGGGGACCTCCATTGCATTAATGGCATTTACGAGTTGACTTTGGTCAAGCCAAAAACAAAACAGTATAACCATTTGCCAAGTTAAACACATGTTAGTTTTTGCATCTTCACTTTGGAGCTTCACTAGAGGGGTCAGGGTGTCACACACCCCATTGTTCATGTTGTCCACCCCCACCCCCTTTGCTATTCAATTTTTCCCGCCGGCCAGCTGACCGGGAAAACATTCCTGGCAACGTTCCACCACGAAGTGGTCTGTCAGCAAATTCACTGTCACCCCCCCCCCATTCAAATTGGTCTGGCGAAGCCCATGTCTCAACACAACATACACAAAATTATCCACCTTATCGAATCAAACTTCTGGTGATACATATTACTAATGACTTATTCCCTGTTAACTTTGTTCTAACACATAAATATCCAATAAATATTTTCTTCATATATCATTATCCATGATTTTGCCCATGGTCTTTTATCAAACTAAGCATCTAATATACTTTCTGGAAAGAATGTTACATTTTGACGATACTTTTTTTCATCATATATCATCTCAATGAAGGTCAGTCATTGCAAAAATGTTGAAAAGACATGAATCTGGGACTGAGAAACAGTTAGAAAATACTTTGAAAATGTTATAGACTCTCCATAGACTTTGTACACAACCGTTGAAGTGGTGTTTGGATACTACCCTCTTCCTATATGCTCTAAACAGAAAGCCCATGCCCCGAGGGCTTTGAGCCTGGTTATGCTGACAACTGTTACAAGTTTGTCAAGAAGTTGGTGACGTATGAGGATGCGAGAGCTGACTGCCAGCGGACTCCAGGGGGCGATCTTGTCATCATCAACGACGTTTCAGAGCAGCAATACATTCAGAATAGAAGTGTGGATGGTGATTGGTGGATAGGTGAGTAGGTTTTGAATAATCGACAAAAAAAAAGACTGATTTTGGCAACCGATGTTAGAAGCCTTTATAGAGGTGGAAGCATGCTGCATGCATTATTAAAGACAAGGCACTGTGCGCATTGTGGTAGCCCTGTTAGTCGAAGGTGCCCGGAGTGCATACATATTACCTGAGCGCAACTCACGTGAGCCTGGTACCACCTCAGAAAATGGCTGTTGCCAAATTAGTCTAGACAAAGATATTTTCTTCCACCGTTCGCATTGTTAATAAGTGGAACAAATCCCTGTACAAAGGATTATGTGTATGAGTTATAGACCTAGTGCTTTAACCACGCACTAAGAAAAAAATAAAGTGAAACATTTTCTTCATTCACATCTGGGTTTTTGACACATTCTTTAAGTTGGAAACTTCTGTCCTGAAAGTAAAGTGCTTAAAACATTACATTGGTCAAGGGCCAACAAAATTCTAAGAAAACTAGAATTGTGTCTGTTTTGAAACAGAACATAGGCTTTTACAGATGTTTTGGATTCATTTTCTGTATGTGTCATCTGATATTATCGTATTAACTTTAGAATGATCTGTTATTCTGTTGTTACAATATGTTACAAAAAACATGAAAATTTCACTTAAAACTCAAATGTTAATGTCATCATGTTGACATCACAATTTCCATTTATATTAAACACATCCCCGTCTATGAACATTCCAAGTGTCAACCCAATCGTGCCTGCAGTTCTGTAGATTAAGGCCTTCATCAATGCACCTTTAGTGTACTGTAACTGGACACCTGATGATATCATCAAGACGTCACTTCAATGTTCATCAATAACACTTCTCTGTCTATGTACACACAATGTATGAACTCAATCGCCCCTGTGGTTCTGTAGACATTGGCTTTGAAAAATGCCCCTTTATAAATGTAAAATAACTTGACACCTGATGACGCCATCATGACGTCGTCACAATTTCCATCAATTTGACATCCCCGTCTATTAATTTTCCAAGTGTCAACCCAATCGCACCTATAGTTCTAGATATATTGTCATATAGGGCGTTTTGACAATCCAAGTATCAACCCAAATATGCTCCAGTGCAAAATTCATTCAATGGACCCTTTAACTTGTTTCTTGACCAGGTTTGAATGACCGCGCTGTGGAGGGGCGTTTCCGTTGGCCAGACTGCAGCCCACTGACCATCTGGCAATCCAGACAGTGGGCTCCTGACCAACCCAACGACCTGACCGGCAGTCAGGATTGTGGTCAGCTGTTGGAGACTGGACAATGGAACGACTGGCAATGTGACCGACCAATGCAGTACATCTGTGAAATTATTACCAAAAGTAAGTTTCCAGGTGCATGTTTGAAATAATGAACACATTTTGTAATTGTTTTGAAATATTCAAAGTTAGCCTTGGCTTATATATTTTGTTTGCAAGATCTTATCCGGATAAATGTATGTCTACTAGAGCTTAATACACTGGGGCTTTTCTAGACCAAACATGGTGGGAAAAAGGCTTCAAATTGAAATAATCCATTTTGACATATTCCCTTACCGAACATGACTGCTGTCCAATAGCAGTCCGATAGCAGTCCGATAGCAGTCCGCATAGCATGCGAATGCTATAAATGAATGCTATCTCCAATAGCATTCTCATATAGCATTCATTGAGGTATAGCAGTCCGATAGCAGTCCGATAGCAGTCCGATAGCATGTCAGGAAGCCGAATTATTTAAATGAGCTATAGCATGCGCATGCTTTTGCGAATGCTTTCATAGCATGCAACTGGAATGCTATGTGAATGCTATGTGAATGCTATATGTGAATGCTATGTGAATGCTATGTGAATGCTATTTTGCATGCTATGATGAATGCTATGTGAATGCTATCACGACTGCTATCGTGACAAGGACAGGGCCGGGCATCCTACAATTACAAAGTACATTTTCAATGTCACAATACACCCAAAAAAACTCCTGTGTTAAAGCTTTATTTAATAATTTTATGCACTGAACCATTTTTAACAACACATTTTGAAATGTAAAAGACCTATGATGTGGACTGCGATCAAAATATATAAAGTTACAAATTTGTTCTTTAAGACTTTATCAGCCTCATTCTTTGGTGCACGTACAAACATCGAAACACTTTGTCTAACATTGTCTTGCTTATAAAAGCAATGGCCAGAAATTTGATGCAACTATTTCTGCTTAATTTGAATTATCTTTGAAGCAACCACTAGTCACTTTTATATTTGGCATCACAATTTAAAAACAATTACATGCATTTGTGCTTCATTCAAAATATAGCTGATTCAAAAATTCAATCATGGAGGAAAGAATATGTTTAAGACTTCACATCTCAACACCATGAACACCAGCATGCTCAATACCAAAATAAAATTGTCTTCATCAAGCCAAAAATTGAATACCATCACAGCCTAGTACATGTAGTACAAAACTGTATACTTACCAAATACAAGCTGTTTTGTGAGTGTGTTGCACGTGTATGGAGGCCTCCAAACTGTTGCTTTGAAGTTGTCAATACCAAAGACTTTAGTCCATTCAGTCAATCATCCAGTGTACATGTATTTTGTCATGTACAGGTTGAGTGCATGCATGTGAACATGAAATTATGTCCACAAGCATTCATGCCATAAGCTAATGTCCATGATTTCTACAATTTCTTGCAAGACTATGTGCAGCCTACTGCACTCTGCACTGACAATATTCAACTGACTGCAGTTTTCAAATTTCCCATACTGACCGTTAATCTGTGGAATGGAAGGTCATCACTGTGTCATGTGACTTGTAGTCCATGATACGATAGGCTTATATATTGGAATGCTATTTGCAGGCTATGCTGAGCCACGGAATGCTATACTTTAAAATTATTTTACAACTGACTGCTAAATTGGAATGCTGTACTCAATTTGCAGTCCTCCCTCTTTCACTTGCATGCTATGTGGAATGCTTTGGAACTCGCATGCTATTTGGAATGCTATTTTCATTCTGCATGCTATTGAGAATGCTATATGGACTGTTAAAGTTAGCAGTCATCAAGTCATCATCTTCTGTGAATGCTATGTGAATGCTATTATAGCATGCACATGCTATTGGACTGCTATTGGACTGCTTTTATAGCAGTCCTGTTGTTCTTGAAAAGAAATTGTTTTTAAATTGATAAAAATGGGAAATATATAAGAGGGCTTGATAGAAATTTTGAGGTTAACTGGGACAATTTATGCATGAAGACTGTCGTACTGGTAACAAATGTAAGGTACCATCATACTAGATGAAAATTAGTAGATTTTAGTTCTCCCCAAAACACATGGGTTTTGGGCATCCCAATCTGTGTAAGGATATTGTTACCTTAAGGGCCTGCCTCAATTCATATTTAGGACATTCCAGACAAGTTGCGGGTAGAATCATTAACTTTGCCTGGAAGAAGCTCTGCATTTGTCCCGGACACGTTCCGGGGGAATTTTCACTAGCAACTGCTTGACTCACCAATATTGATAACTTCATTGCGGGAAGATTGTGGGGAAGTTGTTAAGAATCTGCAGCACACTCATATTTCTGGCCTCGCTTGTTGCGAGCGGGGCGCTGACAGATATTTTCGGCCTCGCTCCCTGCATGTTTATCTGTCATCCGTTCTGAATACCGTAAAACCTGTGCAGGTATTCACGTCATCCGGCACAAACTGGTTAATTCAGTCATCTCCCAAGAGTGATTATAAAATAGGAAACTCTACCTACACAACAAATAACAAAATCATATGAAGTCGTTCATTATAGCACTTGAAGGGCAAATTACAAAGTCCAGAGTTAACGGGTCAGAAAGTGTCACGATTGGACCCTAAATTTAGAATGAACCAAATAATAAATAGAACAAATGTATTTATTCTGGACAGATTTTGAACCTGAGGAAGTGAGGCCCAGATTCTTCACAGCTGTTGAGGTGACCCCATACTCTATTCGATTGTCTTGGCTTCCCCCTGTGAATGACTGTGACATCAAGGGCTATACCATCATGTGGAGGCGGGTTGGTGACGCACCCATGATGGCACCCATTGAAGGGGTAGAGACCACCGAACTCATCGTTGATAACCTGATACCTGAAGAGACCTACTCCTTCCAGATTGCTGCCGAGACATTCAGGCAGACTCTGCCTTTCAGCTCGCCCCGGAATGTGACGTTGTCGCCAGGCAGTGAGTCTTTGTTTTGTTTCTGTTTATGGTGCACTAAAATTTGTGACATTAGAGTGTCTCCTCTCATGATGATTTTTGTGGTTCATTTCAGAATGAATAAAACATTGTTCGAAGTCAGTTAAATGATACTAAATGGTGTAACAAGAACACCACAATTTGGTGTCCACTTTTTGACCCCAAAATTTATGGAACAACATCACATATTCCACCAACAGTTGAAACTTTCTTCAAATCTTGCATCCCACAAAGAGTAACTATATTTGTTCTGTCCTGTGCTTGGTATCAAGGGCTTGTATGCAGCTATAATGTTTATTTTATTCTTCTTTTCGAAGCAGTTTATGCTCTGTGGGTATTCCACAACATTTCCATGTTATAAAGATCCACTGCTAAGTTTATTCATCGACACTACACATTCCACAAACACTTGCTTCAAGTTTTGTTCACCACTCAAGGTGGCTGCTGCCCTCTGGGTAATGCAAAACTCATCAACTCTAGAGATCAGCTATCAGTTTGGTCATTAAAACTCATCAACTCTTGAGATCCACTATTCAGTTTGTTCATCAACACAACATATTCTACAAACAGTTCTAAATTTTGCTCACCAGTTAAGGTGGCTACTGCCCTGTGGGTAATGCAAAACTCATCAACTCTTGATATCCACTATTCAGTTTGTCCATCAACACCACATATTCCACAAACGGTTGAAAACTTTGCTCCCCAGTCAAGGTGGCTACTGCCCTGTCAGCATTGCAAAACTCATCAACTCTTGGGATCAACTATTCAGTTTGTTCATCAACACCACATATTCCACAAACCAATTTCAAATTTTGTTCACCACTCAATGTAGCTACTGCCCTGTCAGCAATGCAAAACTCATAAACTCTTGAGATCCACTATTCAGTTCATCAACACCACATATTCCATGAACAGTTTACAAATTTTGCTCACCTTTCAAGGTAGCTATTGTCCTGTGCTAATGCAACACTCATCAACTCTTGGAGATCCACTATTCAGTTTGTTCATCAACGCCATATATTCCACAAACAGTTATAAATTATACTCATCACTCAATGTAGCTACTGCCCTGTCAGCAATGCAAAACTCACCAACTCTTGAGATCCACTATTCTATTTGTTCATCAACACCTGGTGAACCTCAAATTGTTTATTTTGTTCTCTATTCAAGCTGGCTTCTGCCCCGGTGATTATGAGATTGGCCTGAATGACACCTGCTACAAGTTTGTCAAGAGGCTGGTGACTTGGGACGAAGCAAGGATGGATTGCCGCTCCTTCCGCAATGGTGACCTGGTCATCATTGATGATGTCATCGAGCATGAATACATCATGGAGAGAATCGTGGATGGTGATTGGTGGATTGGTGAGTTTAACATGAATATTTATAGTTCTTCATTATCCCAAAATTAGGTGGCTGTAAACCAAAATCCAACATTGTCCATGTGTCATAGAATGGCATTTTGCTCTGCTGATTATTTTGTGGATTTTTCATTCTTCATCGTATCTCGCCCCTGATTTGGAACAATTTCTTTTTCATTTTTTTTTTCATGTGTCAAAAGACCTTTCAAGTTTAACCTTTTACAGCAGTCTTTTGTCTATTATTCCATATACATTTAAACAAATCCTAAATACTTTCCAATCGATAAATGTTTCCTACCGTAATATGCAGGCTTTAGCGACCGTGGGACAGAAGGTCGCTGGCAGTCGGTCAACTGCACGGACCTGACCCCTTGGCAGGCTTCCAACTGGGCCCCTGACCAACCTAATGACCTGTCTGGAACTCAGGACTGTGGTCAGCTGTTGGAGACTGGTCAATGGAACGACTGGCAGTGCGACCGACCCATGCAGTACATCTGTGAGATCGCACCCAGAGGTACTGAGACATCATTTGATGCGAAAGGGGTACAGGGGTTCCAATCAAGTATATAGTTGGAAAGCAAGTAGATTCAAAATTTGCCGTATCCATGCTCTTCAACATATTGAATTTTTTTTTCTAAACGCATTTTCAAGTTGTATCTTTTGTTTAATTGGTAAAAAGTACTTTTTGTCTATTGTGGACGTTTTCAACCTTCTGTCACTGTAGGCACACACTCTTCAGATCAGGGCTAATTTTCTCTTCAAATTGTAAACCCAAAATTCTGCATATGGAAACATTTGTGCATACATTTTTCTCATAGTTTATAATGTTGTTACTGAGACAACAACGAACCACTGAAAGCAGAGAAGCAACCACAGCAAAGGATTGCATTTTTAAAAATTCCATTACATGGACCATTTAAAACCTGCTCACCAGCACATTGGATAATGATACTGTGGTGAGGTTTTTTAGTGTGGGTTCTAAAAACTGATACCACCTCATCAAATTGTGATAGCACCTGCAATTAATTTCAAATACCCAATTTTTGGCAGGTCTGGGAAATAATTTGCAAAAATTGCTATAACCATAAACGGCACTGCCCATATAGAAATACACATGTGGAAATAGAAATTCACCTGTGGGATATTTTTCTGTTTATACCTACCATATTTTTAATGTCAATTAACTAGGTTGGTAACGATTATTTGGGAGAGAAGGATATCTTCATGGATTATATCAAGGCACCTCCACACTTGGCAAAAACATTGCAGCACATCCTAGACTAACCCATTAGCTCTTGTGCTATGGTATTACATTGTATTTCATTCAGGAACTTTCTCTTTTTCATGATTCCAGTGTTTAACCCAGAAGACCAAGTGGCCACCAACCTCACACTGGAAGAAGTTACTTCTTCCTCAGTCACTGTGAGCTGGATGCCTCCCTCCTACAGCTGTGATGTCCTGGGTTATCGCATCACCTACACCATATCTCTGAGCATCTACACGTTAGACGTGGAAGGTGGCGACACATCTCAGGTTACCGTGAGCGGTCTACGTCCGTTGAGTCGTTACTCCTTCACCCTTCAGACCAAGATGGCAATGGGCAACTCAGAGCCTAGTGAACCCGTCATCGCCAATACTGCTGCTTTCGAGGGTAAGATGCTGCGTGTGGCCCGGCTTATTTCTTGGAGCTGAAAGCACAGAAATGTACTAACCACAAAATGTATTTGCTTAGAAAAAGTGGTTAGGCCAAACAAAAAAAAGCTCTGCTTCGAATTTCATGCCTTTCAAAAATAGCGTCAAAAATTGTATTTATTTTGCCATTTTTTTTTAGTGCCGATTGAATGGAGTGTTCAATCATATGTCTATTTTGGGTCTGAGTTAGTTTCATTTGCGCCACGAAAGCTATCGAAACTGACCCTTTAAAAGTGATAAAACCTTGCCTCAATTAATGTAAAAATATTTTTGAGGTCGGTTTTTCTTAAAGTTTAATTTAATTAAGTTGTTAAATACTAGTGGAACATTGCTCCCAGAGTAAAACATTAATTCTGTCCATGGATCTCTTGTTCTCGAATACCCAGCTTGAATGGAATCAACTAATTGATGGTCATATATGCAAAACAGGCATATTAAATGAATTTGAGTGACCCTGTGCCACACCTTGCCAAAGTCAGGCCCCTTTTTCCATTCCTGCTGTTCTAGAGACCAAATCAAACTTTACCATCACCATGCTGAATGCTTCTTAACCACTTCACGCAGGGATTATTTTGACATTAACCGGACTCAGGCGCGGGATTGTTTTTCACGAACCTTGATGCAAGACGGGTTCAGGCTGTCATCTGCGGGTAGCACACCCTGTTATTTCCGGCCTCGCTCGCTGGGAGAGGGTCACTGACAGATATTTCCAGCCTCGCTCGTTGCATATTTATCCGTCATCCATTCCGAATACCGCAAAACCTTGCTGTGTATACACGTCATCTGACGTGAACTGGTTAAGGTAAAGGGTTGACTTTTCAGGTTAGTTTTAGGAGAAACATCATCTATAATGCCAACTGCCTTGAATGTCACACTGATTCAAACATGTTTCCTCTGTTAGGTTGTGAGGATGCCATTCTACGCACGGATGCTGTCGGCAACATAACATCTCCTCTGTTCCCCGATAACTACCCACGCCTCGTCAACTGTCTCTATCGCATTGATCTGTCTGCATCTGTTGGAGCTGATGCTCGCATCAGACTACGATTTGTGACTTTCTCCCTGGGCGCCGATGACTATATTGAGATCAGAGAGCTTGATTCAACTTCAAGGAATAATGGGATTCCTACGGTGAGATTGTTTGTTTGTGTTGCAAAGTCTGTCGCAAATGATGCAAATATTTGTTAATAGACCTTATTTACGATGAAGCCATTTTTGATCGTGTTCCCTACGTACTTACTTGTATTTACACATATGCGATTTTGTTGCGTGATAATGTCGCGCGTCTTTATATACACGCACAAATCAACGAGCGCGTTTACATTTACGGAACAAAGTCGTGAGACTTATGACGCTAATTATTCCATAAATAGTGCAACATATCGTCTATTTGTTCGTTCACACACGTGCTTGTGCGACATTGCCGCGCGACATAGTCGTTGCGACAAAATCACGTACGTATAGATAGGCCTTGTAAACTGTTGAATGGGATGGTGCCAGACTATTCATGCATTCCTAGCCTCACTTTCAATTTTTCTTTTAAATGTGGCTTTAAACATTAGCGTATCGTTAATCACAGATTTTAGATTATTCATCAGAGCAGACTGGTATTAACTTGTAATTAACTTTTATTTCATTACTTTCATTTCTATTCGCAAGTTCCAAAAATGAAGATTTTACCTCGCTTTCAATTTAATATGGCTGACCCGTGATTAAGGCCTATATTTAAAGCCTTGGTGTTAAACCATTAACATTGGCAGTGGTTTGGCAATACTTGTCAAGTAATAAGAAGAATATTTGATTCACTCTTCTCAATTTTTGACACTTCCAGCAAGTTTCTTTATACCCAACACACTAAAAAAAAAAAATATGAGCATTTAGGTTTTAATGGGTTTAAACACCTGAACCTTATTAAATTAACCAAAAACCCAATTGCTTTTTGGCCTTGAATAGATTGTGAAAGGCCGGGGACCAGTTAAGGACTATTTTAGCTCTGGCAACTCACTGGAAATTGAGTTTGTGTCGGACACCACTGCCGAAGCCCGCGGCTTCAGAATTCTATACTCCCTGTCTGATGAAGGTAAGCCTGCTGATATACAAATATTGAGTGGCTCAGAGTGAAATAGGAGGAATATTATCACAGGGCAAAATCTGGACTTTTCCATATCATGAGGCGAAGCCGAGTGAACTGGAAAAGTCCAGATTTTACCGAGCGCTACTTTTCCTCCAATTTCACAAAAGCCATCAATATTTGTTTTGTATAACTGATATATAGATCCTTGTCATTTGATATATTTGAACTTTTAATGTATTTCTCTCTTCCAAACCACCCCTTCAAGAAAATGTTTGAATTCAACTCTGTAGCGCTGGCTCTTTGGAACAATACGCACTACGCACAACGCTAAACGCGCACACCAGCATGCATTTGCACACAAATACCACATCATGGAACAAGAGTGATCCTAACTGTTGAGTAGTATTTCCCATTCCCCATGGGCCAATGGGACTTTTTGAGCCCGGCGTGAATGGGAGCAATAACGAATGTCATGTGATGTGAGTTCCACCAATCAAATGACAAGTATCTGTATGTCAGTCATATAAATTGAAATGGATGCTTAATTATCTATGAACATGGTCTATAATTATAATTGAAGAGCCTGCAACTAGTAGTCACCAACGGATAGCTGTTGATGGTGTGAATGAATTATAGTTTGACATGGTCTTTGAAAGCATTTTTAATCATTGGAACCCTAGAATTGTAATATGTGAGGCGATCTGGTAAAATAGACAGAACTGCGCAGTGGTGGAAATGAGGGTATGCAGGTATTAGGAAGGAGAACACAATTCTCCTTACAATACTGTTTGTTGCACTTCAATCGGATATTGCGTTGACAAGTTATGGCGGTTTAAAGATTGCATTTATCGTCATGTCAAAGAAGTATACTGAGAAAAGGGCCTTTATTAAGAGTTTCAAAAATTTGTAGTCGTGAAAATGAAAGATGCCAATTGATTTTCCTTATTAACCCTTTTTCTATTCCACATATTTTATACTATATCTTTAACAAGTGTAGCAGACATATCAAAGAATACAAATATAACTGAATCTTAAAATCGAAAAAAGAAATCACCCCCAAGTGTGCTATTTCATAATTTTTGGCAGCTTGGTTTTTGAATGTATGCAAGCGATCCTATATGTCTTCAAGCCGTAACTTCCCCATTGTGTTTTCACTTTCTACAGTCCAACCAGCCGTTAAAGATTGCGGAATGACTTACACAGTCAAGACGAACACCCTGCTGGGCTTTGAGTCGGTAGGCTACCCCAACCGCTACGACAACTACCAGGACTGTACCTGGTTCTTCACTTGCAGTCCAGGCAAAGTCATGTTTGCATACCTCCGTAAGGCTGGCCTAGAAGACGGCTACGATTGGTTGGTGGTCGGCGATGGCGGCGATCCAATGAATGAGACCTCGGTGCTACAGCAGGTTACTGGCAAGGCCGAGGAAATCAGCCTCTTCTCAGAAGATAACATGATGTGGATGACCTTCAACTCGGACTACTCCAACTCTGGGAATGGCTTCAGCTTCTTGGTGGAGGAAATCGACCCAAGTGAGTCATTTCTTTTTCTCTTACTACTCTTGACCTTTAACTCGTGACTGGGACTCGATGTTTGGTGACTCAAATAGAAATCTGCCTAATAGCTTATTATCATACTGAAATTCTACAGAGTTTGGCCAAACCAATTAGTTTAAGTTTTTTTTATAATTATTATTATTATTATTTATTTGGCATTAAGAACACATACAAACATTCACAAAATAAAAAAAATAAAAAATGAAAGCGAGATGCATATGCCCAGAATTTGAATTAAGTTTGACATTTGGAGCACTTTGGAGTGACTGTTCACGTGCAAGTCGTTGAAAGATCAACTGTTGGTATACACATATTGAGTGGCTCAGAGTGGAATTGGAGGAATATTATCGCAAGGTAACATCTGGACTTTTGTATGTCACGAAAAGTCCAAATTCTACCGTGCAATAATTTACCTCCCATTTCACAATTTAAGCCACTCAGTATTTGTTTTATATCCTTGTCATTTGATTGACAGTTAAAATCAATTTCTATTTCAATACAACATTGGTATTTTTCTCTTCCAAACCACCCCTTCACAATATGTTTGAACCCAGCTCTGTAGCTACTGGCTCTTGCGCGCTACGCTAAATGTGCACTGCAGCACGCTTTTGCACACAAATACCACGCCATGGAACAAGGATGATCTTAAATATTGGATAGTTTGACTTTTTGAGCCCTGGTGTGAATAGGAGTAATTGAATGTCACGTGATGTAAGTTCCTCCAAGCAAATGACAAGGATCTGTATGTCAGTTATATAACAGTTAATGTTAGGAATGACTCTACCATGCAGAAAATTGAAAACTTGTCACCTGTTTGAAATCAACATATTTTTGTTTTTTTTATAGCGTTGTTCCTAAAATATTTTAGTTCAGCCCAACTCTTGAATGCCAGTCTAAATTGGGTGTAAAACTGGGTTTTTTTAAAAATCTTTTTTCTTTTCTTGCTTTTAAGCTGAAGTTTCAGGGCCGCCACCCAAGGTCCAGAGATCTGGTGACGTTGGAATCCAGTCAACCTGTGGAGGTGATATCCTGGTGCCTAACGACGGACAAGCAATCATTACATCACCCAACTACCCAGACGACTATGACAGCAACACTACATGCATCTGGCTAATCACTGGCGTCCCGGGACGCAGATTTCAAATGAGCTTTACTTACTTCAACACGGAGAAAAGGTACGCAACATGTGAACATATTTGAAATAAATTTTAGTAAAAGTCATCTAATTGAGTTTCCTGATGACAAACAGAACGCACATTTTGAAACGTTGAGTTAAAACAACTGGTTCCTCTCAGAACCACAAAACTCAAATAGAGATAAAATTATCAAGGTGTTACAGCAAAACCTTCCAAACTTTAAAAGTAATGTTGTTCACAGCTATTTGATTTTAAGGTAAGTGCAGATTCACAAATTAGACCTGTTCTGAATGCCTTGCTTTTGCTGGGCTGAACTAAATGGATTGAGCTGGACGATAGCTTAACTGAATGTTCAACTAATTAAATGCTTGCCATGATTTAACTATCTTTGTGTGAGTTCAGTGTACTTTCAGTGCCATCAAGTGATCATATGTGATGCGATCAAGCTAAATGAGTCATTTGTCTGGAATTTTTATTTGGAGATACAGGCCAAAATAGGGCCACTTCATCACATCACTTCATCACATCTCTTGGTGTTCAGACTTCCATAATTTTTGAACTAAAGATGGTATCAGCATGCGGTTTTCACAGCAGTAATACTGAGATTAGTGCTCTTTTTAAATCTTTAACAAAAACATTTTTTTGACCAGGGTCGACAAACGACTTGTAGCTTGATCGCATCACATATTGAATTCACTCCCTGTGATGCTGATGCAAGGAAGGTTTTTGTGAGCATGCGCACTCCTACAATGTTAGCCCCAACTTTGAATTAGCATGAACAGTAACATGCGGTTTGGAATGACAATGACAATGTTTCTATGATGAACTAAGTTTGCCATCACCGAATTCCAAAAGGTCAAATTAATCAAGTTCAGATGGCGGTGGCACAGCTTTTTGAACAGGCCTCAGCGACTGTAATCTTTAAACTCAAAATATTTTTGTTGAAATCTAATATACTTGTTAAATGAAATGCAGGTTTTTCTCCTATTCTCATGGGATTTAAGAAGAAAGCAGTACAAATGTTACCAGCTTAACACACACTAATGTGATGACTCCACTAAACACCAGGTTTTTGCAGTATTTTACAGGATTGTGGACTGTAGTCCAGCCACAGTTATTCTACTTTCTACACATTGTCTCCATTTTGTGCAGTTTCAACAAATATTCCATTTGGTTACATTATAGATTTGATTTTTACTGACTCAGAAAAGAAAATTGAGCAAAGAACTATTTTTCAATATTGGATTTTGCCCTTCACCGACGTATTTTTAAATGCCGTACACTCAGTGTTGCCCCAGAGTGATTGTGAGAAAAAAATCACTTGGGTAGGACTCGAACCCAAGACCTCCTTCTTACTAGCCCAGACGTCTCACCACTCTTACCACTTACCATGGCTGGCTGGCTTGAATCTGATATAGCATCAGGTACCGCAACCAAACTATTCACAAAGGCCCTGTCACACTGTCTGCGATCTTATATGTGCTCTCACTGCGTCCTTGAAAAATAGCTGGGGCGCAACAACAACTACTAGATCGCAGCGACAACTACATAGGTCGCCAGATGGGCGCTAGAGAGTCTTAATGGTCTCAGATGAGCGCAAAGGTCTTTGAACATGCTCAAAACAATCGCAACACCTCTGCACTTTGGCCAGGGCACCGTAACGACGCAACTCGGGCACTGTGTGAGCGTGAATCATGCGACATTGAAGTGGCATTGAGGCAGCTTATAGGCGCAAGGCAGTCGATGTAGTCTCTATGAGAAAGTAACTTGACTGCGATGAACTTGTATAATAATTTTTGAAACTGGACTGTGTATTGACCGTTTTGTCGTGGTATTTATACAGCCCAAGTGACGTCACATGAGCGTATATTGGTCGAATAGGGAGCGCGACGCGAGCTACTAGGACGTATTAACAGCGAGCAGAGCGTAGTGTGGGTGCAGTGACAGCGGAGCGGCAGCGACTAGATCGAGTAATTGGGCTTGACAGGGACGTATAGAGAGCGAGTTGAGACAGAAAGTTGTCATTTTCTTGCGTCCTCGCTGCGATTGTTCAATTTATGAAATAAATTTGGTGGCCGTAAGGTCTCCTATGAGAGCGCATATATTTTGTGACAGGCCCTTAAGATGGAATGTGTGTCTGGGAGATGTACCATAAATGCAGTATTGGGTTTTGACCTTCACCGACGTATTTTTATAAACACTTTATACTTTGTTGCTCAGTGGTCCAGTGGTATGATGTCTAGTAAGCAGGAGGGCGTGGGTTCGAGTCCCACCCGAGTGATTTTGTTCTCACAATCACTCGGGACAACACTGAGTATACAGTGTTTATAAAAATATGTCGGTGAAGGGCAAAACCCAATATTGTTCCATGTTATAAAAAAGAACCATGGTATACACAGGGTTGTATTTTCTCTTACAATTTTCTGTTTTCTTTGCAAAGCTACGACTACTTAACTGTGGGTTCCGGTCTGGATCCGTCTGATGTCACATCCCTGCGCACAGCGGCGTCTGGTTCCAGCCTACCCAGTGACATTGTACTGGCCAGTGACACTGCGTGGGTACTGTTTGCATCAGATAGCTCCATCAATGCTGGAGGTTTCTCCATCAGTATCCAAAATGGAAACGGTAAAAAAAAAATCAATTAAATTTTTTTTTTAATTTGGAGACGGATCTTACATCTGCTAAATATTTCATTTGACCTTTAATTGTCATTTCATTTGAAAACATCACCAACCTGGTTGCATAGAATCCCAGGTTGCCATGGTAACACTTCATTCTAAAAATAAAAGCCATACAAAATCCCAACTTCATACACGCTACAATTTTAAAGAGGTTGTGGAATGCTCGAAGACATTTCCGTCATTTTTCGGGTATATGTAGCCTAAGGTGTGATGAAATAAAAACGACTATTGTTTCTGTCATAAAATGAGTACAAAAGGTACTTTTGAGAGCTGTTTTTCAAGTCCTGTCATGCCTGTTTCGACCCGAACGTGCAATTTGTGTAAAAGTCGTCGTTGCGGGCAGCAAACAAAACACAGTAAATCGTGACGTAATAAACAGGACTCCCGATGCAGAGTAGCCTAAATGAGTCCTGTTTATTACGTCACGATTTACTGTGTTTTGTTTGCTGCCCGCAACGACGACTTTTACACAAATTGCACGTTCGGGTCGAAACAGGACCTGAAAAATAGCTCTCAAAAGTACCCTTTGTACTCTTTTCATGACAGAAACAATAGTCGTTTTTATTTCATCACACTTTAGGCTACATATACCCAAAAAATGACGGAAATGTCTTCGAGCATTCCACAACCTCTTTAAAGTCTAGTGATTAAACAATGGTAATACTTTTGAGAAAAAAGTTGCCCTGGACAAATTCTCTGAAAAATCATGGTTAGATAGCTGAAGTCTATAATTTATATTAAGTTCAGAAATTATTGCTATCTTGGTCATGAAATTCAAAATAGATGGATTAGTCAGTCTTTTTAAAATGTTTTGGTGCAACTTTTACTTTAGCTGAAAAACACAGCTTATAGGAAAGGGTATTTCTATGCCACTTTTTCTGTGTCAGGTTTCATGAAGCTATTTTTTAATTGTTATTTATTTCATACCCTAATGTGAAAAGATTTTTTGTTGCCGTTTTCTAGACTGTGAGGTGATTCTGACTGTACCTGCTGGCGGTAATGTAACTGTGATGTCACCCAACTACCCCAGTGATTACCCAAGCAACTCATACTGCTTCTGGACCATCGTCGGTCAGTCAGGCCAGGCCCTCAGAGCCGACATTGTCAGTTTCAGTACTGGTGAGTAACAAATGGCATGTTTGAAGTGTCATCTTTGCAAAGTCGCTTTGGGCACTTTTTGTTTCCATTATTGAGAGCCCAGGGAACAGGACACACAGCTTGGGGGTAGTGTACGGTCATGTGTAGCTTGAAGTATAAACAACTTTTTTTGGTTCTGAATGTGCACAAAGCCATGGCGTCTGCGCATAGTGTCAGGCATCATCAGCAATAGGTCCGATCGTTCAAATGAGGTTATTTCCTACAGACCATCCACGTTCATCGGCATTTTGAGCGTCAACTTGCATAACGCGCATCGGCTGCGTTGTATTTCGAACACACTTTGAGCAACAAGTACGCATGTTGGGAACATTTTCAACACTGCGCAATGCGTGCTTGATTGCGTAAAATAAGCAGTTGCAGCTCTCCTACAGAGATGACTGTCGTTGAGCCAGCCCTATACAGAGTGAGTCAAAAAAAGCGGGACCCAAACCCCATAAAATATATTTCATATTAAAAAAAGTATGTAGCACCAAGAATAATGACTGGAAAGCCAATTTCATATAAAGCTACTTTTAGATGAAAACAATTACTGAAATTGCTCTATCCGTTCAAAGAATATCACTATTTAAACACAATGACCCTAAAACCTGTCTCCTCCAAAAAAAGCGATTCATTTTGTGTTTTGACTGTTTGGAGCAACAAAGAAAATGACACAGAATACTTGTTTCAACAACTGTCACCAACTGAAGTACACACTATCTTTATTAACAACCCTGGTAAGGCAAATATGATTTATAAAATCTACTTTTTTTAAACGACGGGCCTTCAAAGGGATTCTGTTGAATATTTTTAACGTTTAAACTGAGATTTTATCGCTGGTGATGTTTGAAGGTAATTGCGACGAGGATTCTTGAAGTCGCATTTTTTGGACGACACAGGTTTTAGGGTTATTGTGTTTAAATAGTGATATTTTCTGAATGGATTGACCAATTTCAGTCATTTTTTCATCTAAAAGTACCTAAGGAATTGGCGTTCCAGTCATTATTACTTTTTGGTGGTACGTATATTTTTAAATATGAAATATAATTGTTGGGGTTTGGGTTCCGTTTTTTTATTCACCCTGTAGGTCTCCCCTAACTCTCCCTTTCTTACCGTTGAGGGGGTAAGCAGGAACTCTGTTGACCATAAAATGCTTCTTTGTCAAGTGATATACCATTCTTACAAACAAACTCTTCTTGTGATTTCGCAGAGGATGGATATGACTTTGTGGATGTCGGTGTGGGTAACCAGCCTGCTAACCTCTCCACACGCTTCATACACACATCTGGCACCGGTGTCCAACCATTCAGTGCAGAATCCAGCACTCTGTGGATGACGTTTACCAGCGATGGCACCAATAATGATGGAGGATTCGAGGTCGTTTTCTATGACGGTGAGATCACAAATCTGAATCTTTCTGACTTTGTCCACACATTTTGAAATGTAAAAAAAAATGAGAAATTTAATTTACTTAACTGATTTAATGGATCTTTTACTGATTACACATCAAAAATTCATCACTTTGTGTAGGAGTTAATTAAAATGAAAATCAGGTATATTTGTTATTGTTTTGGACCGTATAGTTTTTACTAATATAAAATTCAAATTATTAATTCCTCAAGAAGAGATACCATACCAGTAATGTGAGGCGTTGGTCTCAAGTTGGACCATCTATTGCACTGTAAATAACCAGTTTGAATGTTACGCTTTTAGTACGCATTCATAAAAGCCTGTGAAGATTCTTGCAAGAATTTAATGAAATAACTATGTTGTGGTAGATATAGCTTCACGCCATAAAAACACCAGTGACGTTTTACAAAATGGTACTTTGACGTTTTGAAGTTTTTGCCATGTCCGTTTCTTGTAATGTGAGTTACCGATAAAAAAGTAAATGCCAAACCAACATTTTTGTTGGCCTTTTTTGTAGTTTAGTCACTTAATTTCAAGGGATCTTCTGTGAGAAAAATCCACCCTCACGGCTTTGACTTTATAGAATAACAGTAACGTGAGTTACCATGGAATTGCCCCAGTATTAAATTGGCATTCATCCTATTTTGTATGCTTTTCCTTTTGGACTTTGCAGATAGTTGTGACGATACCGTCATTGAGAATACCACTTCGGGTAGAATAGAGTCGCTTAACTTCCCCAACACCTACCCCAATAACCTGGACTGCGTCTGGACCATCCGCGTTGGTGACATCTTCCGAGTCAAGCTGATGTTTGAAGCGTTTGATGTCGAGGCCGGCTTTGACAAACTAATCATTGATGGTGTGCAAGGCGGCAGTACATTGGTATGATGTTGCTTTTACATCTCTCATGCAGTGTGTAGTTTTTATTGAAGTCTATTTCTCAGAAATTTGTTCTTGTCTCGTTTTCCTCTACAGACCAGCTTCCACATTGAATAAAAAATGAAAATGACCCATACACTTGACAAATTGAAATTTATGTAAATGAACTACTGAAAGCACACTCATTTTTAATCACTATCATTGTTGCCAAGGAATTTTAAAGGTGTATGACTACATTATTCAAATTAAGAATATTATTTTTGTCTGTCTTTGGAGTCGGTCTGATAAGCTCTGATAATGAAAGAGAGCATTGTGCACCACTGAATTGTATGTATCATTTGAAATCTCTTCTGTTTAATTCATTAATGATTTTACTCAGACTGTACTCATCTATTGTGCAAGCGAAATATTTGCAATGGGAAAAAGTTTCTTCACCAAGATATATTTTTAGTTAGAAAATCTCCCATTGTTTTTAAACAATTTGCCAAATTTATCTGACAGACTTTGACTGGTTCCGACCTCCCTGACGACATTGTAAGTGAAACCAATGAGATCACAATCCGGTTCCAGACTGACTCGGACGGAGGCACCTCTGGATTTGCTCTGATGTTTGAAGAAACATGTGAGTTCAATGCCTAACATGCACTGTCCAGATGTCATAAGAAGTCATTTCAAAATCCACCCTCAAAACTTGATGCTTCTCTTGCAGATATAACAGCCTTAACCGTACAATAAATAATTGTTTTAACCCTATAAGGAGGGGGGGGGGGGGCAGCCACACGATGTGCCACACCCCCATGAAACTTATTGTAAAAGCTCCGGCCAGGCCCCAGGGGGGCCCCCTTGGCGAGCAATTGCCCCCCCCCCCCCATGGCAAACGCCATACATATGAATTTTTGTATGTGTTATGGTAGTGCCCCCCCATGCTTAGGGCTGGCGACGGCATGACTTTCACTGTTTTAACTAAATCTGTGGGATGTCCATAATTGCCATGGTAATTGATTTAAACATATTCATATTCATAAAGTTTGCTGTTTTTTATAAACACCACGAAAATATGGGAGTGAAAATCTGGTTGTTGTTTTTTTGGCCGAAACCTAGCAGGTATTCACTTTTAGGTGTTCATGCTAAAATGTATTCTGGGAAGCCATTGGCTCGAAAAGCCAAATTCAATTTTAATCTTTTTGTACAGTTTTCTTTCTTTTTTTTGGGGGGGGGGGAGTTCTTGCAGGACAAAATTCACTGTTTTAATAACACTACCATAAGTATTTAATTCTTGCCTGTTTTGGTTGAAAAAAAAACCTTAAAATTTGACAAAATCACAAAAAACGATGATTTTGCCCCAAAAAGTAGGTAAAGCGCCCTCTTACACTGACTTTTCATGCCAAAGCTATTGACCGCAAAAATGGTTGTACCAAGTTTGAAAACATTTAGAAGAAGAATGTAGAAATTATGCCAAAAATAGTGTTTTGACCAAAAATTGGCAAAACGTAGTAAAGTGCACCCTTGTGGTCGCCACAGTGCAACCAAATGTAATCACGTTCTAGAGTACAGATGAGTCAACATTCCTGCGAAAGTTTAAGAAATTCGGCAAAAGCATATGGAAATTAGGATATGGGGAGGGGGGGGGGGGGGCCGGCACAATAACACCCCGAAAAAAATTCATTGATAACATCTCAAATTGAAGTTTTAGGAAAATCTTCCTCATCCCTTGCTCTTTATCTTCATATACATGTAGACTATTGCCCGGATGGATATGTTGCATTCCCAGTCGGCGAGGCGTACACATGTTACAGGTTCTCCACTGAGGAGAAGAACTGGCTAGAAGCACGCAAGGACTGCCAGACCACTGATAACGGAGATCTGATCATTATTGAGAACGCCCTGGAGAACCGGGGAATTGCTGAGATCACTGGGGGTCTAGACTGGTGGCTAGGTGTGTGCTAGTGTGCTAGTTTGATCGACATCCGCAATAAAAACCCATTGATTTGCAGCAAAAGAACAGTAGTATATAGTTGCACATTCAGAATCTTGTACACTATTCACCCCATATGTGTGAACCTTTGTCTCTGTAATATTACACTCTCACATAGACTAAGCACTCGAACCTACTACAGAGGACCGTTTTGAACAAAAGACCCAACTCCGAGGACTGAAAGGATCTGTTGTTCTCCCTTTGTGTGTCTGTCCTCGGGGGTTATGTAGAACACATACACTTGGAAACACAAAGCATTGTCCTCGGGAGTATAGTAAAACAAGAGTGTGTGCACTCATCCAGTGCACCCCTCCCACAAAGCTCACACGAGTGGTATTGAAGGGCCGTGTACTGTCCATGCACTGAGTCCATAGTGATACACGTGACTTATCCAGACTTCAGTGTTTGCCCAAAGGTTTACTAGGGTCTATCTGGATTCATATCCAGGACGAGTTCTGGACAAGTTGCGGTAGAATCATTCACCTTGTTCCAGAAGAAGCACTGTATTTCTCCCGGGCATGTTCCAGGGAAATTTTCATTAGCAACGGCTTGACTCACCAATACTGACAACTTCAATGCGGGAAGATTGCGGGGTTGTTTTTGAGAAACCTGCAACTTATACCTGCTACAATGTCTGCAAACTTGTCCGAAACTCATCCCAGATATGAACTGAGACAGGCCCTTAAATTTTATTGTTGTCATATTTGCACATGCTCTAGTTTCCAGTCTTGTGAAGGCTCATGAGAGATTCTTGATTACAGTCCATGACCCTTGCTGTTCTTTTGATGAGTTAGTCTTGTAAGTTACTTTGATAGCTTGCAGCTGGGCAATAGTTGGCTATGGTTTAGGACCTATGGGGAACTGGCCAGAGCTGAAGTATGTTTACAGCTACTGCTCCCCCCAACACCCCAGCCCCACACCCCCAGCCCCAGGCCCAGCCCCACACAACCAGCCCCAGACCCAGCCCCACACAACCAGCCCCAGCCCCACACAACCATTTTATAGACACGGTCGTTGTCATTTTTGTATGCATGGGCAAATAGAATCTTGAAATGTTTGGGGAAAATATATTCAGATGTTTTCCCAGGAACTTTTTCACGTGGGTAAGTCTTTCCATCCAACCCCCCCCCCCCAAACAAAAATCAAATCAAAATTCTGTGATTGAAAAGTTGGCCTTTGGAAACTGATTACCTTCCAAAATGACTCTGTTTACCTCCCCCTCCTCCCTCCACCAACAAAGATTTTTTGCTTGGAGTTACACCGGAATAAAGTAATAATTCTGCTCTTATTTAGGATTCTATGATCGCGCTAATGAGGGTATATGGCGTTGGGTTGACTGTCAAGCGCCAACGGCGTGGGGCACAGCCAACTGGGATGATCCATCGGGACCAGACAACGCCAACGGTGATGAAGACTGTGCTATCATCTTAGATACCTCAGGCCGGTACCAGGCTATTCCCTGCGAGACACCCAGACGCTACATCTGTGAGATTGGCCAACCCAGTAAGTCTGGCTCAGTTTAAGAAAAGACCCTTTTCACCTCAAATTCATTTAAAAAAAAAAAGCCATCAATTGATTTTGTGTATGGGCTCCGTGTACACGTACCCCCTCAATGGTAAGGAAAGGAGAGTTGGGGGAGACCACTTGAAGAGAGACTTTTGAATGCATTGACGACGACACCTAGTGCTCAAGCAAAGACGTTATGGATTTTTACACATTCAGAATATAAAATTAGTCGTGCGTACTTCGCGCCATACGTGCGTGAACCAGTACGTAAGTCGCAAACCAGTAAGTCCAAGAAAAGGTCCCCTTTTTGTCCCGTTCGGAACACCATGTTTTCTTTAATTACATAATCATTGCAAAGACTAATAACATAAATATTCTTGTGGGTATTCTCCTTGCAGATACACAACAGTATCTAACACTGAAATCCATGAATATCTTAGAGGGGTAAACTTTTGTTACGTATGGGACATAGCGTTCGCGAATCGTTGGACTTGCCCAATTAGTTTTCATACCAGTATTTTGTATTGTTATCTATAGGCTTTTGAGGGGATAAGTAAAAAGCAACAACTTTCCAGGAAACTCATGGTGCTTTTGCTCTATGAAACTCTTTCAGAAAACTTTGACGGTAATCCAGTCAGGTTGTCTGGATTTAGCTATTCAACCAGCAGCATTCATCTGGAATGGGTGCTTAGTCCACAACGCTGTGACGTCCTCAGCTATTTCATCCAGTACAGCACTGCATCAGGCAGTCCGGTAAGGAAAAGCCAGCAACACTTCTGGGCCCAATCTCATAGCTCTGTTTATATTGCGGCATTCTGCGCTTACGAAGCACCATAAGCGCAGAATCTATTTCATTGCACAATTTTTGTTTATTATTTGATTTCATGTTAATGTACAAATAGTTGCCTTTATAAATTTTGATATGGCTTAAGCTGTACCTACATGTAACTATTATAATGACACAGATGTCTTCCAGCAATAACAACCTCTTTCATTTTTTTTATGTGCAATGATAAAATGTTTGTGCTTTGAAAATGAACACTATTGACCTTTGACCTGGCTGATGTGCTGCCATTGTCTTATAACAGTCTATTAAATTACGGCATTGGAACAAGTTCGAGTTTGGACTACAAAGTTCAAATAACATCACTCAAACACAGGCTGGTTGGACTACTCTAGTCCACTTTTTGGAAATGAAGCCCGGGGCGCTTATTTTTATTTACAGCATGCATTGTATTTTAACCAATCACATCACGTACCCTAACATGAATATTTATCAGGCTGTCTGGTTCTTGTAGTGTTTTCCCTTCAAATAAACTTATCCCAACCAACAAAGATATTTGATGAAAATGGACATGGGTTCGAACCACAGATCTTGCGCTCCATAGTTCATTCCACTATCCACTTGGCCACTGTGGCAGCTCAACGAAAGCCGTTCTTTGAAATGCTGTAATGTACATGCACGACTGAGTGATAGCAATGGTGTGACGTCATTGTTATTTTCTTATGAATAAACATCGAACTAGCAGAATAATCATGATCCATTGACGATGTGTGCTGCAGATAAGAACACCGCGCCCGAGGCATGGTTGCATCACTGGTTACCAATCGCCAATTATATTCAGCATTATAATGTACAGCAGGGAGCCAGGATCAAGACGTTTCGTGATGACATTTTGACCATCATTTGACTATAGGCATTCACACGTTATAATTACTGCCCAGGCGTAAGTTACATCACCAATCAACCACTAGTCGACTAATGGTCCTCGCCTGAACTTGCTCACAGCTGTATCAATGTACTTGTCTCCAAGTTGTGTCTTTTTCTACCTAATAATGTTGAGTGTTTAAAAAAAAACTAATATCATTTTTTTTTGTATGAACAGGAGGAAGCATTTGTGACTGGTTCCAATACTAATGAGCTAGATGTCTTTGAACTGGTGCGGGATACCAGCTATTTCTTCTCCATTTCTGCAGTCACGTTCACATCTGGAAAGCTACCATACTCTGATCCTGTTGAAATCAAAACACTTCAGTTTGACAGTAAGCTTACCTCTTGTTTGTTTTTTTCCCTGAATTTTATCCTGAAGGGTGTGTAAGCGTAAGCAGGAGTTTATCTTTGCTGTGTTAAAGCTTACTTGGTGTAAAGATAGTAATGGCAATAAACTCCCTGTGAATTTTTTCTTTCTGGCATGTTGTAATTTTGAAGGAAACAATAAAAGAAGGCCATTTCCAGAGATGCGTCAGGTGACGCATTGTTGGAAATGTCCGTTAGTAGTTGGTTTTTAATACGGCAAAACCGTAATGGGTGCGTGCAAGACGCACGCGTGCACGGTTGCTGTTATTCCACTTCAGTGCATAACATCGCGTAGCTGCAGTCTGCTGAATGAGAACGTGTCCCGGACGCTGATGTCAAGTGCAATTCAAAGCATGCCACGGCAACTTTTCAATTGAAATCAAGACCCGAGAATATTGTTTTCTCCAAATATACAGCATTCACTGGTTTAAAATTTCATCATGTTAGTTGTTAAGTGCCCTTCTTTAGATTTGAGCACCTTTGTTGCTTCAAATGAAAAACAAAATGCCAAATGGGTAAGATTTGAGGCTTTGCATGGTGGAGATACTAATGAATGAAAGGTTTGCAGAAACACTACGTGGGAATAATTTCTCAAACTAAGAGAATGGTTCTGAAAAGAACCAGAGGTATAAACTTGACGTACCAGTCAGTATGCTCTGACCGTCTTCAGGAGACAAATGATCTACCCTACCTTTAATACTCTTATCTTTACAGATGAGTATTGTCCCCCTGGCTGGCAAGGTGGCTGGGAGTACCAGTGTTACAAGATTGTGTTGGATCCTGTCACCTGGGACGAGGCGCGCGCTGATTGCCGATCAGTGGAGAACGGCGACCTGGTGGATATCAACTTCTATGCTGAATTGCAGTACATCAACCAAACAGCTCCTGGTGAAACACTGTGGATCGGTTAGTGGAACCAACAAAATTATTATAATGGAACCATAATACGTCAGAAAGAAATTGTGGATTGGTGATGTGGGAGAAAAACGTGTGGATTAATACAGCAGGTTGTGGATTAGTGGACAAGAAAATCTGTGGAATTGTGGATAAGGACTAAAAGTTGCAAATTGGTGGTTTTGGATAAAAAAAATTCAAATGGTTCATTGCATCAACACATTTGTATTGGTTGAATTAAATTTTTGTAACACCATTTTGCTATTTCCTGATATTTATTTTCCTGCCTCATTGCCAGAAAAAAATCCACTTTTATGTTTTTTTGTACTTTAAAGGGAAATTCCGTAAATTCGGACGTACATGTCAGACAGCTTAATGAGCTTCTGTTGGTAGTGTGAATGTGATACATTACTAGTCTAATATGTGACATCTAATGAAGAGCAAACAATTACAGACCAACAAATCTACTGCCACCTTTACGACCTTGTAAAATCATGTGGTTGGATGTACAAAAAGAGCTGGAATTTGCAGAGTTGCCCTAAAGATGTTTTAAGGTGTTCTGTACTGTTATCTTTACACCTGGAGATGATCAAGAATTTATAATTTTTTAGAGAGGCTTGTAGAATAATTGAACTTATAAAGTTTGTTAAGTTTGTGCATTGGGTTGTGGTTGAATAATTAGTTTGTTGATCAGTAGAGCAGCTCTTTTTTTCTTTTTATTTGATTTGGCTCTTTTAGTCTATTTGGATTGGAAAATTAAATAATTTGTCAATAAAAGTTTACACTTTTTTCAATATCCTAAAAAAAATCATTTAGCACTCAAGTATATTCCTGTGAAGGGGCAAACCCTTTTTGTTCCAATGATTCACACGTTCAAAATATCCCAATCATTCTTTTTAAAGAATTTTAAAATTTCTTTGGCAATCAATGAATGTATTTTTGTCGATGCACCAGGTTACTATGATAAGGGTATTGAAGGAGACTGGCGCTGGTCTGATTGTGAACTGCCCAATGCTTGGCAAGCAATCAACTGGGCACCAGACTCACCCAATGATCCCCTTGGCAACCAGGACTGTGCGGAAATGACCCCCGACCTCCTGTGGAATGACCAACCCTGCAACGGCAATGTCAGGAACGGATACGTCTGTGAAATATACACCAAAAGTAGGTGTACATGCATCTTTGTATCAGCATGATCAGTGTGATGGGAAACCCATGGGAAACACAATGCTTAATTTTCTAAACGCAAGTTTACATTTTACTACGTAGGCAGTGTATATTTGACCGTCCCCGATTTTGTTTTTAGCTCTATTACCAGCAAGGCACTGACAATGCGCAGTGAGTGGTTGTTTTGGGACTTTTCTATCGTGACGAATCTTTGTCTGGTTCCATGCATTCATTGTCGTTGTGACTTCGGATTCACGAGATGGCAATCAGACCTAATGCATCTTCAGACTTTCTTTCCTTACAAAAACAAAATCCTCGAAAGCCATGAATCAGAAAAATAAGATGAAATATTCTGCAATTAAATGTAGGTTCAATTTAAAACAATAAAGGAAGAAAACTCTGACTTTTTTTGAGGGGGGGGGGGAGGCAAATTACAAACTGAGTGTACCGGCAGAGAATCGAACCACGCGCATTCTCGTGATTCCTAGTCCAGCACGCTATCAAAGTTCTTTTGATGGTTTACAAGTGCCTACATGGTATTTCTTCTCCTTAGTTGTGTGACTTACTCACTCTGTATCAACCAGGCAGACCGGGATTAAGATCTTCCAATGATAAACTTCTTCTCTCTATTCCCACAGGTTCAAAATCCCTTGGAGACAAATCTTTTTCAATAACAGGCCCCAAATTATGGAACACTATTCCCATCAACATCAGGGACGCGCCATCTCTCACCATTTTCAAGAAACGTCTTAAAAGTTTCTTATTCATAACATCCTAGTCCTCTCTTGTACAGCGCTTTGATCTATCTTGTAAAAGCGCTTTATAAATACTTAATTTTTATTTTTATTATTATTATCCACTAGGCCAGCGTTCATTTGGGTTAGGGAGGCAATTTAATATCTTATATGGTGTAGGCCTACTTGTATACATGCGCATGAAGCACTCTACAATGTGCCGGCTTAAGAACCAAAAAAATGCGGGACCAATTCACAGCTTTTAAACACTTCGTTTTACTAACTAGTGATATCCATTCTTTGTGCTGCCGGGAAACCCATATGAATTTTTTTTTATTTAATTGTGTTGCAACCTCTTGCTTAATGAACCACACACTTGACACCACACACTTGACAAATAGGTTGCTGAAGTGAAAGTAGCGTTTGTTTACAACCCCGTGCTTTTTAATTGAAGAGTGCAATGTTTCAGTCTTCGATGAAATGCGTGTCTGTGTAAACTTGGGCGCAGTTTTATGTTGACACTTGCACGCCCCACCCCGCCCCCCGGTACATTGTTTACAGGGTTTATTCTAGCTGTATTGCACAAAGTAGCGGGTATGAAAATGGTTCATAAGTCTTTGAGAACGATGAAATTGATGTTCTCGGGAAACATGATGTGATAAACTCCGCGGAGTTTGTGGGGCCGTCCTACATAAACTTAATACAGTATGTCAGGTCAACAGTTTTTCGACCAATGGAATTTCACCATCTAATTCCATGTTATATTCACAATTTTGTTTCTTTTGCCATCCAGACTATGCAGATACTGACCAGAATCCCTCCAATCTCACTGGCCAAGCTCTGACGGCCACTAGGGTCTACCTGACCTGGCCCATCAGTGTGCGTTTTGTCTGTGATGTCCTCGGGTATAAAATCCAATACTGGTTTGACGATGAGGACCCAAAGGTCGGTTGTAATTATTTTATTTAAAAAAAAATTGCGAGATATTGTAGTTAATTTTATCTAAAGAAAGACATTAAACAGTTCATCTTTTCTGGCTTTGGAAAGTCGCCATAATTTAATATTCAAAATTGGTCATTATTATTCTGTTCCTAAATTTAGTTTCTGAGGCCCCTCCTTAATAGAAAGTTGTATCCTAGCCCACTGCTTTGTTTTCTAATTGATTAAATCCACAGTCAGCTCTTAAATCTGATGTCTGTTAGATCTTATTTTTAATGTCAGAGAAAAGGATGTTCTTTCTCCTTTTTATGATAGTTATATTACCTCTCTATAGATCCGTTTTCATATCCCCTGTTGTGATGGAAGTTTTAGAATCACAGGGAAACTAATAGTCTAGGATTTGCTTTCCTGTTTAGATCCAACGTGTAGATGGGGCAAGCACTAACCGTGCAGTGGTGGAGGGTCTAGTGCCCAACAAGAACTACACGTTCTATATCTCAGCCTACTCATCCCTCGGTGATGTGACACCCACAGCCTATGTCAATGTGGTGACTCCTGATGGAGGTAAATCAAGTCATTTTATTATAGTGTCGTCAAACACCGTAACCACTGGACCATATGGCATTCTACATTGATGGAAAAAAACATGGGTACCTGGGTTCCTGTTAAAGAAGCCCAAACTCAAAATTCAAATCTCGGAAGTTGCTGTTCAGATTTTTCATAAAGGTCCGTGCAATAATACTGCCACATCAGTGCGTCAATGCAGCAAGATACAAGTGGTGAAAACTGCAACTTTCTTGAGCATCATAAACGTGAAATATGTTTTGTTTTCCCATGTAGCCTGTTTTTCATTAAGAAAATTCCCCACAAATGACATGCACAACCTTTTTTTTCATTGTCTGAGAAGTTACTTAATTATTTGTAAAGTTGGTTACAGGTACCTGATCCCATAATCAGACTCTTCTCCTTACAATACTGTTTGTTGCACTTCAATCTGACAAGTTGACTTCAGTTGCGTTGACAAGTTATGGCTGTTTAAAGTTTGCATTTATCCACATGTCATATTGTATCTTTTATATATGTGCAGTAGACATATCAAAGATTACAAATATGAATAAATCTGAAAATAAAAAAAAATCACCCCATTCAGTGTTTTGCATTTGTCTCCAGTACGGCCTGTGCCCAATTCCGTTTGACTTTTCCAGAACGCCTCACAAATGTCAGCAACACAGATTTAATCAAGCAAAAATGTGTTTAGACTCAACTCAACCTTGTCAATCCGATGACTCAACTGGACTCGACTCACTGACTTTAGAACGACTTGACTTGACTCAAGTCACAACAAATACAGTGACTGGTCACCAAACTTTGCCATTCATGTGAATAGCTTGAAACTTGACGTGAGACTGGATAAATGTTTGCATTAGAATCAATTTGCTATCAAATGAGGCTTAAGGGTTTGCATGGTGGGCATGAACATGAATGGGAGGTTTGCGACACAACTCACAAAGAAATATCATATCATTCACACAGTGTTACAGCAAACCTCCCATTCATTACTTTGCTATTACCTGATTCCAGCTGCTGTTCATTGTCATTATTTCCGAGTATTCCTCTCTTCTTTTCCCTCCAGATCTCTGCCCCTCAGGCTATCAGGAAGGCTACGACTATGGCTGCTACAAGTTTGTCTCTGACATGAAAGCTTGGAATGAGGCCAGGACGGATTGCTTATCCACTCAAGATGGTGATTTATTGATCATTGACAGCCAGGCAGAGCTGGATTACATCTCTCAGGTGAAGGAGAACATCACTGGCACTTGGTGGATTGGTGAGTAGATGAAGAGTTAAGACTATCCTGCGATCGGCATTTTTTTAAAAGTTCATTTAGACTCTTTTGAATAAGATGTTGAATTACTTCATTCCCACGTCATCAAAAAAAAAGAGATGTGGATTGGGGTCCCCCAGAACCTCGTCTCCATGGCGTTGTGCAGTACACTACCACTTGCCCTCGCCCCCTCTTTGTTGGTTTCGCTTTCATCTTGTGTATTGCTGATGACTCTAGAGGTCGCAACTTCTTCTACAGTCCTTTTCCGTCCGGGTGAAGGTCCCTTAGCCTTAGACTTTCACTGTGTCACATCTGCAAGGCAGCAGCGTTTCGGTTCCTAGATGGGCTGCCTTCCCTGGCTTGCGAGCCCCACCTGCTCGGGTTTGGAATCAGAGTTTTCCTTCTCCTGGATGAGCTGCCTTCCAAGGCTTACGAGCCCCATCTGCCCGGAGCAATCTGGATTTGTGCATACGATCACAATACAAGAGGCGCAACTGCTAGTAATCTGATTGTTCCAAAGTACAAAACGGAGTGCTACAAACATAGTCCAGTTATCAATTGTACCAGTATATGGAACACCTTGAGTACTGAAATTCGCCTGCCGCCATCCTTATCTCATTTTAAATCACTTCTTATAACAAATCTTTTAGCTTCTGGTTCTTAATTATTTTTTCGCTGTTTTAATTTTTACTTTTATATACCCACCCAGTTTGATCTTTATAATTCATTCATAAGTGTCATTTTAACTATTCAACTTCGTAACCTTTAGTTTATTTTTCTAGATTTTCCGAAATTTCGATTTAGTTTTTTTTATTAACTATGTATATTATTGCTTTATCATTTTTATGCTTGTATTTTATTGTTTCATTATTTTGTTTGGTGTATATTTTTTATAGTATATTAGAACTTCTATTTATGTTTTATTTAATTTTAATTATATTATTTCCAGGACCCCATACCACAAGTTAATGTGAATGGGTTTCCTGGTAAAATAAAAGATAATAATAATAATAATAATAATAATTATAATTAGTTAAGGAGTAGTCTGGTGCCTTGCAAGGCTATGATTCAGCTGTATCTGTTTTTGAATGTGGTGTGGCACAGACCGAAGCAATTTGTCACTGGGTTGCTTCAGATGTTTGAAAGTTGCAGTTTGTTTTATTACATTGTAGTTACCAACTTTCAGCGATAATTTATTTGTCAGGTTTTTCTATAAAGAATGATAACATTAAGCAGTTTCAATAAAAAGAAAGCACGGACTCTACTATAGACATGAAAGAACACTCACAGTTATTTTGTTAGGCTGGTTTAAAATGAGCATCAATAAGTTAACTTTCCTGATTTAAAAAAAAATTACATTTTTGCATACCAAATAGGTCCCCCACCCCCCCCCCAAAAAAACCCCAGACAAATATAATCAACGCAAGAATCCATTTGAAGGATTGCTTAACATTTTTTAGTAAACTGACCCTTTAATGAAATACATAGCTATTATGAATATTAACAACAAATCTTCTTATTTGTGTACGATTCAGGTTTCTATGACACCGCAGAGGAAGGGGCGTGGCGTTGGGTGGATTGCTCCACCCCCTCTGGTTTGAATGGCACTTACTGGGCTATTGGCCAACCTAGCGATACTGATGGAACAGAAAACTGTGCCGAGCTGACTCAAAACAGTAAATTCAACGACATAGCCTGCAGCAACCAGCTGATGTATGTCTGTGAAATTACTCGCAAAGGTATGACAGAGTCGTACTCAAGTGAATTCAGTGAAACTTGCCGTATGTGATATAGGTCTATGCTGTGTGACTTAACACCCCGCAATCTTTGTTTTGCCACAGTTTGATTAGTTCACTCTCAAATCTGGAGAAATATAACTCAGTATATCGATAAAGAAATTCTTCATTCATCAACTTCATTTGTCATTTTGTGTGTTCACATGCATTGCCCACTTAGTCTTTAATTACGCCTATTTAAAATTTGCTGTGAGTTCACTGTATGATGCTCAGCACAGCATGGGAACCAAAACGGGAACCAAAACTACCCGCTTCTCACCCTTTCCATCAAATTGTCATCATGTGGTTTTCACGAGAAAACCACACACAGCCCACAATCATTCTTGCAATGCCTGGAGCCGATACAACTAGGCCAAGTTTGCGCAAGCACTATAGTTAACCATAGTTCGACTAACGCTTGCCCGAACTCTGTCTAGTCGACGGTGGTTGACTACGTTAGTCGACTATTTGGAACCAGCCTACTGGGGCTGGTGCATCGCAGGTAACCAATAGCTGCGCTCATTCATAACGCTAGCAGGGAGCCAGATCAAGTTTTTTGATAACATTTTGACCAGCGTTTGACTAGAGACGTTCGCACGTTGCTATTACTGCACAGGCGTAAGGTACGTCACAAATCAACCACTAGTCGACTAATGGTCCTTGCCCGAACTTGGCCTAGAATGACTATTTTTGAATTTTCTTACCGCAGAGTTCTTCCCAAGTGATGTAGATCCGTCCAATTTGGAGGGCTTGTCCACAACCTCTGAGTCTGTACTGCTTCGATGGACAGTGTCGGACTATAACTGCGACATCCAGGGATATAAGGTTCTGTACAGTGTGGATCAGGGAGCTGAACAAGAACAGGTTTGTTTTGTTTGGTGGCTCTGTGTCGTTTTCTCTTTCAGAGTGATTACATTTGTAAGAGTGGTTATTTGTAACAAACCGTATCCTCTCTGAGTGATCCCCGTTTGCTATTTCCCAGGTTTGTAGCGTTGCTAATAGGAGTTGTGACTTTGGGGCATGATCGGTGGCTGCATGGCATATATACGGGTTTATAGCGCCCTTGAACAGAGATTTTGACAAATTTAGAAATTGCTGAAATAGGGCTGAATAGCTCAGTTGAGTTGGTAGAGCACCGGAATGGTTATCCAAAGGTCACAGGTTCAAACCCCGACTCCAGTCAGTTTCTTTGTTCAAATTTGATGTAGTTTCCACGCTCTGTTTTTTTTAATCGTATACTGCCTTGCTTACATTAGTGGGGCAGATAGGGAAATATTTTGGGGAATTGTGCCTTTGACAATACAGGTATGGCACTTGGCAGACAGTCAGAGTATGTCTTAAGAAAGATATTTGGATATAGGGCCATCGCAGATTTGTCCTTTGAAAAATATAGGTAGAATAACAAGCACTTTTCAACTTTTTCAAAATGGCTGCCATTGCTTGTCATTCTACCTAATTTTTTTTCAAAGGACAAATTTGCGATGGCCCTATATCCAAATATGACATACTCTGACTGTGCGCCAGATGCCATGCTTGTATCATCAAAGACACAATCCCATCACCTATCTGTCGTACTACATAGACTCATCATAAGTGTTAAGGGTCATTTTCTTCACTTTATGTCAAGAGACAGTTGCTACAGCCAGAGTTTTTCAAATTGAATTTTCTGTAGGGTTTGGCTTGTTGATACTAATAGGAAAGCAAACATGATTCTTATTTAAAATTTGCCATGTTTGTTTGAACTTCCTACCTAGGTTGTTCCTGGATCCAACACAAACAATGTGAATATTACAGGACTCCTGCCAGATACTCTGTACAACTTCAAGTTGCTGGCATACACTGCGTTTAGTGATCGTGAGGTAACTGCAATCACCACAGTGACAACTCTACAGATTGACAGTAAGTACACATGACGCATATAGGCGGATCCTGGCAAATTGAAGATATATTGAAATTTGCTGCAAGTGGCTGCAAGGCCCCGGCAAAAGAATTCAAATCTAGAAAACAAATCTCAATTGTTTTTCTGATGTGCAGACCCCTGTCCTGAAGATGGCTGGGAGTTGGGCAATGGGGGCAAGTGCTACAAGTTTGTGGAGCGGTTTGAGACGTGGTACGATGCTCGGGCAGTGTGCAAGCAGGATGCCGATGGTGACCTAGTCATCATTGAGACCCAGGAAGAGAACTTGTACATACAGGACAGAACCCAGGGTGGGGATTGGTGGATAGGTGAGTCGGCAAAACAATCAATCGTGTGTCTCTCTCCCTGTCAGGGATGTGGTCGAGTCCATCACAAGCTCATCACAAGTAAATCACAAGTCCAGTCACAAGTAAATCACCAGTCCAGTCACAAGTAAATCACCAGTCCAGTCACAAGTAAATCACCAGTCCAGTCACAAGTAAATCGAAAGTCCAATCACAAGTAAATCAAAAGTCCAGACACAAGTGAATCACAAGTCCAGTCACAAGTAAATCACAAGTCCAGTCACAAGTAAATTACAAGTCCAGTCACAAGTGAATCACAAGTCCAGTCACAAGTCCAGTCACGAGTAAATCACAAGTCCAGTCACAAGTCCAGTCACAAGTCCAGTCACGAGTAAATCACAAGTCCAGTCACAAGTCCAGTCACAAGTAAATCACAAGTCCAGTCACAAGTAAATCACAAGTCCAGTCACAAGTAAATCACAATTCCAGTCACAAGTAAATCACAAGTCCAGTCACAAGTAAATCACAAGTCCAGTCACAAGTAAATCACAAGTCCAGTCACAAGTAAATCACAAGTCCAGTCACAAGTAACAGGTGAATGGTAACAAAGGAATGCCTTCAAAGCTTATTTGAAGAGCTTATGATTTGAAGTGGGACTGGAGGACTTGGGATGGACTCGTGTTGGACTTCTGATGGACTTAATTAAGCTCGTAAATCATGGAACCAGAGCTGTCATTACAGCAAAGTTTTAAAACTGACCTAATTGTGGAAAAATATTTCATTATGTGTTCCTCATTTTGTTGAATCACCGAACGCACCAAAACAAGAATGGAAACAATCAAGAATCTCAAGTAAAGAATGGAAATGTAAAACTCTTGAGACTGAACCTGAGTGAGCACTTTTTATCCAGGATGGCCACAAGTGTCAGCATTTTTCCAAAAGCCATTTTTCCACAGGTGTTTTTCCTGTGAGTCAAAAAATAATTAAAATTGAAAAGTACTCGCTTTTATCCATAATCTAAATTGTACAACTCAGGTACTATGAAACTGTATCTACTTAATAAGCATCCTAGTCAGGGCAGTAATGCTCTAGCAATGGAACAAATGTTTAAATTTGGTATGATGTGAGCATGAAGCATAAAGGCTAGTTCATGCTTGTTGTAATGTCAAGGCAAATATCGGCTATGCGAATTTGCCAAAGTTAAAACGTTATTCAGCTCTAGTGAATTACGCCATGAATGCGTCGCAATTTCAACAGTACTTTCCGTTTGCATTCCCATGTGGTATAAGTTTGGCCTTTCTTGTATAGAGCATAACGGCAGAGGCCTTCACCACACTATGTGCAGAGTAACCAGCATCTCTGATTCTATTGGTCAGGTTTCTATGACGTCTCAGTCGAGGGTGACTGGCGTTGGGTAGATTGCTCCACCCCCTCCCCATGGACGGCGTCCAACTGGGGCGCAGACCAACCCAACAATCTCAACGGTAACCAGCATTGTGGACAGATCCTGAACGATGGCAAATATAATGACTGGCAGTGTGATCGCACCATGCAGTTCATTTGTGAAATCTCTCCTAAACGTAAGACATTCTCTTCATTCTGTTTGAATCACAATTAGAACACATCTGCTTTCTCTGACTTGAAGTATCCCAGTTAATAAGTCTTCAGATTTTTCTTTTAGAAAAGGTTTGATTCTTTGTATTTTTCTGAACTCTATCCCATGTAGCCTATACTTAAAACTGCAACAAAATTATCCCAAATCTTTCTATCCTTAAATTTCCTTTCATTTGCCCAACTCATTCTTTTTACTGAATGTAGTATCATTAACTTAGTTATGAAAAAATATCATAATTGGAAAATACCTCCAAAACATTCTGATACATTTTTTTAGTCACACATTTTGTAAATTAATCTCTGAATTAAAAATCACTAATCAGATTGTTTTTAGTACAATAAAAATCTAATTAACATGTCCTTACAATGGTTTTGCCAACAAAAATGAGTTATTCCTGGGAAATCACTTATGTAATTTCAATTTCGTAATATGTTAGAGTTGAGTGTTCTTGACGTTCATGAGTCTTAAGCTGGCCTCAGGTCGACCTGCGATTTGCTTACACCACGACGGCACTGTCAGCATCAAGCAGAAAAATAATACTCAGGTCACAAAACTGAGAAACGATGTGATTCTCTTGAAACAAGTGGCATCCCAACCAAAATATTCGCATCCATGCTCATGTCACCCAAGACGCGACGATCCACCACGATTCCACAGTATAGACAGTCATGTGGCTTCTTTGACAATAAGGGAATAATTATGTGCTTGGTCGGTTCGGCTTGATCCATTATCAGCGCGCATTCCTCTGATACGGTCTTAAATGTACTTGTATTCCCATTCACAAATACTTTTTGAGTCAAAAATTCGACACAAGTCAAAAATTATACATTTCAAACGATTTTGTTTGACAATTTTACTTTATTGCTTTTTTTAAACACCCCTCTAGCTATGGTATGGAATATCCTCTCACGAGTAGTAGTAAACAATCTCCTTATATGGTGATTGACGCGCGCGTGGTGCGTACTGCGTGATGTTGCGCAGAACGCGGAGTGCCGGTGTGTAGTGTGCTGATTGGCTACACAATGAAAAAAGGATGTCTTGATGCACGCACGAATGCGACTTTGTCGTAGAAGTTGAAATTTTTCTACTCTTGCGACTGTTGATTTCTTTGAGCGCTGACTTCTTCCGATCGTCCTAATATCGTTGCAGTAACACTCAGGTCACACAAAATCGGCCCCCGAACACAAATGTTCCCAATGGTCGTAGCTCAGGCACAGCTTGATCCTGAAAAGTCAGTTGCCGACTGATCTGTGTTGTCGCAAGGGCGACCTGAGGTTGGCTTTAGCCTTTATTCAAGTCTTTGGGTTTACCTTAGATTAATTTACTCTAAGACTGATTTTAAAGTCTGTTGTACAGTTTACTCAATTATGTTAACTGTTCTCTCAACCTCCAGCGTTTGATCCGAGCGACGGCAACCCGACCCGCCTCCGACTTGCTGAAGACACGCCCAACAGCGTCCTGGTGCGTTGGCGCCCCTCCCTGGTCTCCTGTGACGTGATTGGCTACCGGATCAACTACAATGATCCAATCATCAACGGTTTCACGGAGGTACTAGGGGGCAATACCTCTAGTGTGATAATCTCTGACCTGCTAGATGGCTTCACTTACTTCTTTGCCATCGCTGCCTTCACCCAAGAGCAACTGTTACCCTACAGTGAAAGAGTGTCTATCGTCACTCCCTCTCTAGATGGTACGTATTTGACAGGCATTTTAGCATTATAGACAATTAGAAATTATGGCAAGTACATTTTATTCAATTTGTTGGTGTCATTTTTCATATGGGTCATTCTACAAATTTAGGGCTCAATGTGTGACATATATTCTGTCCCTGGTACCTTAGTTATTATTATTGTTATTATTAATTATTTCTGGTATTTAATGAAACCAAGGATTCCTCACAAGCGCCCTAGGCACTGTAGCTCACAAACATGAACAAACCTATAGAGAGAGGGAAATGAGAAGAAATTACAGTTTTAGATGTGAGAGAAAACCCTTGAAGAATGTTCTGAGGAAAACCCATGGAATCATAGACAGGGACTGAAAACCCAATCCACATGTTGGCCCAGGCGGGATTTGAACCCGGGTCACAGCAGTGAAAGGCAAGGAAAGTACCGCTACGCCAACCTTACTCCCCTTTGTAATTTGCCATTCAAGTATCATCAAGAACTTCAAATTATTTTTTAGTTATTGGGTAGGTAGTTTGCTCATAATCACTCTTTGAGGACGACTGCATAAATAAGTGCATTCAGAATTATAAAATCATAGATGTATAGAATGACCCATATTCGGTACTACATGTATAGTAGAATAACAATCATGTAATTAGGTTACATCGGAATTAACGTGACTTCAAAAGTTATTTGGGAACCAACCTTTGATTCCGTATCCATGAAATACTTGAGAAAAGATCTGAGAAGTACTCTCAATGTTTTTGCAGGTTTGTGTGAGGAAGGATGGGAGCCTGGACTAGACTACAAATGCTACAAGTTTGGCATCCAACAGAAGACGTGGGAGGAGGCAAGAGCAGACTGCCAGAGCGTCACTGATGGGGACTTAGTCATCGTAGAGACCCAGGAAGAACACAGTTATCTGGTCAACAGAACACTAGGCGGTGATTGGTGGATTGGTAAGTGCTCTTTGGATTTCAAGTTGTTGATATTGTATTTGGTTCATAGTTGATGTGAAATATAAGCAAAAGTGTGCATCGACATTGAGCACAGATTAGTGGATACTTGTTGAGTAGTGCTTAGAGAGTTGATTACAGTTATCTAGCCAACAGAACGCTAGGTGGTGATTGGTGGATTGGTGTGTTCATCTGTTGAATTCACAGTTGTTGATATGATATTTGGTTGGTAGTTAATGTAAGATTATAAAAAAAAAATTGTGCATGAACATTGAGCACAGATTGGTGGATACTTGTGGAGTGCTTAGAGAGTTGACTATAGTTATCTGGTCAACAGCATACTAGATAGTTTATAGATATATTATAGATAAGTGACAGTTGATGTAGAGTGTAAGATTGGTGGATACTTGTTAATTTGTCTTTAAAGAGGGACCATGGAATGGTTGATTACCATTAGTGGATTAGTAGCTTGTACTTGTGGAGTCATATGGAAATGGGCTGGTACATATACCATGCAAGTTGAGGGCAAAACAAATTTGTTAGGGAAGTGAAGAAAGTCTCAATGAAACATCTGTTGTTAACGTCAGAAAGTTCAATTTGCTTTTTCTTTTGTGTTAAGTATGAATCGGCCTCAACCGCACTAAATGCTTTTTTTATTTAACATACATTTTTGTAGTTAATGAAATTTTCGGTATAAATTGATAGGTTGTTACATTATGGTTCATTTCCATAAGTTGATTTTTCGGACCCATGAAAGCATTCATTAGACCATTCAAGCTGCCTGGGGAGCATACAGCAAGATGCTGCCATTTCAGTGCATATAACTAAATCATACACAAAAGCCAAGCCCTCACAGGTTCCCATGTGCTCCTGGTGGAGAGAAGCAATAAGTGTAAAGTGTCTTGCCTGAAGACATAGGTACCACTACTCCATTATCTGCAGATTTACCAAAATCTTGAGTTCACGGCACTCCATGACTAACCAAGAGACACAATCAGTGTCAAACAGACAATAATATAATCTGCTTTCTTTGTTTTTATCTGTGATGCCTCGATTCCAGGTTTCTATGACCAAGGCACAGAGGGTGATTGGCGCTGGGTGGACTGCCAAGCACCAGGAACCTGGGCCAGCGGTAACTGGGGCAGCAATCAGCCCAACGACTTAGACGACAGCCAAGACTGTGGCCAGATGCTGCAGACAGGGCTGTGGAATGACTGGAATTGCCAGCGACCCATGCAGTACATATGTGAGATCAATCCAAAAGGTGAGTTGTTTGTGAGTGACAAAGAAAAGCGCAAAGCTTTAAAGTTGACCCGACTGTAATGGTTGCTCAGATTTGCCGTACAGTGTACTTGTGACTAAAAGTGTACAATCAACAGAGAGAGGGGCAAGTGGGGGTGTAATGACTTGCCCAAGGACACAACATATGGCCATCGGCTGGATTTGAACCCCTGACCCTCTGATCATGAGTTACAAACCCTAACCACTAAGCCACACATCCCTCAAGACAATACGGTGTAGACGATAGTGTGTAGACAATACTGTGTAGCTCTAGACAATTGACCTATCGCAGTTGACGAATTAGCCACGTCTCTTAGACAATCCTATGGAATTTTTGTATGCTAACTTTTGTTTGTCTCAGATGTTGCGCGCTCCGCGTCCATTTGTATAGCATGTTTTTGGACAATATTTCACAAGCTGTGTTGACGCAATTCTACCGCGATAGGTCAGTTACGATGCAGCCAGAGATTCTCAAGAATGAACTTTAATGGGAATTAAATCCAGGTCCCAGTCTTGGTTCGTACAATATCAGTAAATATATAATCGAAATAAAGTTATCAATAGACTCTGTGCACAAGTACCCCCTCAATGGTTGCAAAAAGGGAGTTGGATCGAGGGAGATCTTTTGGAGAGACATGACGTGACGTGTCCCTCACACTGGGGCTCTTGAAAGTTGTCACAAAGCACCATCTACTGTCCATGCAAGGAGTCTATACCCAAGCATACTTTGTCTGAAACCTTAGCGCTCATGGTATTTATATCCCGTTTCCCCGTTCCTGCTTTGTAGCCTTTACTTCCGAGGAACAAGGTCCCACCCTATTCCGTGGCCGAGCCAATGATCCAGTCACCATCCGGCTTAGCTGGACCCCCTCAGAGTACAACTGTGAGGTCCGCGGCTATCGCATCGTGTACGAGGAGGAAAAGGTTGGCAAGACATTGACTGTAGAGGGCGGTGCAACCAGCTCGGTGTTGCTGAAGAGCCTCAGTCCGGGGGCTACGTATGTCTTCTACATCGGAGCATTCACTAAGGACGACGAGCTGGATCTGGAGAGTAGATCAGTTCGAATACAGCTACCCCAAAGTAAGATGAATTAAGTTTGTGTGCAGTCTCATAATTGAGCAGTTCAAGTCTTTGCCTAATTATTCTAATTGAACCCCTAGGCCCTTTTGGCTACAGGAACCATCCTCAATCCTTCAAAATCCTGCTATTGCTACCATGTAAATATTAGATTCAGCCTCAATCCTCCAAAGCTTACTTGGTTTAAAGATAGTAATGGCAATAAACTCCCTGTGAAATTATTCTTTCTGGCATGCTGTCATTTTGAAAAAAAAACAATAAAAGAAGGCCATTTCCAAAGATTCATCAAGTGACGCATTTTTGGAAATTTCCGTTCGAAGCTGGTTTGTAATTCGGCAAATCCGTGAGTGGGTGCACGCAAGCTTGACACGACGCACATGCGCACGCAGTTGCTATTCTTGTCGGTTCAGAGCGTGATATAGCGCAGCTGCAATTGGCTGAATGAGAACGTGTCATGGATGCTGATTTCAGGTGCAATTCAAAGCATGACTCGGCAACTTTTGAACTGGAAATCGAGTTCCTAGAATATTGTTTTCTCGGAATATACAGCATTCACTGAGCTAAAAGTACATCAGGTTAGTTGTTAAGGGCCCTTCTTTACATTTTGGGCACTTTTGTCTGCCCAGAGACAGTCAATACCAATATGGTTAAAGATCATGTCACCTCGGCATCGATGCTGCTTGGGTCTACAAGCCAGAGTCTAGCTCTTTTAACAAGTGACAAAATGATCTACCTTTAACATTGACGGAGTTGAAGACAATGTTCTAATTGCTGTATCTCTTTTCCCCATCCTGTTACAAGCTGGGGTTTGTGGCGAGACTGACTGGACGGCATCTAGTGGTATGATAGCATCGCCTAACTACCCAGACGCTTACCCTGCCTTCCAAGAATGTGTCTACACTATCTCACTGCCAGATGCTGCAGCATCTGTCCAGATAGAATTTATGGACTTTGACCTGGAAAAGGGGTAAATATACATTCTGTCCTGTGTGTCCATTACTAGTCCATCACAAGTAAGTCACAAGTAACAGGGGCTAAACAATAAAGAGTTACGGCATCCGGGAAAAACGTGATGTATCTGTAGTAATGTTGTGCATTGGGTCGGGTTGACCAGGCCAAAACGATCCGAAACAATATAGATATAAACCAAATCCAAACCGAAACCAATCTGAACTCCCTAAAACTGACCCGACCTGACCAAGAATCAAGCAAAAACCGACCTGAACCGACCCAAAACTGAAACGACCCACAGAAAAACGAATATCTGGCTTAGGCAACTGTGTCTGCATTTTGTGGCTGAACTTACCCACGTCTCATGAAAATCATCATCTCTCAGTAACTGAATCATACCGTACGGTACTCACAATGTGACCTACTGGTGGGCCTACATATTACAGACCGTGTGTGATAGCCCGCAAACTACTCTTAGGTCGTATATACCAGGCACAGTGACACTGCAATGAATTTTACACCGTGTGCATTTTCGAACTGTTTCAGGTTTTTTTTGGGTTTATTTCAAGTTTTTTCAAAATGGCTTAACTGACCCAACCTGACCCGAAAATTGCAGAGACAGAACCGAACTGACCCGACCCGACTGAAATGATCGACAAACCGACCCGACCCGAAACCGACTTCGGGACGGGTCGGGTCAGTTGCGGTTTCGGGTCGGGTTTTGCACAACATTAATCTGTACACATATCCGTATGGCATCGCACGTATACGGATACGTGATGGGGCATTCAAAATTCAGTTTCGGCATCGCGCAGCTACGTACACCTGTTATTGTTTTTGTGCACATGCAGGATAAAATTAATCATGCGTCCTTCACGCAATATGTGTGTGAATGAATGCGCACACGTCCCATCTCCCCGACTGGATCTCTCACAAGTTTCACAATAGGCCATGTACTGTTCATGCATGTAGTCCATGCCATGATGCCCCACCCCTTCCTCTGATTCCACGAACCAAACGTTGTTTTTACTATCACGCAGGCACGACTTTTTGATGATGGGCCCTGGCCTGATCCCAGACGTGGACATTCAGTATGCCCTGACTGGCAGTGAGCTGCCCCAGATGGCTATGATTGACTCTAGCCAGGTGTGGATGCGATTCCTTTCAGATGAATCCAACCAGAGGTCAGGATTCTCACTCATGTATTCAGCTGCTGAAGGTGAGAAACAGACACTCTTGCAGCTCAAGAATGTAATGCAGACGAGTAAAATATGATTGATGTCTGGCTAGAATGTGGTTCATTATACAATTTTGTCGCTGTGATGTAGTCCATGGCGTTTTCTATCCTAAGGGCAGCAAATGGTACCTGCGGCAAAACTGAAGGTGCCAATTGCCCCGGAGGGCATACAAAACCCATGGACTGTATCACAACAGACAACACTTGTTTTGTTATACCATGGTATTGTTTTTATATTTCATTTTTGAGTCTCTAAGAAGTAACACTATAAATGTTAGTCTTGTAAATATAGGATATTGTGTACACCCCTGAACACACCGATAATTCGGCTCGGGCCATTATCTGTGTCCAGGCCCCTAGCCGGTTGTAAACATACTTGTTTAAAACCAGCCAAGCACATATTTATTTCCTTAGTAGACCACCACTATCAAGAACATGGCTACACCAAAAAAAATTCCGCACCTTTTTTGCTCCTAAATCATTGTACTGATATTGGTAGCTGAATAATCTTAATAATGAAGGACTTTACTGTGTTTGTTATAGTGGTGTTATAGCATTAATTTGGGAAGCAAAATTGACTGATGCACATTTTTAGTTCTCTAATGTGAATTTTTCCTTGAAAAAATTGAGAAAATTTGATACCAAAAGATCCCAAATGTAAGTCTTATTTATAAGTAAAATTTTAAATGCTCAAATGATCAGTGAAACCGAATAATCCTGCCACATCATGACTTGGTTAGTAATACAAAATAAATGGCTTCTAAGTTTTGATTTTGATTTGTTTGATTTGTTGATTGACAGCTGACATGAGTGGGGAGAGCGTAGGCAGTCTGACCATAGTGCTCATCAGCCAGTCATTCAAATCAGTAAGTCTTTTCTTTACATGGGTTTTATTTTCACAATGTACTAAAGGCTTTACACTCAGTGACCCCTGTAATACAGATTTGAAAAGCTTGCTTAACAGACTGATCCATTAGGCTCCTCCCACAACACACATGGGCATCAACACGATTGCTTCTCCATTGCCAAATGTATGTTCCAGCCCCACGCGTAATACGCATGTAAATGCATGTCAAACTTTTGCGCACGTATGTCGGAAATTAAACTTGAATGTGATTGTCCAAACTCTGTTTTGTGGGTCAATTACATTCATTGTGTAATTAATGAGATGTAAAGTACAGTATGCAAACTGCACTGACTTCCCACTATGGGCTCTGTGCACAAGTACTCCTTCATGGGCCAGAAAAGGAGAGTTGGGGGAGACCTATAGACTGGTTCCTGGTCCATCCACTGCATATTTCAAATGATCGAAAGTTATTTAGGGCGGGGATTAGTCTGGAAGACCATCGCAAGTTAAATTCAAACGTATTCACATGCCGACAACGCCTGATGCTCACGTGAAGACGCTGTGGCTATAGCAGTTTGCACATTCAGGAAGTCGTGTGTACTTTGCACGCAAACCAGTACAGTACATACAGTACCCACGCGCTGTGTGCCCTGTCTCTCAAAAGTGGTAAAAGCGCGCCCTCTTTTGTTGGCGCGTAGTGGAGTCCCCTTATGTCAGAAAATTATATTTTTTTTCAAATTTGGGCACATTTTAATAGGAATCATTGTGCACATCAAAATAAAATTGGAAAATCACGCCAAAATAGATTTTCTCTGGAACTTTGAAGCGGGTACATATAAACTCAGGATTTATGAATGGGAATGTTCAGAGCTTGATGAAATTTCACTAACTGTGAAATCTGAGGTAAAATTTTTGCTCTAGCAAAGCACTAGAGGCGAAAATACAAAGAGCGCCACATCAGGGGCCACGCCATGTTAGGGTACATCAACACTATATCAAAGCCTTTGACAAGCAAAACACCTATGACACCTATGACAACGGAAGAGTTTCTTCACAGTTAATTATCTATAGAGCAATCCGAGTACATGCGTGCTTTCGCCATTGAAGGGGGCATCCTTGATCATATAGTGGTAGCGTTCTCTTAATGGTCCATTTCACTGAAAATTAAAGTTTTCATTTAAAGGTTTTGGAATGGTAAATTTTGTGAGAAAAAAAAGGAAGGTATTTGGACAAAAGTTATGTTGTTGAAGTTCTCAAACTCAAACTCAAGTTATGTTGTTTTAGAAACAAAAAAGTGACTTTTTAAAACCCAATTTCACGGCACTGATAAGCACACGATTTTCTGCTAACAGAGTCTCTGTCTATGTCATGGAGACCATAAGCAGTAAGCACAGCAAAAGGTACGCTTACTGATAAGCAGCACTGTTAAATTGGGTCCAGGTTTAAGCATGGAACAATATTATTCAGGATTTTTAAAATCTGAAGTCATAACCTTTTTTTACAGTTCACCGAAGCTGTTCAGACTGAGTTTGCCATCGCTGTGGCCAATCAACTGAATGTTTACTGCAAACTGGCTGAAGACAATTGCTTGGTAGATGCAACAGCAGAATTCACGTAAGGCTCTAACCTTTTATGAAACAACAAATTCATCTCCACCAGCCATGTTTTTTGGTTTGTTTTCTGAGACCTACAAGTTACCCCAAAAAATTAAATAATCGATTGTTTGGGCAGCAAATAAGCCACACCCTTCTGTCTGATGCATATATCTTGACAAAAATTCATCCACAAAATGTCTGAAATTAACTGAACAGTTGGTCAAAATTTATCCCTGTAAATGAATGGGCGATGTTTAGACATGTTGTCTCCAAAAGAGAGTGAATTTGGACACTTTTAAATTTACAGTGTAAGTATTTGGCAAACAAACCAGCTTGGGACCCCTTATTACTAATGTTTGGCTTTCATAAGGAAATTTTTGACATCTGACAAAGAATTTCATTGTCTGTAATAGATGGCTTCAACTATTATTGATGATAGTTAAAACCACATGCAGTACATGTAATATGTATTGTAGAATCCAGTATTTTACAGTGAGAGTGGGTTGATTTGCCCAAAAAAATTCTGGTGCTTCATTGTAATCGTTTGATTTGCACATCTCAATAAATATCTTTTCTATTTATATAGCCATGGGGTTTAGGGGAAACATTGGCGCACACTGTGGTTATTTGAAAAGCCAAACATCTCATGTTTTTTTTCTCCATACATTTTCTGAGAATAGTTAGGAACACTTCTCACAAAACATATCCATCATGTTTCCAGAATTGCAAACTGCTTTGTTTTAATTGCATATATTTCACATGGGAAATCTACAAATGTTTTTTTTTTTAAACAATGATGGATATGTGAAAAACTAAGTTTTTTTTTTAGTATTTATGTTTTTTCAGTAATCTGATAGTGTTTATATAGCTTGGTCACACTGATGTCCAACAGCCGTGTACAAAGCTGATGGACTTCATATTATTATTATTATTATTATTTATTCAGCCAAAGAAAGAAAAAAAACCAAATATACAGTAGACATAGACTACAATACATACATCGATACCCAAGAGAAAACAAAGAGAATAAGAAAGCTAATCACCAAGATGGGCTAGGGGCAACAAAAGCAAAACAATTACTGTAGTCCGTAGACCTGTTACCCAACAATTGCAACAACAATATCTTTGTTGCTGGTTGTTTCAACCAATGATTTCACAACCAGAAAGGGGTGGTTTTGGTGGAAGGTGGGGGGGGGGGGAAACAGTGAACAAAGTCTTGATAAATTGCTGAAATAAAACAAAATATCCCATATCTTTATATCTAAACTCTGTCTATAACTATCTGAAACCATATAACATATTCACTTTTATGTCTGTAAACCTTTTAAAACTAAACGTTTCATTTGTGGGTTTTCCTTCTTCTTTTTTTGCCTGCAGAGACAAAGAGGTCCGCTTCGCCAGTTTGGAGGACGTAGCTGAAGGATTACAAGTGACTTTCTGGGTGATTGACCCCACTGATCCTATGCGACGTCAAGCCGCATTGACTTCTAGTCAACTGCAGTCCATGCTGAATGAATATGGGGCGGATGTCGAAAACGGTATATAAAATGCTTATAGTTTATCCCAAAATAATCATTAATAAAATATTAAGTCTTTGTCAACAAACTTAATAGAATCAACCTCACAGAGAAACTTACCAGTTGCTTGCATAATAATTAAATTGAACTAAGATTGACTGGAGTGGGTTTGACCCTGTGACCTTCAGTTTGCCGTTCCGTCCTCTACCAACCTGTGTTGGCGGTTCCCCAATTTGTCAACGTCTTTGTTCAAGGGGCGCTAGTCAGAAGCCATAAACCTGCATATGCCATGTAGCCAGAAATCACGCCCTGACAAACTTGGTCTGGTAACGGTAAAACACATGTGGGCGATTGAAGGAGAAAGTGCAGGGAACCCCATTGAGACAATTTCTTGATTATAAAATAAGCGATTTCTAAAGAAGGACTTGACATCACATCAGAGTTCATAACAAGTCCATCATGGTCACAAGCAAATCACAAAGCAATTCACTAGTCCTGCCTAAAGTCATGAGATGTATGATACTTAATGATGACTTATCATGTGCTTGTGAATACCTGTGTTGGACTCCACTATAACACTGCTTGCAACCTGTGGTCGTAAAATTGCGTCGTTTATGCACAGTAGCCAGCAAGCCTTTTTTTTACGAGGACAAAGAAATCATCCATTTATCATATTATCACAATTTATGGACAGAACACAAAATGTTTACTTCAAGAGTAAGCAAAAAAGAGTAAATGGAAGGTTTTTAGTAATTTTTTTTTTAAATCAGTAAATTGAAGGTTTTTAGTAATTTTTTTTTTTAAATCATAGACATTTTGGATATTTTTTGTTCCACTTGAGAAATGCCAATTCTTATTTTATTTTTTTGTGGGTGGAAAAGCGGTTTTGGAGGCTACATGCGGTCTGCATTCCCATTGTAGAAAGCCAGCTTATTGACTTAAAGGACTCCAAGGATTGAATCTTGCTGTTTTTCTCCGCAGATGGACAGTTCCAGTTTGTTGTACGTACTGAATCCAATCCACTGAGTGAACCATGGGTCATTGCACTCCTGTGTGTGCTGGGTTTTCTGGTTCTAATATTGCTGGTTGTCATTGTTAAAGACCTGAGCAGCAGAAGGTTAGTACAGTAAGCTAGTGGATGATATCTGAGAGGGGGGTTGTTCAAATCAACACTTTTATGTTAATGGTTTTGTCTTTTTGCGGAAGGAATTTAGCAGGAAGGTACAAGACATTTACAAGTATCGAACAGACAAGAATTGATCTTGGTTAAAAGATTATACTGTCATGGTAATTTCTGAGGTAAGAAATAGGTTTTAATTGAAGTTATCTGTGAAAAACATTTTCTTTTTTGCCATTATACAGAAAGAAAAGGCCAGGATCATCATTGTCCAGCAGCGATGTTGAAATGAAGTCTCGTGACGGTAAGAAATAGGAATTCCACATCAAAACTTTCCTAAGGGGATTAGATTAAGTTGGAAGGCATTTTTGTAAGATATGGGTTTTTATAATATGTAATTCACTAAATTTATTTACTTTTGGGCAAACACCACCAGGTTCTGAAAATATTTTTAATGGACTAACAAATTTAGGGTCCCCGGCCTCGACCTAAACCTGGATATGCTGCTGATGTACCACTTTGCCAATTTTGAAAAATGTTTTTGTTCTTACTGTTGTTATTTTTCCCCGCACATTGTAGACTTTATGACCACAGATGATGCAGAGCTGATCGCTAACATTGACAATGAATCTGTGTCACCTGATGAAAGAAGGTATGCTAGATATCCAAATGATTAGAGAAATGAAAGTGGCATAAGTTATATACAAATACCTGTCATGATCAGCACTGGACAAATGTTTTTGAAGATATTGAAGGAGCAAAAAAAGACCAAGTATATAGAAAATGGCACATAGAAAATTTCCTTTTTTTCTTCAGAAAAGCCCTTAAATTGTCCTTGGCACTGTTCACACATACTGGAATTTGTATCCTTGTGGAGTCATTTCCTTGTTCTCGTGTACTAAAAAATTTGAGTTCGAAAATCTAGTTTCAAAATGCTCCTAGTTTAACCAGAATTAATTTCCTGGGCTGAAATTTGGACTTAATATCACTTATATAAAATACTTCAATTTACGACAGATCAACACACCTTGGAAATTCCTAATTTTTGAGTAAAATCCATATATCTATTTCGTGATCATCTTGTGGAGACGTATTCATCAATAGAAATTGCCCCGTGAAGACGTATACAATCTTTTGTTCCCCGAATTATACCCATGTCTCCACAGGGTACCGTGTACCAGATCTCAATGTAGTACAAGTGCTAATGGGTTTAACAAATTCTAATTCTAAAGTTAGTATGCTCTTTGCAGTGCTTACTGCTTAGCCTGTGTGAATGAACACAGGTATGTTAGCCAACAATCTATTAGCAGTGCCCTGAAATGTGGCCCACTACTGTTTAATGACCTGAAGCCAATGCTTTGTTGATTCTAACGACAGGGTTCCGAGTAGCGTGACCGCCAATGTCTACTATGTCAATCCCGTTGCGGCATCCATGAACGACGAAGCTGAAGTTAGCCAAGATCTGGGAAATACCAATGATGTGCCTGAGGTCAGTGACCCCAAGGACGAGGTCATTGAGGTCAGTGACCTCAAGGGAGAGGTCAATGGGAATGTGGAGGTTGAGGTTGAGCCTGAGCCGCTGTATGCAACAACTACAAGGGAATCAATGAAGAAAGAGTAATCTTGCTACAGAAAAAAAAAAAATTCCATCTTGTCTTTTTTTTTTGTAGAGCTAAACCCGGGGTGTGTACCAGTCATGCAAACTGTTTTTCATTTGTTAGCTTTAGGCCCTGCAAATGTGCCAACCTTAAATGGAATGATAATGTCATCGAAAAACTTTTGTCAAAATGGCGGCGACCTGTATGCCAATCGTACAAGTGTCACTGTTTGGATAGCAGCTTTTGAAATCTTTGAAAAAATTAATAGTAACTGGAAGTGAATTTTTTCTAGTAATGCATGAACTAAGTTGGAAACAGAAAACAGAATCATTATGTTCAATTTGTGAGTTGGCCATTTTGGAAAACATAGGCAACGATTCCGGAAGGCCGTTCAACTCTGGTGGCAAACAGTCGATCCCACTTGCACAAATGTTGGCAATGTTGGCACATGTTGTTTGTGTAAGTGGAACGCATCCCAAATGCAAGGTAAATAAAAAGCTTTGATGTATCAAAAATCCACACACTTAGGATCATTTGCTGTTCATGCATGTTGTTCGTTGCTAAATAACACCACTCAAAATCCAAAGAAGAACGTTCAATACCTAACCTGTTGATGTTTCAGCTCAGTGAATATTACACTTTCTGAGAAACCTGTGAAAAACCATGCACAACCTTTTGATCACAAAACACGATTTCGTCATTATAACTCGTTATTTCAAAAAATCAGTCAATTGAGTGATTGTTGGAAGTCACCTAGATACATTTCTTTATCTTCTAAATGACAGCAAGCCAGACGGAATAATTTCACGAGGTGTTTAGTACCAGAACGATCTTTAACCAAGTAAACGTTTTGATAACAGTTTGGTATGTTATTGTTGGGATAAATGCAAATGACCCTGTATACCTTTAATAAAGTATAAAGGACAGCACCCATGAGGTGCTGATGTCATTTAACTAACTGGGAGATCATGCTTGCTGCGTGTACATTTTTTGTATTTTATGAAAATGAAGGGTTCCTCCAAAGTGCCCATGGTCACTGTAGCTTGCAAACCTGAAGAAACCTGTAAAGAGAAGACAATGAGTAATACTCAGTTTGAAAAGTGGGAGAAAAAAAACAGAAGAATGTTCTGGAGGAAAAAACCCACAGAACCAGGTAGGGACTGAAAACCCAATACACATGTGGATCTTGGTGCAACTGAAATCCGGGCCACAATCGTTAAATGTGTCTTTCTGATAATTTAAACCAGGAAAATGTTGACATTATCACCCAATTTTGTGTGTGCAAGAATGGATTTTAATTTTATACTGTTAATGAATGTGCTGACGTGAACAAATTCACACAGTACTTTTGCTATGTGTATTCTTCTGCTGCAATAATCATTACACTACCAATGTGTTGAATTTTTTTTACAAGTAACGTTTTTAATTTGTATTTCTACTGTTGCTTTTTATAACCTTCCAGTTAAATTGTTTTTTTTACTGTTTTGTTTAGTAATCCTCATTTGTTTAGTATCACATTATCTGTGCCAATATAATTTTTCATTTTGTTTTAACTTTTTGCATTATTTTTCAAAATGAAATTAATCAAATGATATAGAAATATTTTAAATTGGAAAAGGATAATATTTTGCTTAATAAAAAAAAAATCAAGTCAAGACAGGGTCCACGTTTGTGGTACCAAGGAGTTGAAGGATGGTTTGAGAGAGGTCGTTCTCTGTTTGCCCTAGACCCCCCCCCCCTCCCAGACAACCATTAGACTTGCCCCCATCTCACAAACATTCAAAAGCGATCTAAAAATGATCAAAAATATGAATTAAAAAAAAAAAATATGCAGTATCGTTTGCCTTGTATGTTTTTTTCCCCTTCGTTTGAAGCAACAATATTCAAAACCTATAGTAGGGTACATAACAATTAACCTGTTAAAGTTTCAGCTCAGTTGGATACTATACTGTACATTTTGAGAAAACAGAGAAAACGTATGCAAAATCTTTATGGTCTTGTAACTGGATTCCATTGCTAACGCACGTAAAAACGGAAAAAATGTTGCAACCTGACGCCACTTTTTTCTTCATATAATATCTCAATGAAGGCCAGTCATTGCAAAAATGATAGGACATGAATCTGGGACTGAGAAACATTTCCAACTTTGCTAGGAAATATTCCATAGACTTTGTACACAACTGCTGAAGTGGCATCAGGTTTCAAATTTTTTTCCAAAAACAGTGTCCCGCTGCACCCCTTTTTGTAACCCCCTTTAATTTTACTTTTTTTCCGAATGATACCATTTCAGGTGTAAAATTTCACAGGGTATGTGAGCAAGGTTTCTGTCACTAAATCAATAGGTACTTGTCGGGGTAATTTGCAAATGCTCCTACGTGCCTTTTACCTCAATATCACTACACTTTATGTTGTTTTCTTTCATTGAGCATTGATAATTTTGTTGGAATTGCATTGTTAAAGACAGGTATTGTTATTATTAGTAAATAAACCGAGTAGTGTTTGACAATTCTGATTGTTGTTTTGGTCATTCCGTCCAGGTTTTGTGTCAAATGTAGTATTAAGGAGTAAATATAGTGACTGTTACATCTCATACATTTCCGTGATGAAGCTAATATTGATCTTTACTTAACTGATGACACGTAGGGCGATTCAGGGAATAAATGTGTGCTTAGCCAGTTTTAAACACTATGTTTAAAGGGAATGTACATCATTGGCTTTTGCTGTAATTTTCAGAAATTGGCTTTTGCTGTAATTTTCAGAAATGAACTATTTGAGGGGTTAATATAATAGATCAAATATTGTTACCCTGACATGTTTGAAGTTTTGTGTTTGGAAATGCTGGAAAAACCAAGAAAAACAAAAATGTTCAAGTAGTCTGGTTCCCTGACTCCACTAAAGATGAAATGGATCAATGTATTGATGCCGGAAAATTGTAAGGTAAGGGAACCAGTCTAGCTGGCCTGCACCCGTTCATGAACATGAAACTAATAGCAAACAAAATTTGGACTGAAGAAAAATTTGGAGCAGTAGTTAAAAATAGTTAGGTTTTTCCAACGGTGGTCGGCCGACCACCGTTGGAAATGTATACAAAAATACCATTTTCTTCAAAATGACTTCACACCTGGTGCCATAATTTTACAGGATGCTTTAGACCGTCATTTACCAACATCCTAGTAAGGCATTTTGTAAAAACTTAGTAGTTTTATTTTTCGATGTTTGCAAATATTGTATTTTCCCTTTAAGACCGGTTGGAGTCTCGATGGGTGATAATTACCCTCATCCAGACTCCAACCGGTCTTAAACATAGAGTTTAATACCGGGCAAGCAAATATTCTCATTCATAAATTTCTTTTCGGTCAAAAAATCAAAACTATTAGGTCCGAAAGTCAAAATTATAAATTTCCAACAATTTTGTTTCCCCCCCCCCCCAACAGTAGTGTGGTTGGGGTCTACGAGCGAATACTTACCTGTAGAGCGAATACTACATATGCATTGTTCCCTATGCCGGCAGGCAATTTGCTAATAGTTTTACACAATAGCGCCCTCACGTGTCCTACCCACGATGCCCTGTGACATGCGCACTACATTAGCGTCCTCTTTTTCTCAAGCGTTACTTGCGTAAGCACTCAAGGAATCGAGTATAGTGGGGAAGGAGGGAGGGGTGCTCTACAGGTAAGTATTCGCTCGTAGTCCCCAACCACACTACTGTGGGGGGGGGGGGGGGGGGGGAGTCTACATCACTCTACTTACCTGTAGAGCGAATACTACATATGCATAGACTCGCACCGAGTAAGGCGGTGGGTATACGCAAATTACCGTATGTCTACAGGGGTGTAGGACATGAGGCGTGTCCAAAGGTAAACAACACCAAACCAAAAACCTACACCCCAGACGCTCTAGGCTTCACCTCGTCAGGGGAACCCAAAGAGCTCGTGCGCAAAAAGTCAGGGGGGTGTAACCATTATGGGAATGAACACATGATAGGTACACCTAATTAAACTTAATGCCCATACAAATATATATATGTATATTTATATGCTCACCCGTTAGTGCTTCCGTGAGGCTCGACTGGCCGCTAGCAGCACTTCTCTTCCAGCCTTGCCATCTGCCTGGAGGACATCCTTCAGGTAGCATTCGGAGAACGTGTTAGGGTTCTTCCAGCAGGCTGCCTTGACGATGTCACCTAGGGGGACACCCTTAAAAAAGGCCCACGAGGTGGACACTCCCCTGACCTCATGCGCTCGAATGGGTCCCTGGGTCGCTGGCCAGCCGCCCGGTACGGAACGGATAGCTGTCACGATCCAGCGAGTGATTGTATCGCGGGACGCCGGCCCATGGGGCGGGGTCGTCGTGATGAACAATTTGTCATGTCCCGTACGAAGTGACTTCGTACGGTTGACATACCAATTAAGTGCTCGAACTGGGCACCAAAGTTTGTCGTTTGTCTCGTTCAAAAAAGACTTGATGTCCGGGACAAAGATGTCCGGGGGCATAAAGGTCTCCGACTGGTTCTTTGCGAGAAAACCGGCCGTAGGGATCAGGCGGACACCCCCCGGTTCCCACCGGATGTGTCCTGTCTGTATCGATAACGAGTGTAGTTCGCTACGTCGTTGGGACGTAGCAACAGCCAATAGAAAAGCTACTTTGATGGAGAGCTGTAACAAAGTTGAGCAATTCATTGGTTCAAAGGGAGCCTTCGCCAGTGTAGATAATACACTGAAGAGGTCCCAAGATGGGATTAATGTGCGTACTGGGGGACGAGTATTAAACATCCCCTTGATCAGTTGGCTAATTGCAGGGTTGCCGGAAACGGAGGAACCGTCCGAAAATCCCTGATGGATCGCGGCAACGGCCGATCGATAATTTTTGACCGTGGCCGTCGTGAGCCCACTGTTAAAAAGGTATAGGAGGAAATCCCCCACTTCCCCTACAGAAGTATTGGGGGGATGAATGGATTGCCGTCTACACCATTTAAAGAAATGGCGTAGTGGCTATCGTACACCTTTCTGGTTGAGGCTCTACGGGACTGGGCTGCAATTGTTGCAGCTCGTCGCGAAAGGCCTGCTGAGCAGAGGGATCGCGTGACAATACCCAGCACGTCAGGTGAAGATCCCCCGGAGCCTGGTGACTGATTCCCGAGCTGGGCTGATAAAGGAGATCGGCCCTCCGCGGTAGAATTACCGGGCGGTGAACCAAGAGTCGGACGAGCCGGGGAAACCACGGCTGGCGGGGCCAGAACGGGGCTATGAGGAGAATTCGGCAATCCTCCTGCTCAATCTTGGTCAGCACTCGAGAAACGAGGGAGATGGGTGGGAAGGCGTAGGCCAGTAGGCCGTCCCACCGCACCGACAGCGCATCGGTCTGCCACACGTTGGGATCTGGGCCCCTCGCGCAGTAGATCGGTAGCTGATTGTTCATTCACGACGCGAATAGGTCCACATGCGGTCGGTCGATTAGACGGAAGATCGACTGAGCCACCTGTGGGAGCAGTGACCACTCTGTCGGGGCGATCCAGCCTCTGGAGAGAGCGTCGGCTGTGACGTTCTCTTCCCCCGAGATGTGGACTGCCGACAGTGCTATCCCGTGATGTATGCACCAGAGGGTGAGATCCCACGTTAGTGCACACAGATGGCCTGACCGAGTGCCACCCTGGTGATTGATGTATGCCACCACTGTGGCGTTGTCGCATCGTACCAGGACTGCTTGCCCTCTGACGTCTGACTGGAAATGTTTTAGTGCGTAGGTGACTGCCAGCATTTCCAGGACGTTGATGTGGGATGATTGATGTGCGGGGCCCCATACGCCCGCGACCTGTCGCGGGTGGAGGGTAGCCCCCCAGCCGTACCCTGACGCGTCGGTTGTGATAAGTACCGACGGGCGGGGCGGGCGGAAAACGCGGCCCTGCGTTATATTGGCCTCGACTAGCCACCAACGAAGGTGGGGGACTAGCCAAGACGTAGTGGGCACTGGATGGTCGATTGGGTGCCGGCGGGGTCTGTAGAAAGACAGCAGGTGAAGTTGAATTGGCCTCATCCTCAGCCTGCAAAAATCCACTAAGTCTACCAGACTGGCCATAAGGCCCAACAGCCTGAGCCAGGCTCGGGCCGGAGCCACTACCATCGGGAGGAAGAGGGACACGCACTGCCGAAGGTTCAGCAGGCGGTCCTCCGACGGACGGGCCAGTCCCCTGCGAAGATGGAGGGATGCACCTAGAAAGGTGGGAACCTGAGAGGGGACTGGATGGGATTTCTTGGTGTTGATGAGAAATCCCAGGTCGGAAGCAAGGTGCCACTTTAGTTCGAGCGCCGCTTCCGTCTCCCCTCGAGAACGACCCACTACTAGCCAATCGTCGAGGTACATGAATATCATGATCCCTCGTCGTCGCAGTGCCGCCCCGATCGTCTTCACGATCCGGGTGAACACCCGCGGAGAAGTGGATAGCCCGAACGGGAGCACCACAAACTCGTACAGTATATCCTTGTATTGGAAACGTAGGAATTTGCGGTGTTCCGGCCTGATCGGTACGTGAAAGTACGCGTCTTTCAAGTCTATACTGGCCGCCCACGCTGGCGTTATGATCGATGCAAGAATGGTCCGTAACGTTTCCATGCGGAAACGTTTCGGACGTATGAACTTGTTGAGGGGTTTTAAGTTCAGTATTGGACGCCACACGCCGGTCTCCTTCTTGGGGGCCAAGAAGAAGGTTGACATGAAACCTGCCCGGGTCCCCCCTTGGGGGACAACACGAACTGCTCTCTTTAGAAGGAGGGCGTCGATCTCCTCCTCGAGGGAGCGGCGTTTTGTTGTGTCGGGCGGTACGGGCGTTGTCCGAATAAGCATGTCCGACGGGGGGGTCCTCGTAAACTCGAGCGCGTAACCGCTGCTGATCGTTTCGAGGACCCACCGGTCGGAAGTCACCTGCACCCAGGACCCCACGAACTCCTGAAGGCGGCCTCCCACGGGTCCAGCAGCCGGAGGCCGCCTGGAGACGCATAAGTCACTTGCGCCACGCCCCGGTGTACCGGGGAGTGGGCGCACGGAAACCGCGTCCCGACTGGGGACGCTGTTGTCCGGTATGTGGTTGTGAATAGCGCGGGCTGACCGCCTTATCGGCGCGTCCACGAAAAAGACGGCTGTTTCTTTGTCTTGTCCGCGGTTTTCGGCTCAGCCGGCTTCTTGAGATTTATTTTCTCCGTGGCCTTGAGGCGCTTCGCCTGGGCCTCCATGGCTTCCTGGAACTTACCAGAAAATAAGTCCGGGCCTGAGAGCGGGAGATCGTCGAGACGCTTTCGTGCTCCCGGTGAAGGGAGGAAAAGCCCATCTAGCACATTGGTGCGGCGTGACGATGTTGCTAATGTCGACACTCTAGCAAACTGGTCGAGAGTGGAGCATAGGCCACGATCGAGGCAATGGAGAGCAGCCACCATCATGTCGGCTGGTATCACCGAATCTTCTTCATATCCCAGGGCAAGGTACTCGGATAGGAGAAGAAGAAAGGACGTCGCACGCATACCCATGCATGCCGCCGAGTCCATTCTCCGGGTGACATCCTCCAGCTTTCCACGGGTCTTGTCCGTAAAAGGAACCTTGGATGAAGCTGTCCCTCGGTCAGCGGCGAGTTTGTCAATGGCCGAGTCCGGCAGGACTGGAGTTGAGAAATATTTCTCAAAATCCCCCGAGGGGAAATGATAATATGAGTCTACGCGTTTAGCGTAGGCACTCCATGTCTTTGCGTGCTTTATCCCGTCGATGTGGTCAACGCACACGCGGTCCAGGGGCATTATGGGAAAAGCCCGGACCGGTTCTGCCGTCGGTCCCGATCTCTTCTTGAATGACTGACGTTCAGGAGGAGGAGGTTCGGCCCCAGCAGGAAGATTCAGAACTCTGATCATATCCCGTTGGACCAAGTGGAGTTCGGTCTCAGCCACCGATAGGCGTTGCATGGTGCGGGTCAGTTCGTCCGCCGAATTGTCAGAGTCCGGGGGGCGAGTTGTCACCGGGGAATGGGAACCAGGCCCCGGGGGCGAAGCAGCGCCGTCACGGTGTCCCGGTATCGAGCCCCGCTCGGACTCCAGTGACACCGATGGGTGTAAACTAATACCGGGCGGGGACGCCGGTGCACGGCCCTCCGTGCACGGCATTGTCCGCTGGTCTGTAGTCACCCCACCACGGCCGTGATGACTGGCGTGTGGGGGCTGTAATTCTGGAGGGGACTCCGGCGCACGGCTAACCGTGTGCGGTATGTCCCTTTGGCCCGGAGTCGGCCAACTGTGACCGTAATCTCCCTGTCGGCCCGACAATGAGGCCGCGAGGGAGTGAAAAGCCTCCAAAAAATCATCGCGTGAGATCGGGTCGCCACCCTTGTGGCGTTTCCCACGGTGTGATCGGCCGGATGACTCGCTAGAACTCGTCGAAGAACGGCGGGTACGGCGGCTCTTTTTTGATTTTTTTCTTCTTTGAAGAACGACTCCGAGTAGTTGTCGAGGATTGCGGGGACACCCGAACAACGAATAAAATCCGATGTAGAGGCATGGCCCTCCGAGCGTAGCGTTAACGCTCTGGGGGAATCCCAGGGATTCGGCTCTACGCTATCAATAGCCCGGGCGGCCGACAGCGCCCCCACGCCGGTAACATAGGCGGGTGCTGTACGGTCGATCAGCCGGCCATATAACAGCCCATCCCCAGGCATCGTGGTAATCACGGGGCTGGGTGGGCCTGGGTGCACTGAGCCATGGAGGAGTACTTCCTCCGGCTGCGTGTGCCCCGTAGACGGGCCAGGGACAGGCACGGTGCGCCCCGTAGCGGGGCCACCTTTCGCCGTACGTCCCTTTTTGGGTACTGCCCCGGCGTCAGACAATTTCCTTGTCTTGCCGGTGCGTTTCCCCTTCAGTTGGGCGGACCCGTGAATATTGACCGAAGACGGTGGGGTTGTACGGCCCCCCGCTTGGTCAACGGGTCCGTCAGCTCCGACAGCCGGCATTGGCTGAAGGGGCCGACTAGGGGACTGCTGCCGCGGTGACGTACCATCACCGGTGCAGTCCCCCGAGAACTCGGGCTTGTCTGGTGGGATGTACGTCCCTCCATTATCGACACACCCAGTCCTCCCCAACTTCCTAGATTTACTCATTCTTACTTCACTTCACTCAAATTACTTCACTAGAACAACTCTACAATAAACACTTTCTCTTTATTTCTTCGAAATAGCTTTCTCCAAGCAAAAGAGGTACGAATAAAATAGTGAAATTCAGGTCGATTGAAATTCCACGTTATACCTCGCCTGCGGCTAAGAGAAAAAGAGGACGCTAACGTAGTGCGCATGTCACAGGGCGTCGTGGGTAGGACACGTGAGGGCGCTATTGTGTGAAACTCTTAGCAAATTGCCTGCCGGCATAGGGAACAATGCATATGTAGTATTCGCTCTACAGGTAAGTAGAGTGATGTAGACCAACAATTTTACTTCATGCTGTGCCAGAGTAGTGTGAATTTAGGACAATAATACTGAGTCGCTGGTAATATTGTGCATGCCAACGTGGGGATTGTGAACGTTCAACCAGTAAAACGGCATGACACTGGATTTCATAGGAGTCCAAATTTCATGTGAAACTTGAAAAGTGTTTAAGATCAGCCAGCCGGTCTTTATCATCCGTTTAAGACCGGCCACGTGACAGGCTCTCGACCAATAGGAATGGGTAAACCGTCGTAGGTATTTATGAAAGAATTTTCATACATAGCTCAGTTTTGGTAAAACAAAACTTATTTCTCACCCTAAAAACAAACATGTAATTGAAAACGAAAAGATAATTTGAGAAGACATTGATGCTAAGTTTTAGGATGATTTTATTTATTCATTGAGATTGACCCATTTATCCAGTATACAATAGAAAATATTGTGAACATCATTACAAAAAATAATAATTTGATATTTCTTTCAAAAAACTTGTTTTACATTACACACATTTAACTTGTTTAACAAGCTGAGCATTGTCATTATGCTCACTACCACTACTACTTCCAAGTTGTATTTATTTTGTGAGAAAACCTGGGCGGTCAAATTGCTTTTAGCGATGCTCCGAACAATCTACAAATGAAATCAATTGAAGAAATCTTCAGGACACCCGCGTAATTACTCAATTTCCAGGATTACAAAATGCTTTGTTTCCCCCGAGTCTGTATTTTTCATATTTCAGATAAAACTTAGTCAAACCCATACAAGGTTCTGATCCCTTTTGTTGGTGACAATTGATAAGGTAGACTTATGGGTTTTTTTCAATTGGGAATGTTCAAATCATTGCAATTGTATGTAGCATGTATTGTAGTGATTGTAGAACCCATTTTCAGATTTAAGAGTTATGTACAGATTTAATCACAGCAATTTCTAACATGTCTTTCAAGTTTTGGCACTGTGGCTACAAAATGAAAAAAGAAATTGGAATGCAATCTTGACTTTTGACCATACATCTTAAACTCTCCTCCATTTCAAGGCGACTACACTGCATCTGTGTGTATATAAAAATATAGTCTAGGCAAAGTATGAAGCAACAAAAATCTTACACAAAGTACTTCAATTTGACATTAAACATGTATTTAGAGACATATTAAAGTTTACTATAATCAAGCTGGCAATTAAAACTCATTCTGAATTTAAATATTCTACGCTTACGTTAAATTTGCTTACTTTAATAAACAAAACAAATATCCTTAGTTTGTTTTTGTCAATTCTACGGATCAGTTTAGAATATATATGAAAATTCAAGTATTCATATCAATCCATTACCTTATAACACTGTACTGTATTCAGAATATACAAGCATACATGCATAATTCTTACAACGTTAGGCACAAGCTACATGGATCCATGCAGACTTCGCAAATCTTATCATCAAAATTTTACAATCTGCATTATAATTAAACCATGCCATTTTTGTTTCTCTTGGAATGTCGCTAAAATATAAAAATTCAGGTCAGTGACTCAGGGTAAAAGATATCTGAGTAAAGCATCACATTTTTGAGGCATACAGTTTATAATCAGTGAACTTATATCAAGTGAGATCATGAAATAAAAGACTTCAGAAAAACAAGTCACAAAGACAAACGTGTTGATTAACATCGCTCATTCCTCCGTAAGCAAGCATATATTTCACATTTTGTGATGGTTAACGAGAAAGCAAAAAACTCCGAGCATCCACAACTGCTTGATGTTGACGATACGTGTCTATCAACTCTTTCCACTTCTCATGAGTCTGGAGTAGGTACTGGTTGCCTGTGACAGGGACAGAAATGGAAAGAAACCCAAATTGACCAATGGTATGCGCAGAATGGCTCATGAATATGTATAGTAAGTAAAGTCTGTCACAAGCAAATATGGCTCAGTTTCTTTAGCATGAAACAACTGAGAATATTTCTGTTCCCACTGGATGGGATGCCAGTCCATCGCAGGTTTACTCCCCAGCTAATGTTGGTACCCATTTATACTCCTGGGTGGAGAGAGGCAAGTAGGGTAGAGGTGGCTTGCCCAAGGACACAACATATGACCAGCAGCTGGATTTGAACCCCCTGACCCTCTGATCACGAGTCACACACCCTAACCACAAGACCACAAGGGTATGAAGTGTCATAATTATACAGTCAAACAATGTTCAGTGCGCTTATCATTTCAAGAAAAGAATAAATCTAGATCTATGTCTGTTTGATGCACAAATCGTAGGGCTTTTCCGCATTATGATTTTTTTAGGAGTTAATATGTACACAAACATAGTTCCATGACATATTAGTAGTTCTTGTTCTCCAGATATAGAACTTTAAAATATCACCTTTAAGATGACGTCAAATGACATATGATGACATCATTATGACGTCATCTTAAATTTTGCTTATAATACGTCCCTATCTATGTTCAGATAAGTTACAACAAAATCAGACTTGTAGTTCTCTAGAAATAGGACTTTACAATATGCACCTTTAAGATGACGTCCCATGACCTTTGATGATGTCATCATCTCCACTTTACCTAGAACACATCCCGGTCTACCTACATACCAAGTGTCAACCCAATTGGACTTGCAGTTCTGTAGATATCGGATCTTAAAATATGCACCTTAAAGATGACATCACGTGACCCGTGACAACGTCATCAGGACATCACTGTGCAGGACACAAGTTCACTATGGGGTCTATACCTAAGTTAAGTTAAGTTTTATCGGAATAGGACTTTGTTTTAGGTCAAAAGTGCCCAGCTGAATAAAACATGTACATAGTCTATGGGATTTGGGATAGAACAAAATGAGAAAAAACAGGAAAGAACAAAATCAGAACAAAAACAAAGGCTTTTCTGCAACAATGCGGAAAAGCCAATTTTGATTAAAATATCCCCCCCCCCCAAAAAAAAACCCCACTTGGTTTGAAAGCATCTATTATCCAATTGTCCAATCTGTAAAAACTTACCAATGACGATGAGGCCTCGCTTGGCTCTAGAGAGGGCGACATTCATCTGATTTTCATCGATGATGAAACCAAGGTTCTTCTGTTTCCAGCCAACGCTCGCCTTTTCCTCAATCTCAATGCGCGGCAAGGAACGCACTGTAGACATGATCACATAGTCCCACTCGCTTCCTGTTGAAAACAATTGATATTCAAAAACATATGAACTCTTATCTCACTGTACTGCCTCAAACCATGTTGCCCATTACTCACTCTAGCACCTGAAACCAACCAAGCACTCTATGTTTTTTTTTATTTATCAGTGAATAAATAAACACCACCAACCCAACAAATAAAAAATAGTTGGAAGTAATTTTTTAATGATATTTGAATGGCAAACTACAAAATCCTCAAATAATTGGGACAGGGAAAAGAATATAGAATGACCCATATTATAAGAAACAATGGGAAATCCAGAAAAGTATGATTGAAATTCCACAGATTGTTGGCAGTGAAAGGAACTCTTTGAAAGATTTGGACCAACCTTGGCTTGTGATGACAGTCCTGACTGACACACCTTTCACGCCGTGTCTCTTCAACACGTCTTCGATCTCGGCACACTGGAGGCGGTACTGTGACAAGATGACGATATCCTCGGGTTTGATTTGATATCGTCTCACTAAGGACGTAGCCATCCGTACCTAGGGAGAACAACCCAGTAGCATTTTCATCTATCACTAAAGGATCCTATGATGCAACTTCGCTTATCTTTTAAGCTACAAATTGTGAATGAAGTTTGTCTATCAAGACTAAGCTAGAAGAAATATTAACAAAAGAGAGAGAAATAAACATGTTTATACCTTAAGCCCTATAAGAGCTTATCAGGATTCCCACCGAAATTTAAAAATGAAATTCAATATTAAACTTTTCCAGGACAAAATTAGGGCTTTCCAAGACCAATTCCTAAGCTGTTTTGGCATCTTAGGAGCCTATTTTCAATACACTGGCCAGTCATCACACTGAGACAAGGGGCGCCACTCCCTGTCAGCCTTCCAGTTTGACACAAGACCACTGAGCACCGCAAATGAATCACAATGGTGCACTGAACATGTAACAAGTTTAGAGCAGACATGCATAAAGAGGAAGTACTGGTAAGCTGGAATGCAAACTTGGAAGCCAAATATTAGTTGATTGACTTGATTGGCGAAATGTAAATGAAGTGTCCTTACCACGTGCTTGACTTCCTGAGGGTTGGACTTGGACTGTTCATTGCCCTCGGCCGTCTTGACTGTCAGGGTCTCTTCTTTACCGTACAGGTGACAGAAGACCAAGGGGTAGGCCCTACCCCCAGGCCAGATATCCTGCACCTGCTGGTGGGGCTGCCTACGTTTGACAATATCCGCCGTTTCCAGTTTGCCATCGTAGAAGGCGTGGGAAGGAAAGTCGCAGATGGCCTCGTGCTGGCAAGAGAAAGGAAACATGGCAGAACCATTTAGATAGTGACATCAAGAATGAGTCATAAAGGGGATATAAGAAGAATTGTTGGCATCTAAGGAATTTAGAGCACCCTGGCCTTGTGGTCTGTAAAACTGAACTCAAGGTGTGTCATGTTTGTGGGTAATTCTGCAGCCTGAGATTGTGGTGTGTGTGCCCTTGGGCAAGGCACTTTGTCACTCATTGCTTCTCCCCACCCAGGAGTAAATGGGTACCTGTGAGTGCAGACATGGTTATTGTGATTGATTTCAGTTGTTTCGCACTGAAATGGTTGCGCCAAGTTTAGAGGGTCTTTGGAATGTTTTATGGGCCCAATGACCATTAATATTGAAGTACATGCATTTTATAAAAACTGCATTATTTATTGACCAAACACCCTTACTCACCATTCTGTACTGCATGGTCAGCATGTGGGCTTTCTTCTCATATTTCTCCAGCAGTGATATCTCCATGCCTAGAATTTGAGCCGTCTTCTCCTGAATAATGGGCCTGTGTATGCAACACACAGTTAGAAATCAGTACACTCTACCAGTGACTTGTATTAGGATCACACTGCACTCTAGCAATTCTAAAACCTACATTTCCAATACATAGCTGCACTCACTCTCCTTACACAATGAAGTCTGCTGCACATATTCATGATTGTGCATAAACTTAAAGAAAGCTCCAAATTTGGTCTGATTTGGGGACAGCTATTTGCATATATATGCATTTGTATTCTAAACCTGAAATGCACAATCATCTAGTAAATGAGTATTTCATTTTACTCTGCACAAAAAAAATACACATATGCACACAACTTTACAGATGCGGTTTGGGTATTTGCATTGTTCTCCCTTTAACCCTCTTCTTTAGAATTTACACTGTTGGGCACGGTTAGACAAAGACCGACTTCTGTTCCTTAGTGCGAGAACCCCACAAGTACCCTCTCGTAAAAACATCTATTTGGCATGGGTCTGAGCTCCACCCATGCCCCACCCCTTTTATCACTGTCCCTCCTCACCTGAGTTGTTTATGGTCCCCGATCAGCACCACTTGGCATGGGTTGGTGCTGACTAGCGGTATCAATGTTTCCGGCTCGTTGCACATACCAGCCTCATCAATGATACACTGGACGATGTTAGTGTGCTCTTTGATGCGTTTGCTGCCCGCTGCATTGCATGTACACAGAATGATCTGGTAATTCTTCAGTTCTTCCTCCTGCAATCAAATCAATTGATGTAAATAAAACGACAGAATCAGAGAAAAAAAGGTTAACAGAAAAGCCATTCTGACACCAAGGCTGAATTTCATGAAGAAAATGTTGCTGAGGTTGCGTCCCAATTACATGGCTACAGCTAGAAATTACACACTGGTCTATGGGAAGGGGCTGCAGCCTTAGCAAAATTTTCTAGATTTATAAGCAAAAATCAGCTGGGTACCGGTTATAGGCAATATACACCACAAGACAATTTGGCTGGTAACCTGGGATTGCCAAGCAAGTATTTTCTGTGCCTAAGCAATTTCTGTGTTCAGCAGCTCGTAGAAATTGGCACTGAAACACCAAACCAATCATTAAGCATGGAAGGTAACATGTACGCACTGGGCTCTTGCGTTGAGGCCTCACAAGGATTTTCCCATACAGGGTGGGAGAATTCAAAATGGTGATTTCGCACAACAGTAGAAAATTTGTTGTGCTGGTAAGGGAGGTTACAATGATGACATGCAGGGCAGTTTGTACTAAGCGACAACATTATTCAAAATCTTAGGTAGGGACCATAGCAACTATAAACCTGTTGAACGTCTAGCTTTAATGTGGATACTATACATTTGGAGAAAATAAAGAAATTGTATACCAGATTTGTTTGGTTTCATAACTGGATACCATTGCTTACACACATAAAATAAGTGTGTCCGCGTGCACCCGTATTTGTAACCACCTTGAACGTTGATTTTCAATTAAACGATACTAAATGATCTTTAGTATGTATCATTTTATTTTACCAGGATAGCCCCATCAGTTATCTCACAACTGTTCTCCCTGGGGGCCCTGGGGAATCTCAGGGAGAATAATTTCCCAGGGTATTTGATACCAGTCCTATCTTCACTTTGAGGAGGGTTTCTGTCATTAAATCGGCAGGTAATTTTCCAAATGATCTGACATGGCTTTCAGCATGGCACAGCTTATGTTCACTGTAGCACATAATTTTCAAATGTGTTGGGCTGTTTTTTTCCTCAACTTTCAGTAAGCATGGAGGAGAGCGCCATGCTTAGGTAGGCTTGGTGAGGTCGTTGGTCTTGTGAATAGCTAGACCAGTTGCCTCACCTCTGCTTTGGAGATTTCATGCTTGTAGGCCTTGACATGACTGGTCTTGAGCACATAGCCCTCGCTGCGGAACATCTGCTCCCATTTCAGGATGTTCTGGCAGCGAGTGTTGGTCTTCTGACGGATGAGGTGATGGAGAGAGATCCCCTTAAGCTGAGGGTCCATGCTGGCATCTCTGGAGTTGCCCGTCTTGCGTGTGCTTCCTGGCTCACCAGGGATAGGATAGTCTTTCCTCTCGATGGTCTCGCTGTAGACACGAACGACCTTAGCGTTTAGCTTCTGGAGGTAGGCTGCACATAAACAAACAATTACACATTCCATTACATTTCAAAACGGTATTAAACATATTTGAAATTTATAAATAAATACCTTAGACAGTGTAAGCAGGCACAGTATTGGGAACCTACTTGATATGACATCAACAGACTTGTTAGATGGTCCGCAGTACAGAACCTGAGGTGGTCCCTTGCCCGATGGTGGTAGTCCCTTGTTCATAACAGTGAAGAAATGAGCCAGGTGGGCACCAGTGATGGTCTTTCCTGTGCCTGGATTGAAGAAAAACAAAGTTTGGAAAAAGACTGAGCATCGAGACAAGTACTGTTGTCTGGCCAGAGTCAGTAGCCAGGATCACGAGCAAAGTTAAATTTACACAAGTAACACAAATTTCAGACTTAGGTTCAAGTGTCACACTGAACCGATTCTGAAGATGTGAATTCAAGGTAGGGTAGATCATTTGTCACTTGTGCATGTGTTTTGAAGCAACAAAAGTGGTCAAAATCTAAAGAAGGGCCCTTAACAACTAACCTGATGAAGTTTTAGCTCAGGGAATGCCGTGTATTCCGAGAAAACAATATTCTAGGATCAGTGTCATATTTTGAATTGCGCCTGAAATCAGCATCCGCAACACGTTCTCATTCAGCTGATTGCAGCTACGCAACGTCACGCACTGAATCAATGGACAATAGCAACCGTGTGCATGTGTGCGCCCTGTCAACTCTTGTGCACACCCATTCACGGATTTATTCCGCTACTGCGAACAAATACAATACGCAAATCCTGTGCACAGCGTAAGTTACCAACTCGTTCTTGAATTTGGCGGCAGGGTTGGTATGTTATATGTTATATTGTTATTATGTAGTTGCTCTCAGTGGAAACTGATAAATACTTTTCCGTCCAAGAAAACTTTTCCACAGAAAGTACAGACTCTACCTGGTGGTCCCTGGATGACGGTGAATGGCTGTGCTACAGCCTGGCGCAATGCTGCACTCTGAGAGGCATTGGGCTTGGCAAAGGGTGAGTTGGGAATCTCAAACGAGCGAATCCTCTGCGACAGGGCTGGCAGTAACTTGCTGAAGGGGTCTGCAAGGATCAATCAGAAAGGGTTGCAAAGTTGTAATTGGGCGACTCAGAGGCTTTGGAAGATATTAATTATCGGCTACTGCTCTCAATCAGCTGCTCTGTTTAGGCTCTCGTTTCCCACAAAATGATCATAGTTGGAAAGAGCATCAAGACGAACAATGTCTTTTAAGAGCACAAAACTGTACCTTACAAAGTTGAAGTTGTCGAGGAAAGTAACCTCAGGGTATACATTTTGGTCCTCAAAAATTTAGCTGATTCCTGTCACAAATGAGCATTTATTGCTTTTTGTCCAACTTTGAGCATTGACAGTGCACTATACCATAAACAGAATAAACCAGAACCAATCCAATGACTACCCACCATCTTGGTTTGCTCTTGGTTTCTGCAACAGACAGATGTCTCGGATGAGGGGTGACACTCGGTCACTATCCAGCCTCCTCACTGCATTCTCAAGCCGCCTGCAGCAAAAATTAACGTCAAATGAGATTGGATCATGTAGCATTACCTCTTCATTTTTGCATACCATCAAATTCCAGTAGCATTTACAATTTGTTTTAAATTTATTTGGGGGAAAAGCATTCTAAGTTAATAAACGAGTAGGACCTGAGGTTTGCCAAATACAGAGGCTTGAACTAATTGATCTGGAAGTTAAGTACGGCTTTTTAATTTGAAACTCTCAGAGAGGGCTAAGTGCACAGTATCTGTTGGTTTGGAGAACTTTTCTCCAAAAGTAACCCACCTGTCTGGTTGCGTTTTGGGCACCAACTCCACAGTGCAGGATGGGGGATCCGATGACAGCAGGACATCAGGAAATGGTGACGAGAACTGTGTCCCTGTCACCTGCACCACGACCATTCCTTTGTCTTTGGTCACATCAACAGTGGCAGCATGTAACACAAAGGTCATCTTGCCCGGATGGACGTTGGATGTTGGCCGCATCGCGCGTGGTTTGCAGTCCATCTCTCGGAGACGGAGCTGTGTATTACTGGTCACTGTCAGGCCACCATAGCGGATGCAGAGATAGTCCAGGTGTGCCTCCGGATCATCACAAGCTTCAGATTTCTCATTCTTATTGATCTTAGGAGGGTGGCTGAACCTGATGTGGTGGTCATCGCAGTAGTCTTCCCGGACAGTAAAAAATCCAGAGTAGTCATAGCTGTTTGTGTCTTGGTTGAATGTACGGTCCCAGCGGATCTTGACACTGTGGATGATGATGGTCTCATCGCTCTGGACAGCATTATGAGCTGTTAACATCTCAATGATGGGAAGCCACACTTTCTTGTAAGAGCTGATATTCCTCATACCAACTGGACGATGTGTTGCGACTTCAGCAAAGCTTGTGATTGCCTCCTTACGGTGCTCTGTGCAGAGATGAAACTTTGGCGTGAGGCCAAAAAGCTGGACTGTTGGTGCTAGCAAGCCCATCTGTGTAGAAGCATGAAGCTGGACTTGAACTACATCACCAAGATCAAAGTTCCGCTTGAAGTTAATGAAGAGAGATGGTTTTTTGGGATCTGACCTCTCACAGGTCACCTCTCTCAGGGGCAAGTTGTAGGGAACATCAGGATTACGTTTCTGTTTCCGTCTTGCTTCTTCATCTTGTTCTCTGCGCTCTTGTTCATCTGTTGCAACCATGACAGCAGTCCTGATCTGATAGATATCTTCTGTCTTGATCCCTGTTATGATCTCCTGCCACTGGTTTGCAGAGATCTGAATGATGAACTTCCTTGTGTCAAGCCTGAACTCGGAGTTTGGCTGTACGTGCACTGGGCTTGGGGTTCCACTGATGTCATATATTCGGTGCTTCCATACCAGCTCCAAGCTGGCATCTCCCTCTATCACTGGCTTTTGGATTGGTTTCAGGAGTCGCAGAGGAATACTGTGTGACCTAGAAGGAATGAAACGACGGTAAGGGAACAGCAATCCAAGGCCAGCATCAGAGGTGCTGACCACAAATGCTAGAGTCGGTTCAGGGGCTTCCTTGAGCTTCAGGGCAAGCTGGAAGGCATGTGTCTTTTTGTCAAAATCCTGGCAATTAATGGCTTGGTTGGTGCAGTGATGGCAGATCTCGGCCAACTCAGCAGATGTGTAGGGTGCCACCAATGAGCCGTCTCCATTTTGGGCTTGAATGTTCTCCAGTGAAGCTATCAACATGCGATGCACAACTAGGTCAAGAAAACGGCGGATTGGAGATGTGAAATGAGTATAGGATGGCATGCCCAGTGTATGATGCCTCTTTGCAACTTCACTTGGGTGGTCTCCAGAGCTGATGTAAGCTGATCGTTCTTGGATACGAAAAAAGGTGGAAAGAGCAACAGCCAACTGAGGATGATTCTCATCACTGCAGATGATGTCTGTGATCCTTGTCAAGTCATTTTGTTCCTCATCTTCCACTGCAGCTTTCAGCTTGTGCCAAGTCTCTCTTAGGACATGAACATCACTCTCTTCTTCTGTTTCAAGCTCCTGCAGGGAAGGTCTCGACTGCAGATCTACACTGTTGGGAACATCTTTGCCATGCTTGTCAAACCATTTCTTGACTTCCTCTTCACCAGGAGGTAGCTGTCGCCGTAGCGGTGTACACTTTGGATACTTCATCATCAGAAAGCGTGCCACAGCTTCATTTGCAAGAAGCATCATTTCTTCAACAAGAGAATGTGCCAGCGGATGGGGGGCCTCCTCCTCTTCAGCATCATGAGAGAAAGCAAAGCGGCCTGCCCCAAGACGAATTCTCCTGCGTTCCTTGGCAAGCTTGCTCAATGTCATGATCTTTTCCTGGATGGTAGCATTACTGTTTTGCTCAGTCTCATCAGTCATCTTGATAATATTCTCCGCAGCATCATATGAAAGCTGGATACGTGATCGAATCACAGACCGCACAATGTTGACATTACCAACAACTTCTCCATTTTCATCCAGGGTGACAAAGACTGAGATTGTCAGCCTGTCTTGTTCGGGGAGCAAACTGCACAACTTGTTACTCAACTGCGGCGGCAGCATGTTGACTGGCTTGGCAAAGGAAGGATAGAAGGAGGTTGCTCTTTCTTTTGCTTCATCATCCAAAGCTGAACCCTTCTTGACAAAGTAACTAACATCGGCGATGTGGATGCCAATGAAGTAGTTATCTTCCACCATGTCGATACTTAGAGCATCGTCCAGGTCTTGGGATTCTGGGGGATCAATGGTGAAAACAACCCGACTTCTGGCATCATACCGAGACTTGATCACTTCCTTTGGAATCTCCCAGTCTTCGGGGAAAGCATCAGCAATCTCATCCACGATAGAGTGTTTCCACCTCTCCCGGATGCCATGGACAAGCTTGAGGATGCGAAGCCCATCTTCCTTGGTATCTCCAGGTGGCAGTTCCTCAGTGATGATGCCCACAGGATAGGGTGTCTTTGCATGCCATTTCAGATACTGCACCACAAACAGCTTGTTTGGGCGGTCCTTACGAGAAACTTCAACATTTCTCTGAAACTGGAAGCCCTGGTCAGATGCCCTGCAGATGTTGTAAATAGACACCTTTGAGACTTCTGGAACTTGGTTCTTCTTCGACTTGGTCTTTGGCTTCTGTCCCTCATCTTTACGAGAGTAGGCAAAGATCTTTGGGAATTTTCTGTCAATTGGAACCATCAGGTTATCTGTAAACCTATCGATGGTGCACACAATTTTCTTGAGATAGGGATTTACTGCACGTTTCAGGACGCATATGACTTTTCCATAGGTCTTCTTTTCTTCAACAGTATCTTGAGCTCCATATCCTACGGCATTCTCCAGTTCGTCTATGTCTTCAAGAATTTCAACGATGATTTCATCCAGGTTAAGAGCTTTGCCTCGCTTCCTCTTGCTGGTGATCAAGATCTTCAAGGAGGAGTCTTCATCCTTTGGTAGGGCATAGGTGTGTCCGCTCAAATCAAAATGAAATGAGCAGATTTTGTATCGATCTGGCTCCTGTCCAACACGTTCTAGATTTTCCTGTTGCACAGTTTCATCCAATTCATCCTCTTCTACATCTTCATCTGAATCATACTCTTCAAAGGTGTCAACTCCTTCAAGACGTGAACGGTCACGTTTATCCTCAATCAGGAGGATGTGACCTCTCCCTTCAACCATGCGGACATTACGCAATTTTCTAGATGCATTCATTTTATCAGTGAGGTTATTGCGTTTGGTGGAACCATCAGATACCGGTAGGTGACTGGCTATCATAGAATCCCTGTCCATGAAAGGTTTGGTTTCCTGCTGATGTTTTGCCCTCAGCATAAACTCATCCTGTGCAACCTCTTGAATGTCATTTTCACTTCCAGAAACAACAGCTGCCTCAGAATCTAAGCCTGAATCGTGGTCTGCTACCTCCAGCTCTCCACGATCTTCCAGGACTTGTCTGTGCAACTCTTGCAAGATGGCATCTTCTAGATCAATGTCTTCCTCATCTGCCGACCATGAGTTCTCATCTGACTGGCCATCCTGGTCGCCTGGCATACTGTTACTTATACTTGAAGATCTGAGTGCAGGAAATTCATCACTGCTCTGCCTCGTTATTCCTGGGACTGACAAGTTCGATCCTGCACTAGGATTCTTTGGTGGAACCTTCCAAGGATTTTGTCCCGCTGGCATCTTGATAAGGCCTGCCTCTTGCCAATTCCCTGCTTGTTTGCCTTGACCTGGCTCATTCCTGGGAGGAGATGTTTGGTTCCTAGATGCTGACGGCTGGAAAGACTTAGCAAAGGGATTCAGGCGATGCTTGGCAGCCTCTACCTCTTGACGAATTTCTTCCATTGTGGTGCCCTGCAAAGACAGAACAAGATTGAACATAAAACTCACTTCAGGGCTCTCTGTGATTTGATCAGAGGCCTAAGCATCTATGCACTCTTTGGAGCTTTTGATAAGTTATTTATGTTAGTTCTTCGGAAGCCCGTACCTGCAAGCTGTTGTTTTTCTCGCAGTCTTTAAGGAAGGCCTTCCAGGTAGTGGCACACTGCCCCTCAGAGCAGAGAGTGATTGGATCACCAGCTACAATGACAAGGGACTGCGCCCGGGTCAGTGCTGTGTTGAGAAGCTTGTGGTCGGACAAGAACCCGTAGTAGAACTCCTCATCTTGTTGATTGGAGGACCCAACTTGAGAGGCTGCTGTTAGGCGAGATCGTGTCAGGGTGCTACGAGTGCGAACAGTGCTGATCAGAAGAGCACGGAACTGCTTTCCTAGAGGGTAATGTATCAAAATTGAACGTTGTTAACCAAGTGCTCTTCAAAAATCTTAACTTAACATTAGAATCAAACCACTAAATAAAACTGGTGGCCAGGCCAAATTATCAAATTCTGTAACAATCTTTCATTTACAAATTTGGACAGAGGGACTTTACCTTGCACATTCTCTACTGTTTCCACATCAATGTCCCCGAGGCCTCTTCGACGCATTTCAAAGCGAATCTGACGCACCTAAAAGCATTGAAAACATTGATAGTTACAAGGTTGTTTTTGATGCACAACATATGTTTTGCTGTAATTTTCAGAAATTCATGGATTTGGGCAGTTAGCATGTTATAGCAAATATTGTAGCACTGACTTGTTTGATTTTTTGGGATCATAGATGCTGGAAAAAAACCAGAAAAACAATCATGCTCTTATAGTATGGTTCCCGACCCCATTTAAGAAGAAACTGAGCAATTTATAGATGTCGGCAAAGTGTCAAGTCATGGAATCAGGCTAGCTAGCTTGTACCCGTTCACAGGAGTTTAATCGATTGCAAAGAAAATGCGGCCTAACTAAATATGATAAGTCGGGAGCAGTACTTGCCTACCAGCGTTGGTAATTGATTCAAAATTAACACTTTTCTTGAAAATGTCAGCACACCAGGTGCCATGATTTTACATGTTGCTTTAGACTGTCATTCACTAATAGTCCAGTAAGGTGTTTTGTGATAATTTGGTAGTTTTTGATAATTTGGTTGGCTTGCAAATGTTGTACATTCCCTTTATACTGAACTATTGATTTAAATATACCGACGAAAAAACAATTAACAACCACAGTGAGACATTTCCTCTATTTTTTTTTTTTCAAATTCATGTTAATTGACCATCTGATCGTCTGAACAGAAAAGTCTCGAAATTCTAATAAAAAAAACCCATTGATACAACAGATGTTTAAAATATTTACATTTGAAGATTTATTTCTACCTGCATGGAGTATGGGGAAATGATGCCTATGCTGTTTTTGTTGAACTTGCCCCACTTCTCAGGCCACTTGCGACACAGCTCTTCCGCACGGAAAACTATCTCAAGAACCTGGTAATGTCAGAGTAAAAAATACTGCAAGTAAAACTTGTGGGATCCCCCTGGCATGCTGGCAGTTTTTATACAGTCAGTTAGTACAGATACTTGTCAGTGTCCCTAACCAAAATGGAAGATTTCTTTAAGCAGTGGTGAACTTGACCTCTGACTCGTCGGTCCCAAAATCAATAGGCTTCTTAAGAATACAAAGAGCAACCAACAAACATGACAAACCAAATTTGAAGTTCCTCAGTAAAGTATTTTTTAAGTTATCGCGCTGACAACATTTGTATTGTTTTAGCATTAGTGACCTTGACCTTTGAACTGTCGGCCTCAAAAGCAATAGGGTTCTTAACACTTCCAAGAACAACCCACAAACCAAATTTCAAGTTCCTAAGTAAAAGTATTTCTCAAGTTATCATGCTGAAAAGAGTTAACCGAACCAAAACATAACGCACAGACACACAGATAGACACACACACTTTTGTTTATGGTGTAAATAGAGGATTTCCTTTTGTTCCTCTTCCCTTTTCTTTTTTCGCAACAGCTCTCATTAGTTTTGTACACGTTTTCTAATTGAGGTCGTCCTCGATTTGTTCCCTGTCCTCGATTCACCGATGATGTTGCATATGTGTGTCCTCGATTTACACCGTAAACAAACTCATCCATTTATGGTGTAAATCAAGGATCTTCCCTTTTCCTTTGTATATACCTTAACTTTTTCGCAACAGCTCCCATTGGTTTTGTACACGTTTTCCAACCGAGGAGTCCTCGATTTGGTTTGTCCTAGATTTGGTTGCTGTCCTCGATTTATCGATGATGTTGCACGTGTGTGTCCTCCATTTACACTATAAACAGGCACATACGTACAGACAGAAGGAACACGCTATCGCAATATCCCCCTCCGGCTTACAGCCAGGGGGATACAAATCCGACAGGCTCTACAGAATGAAGCCTTCAATCCAATATTTAGTACCTCCTGAAAAAGCTTGACAAACTTTTTGGTGCAACTGGTACAAAACTTTAAGAAAATTAAAAAAAGTTATTTCAACTCATCACTCCCCCATACGGGCAATTCCACACTCACGTGAAAAGGCTGGTAGGTGGAAAATATTGAAATCTTCCAAACTACGAGCATCACAACATTATGTGGTGTCAAATTAAAGGGGACAACAAGATCTTTCATTTGAGTGGTGTGCCAATGAGATGGAATGTAGTCAAGTCTGATTTTGGGTAACAAAACCTTTTTTTTTTGGCTAAAAATAATGGATTTTTGGTAGTCATTTTGGCACCTTGTTTTAACATGCAAAATGTGACTGTTATTAAGAGTTTTTGTGTTTAAGGCAGAGAGAAAGAAAAGAGTTACATTATGTTGCAGTTTTTTCTTTACATCTATAGTCCGGCGCCTTTGAATGGATACCAGAGAAAGTGCGCGTTATAAATACTGTATTATTATTATTGTCAAACTCAGATTTTATGCCGTTAGAAACCATGTAGAGGAAGAAACGTGAGTGACGTAACGTGAATGACGTAACGTGAATGACGTAACGTGAATGACGTAACGTGAGTGACGGTACCTCCCTGTAATCTAATGCCCCTTGCATCTAAAATACACACTTATTTGATTTAAAATGGGTTTTCACAAGTAGCTATGGGTTGAATGAAAGGTAAAATATTGCTACTTCTGTGTTGCAGACTACAGTTTGAGGAGACTTTAACAACAATGTGAGTGACGACCAACAAAACACACGTTTCCAAAAAGTGAATAAATGGATTGAATTTTTCTTTCCATTTTTGAGTACCCTTACCCCAAGGTTGTTGTATGCCTGGTTTGATTCAGCTTGATCAAATACTTTTGAAGAAGTGAAAGGTCAAAGTAGCCTCATGCCATATAAATGTAACGTGAGGGATGGGGGAATTGCCTATCATGCATACAAAATTGGCACTAAGGAACTTCTAAAACATGTATCCGGATTACAACTATGTAGACATAAGAATAAGACATGGACTTAGTATATATGTGCCTTCCTTTCAAACAAACCTCCAGGTTGTTGACGTAGGACATTCCAACGTGTTGGTCTTCTCCCTTCACCGCACAGAAACTCAGCGGATAGAAATCGGGATGCACTGGATGGTTACCCAGGGCTTTGAACTGCTGATGGTAGTAGGTCTCCGCGATGAACTTCAGAATCTGCTCGCAGGTACGGTAGTTGTAGGTCAGGACGACGTTTGTGATGTGCAGCAGAAAGAGTCGCTCCAGTAACGACTTGTTGAATTTGGCAGCACGTGCTGTGTCGGAGAAGACCTGGTGACGATAATAGAGTTTGAAATTTGATAAGAGTTTGGGAAAAGATAAAGCCCAGTTTGGTCCAATTCAAGCCCCCTCCAACAATGTCAATAAAAGTCTGTATTATTAGCTAACATTAGTAAACTGAGCGGTGAGACTAAGTTCTAGTCAATTTTGTAAACATACATTTTGCTTCCAAACTTGCTTGGATTGGAATATATGTAAAAGTGAGTGGTGTTTCACGATTCAATCCCAAGAGATTCTTTCTTGGCATAATAAAAAGTTTATACTATCATCAAAATGGCAAGGCCTTCCTAATTCATAGTAAATATAGTAATCGAGTGGAAACATTCCACGAAATGGGAATGAAAATGAAAACAAGATATACAACAGATATTTTAACTTCAAATTTCTATGATTGAATTGGTCTGCTTACTTTAGGGCTCATCTGTATGTGGTCTCCGGCCAGCACAACACATGTGTTTCCTGTTGCCAGGGTCAGCGGTTGCAGTACTTCAGTCTCCAAGGTTTGTCCAGCTTCATCAATCAAGATGTGAGTGAAGTGACCCTGCAGGTTGGCTAATCCCAGGATGCCAGACGTGGCCACCGTTGTGATGACGATGTGGTACTGTCGGATCTTGTTGGCATCTGGAAGTAGTATCTGGCCGGACTCGTCCATCAGGACGTAGGGTCGGACGATAGGATCAATGGAGCTGATCTTGCGGTAGGTGGCGTAGATGCGGAGCATGCGAATGTGGTGTTTGCTCCATGTCTGCTCCACAAATTTGTGGAGATGCTCTGTGATGTACCAGTCAGCCGCACTTTTGAACAAAGTAACACAGTTTTGGTAATCATAAGATTGGGTCGAAATCACTCTTTACAAATAAAATAACCTTTTTTTAGAAAAGTGGGCTTTGCAGTTAGTAACGAGAAAAAATCCAGATAGACCATATAAACACACATTATGTCACTGAACAGTCACTTACCTATCTGCTAACATATATTCAACTGTTTTATAATCAGAGATCTAACTTTACTGAAAATATCATTGAACAAACACAGCTACATGACAAGCATACATCTAGCTACAATGTGTCCACAGTTAGTTACCTGTTGGACCGAGTGCATATTAGGATCCTGCACAATGGCCGTGTTACCACAGCTCTCCTGACGGCCGTTGCCAAAGTGTAGGTCTTTCCAGTTCCAAACGGCCCAAACACCAAGACCGGTCCCACGCCATGCATTGGCATAGCGTCGCTTCCACCATGCTTACAGATGTAACTTGCTGCACGCTCTTGACGGAAGTTTGTCTCCTGAAGATGATCGGCATCGATAAAGGGAAACCTGAATATAAACATAAAAGAAGCAATGTCACCGAACAAGTAGATGAGGTCCACGATAATTTCAACAATCCTTTTAGGTCAGTTCAGTCTGTATGCATAGTTACCATACCTCACACATATTCATCAACAATGGGCTGATCTGTTAAGCCCTGCCCCCTGATATTTTAACCAATCATAGCAGCGAGTGCGCAACCTAATGTCTGACAGAAGTCCACAATGCAAGTACTTATGAATGAAGCCTGTGGCATAATATGCAAAGTGGGTATGACTGAATCCAGAATGATCCACTCTTACCGTTGAGGTTTGTTGGGCGGTGGGAAGACCATGTCCATATTGTGCATCTCTTCAACGGCGTAATGCTGATGGCAGAACGGAAGCCGGTTCAACTGGAACTGAACCTGGACAGTCCGTGTGGCACCATCTGTCAGATTTTGTTCACCGACACAAGCTGGACTGAGTTTCAGGTTGATGTTGTCCTGAGCTTGACTTCCGTAATCCTGATCACGGAGGATGGCTGCCTCATACACCTTCAAAATGTTAGGAATGATAATATTCAGTCAGTGTTTAATCTGAGGTACACTGTGTGCAAGGCCATGCTAGTTAAAAAAAAAATACTAGTTTGCCTTGAAAACAATTCTCCTGCAAAAGTGTTAAATAGACAACCCAGTGCCATTCAAAGATACAGGATGAAATCCAAAGCAGCACAGCTAAACCAACACTCCTGGCTTTGACACACATTCGCTTTTTTTACAAAATATAATGAAATACCCTTAAAGCCAGAGTCCATCATTTGCAGCTATCCAAAAACTAACTGATATAATTATTGTTGAAAAACATACTTGGTTGAAAGATAGTAACAGGACTAAACTGCCTGTGAAATTATTCTTTCTGGCAAGCTGTTATTTTGAAGAAATAAACGAAAGAAGGCCTTTCCAACGGTGCGTCTTTAGAAGCACCAATGGAAATTTCCGTTTATATTTTTTATTTTTTTTATTCGGCGAAGTGCACGCAAGCGTTGACACGACGCACAGGCGCGTGGTTGCTATAATTCATCGGATTGGTGCACGACATCGCGTAGCTGCAATCGGCTCAGTGAGAATGTTTCTCGAGCCCTGAATTCAGGCCTGATTTAAAACATGATTCAGCAACTTTTGATTTGAAATCGAGATCCTAGAATGTTGTTTTTCTCGAAATATACAGCTGAAACTGAGCTGAAACTTCATCACGTTGGTTGTTCAGCACCCTTGTTTAGATTTTTAGCACTTTTGTTGTTTCAAACGAACAAAATGCACAAATTACAAATGATGGACTATACCTTTAATCTGATTGGTGGATCATTGATTGCATGTCATTGAACTGTTGGCTGAGCTCTGATAGCTCTGATACTGTACATTCATAGTACAAGTTTACAAGGTACCAATTAGATGACGAAGATTTATTCAGGATATTCAAAGGGGGAAACCCAATATTGGATTTATTGAGGTGTTGTATAAAACGAACAATGAATGTTTCACATTCGTTCATTTCATTCGGTGACAGATGGAATGTACCACTCCACTCTGCTTTGCCTCGTGGAATGGAACATTCCATCAGTCACTGCATGAAATTATTCTTACCATTGCATTCATAAACATTCATTATTCGTATATTATATAACTGACATACAGATCCTTGTCATTTGATTGGTGGAACTCACATCATGTGGCATTCGTTATTGCTCCCATTCATGCCGCGGCTCAAAAAGTACTATCCGCCCATGTGGAATGGGAAATACTATTCAACAGTTAGGATCATTCTTGTTCCATGGCACGTTATTTGTGTGCAAATGCATGCTGGTGTGCGCATTCAGCATTGCACGTAGCGCGTATTGTTCCAAAGAGCCAGCACTACAGAGTTAAGTTCAAACATTTGTAAAGGGATGGTTTGGAAGAGAGAAGTACATTTTCCACCAAGTTTGTACTGAAATAAAAGTTCAAGTATGACAAATGACAAAGATCTATATGTTAGTTATATAAAACAAATACTGAATGGCTTTCAATTGTGAGATGAAAGGAATATCATCGTTCGGTAAAATATGGACTTTTCCAGTTCACGAGGCAAAGCCGAGTGAACTGGAAAAATCCAGATTTTATCGAGCGATAATATTCCTCCCATTTCACTCTGAGCCACTCGATATTTGTATATTAGCCAATGTTTTGTTGCAAATATAGCGTTGATATGACCAACTACTAAACAGACTAATCCATGTACAAAGTAGGATCACAAGTTCATGGTATTCTACTGTACCTATTGCTCAGGCGGTTTAGGGTTTGCCCTTTAGTGCGGGGAGGTGTTTGTTTTTTTATTTATTTATCTATTTTACATGACAGCATACCTTGTTTGTCTTATCAAATTTGAGCAGCATTTTCTTCACACTCCTCATGATGATCTGACTAGCCTCTGAATCGTCCATGAGGGCCTGCTTCAGATTAATGCTGGCATACATCTGACCATCATGAGACACAAGGTAGCCCTGACCTGCCAATTCAATGCTCGCTGCCGCGTTCAGCGTTGTTTCAATAGAGAACCTGAAAGTTAAAGCCATGTAGAAACATTGGTTTTTACCCCACTATTAAAAAACGCAGCGCATCCAGGCAGGCATGCAGTGGAAAGCCACGGTGCGCCGTGTGCACGCACGCCGTACACACAAACTACGTGCGTACAGGCAACTCTCCAAAAGTGCTATCATTTTCGTTTCCCTTTCCGTTGACTTTTTTCAAATCGTAGATCGTTGTCATTTATATCAATATAAAGCTTGAATATCAATGTTTTACACACACCTTGTTCCCTGGTAAAAAACATGAATTTTCATCTTGAAAAACGATGCTGAAATTTTCAAAACTTCGTCTCTCCACTCTTTGTGAACCGATCGACCTAGAACACACACCATGTGAAAGCATGTCTTCGGATCTATTCGGAAAAGCCCACGGTGAAGCTCTCCAGCCAATCAGAACGCCCGGTTTTCCTCTGGAAAATTTCACCCCGAAACCGAGTGCATACGAAGTGCCGCGAAAAGCGGTGCTGCGTCATGACCTTCAAGATCGGCACGAGAAAGTGATCGCAAAGTATGGGCACCGCGTTACTTCTGTCGCCATAAAACCAGATCAACGAAGAATTTGACAATGAATTTCGGTGGAAGTACACATGAAATACTCAGAATAAATGTCTCCAAATTTGAAAACATCGGTTGAGCACTTTTTTTGTTATGATTTTTCAAAGTTCATCAGGACATTTGAGCCTGTGTGCTTGGTTCCGCGTGTGCGTGTGTTGAGGTTAAGACTCCTGTAATTCGACACCCCACTGAAGTGCCTACTTTTAAGGGAATTGCGATATTATCTTTCAGATGCATTTATAATAAGCTAAGGGATGTAGTTTAATATGTACATGTACGTACGTAGGGCCTTCCTTGTTGCTCGAGAGTTGAGAAGTTTTCTTTGCCGCCATCATGCAATATTGTCGAATAGCACGCAATAGCAGTGAAAACTCTGCAAAATATGAGCTAAATCTATGTCCCATGATTCAAAGACATTGTTTTACTCCTGTTTGTACGAAAATATGCACCGGTTCTCGTACAAAAATCAATTTCGACGGAACAATTGCCATGGGCTGCGTACAAAACTTGCTGCACGTGCGTAAAGGGAATTCCCCTTGGTGAGAAATGGCCTGTGTAATACAAAGGAACCAAGGGCACCAGCGTTCAGGTGCCTTTTGAACACGCTGGTATCCGACAGTAGCGTACATTCCGTGTATTGGGCAATCACATTGTGAGTGCGTGCGGCGTGTGAACTGGTCGATCTTCGTCTGCACTGCAGGTTGGCCTTGTCTAGTCTAGACCCGTGAATGTGGCGGTATACACTGCAACGCGTACATCGTATTGAACAGCTTTCGATCGGCAAACTTCGGCAGGAATAGAATTTTCGTTTGAGTCCGGAAATTTAACAAGCACTTTTATGACCAATACACGCACAAAACCTTATTCGCGAACTTTGAGTTGCGTAGGATCTGTCATTCCAAAGAAATTTCGAGTCTCAAACGGAAATTCTATTCCCGGCGATGCTGGCCGATCGAAAGCTGTTCAATGAGATGTACGCGTGGCGGCGGATACCGCCACGTTCACGGGTCTAGGCCTTGTCATGTTTACAGTTTGAGAAGTTCGTCTCGTTTATGTTTCCACCGCGAATCGAGCCCAGAAATCAGTAGGATGTGCATTGGTCGGTTCATATTAAATCGTACCGTGTAAAATGAATTTGAAATGAAGCTCTTTGAAATCGTGTCATCGATTGAAAAATCGTTAAAATATGTTTATTCATATACTTTCATAATCGATTTTCACCATCCCAGTAGTTTTGTGCGGATGATCTAATTTCCTTGCCCGACTTTATATTTATATCCCATTTTAAACCGTCCCCGTTTAGTCTGACTGCGGAAAGTATTCATTGAGAGGTTTCCCGGTTGATACCCGGTTTAATACATAGGCCTACGGCACCGTATTAAATTCCACCCTGGGAATTGGAACATAATCAAAATATATTTCTACCGAGAAAGAAAATAACGTTACAGCCTTCCTCCAAAAGTAATACAATGTATATCTTTGGTGATAACGAGATTGTCTGTGGAAGTTCTACTAGAAGCTGGCAAAATAATCCTGGCAACTATTGTGTCGGTGTATTTAAACTGCACCTTGCAAGATGGTGATTTGTTTGCATCATACAGCAAGAAATCAGTGTCGGCGCGCTGCGGCGGGCTGTGTGTATTAAGTGCGTTCAGCCGTGTCACCTATTGTTATTCATGTTTTCCACCTGCGCCGCACGGCGCCGTGCTATCGGCAGGCCGAGAGAAGCTGGAGTGCGGGCCAGTGCGGCGCAGTGGGAGCAGTGAAGCGGATCGCGGCGCGCCGAGTAATTTTTTATGGACGCTCAGCCTAAGCAATTCTACATCACGGATAGCATCTACTACATGGATGCCTCCTATTACCAACCAAAACACGCCCTACAAGATTTATTCCAGAGGACATTTCAGTATTTTACCGGTATTATAAACAACAGCGTTTTGTAGTTTCTATCAGACGCATAACAATAAAAATCAAGTTACTGTCAAGGGATCTGATTAAACACTTATTGCAAAGTTGGATTTTTGTTTTAACGCCTTTTTCCTCAGACTTTCACTTTTGGTATTTCATTTAGAAACCAACCACTGTTGTGCAACTTTCAGCATCTAGCAAGAGTGAAAGAGTTTGAGATTTGTCTAAGTTAGTCACCTAGCGATGCGCTTGGTCTGTTCCCTTTCCTCCAGGTGTAGCATCTTGTGCATGTGAAGCTTGTAGTTATCACGGTCCAGTCTACCCAACTCGATATCATCAATGCTGAGCGAGGTTGGAGGCTTGTAGGTAGCTAGGAGTTTCTCCTCAAAGGCTGTCTGTTCTTGGTCTACGGGAGCCCCATCTAGGAACTTGACGATCTCACTGTTGCTGCTGTCCCAGGTCTGGATTTGCTTCTTATGCTGGATCTTCTGGAAGGTTTCAAAGTGTTGCTCTGAGCCCACATGGATCTGCGGGATGAGAAGTGATGTCAGTTGTAAACATGCAGTCATAGGTGAAAATCCTGGAAATCAGGACAAATCCTGACCCCCAAAAAAGCTGAATTCAGGAAAAATCCTGACAACAGCAACTTCTAAATCTCCCTTCTTGTATGGAAGCTCACAGTTATGAAAAGTTACACTGCAGTGATTTTATTTGTTTCATGCATAGTGAGTTACAAGCCTTTATCTTCTTGACTAATGGGCAAGACATAAGAAAACAGTTGTTGACTGTTGTGATGTGGGATATATCCTTTTTAACCCCTCACCCCGGGTGCTATGGGCTCTTCGGTGCTACGAAAGCCATATCCTACATCACAGCAGTCAACAATTGTTGCTTGTCACTGCTGAGGGTGTACTAAAGCACATCATCCACAGTGCAACAATAACTCACCTCCAACTTGCGGACAAGGACAGGTTCACTCCCGAAGTCAAAGAGCACCCACTGGTTGAAGCTGCCCAGCATCCTAGAGTGGAAGAGGACATCAATGTGGTACGTCTCCCCGTCTCCTTCAGTGATGCGGTTGCCAGGGCAGACCTGTGGTTTGTCCTCGCCTTTAGGACTGGACAGGTAGAAGTGCAGGCGGTGGTCATCATACAGGAGGCCTACTCGCTTCAGAGATTGCTGATGGGATATCAATTATAGGAAACAAATTGCATGAACAAACAATGCATATCCTATGGGCCTGATGCAGAGCTTATTGGCTTGTAAATGCAGGATGTATGGTCCTAATGCAAAACCTATGATGGGCTTATGCAAAAACTATGGACCTAGTGCAGAACCTATGGGTTTATGCAAAAACTACAGGCCTTGCGCAGAACCTGAGCTTATGCAAAAAACTATGGGCCTTGTGTAGAAATTATTAGCCTTATGCAGAACCTATGGGTCTAATTCAAATCCTATGGGCCTAATGCAGAACCTATGGGCCTATTGCAGACCATGTGGGCACAATTATTGGCCTGAATGCAGAACTCACGGACCCCGTGCCTAACTCATGGGCCCAATGATAAAGTTGAGATGCGCACACATTGAATTGTGCATTTACCAGTTGCAAATCCTTAATGCACATTCTGAAATATTCTGATGGACATAAAATCTAAGCACAGCAGTTTGAGATTAGAAACCTTTAATAGTCCTAATACAATTCGGACTAGCTTATACCAAGTACATATATTGCACGATGCTTCTCCAACAGATTTGTGCGCATCTTGCACTACATTTAGTTAAAAGCACGATGGACATGTGGATTTTGGGCCTTAGTCATTTATGCACATCATAAAATGTCTAGAATGTTCATTCAAAACTGTAGAGTCAAGAAATCTTGCTCCTACCTGCTTCTTGGACTTGATGAGGAACTTCCAGGTAAATGTGAAGGTGGTATCTGCTTTTCTCTCAGTGTGAAGGAACTTGTTCAGATCTTGAGGGCACTGGATGTGGATACCTGGCAACTCCTCAATGATCTTGCACAATGGAAACAGGGAACAAATGCAACGTTTTCAATTACGATAAATCAACATTGCATGTAGAGACTTTGGAGTAAAGTGTAGGATGTGCATAACTATGCCCTCTGAAAACAACATAAATAGCTATAGTTACAAAACGGGTACGACATTTTGCAGTACGGTTTGGAAAAAAAATACACATGTGCTCACACAAAACATGTACAAGTCTCTATTACATTGCTTGTTGCAAGTCTAGTCTGAAAGCATTGTGGATTGTTGATGGTGGGTAACCTTGCTTATCTTGTTTATTATGGAATACAAACAAATCCATGAAGGGACACGTACAACAAAATGTAGTACGATTTCCATAATTTATGCACAACTCCAGTGTTAATTAGTCAAAAAGACCTCATCTTTGTCCAATGATGGATTTGGGTTTCTGGAGGGTGTCTTCTGGAATTTTTTTTTACAGTTAGTGTAAATACCCAGGATCAGGGCTGGATTAAGCCCTAGGCACCAGTGTTTCGTAGGCCCTACTCTGCACCAGTCACCAGCACCAGTTTCATGTTGACGTACTAAGCAAGACAGGCTAAACTGATAGCTCTATAGCCTGTTGGCACACTGTGGTATTTTTGTAGGCCCTCAAATTTTTCGTAGGGCCCCCAAAACTGTGTAGTCCTAAGGGAACGGTGCCTACTGTGCCTATTGGATAAATCGGGCCTGCCTAGGGTAAATGGGCTTGCATCAAGTTATTTAGGTATGTTTGGACTAGGAACTTGTAAAAGATGAATCCCTTTTCTAATTAACACCAGAGTTCTGCATAAATTATGAAAATCGTACTGCAGTTTGTTGTATGTGTCCCTTGTGGAGGGTTTGTGTTAACAGTGTACAATGTTTCTGTCAATGACGACCACTTTTGTTATTGGTTGATTTCTTTCAACATAGCATTAGCCAAACTGAACTGCTATTCTGACTTTGGACCTACCACGCTCGTTTCATTGGTTGAGTAGTTGTACTTCTCCAGGACTTCATCCATGAAGGCATACAGCTTCTGATCCTTAGCCTTCTTCATTTTCATCATGCGGTATTGGTGCCGTTCACGCCATTCTTCCAGTTCCTCAGAGCTGTGAGCATGGGTACAGTTGTTCTTGTCGGCTGGGGAGTTGGTAAAGACACACGCCTTCCTCTTGTGCCTGAGTTAAACAAAATAATTAGTTTCTTTGTTGATAAACAAATGATAGTAATTACTTACTGCTATGATTGAACATTGAACTTCTACACGGTTCAAACCTACGACATCAAGATACAGTACCTCTACCAACAGATTCAATGTTGCTGGTCTCCCAATTTATCATTATTTTGATCTGAAGGTGCCAGTTAGAGGTATCAAGGCCATTCGACATTGATTCCTAGATTTTCATCACTCAATCCTTCACATTGTCTTCTCCCAAGGGAGCCAGTGGATTTCATTTGAAACAAAAGGTTTTGAATCACCTGGGAGACCAGTGGATTCCACTGAATGGGCAACCCAGTTAAAATAAGAATGAAATAAATAAAATAAGTTCATTTTGAAACAAAAAGTTTTGAATCCGCCAACAACTAGAAAGCTTGTACTTACTGTTCACATTCCCGGTACTCCCCATTCAGAACACTCCATGGTGGGCTGCGGTACTTCCACTGCCTCTCCTTGTCGGAGTTGACCTTTGCCCTGTGATCGATGGTCTGGGTGTGCTGCTGCAATTGCCAGTTCTGAGCAAAGCCGCGGTCACAGTAACTGCAGTAGTAGCGCTGGACCGTGAAGTGCCCCGGGATCACTTGGGATGGGGTTGCGGCGTCGCAAGATGATGAAGCGTTGGATGCTGCCGTAGCGTTGGACGCTGCCGAGCTGTTGGAGCTTGCTGCTGAGGATCTCTGCACAATCAACATCACTTCATCAAGTGTCTTCACTTTACGCCAAGAAAATAAAAAGCATTTGACATTAAGTCCTGATATGTATTGGAACTTAGTTTTAATACCACCTATTTCACACGATTTTGTCTGAAGTAGCGTAGGATAAAGTAGTAACTCTATCTTGGAAAATACAATTGGTCTGCTGCTTGTTAACACTTCATCTAAGGTTTGTAGTTGGACTGGACCAACTGCCAAAATATGTGCTGGCTGTAGGTGGGTGATTTTTTTTAGGAATGAGTAATGCATGCTGCAAAAGGAAAACCCTATTGTTATTTGTAACAGAAACTTGATGCAAATTCCAGCTTTGTCTAGGAAATTCCAATTCAACAAAAACACCTGAATTCGAGTTATTGTCTCTGAAAAGCAGCAGCTCTTTGAACTGAACAAACATTTCTTGTAATACTTGTCATGATTACTGTGATTGGGAACTTCCCCATTGAGAAATGCCACCCACAGAGAAGCTAAACCCCTTGTTTTGAAAACCTGAATTCAGAGAAATTTGCCTCTGAAAAGCAGTCGTTTTTTTGTTACCGAACATACCTTGTATTACTGGGAATAGGAATTTCCCCAATGAGAAATGTCACCCACAGAAGCTAAACCCCTTGTTTTGAAACCTCAATTCAGGAAAGTTTGTCGCTGAAAGGCAGCAACTCTTTGAACTGAACATACATTTCTTGTTTGCTTGTCACGATTACTGGAATTGGGAATTTCCCCGATGAGAAATGTCACCCAGAGAAGCTAAAACCCCTAGTTCTGAAACCTCAATTCAGGAAAATTTGTCGCTGAAAGGCAGCAACTCTTTGAACTGAACATACATTTCTTGTTTGCTTGTCACGATTACTGGAATTGGGAATTTCCCCAATGAGAAATGTCACCCAAGCTTAACTCCTTGCTGAAAAAAAGGATTATACTATTTTTGGCATAAATCTTCTGGCTTGATGTGATACATGTATGACATTGGAATGATAAAAATACAATGTAATTCTATTATGTAATTACCAATGTTGTAGTATTTGTACTTGAGTACGGTGGAATGTCGCTATAATGAACATCACGGGGTCCACAAAAATTGTTTGTAACAGCGATCGCTTGGTATAGCGACTTTAAGCCAATAATTACCAGCTTGTGGTTTTCACACATTAGTGGCGCCCTCTTATGACCAATGTTATAGCGCAGTTTCCATAATTCCGTAAGCAGAACTTCACCCTATATGCCCTGGTAGTTACTGAATGACGACTTTGAAAACATGCAACTATTGAATCATGTTGTACAGTTTTTGAGCTTACACGAGTGGCTTTTCCATTCTATTCCTTGGGGAAATATATCCATTTATCGTCACTTCGGTTGACATTTTCCAACAATGTTCGGTTACATATTGTACACAAAAATCGGGAGCCAAGAATGATGTTCGGTGTAGCCGAATGTTCAGCATAGTGACGTTTCACTGTACATTTGTCGGTAGTTGTACTCATACTTGTAGTCACGAAAATGTACTCGTACTCATACTCGTACTCACAAGACAAAAATTACTTACACTAGTGCTCGTACTCATGACAAAGTACTCATACTCTTGCAAATAGGGCTGTCTAATTTCGAATAATTTAGTATTCAATTACTCGAAACTGTGTTTCACCAAATATTTATTAATATTCTGCAACTTCGTGCATGCAGTGCTGCCTGTAAAAAGTTGCACGAAGAGTATGCCAGTTACAATTTGCGTGCGGCAATCGATATGGGGCACATGAGTGATTTGCAGTATCTTATAACTGTAAAGGGCGTTAACCTCTTAAAAGGATGTGAACGATGAACCACGCATGCCATCCACCAAAAAAGTTACCGTCAGTTGACAAAAAAGTGGCACCTGACAATAATGTGCGATAACTTTATAAATAACATCACATTCGTGTGTGTATTTTCATAGTGTTTTTGTTTTCAAATATTCAAACCGGTAAAAGCTATTCGAATATTTGGTTGATGATCGAATATTTGAGTATTCGGTATATGGCAGACAGCCCTACTTGCAATTGTTCTGCAAGAATTCTACAAAATTTTAAGAACTACGTGCAGGAAAAGAACCAGTTTTTACATTTGTTTCATGCCTAGTTAAACAGTAAAAATCCCTGAGAACACGCGTACCCACTGTACTTGTACTCATGGAAATGTACTGGATTACAACACTGGCAATTACTCACGTTAATCAGTTTAAAGTGTCAATCAATTTAATGAATGAAAACATATGATACAGGGTGACTCAGTCTGATGAACTTAAATCCTGGGAGTTTTCGGAGTGATAATTCGTCATCAGTTTCTAAAACTTCATTTGAATAAAACAAAATCTTGTCACATTTTTGAAATCTTCCTTGGAAAGTTCCCCACATTTACCGCAAATTAGTTCCAAGTTGGCAACGTTAGTTGTCTTTACAATCTTCAGTTGTCAGTACTACTCACGATTGTACGTAGCCATGTATTTCCAGAGTGCGCCTTCCTCATCAAAGTGAGGAAACATACATTCTGCTCGACGGCACTTGTCAAGGTGTCGGCACAGTTTCGGATGAATCTCCCGTCGTAGGTTGGGATGACGAGGCTTGACAGGGCAATACTTCTTCTTGGATGCTGTGAACACAACCACCATCTTGTGCTGCCACGGATGCGGGTTGCTTCCAGCACAGTATGCAGGCTTGCGAGGGTTCTGGCCGACGCACTGGTTATTCCGCGGGAAGCACATCCCGCACACGTATCTGATGTCGTGGAAGAATTTGGGTATGGCCTGGGATATCGCTGGGGTCGGTAGGGGTTGACTGGCAGACGGGGCTGGAGTCCTGGCGGCAGTAGCAGCAGGGGCGGGGCCTGACGGTGATGGTGGGGGGCGAGAGACTGCTTCTGAGCACAGTTGAACTATGGTGTCACGCACCAGTGAGTACAGAACCTCAAATTCCCAGACCTCTATTTCAACCTGTTTCAAAAATTCCAGAAACCGACAGTTTTAACAAAAATTGTGCTCTAGATGATCAGGGGGTAGACAGCACACTGTATGATATTGACTTGTTTTTACTATTTTCTTTTGTATCGCAAATAAACTATCATCAAACATACCAACAGAAAATCAGATTGTTAATACATTCTGTAGTAACATTGTATTTAAACAACAAACAATGAAAATGCATGATACTAAAGATTCCTGGACTTAGTGTTATTCTGAATGTATGCTCAACATCCTAAGTGCTCATCATGTATACTGAGCACTATACTTTATTTGATCATAAAGCAATCAAAGTTGTCAGAGCATAAATGTATATATAATCCAATACTGGAGCTCAAAACCTCTGATTTTTCTCACAGATCCTAGGAAAGACCAGAGCCTAATTTCATGGTTGTACAAACCATAGAAATAGCAGCAAGTTTATGTATTTTCAGCAGCAGTTAGCTTATGTTATAGGTCAGCAAGGAAATTTGGCCAATGTGCATGTGCACATCCCCTTGTGTGCTCACAGAATTAGTGCAGAGTTTAAGCTAGTACTGTAAGCACAGACTGGTCATCATAGGTGCATTACTCTATGGTTAGCAGAGCCATGAAGTTTCTGTCTGAGACACTTTTGGAGCGACTCCACTTGCCAGAATCTTGTTTATTTATTGCAAAATTCTTTAGAGGGGAAAAATTAATTACCAGATTATGAGCAAACTTGCAGAGATCTCCAAACCGACATCCAAAGCGTCTCTGGAGGTTGTTGCACAGGTAAGCCCTGGCCGGTATCCCCTTGGGCTTAGGCCGGACCTTCTGGTACCTGGTCCTACGTCCCTCATTCAAGACATGGACCAAGGCTTTGCTCAGCTCCCATGGATGTTGGCTATCCTCATTGCTGCACATTGGCCTAGTGGGGCTCTTTAAAGCCATGACCTGCGGCGCTCCATCAAAACAACTCCCACATAAGTACAGGAAGTGACCCCTGACCCTTGACATGAGCTCCAGGTGCGACTTTCTGTCTCTGATCAAGGGAGGCTTCTTGGCTTGTTCCGGCAGGACCGCTTTAGCAGCATTCGGGACGGCGATGGCGGCCATCTTGCTAGCGCTCCTGCCGATCTCAGGCCGAGGCTGCATCCCCTTGGCTCTGTTGGGAGTATGATGCGACACCACTTGGAAGCCACCTTGTTCCCGACTAGGCTCCTCTTTGAGCTGCTTCACCCCGATTCCCTGGGAGTATCGAAGGTACGTGACAATCTCCTTGCCATTGAAGTGGCCTGCACGGTCAGCATCCCATATCATCACTTCCTCCCGACTGTGGCAGAACCAGCAGGATTCCTCACCAACTTTGCATGGCACGCCAGTGTTGAACTGTTCACACAGGGTGTATGGACCCAGGAAATCTGGCTTGGTTCTGCGACGGATCTTCCCCCAAATCTGTTGACATAATACAAAAAGAAGAAAAGTTGTAGCATCAGGCTTTGCACAAATTAAAAAGGAAATCACTCTTGTAAAGTACAATTTCAAGCGTTTATTTGGCATCTGGTAAGTTTTTAAGCTCAGGATGTTATCTCAGCATTTGCCCTTTTCAATACAATGTTATGCACATGAATAGACATCTTGGTTAAACCAAGAATATTTCTGAATGAGCGATCTGAAGGTGTGTGACATTGGCTGAGATACCGTATCAATGGAATAGGGCCGAAAAAATCTTTGAAAAAAATTCAAATGAACCACAAAGGGAAATTGACTAAGTGAATTATAACAAATGAAAAGTTGAACAAAGAAATTGACTGGTCCCCGTTTGTTATTTCCCAGGTCTTATTGTGACTTTGGGTGTGATCCCTGGCTGTATGGTTTATGGCATATACAGGTTTACAGCTTTTGACCAAAGATATTGACTAATTGGGGAACCGCAAGCATGGGCTGGAGAGCTTAGTTGGTAAGAGCACCGGAACAGTTATCCGGAGGTTGACTGTTCAAGCCCTGCTTAACTTTTCAAATGTAAAATTGAAGATATGGGCACCTCATTTAAGTGTGGGTTAAGATTTCAACAGAGATCTTCCCTTTAAACCTGCACCAGCACACACACTCATGTTTTACTATACTCTCGAGGACAATGCTTTGTGTTTCCCTTTGTCCCTGAAATATAACTCTCTCCCATAGATTAAGCACAGAACCGTACGATCGAGGACCGTTTTCAACAAAAGACGCAACGCCCCAGACTGAAAGGATCTGTTGTTCTCCCTTTGTGTGTCGGTCCTCGGGGGTTATGTACAACATGTACACTATTGCAACATTTCAGGTCACTCTAAGATGCATAGAAGTTACTATCCAAAGGACACAAACACATGTCCACCAGCCAGACCTAAACATCTGAAGCTTCTTTGGTAAACCAAACTATACACAAACTGATCTAGGAACAAACCTCATTAGAAGGAGTAGACACGCTGCCTAGCCTGCACACCAACCACCCACCGAAGCAATGATGAGAACTGTGTGGCTGGTACCTGTGCGCCTGGTAACCGTACTTCCCGGCAACAGTTAGGTAGCACTTTTCACAAGCAAGTCTGTGAGAGAAAGGGCAGACAATGTTCGCTTGTTCAGAAAATATCAAGAACATAATGAACCATCTCAAACTGGCACTTTACAATACAGATTAGAGATGGGATGCACACTACAGAATGGTGCCAAGCATTTGTCACAAAGCGGTTAGCCACTTTTCAGCTAAAACGGCCAACTTCCTGAATCAAGTGTCCAGCACATCACATCCTTCTTGGTTACCCCAAAGGAATTACAAGCCTCAAAAAGAAAAAGGACAGCTATTCACAGAAAAAAAGTCAAAATTAAAATGCACGCGCATAAAGTAACTGTAAAACATGCAGTGCCCTCATTGCCTTGTGCAAATTGAAAACTTGTTAGGCATTAGCTACACAAGGACAAATGATGCACAACGCAGAAAGGTGGATAACCTTGCCAGTGGCAACTTTTCTCGCATTAGCGCACTAATTTTAAGTGGGCATGACACTATAAATGTGCTACTTTGGATATCAAACATTTCAACTGTATCAACAGAGGAAAGTGTGACTTGCAAAGTTTGCGTCAGAGTGAAGTTTGTTTGGGTAATTTTATTTGGTTTTTATTATTTTTTATTATTTTTATTATAGACGTAAAAGTTATGAACACTGTTGGAGAGCTTGACGAAGAAATAAGTCTCTAGCCTGTTTTAGTAGGAATCAAGCATCGGGGAAGGGCAAAAAGTCAACCAGTGATATAGCCTTGGTCACGGTGTTCTGAATAAACAAAGAGTCCAATCCGGCGATCGAAGGTCGGCCGCAAACAACCATAGCTGTATGCTATTCACGCACATGTACTGCACGAAACTTGAACAGCGACCTCACGTGGCTAGGCTGCAATATGCAAATCAGCTGGTGCTGAACGAGCGCCTTTGAACAACCGTGAGTCTTGCGTCTGTTTTTCTTTATTTAGTCACTGGAATTCCAGCGATGATCCCGTATGCAATTAAAGACTCAGTACTCAGTCGTGGAGGCTCATATTTTACATGGACATAGAGTTAGATAGTGTGGCTACAATCTCCAAAAAGTTTGGAGTGCGCAGACCAAATATAACTCCATGTAAATCGGTGGACAAAATAACGAAAATTACTCGGAAAAGACAGATGTTCCAAGGCGTTTGTCTACCAGTAAACATATCTAAACCTGACTGACTCCCAGGTTGGACCAAGTTCTATTTGTGCTTTGCCTACCTGAGCAGGAGCTTTTTCAGCCAGTGCATGCTTTCCTGGGAAATCACCGGCGGAGGGCCAACAGTGGCGGCATTACTGGCAGCCATCATCGGCTTGGCAGACTGCTGCATCGTTGGACCCGGACCTGGGTTAGCTTGTGAGGCATAGCTTGCGTTTTTGGTTGGCATGCTGAACTTCTGAGGTTGGGCTGTCCACAGGAATACAAAAGTATTTAAAGAAATGCAGCACAGTTAGGAATGCATGTCCAGTTAGGAAATGTTTAATGTTGCTGCTCACTATCCACACACCGGTAAAGAATTAAATCATACTTTTAGTTTTTGCCATTTACAATTCTTAATGGTACATGACTGTTTAATGCACGACAGTAAATTAATCAGCAAATGTAAAATTGAAACCTCGAAAAGGAGGTAATGTTTAATTCATCCGAAAAATCTGTTTAGTGTAAGGAGCATGACTTCACATCACAGTAAATAGTGAAAAAAAACACACATCAAAACAATTGAAAACAAAAAGTCCCTATACTTCTATGCAATTTTAAGCTATTTCATAGCAGAGCTGTAGCCGAATCCATCACAAACCTATCCCAACTCCGGTCACAAGTAAATCAATATTGCTTTCACAAGTCCAGTCATAGGTAATAGGCGGTGAGCAATGACAGAGGATTGCCTTTGTCACAGTTCATCTGAATTGCTTGTGACTTTACTTGGCATTGGATAACTTGTGGTCTTGCAAAGACTTGTGAAGACATGTGATGGACTTGTGAGGACTTGCACATGATGGACTTGTGAGGACTTGTGATGACTTGTGATGTACCTGTGATGGACTTGTGGACTTGTAAGGACTTGTGAGGACATGTGATGGACTTGTTAGGACTTGCACATGATGGACTTGTGATGGCTTGTGATGACTTGTGATGGACCTGTGATGGACTTGTGATGGCTTGTGATGACTTGTGATGGACCTGTGATGGGCCTGTGATGGACTGGTGGACTTTTGATGGACTTGTAAGGACTTGTGAGGACATGTGATGGACTTGTTAGGACTTGCACATGATGGACTTGTGATGACTTGTGATGGACTTGTGATGGAATGGTGGACTTTTGATGGACTTGTGAGGACTTGTGATGGACATGTGAGGACTTGTGATGGATTTGTGAGGACTTGTGAGGGATTTGTGATGGACATGAGAGGACTTGTGAGGGACTTGTGAGGACTTGTGATTTCCTGTGATTGACATGTGAGGACATGTGATGGACTTGAGAGAACTTGTGATTGACATGTGAGGACATGTGATGGACTTGAGAGGACTTGTGAGGGACTTGTGATGGACAGGACAGGACTTGTGAGGACTTGAGAGGATTTTTCATCGGCCCTGTAGGGGTTATTGATATCGTAGAGGTTTGTAAGCAGCAGGTTCATTAAATGCGCTTACCAGATGCATGCTGGGTGGGTGCTGACTGCCCAGGTCCAAGTTGATTCCCGGCAGATTGACCCCCCAGGTTCTTCATGTACTCTGCTTGCTTAGCAATATGCTTAGTGCCAGACAGGTGCTGAAGGAGCTGCTTCTGGGCATTGGATTGCACCTTGCATATCTTGCAGTACAAGGAGGCGTAATCAATACCGGCTGTTGGTGTTCCAGTTGGAAGTGAAGCATTGGAGATTCTATTTCCAGGGGGTTCAGGTGCGGCCTCTTTCTTGGTTGGTTTACTAGATACAACTTTGGGAATTGCACCTTAGAAAAGAAATCAAGAATCAATCATTTTTTATCACTGCCAGTGCAAGATCCGTTTGAAGTTTAATAGTGGTGTGCACTTACGGGTAGTATGGGATCTGGGTACCCTATTGGAGTAAAACACGGTACCTGAGTACCTGTAAAAGAAAATCCACTGCAAACATTTCAAATTGTGGAAGTTGTCTGAAGGGTTTTATAGCTTTACCGTGTAATCTGCAACTTTTGCTAGCTTCTTCTAGATCTGTCACGCGTAAAGGTTCATATAAACGTGAAATCTGTTTTGGTTTTCCATATACAAGCATGCAACTGGGAATTTAGAAAAAAACGAGGAAATTCCAAACCACACAAGACTTTGTACAGTGTTTTTCATTTTGTAATGGCATTCATGAGAAGTAAAAAACAAGGAAATCAGCGGATCCGAGGAAAAGTTGCATGCCTGCATATAGCCTGATTTTCATTTTGAAACTACCCCATCAAAGGCATTCAAAACCTTTGTTTTCATTGTTTGAGGAGCTACTAAGTAAATTTTTAAAGTTGGATAGGGGTACCCGATCCCATAATCTGGAACCGGTTTGTGACATTAACGGTCGGGAACTCGGGTACCCGGTTCCGATGCACACCCCTAGACATGACTAAAACAGGAAATGGATTGATAGATTGTCAAAGACGGGAAACCCTACAGACACCTTGTCAGGAAGACGGAAATCAAGAATAGAATTATCTGCACACATTTAAACATCCCTTCTTTCTCCTATTTTTGGGCAAACTGAGAGGGGAGGATTCAATTTCATAAGCATCTTATTTCAACCTATTGTGACAAGACTCACCATTGTTCAGATTGCTATGTGGCAAATGAATTGGACCAAAGTCATCCAGGCCATACGAACTTGAAGACTTGGCAGCAGTGGTACCCTGCAAACAAGGAGTGATAACAGAGTCAAGTTATTGGAAGTATTAAAGAAAGCTGACTGCACACCAGTTGAGACAATGATGGTTACTTAATCCACACACAAATCTTCAAAAACTAAACTCTAACATATTTCCCAGGTTTGCAGATGTTGCCAACATCGTGACTTAGGGCGTGATCCCTGGCTAGTTGGCATTCGGGTTATATGGCTTCTGGCCCCTTGAACAACGAAATTTGACAAAATGGGGTACCGCCAACATAGGGCTGAATAGCTCAGTTGGTAGAGCACTGGAACAGCAATCTGAAGGTCACAGGTTCAAAGCCCCTTCTAGTCTATTTCTTTGTTCAACTTTAAAAAAATTATTATAATGCACCTACCGTAATTTTCGGAATATAAGCCGCGCGGCGTATAAGCCGCAGCACGCAAAAATCTGCAAATTAAGATTTGAAGTCGGCCTATAAGCCGCACCGGCGTATAAGCCGCACCGACGGCAGAGGTTTCAATTTTGTAAGGCCTCCAAATTCTAGCTTAAATGCTCTGAACCAGTTCCATTTATACTACAGAAGCTATAAAAAGGGCAACAAAAGTTGTATCAAATCATTTACAATCGATACTCTCACAAACAAATGTGGAAATTGATGATGAGAAATAAACACCGGGAATTGCTGCCCGCTGCCTCGTCCGGTCCCCGGCCGTAAAAGTTAATACATCGCCCGGCGCGGCAGCCTGCGCCGTGCCGGCCTAGGACAACATTTTCCTGCAGCACGTGAGAGAGTATGCAAGTGATTTTCCCCATTGCGTGTGTTGTCTGACTGGAGCGCTATGTACAAATCTTGCTTTGTGGCAACAGATGCTGATTTGTTTTGTCCTAAAAATATACAGGTCCGTTTTTATCTCAAAACTTATCAAATGTTGGTGATTACTAACGAGCAGTATTCAAGTTTCGATCGTAACTTTCTTCGAAAATAGTCAAAACGATGCTGCCATTTTTATGGACGAATCCATTAATTTTGTAAGGGGTGATGTAGTCCCTATTTTGAGGTTTACATCGTTTCTTGAATACATTTCAAGTACAAAAATTATATTGTGACGTTGAACAACTGATTATCGAATAAAGAAATGTTTCGGACACCATAAAAAGTATTAGTCATCTTTTTTCTTTTTTTAAACAGCGGAAATGTTTTTTCCAAGAAAGTACACCCCTACGGTATATTACCTCAAATGGTGTGGTCCGCTGGGGAAAGCATGCTGCATGCAGCAGCACTAGAATTTGCAAGCGTCGATCGAAGACAGCTTTCACCGTACTTTTTACCGCTCGGCACCTTCACGTGGCACGTGATTTCGGTTCGTTAATGACTTTCTTAATTGATAATTCATTTCAGCAACATATCTCTTCTTATACCAGTACATTAAATACACATGTGAATTTCATTTTTATTCTTCAAGGCTCGGCGTATAAGCCGCCCTGTGTATAAGCCGCAGTAAACATTTTCATGGGCAAAATCAACGTATAAGCCGCGGCTTATATTCCGAAAATTACGGTAGTAAGTTTCCCCTTGTGGTTTATTTCGAAAAAATTAAACAAAACTGAGACACTTGAGCGACACATAAACAAAATTTCAGTTTTCAGTTATGGGTTGAAGAGGTTTGGATTGAAGTGAAAAAAAACTTGAAAAACCAGCGAAAGCTGGAATTGTTCTGTGTTAATGAAAAGTGGTGTTATTATGTTAGTCCAACAAATTTATTAAAAAAGAGAGACAAAGAGATAAAGAGAAATAGAGAGAAAGAAATTAGTGGAAGACTTACCTGGCTGACAGGACTATCAGACTGTGCTCCTCTAGGTGAAATGCTGGATGCATCTATGGAGTAACAAAGGGAATGGAAGTTAATTAAAACAGACACTGCATTTTTTAAGGGAACGAGGCTTAACGCGGGCGAGGCGGCTTCATGTCACATGCTTCGCAGCTCTGGTACCTCTCGGTTAATACTTTGATAGCAAAAAGTTTCTTTGATAGCAAAGCCAAACAATCAGGTAATATTCTTCCTTTTATTAGAAAGTTGTGGGTTCAAGTTAAACCTGGGCAAGTTTCATTCAAGCTCTATGCCAGCACTAAAGGCATGCATGCAGTGCTCATAAAATCAAATCCGTGAGGGGCAAATCAAATAATAATGATAATATTAATTTGGGAGGCTAATCATCCTTACTCGCAGCTGGTATGCTGAATTGCGAAGGACGCGGCTACAACGTGGTACATGAAGGCACATAAAGGCGCCTATGGCTGCCGACCACATCGACCCATATATGACCACGGAGCACAGCCTGAGATCGAAAGTGTTTGATTTTTCCGGAGGGAGGAAAACCGGAGGGCCCGGAGAAAAACCCTCGTGGCATAGCAGAGAACCGTGGTCACCTTGGTGAGAGGCGAGCGCTTTACGCACAAGCTACCCATGCCACCCAAAATACACAACATATAAAAAGTTTTGTCTCTGTCAGCCATTATTTTATTTTGCTGCATTCTGGATTGCAAGCCAATGCCTGGACATGCTTAGGATTGTGTAGCCTTACCACTTTCATAGATTTCATCACAAGTGTCATCCTCCTCTTCCTCCTCCTCGGATGACTCCTCCTTGACAAGCTGCTTGGTCTTATTCTTCTTCTTACTCTTTGTGTTGGCTTTTGCTTTCTAATCATGAGAAGAACAAATGAAATTCTGAAAGGTATCTCAAGATTAGTTCAAGCTAGCTAAACAATGACATGTTACACATACAGCAGAACGCCACTCTAACAAACATGATGGGGTCTGTGAAAAATGTTCATTATAGTGGTCGTTCGTTATAACGATCGTGCATTATAAACAGGAAATAAATATGTGCTTGCCAGTTTTTAAACGACTACATTTAAAAACTAGTTTGGGGCCTGGATGCGGTTAATGGCCCGATTGACCAGAAGTCCATATCATATTTCGGAAATAGAAGTACTTGTACTCGGAATACAAGTACCCGTACTCAGAAGTACAAATACTTGTACTCGTACTCGGAAGTACAAATACTTGTACTCATACTCGCACTTTGAAATACTCGTACTCGGTAACGTAAGTACTCAGCAGTACTCGATACTTGGAAAAAAGTACTCGACTACAACACTGATATTTTGAAGTACCCATTTATTGCCCTTGATTGGATGGGCCCAGTCAGGACACAATATAAATGCAAAAAAAAAACCAACATGTTATACGTGGAACATGCTATATGTGGTGCCCGATGTGCTGTATCCTCGTAAAATCTCGCTGGGATTTAAGGGTCAACTTGCACACCCTATTGGACCAATTTGGTCAGCACTCCTACCTGGTTGTTCTTCTTGTTTGCCTTGACGTGATCCGGCAACCATTCCATAGCCACGGCTCCTGCTGCCTCGCCATTCTGGGTGCTTCCAAATTTGGGCCGACGTCTCATATGGTCATACTCTTTATGAGGGTCCAAAACCCTGTTTACATTAGCAATTATTTCTTGAACCCGGGGGTCCAGAAGAATCTGGTGCAACAAGAACAAAATAATAATGAAAAAAATTACTAAGAGACCAAAAAATGGCAACCAGAATCACGAGTGGGGGCAAAATGACCTTTTCCACATGTTCCATAGATACAAGAAATACAATCATGTAACATCTTTTAATAAGTATTCAAGTTTATATGCAAAGCAGTGTAAGGTAATTTATATGCAACGCAGTGTATATGAAGTAAATGGTTATTTTACAGACTGGACAACTGGCCGTTCTAGACCAATGAAATTACAGTATCAAAAAGCCCATCCCCACAGTACATATATGCTGTTGCATTTATGTGATAGGGTGGCTGACAATCCATTTCAATCCAGTTTTTAATAACTATTACCTAAAACTGAAAACAAGACTACTTTCTTACCCTTTCTGGATATTCAGACAGGAGAGATTCAAAGCCAATTATAAAGTGCCACTTGTTGGTGTTAATCCACTCCTTCTCAGCGATCTCGTACCGTGCCAGCAATTGCTGCATCCGTGCCCGCTCACAGTTTGGATCGATTAGCAAAGCTTTAAGAACACATGGAAAAAAATTAATTGAACAGAATAGGATAGAGAACTTTATATCGCACTGTACGAAAATTTATACTATCACACTATACCATACAGTTGACCAAGCAACCTCCAAAGAAACCATCAATGTTTTCAATAAACGGCAGTGGCTGAAGTCTAAATTTAGGGTCCATTCTAAAATATATATGCGTCCTTCCAACGCAAAACCAGTGGGAAGTCACACAGCCGTATTTTGAGATACAGCCTATGATACACCGAACAGAAAATAAGCTGAAAATAAGTATAAATCTGTCAGATTTTGTCCCATTCACATATTCTATACATCATTGGAAAGCTTATTCAATGTCCTTTTTATTCTTTGCTTACTTTGAAATTTGCACTTTACACGTGGCTCTAATGCATCACAATTTTTGAAAAATCTTTGCTGCATACAATGTACTTCATCAATTAAAAAGACATTAAAGTTTAGCAAATGAACATTAACTTAAGTTAAAACTTTCAAATGTTTTAATTTAAAAACTTTTAAATTTAACAGCAAAATTAATCATTCATTTTGTTACTTTTGATGCATCGTATTTGGAAGACAAGTGGAATATCAAACCACAGTAGTGGAAGTGCAAAAGGCATGCATGGCACCCCCGGACTCACCTTAAATGTAGGTGACATGGCTCCCTGATCCAAAGTACAATATTGCAGGTGCAAAAGGGATGCATAACACCCTCAGATTCACCTGTAGGTGCCATGGCTCCTTAATTCAAAGCACAGTATCGCAGGTGCAAAAGGGATGCATAGGTGCAAAAGGGATGCATAGGTGCAAAAAGGGATGTATAGGTGCAAAATGGATGCACAGGTGCAAAATGGATGCACAGGTGCAAAAGGGATGCACAGGTGCAAAAGGGATGCATGGCAACTCCTCTTAGGTGCCATGCTTCCCTTGAGTGTTCAAAAACGCAATGTCCCCCATCAAAGCAGTCGACAATTGATAAATGTACATACCCTTTTCGCTGTCTTGTAGGGCAGCCTCAGGAAAGCCCTGTAATAACAAAAGAAAATTAAGAACATTTGAGAGGAGATGACCACAAAATCTGCAAAGAAAAGAGGTAATAAAAAAATGGAGTCGCTGACTGTCTCGCTGACTGGGTACTGGATAATCAGCATTGCCATTGTAGACTAAAATAGATTAAAATACACCCAAAATACACAATGTACACTAGTTACATGTAGAAACAAAATACCTAAAAGGTAAACTTAAATGCATCAAGACTTGTCAAGATTTTGGAAATTTTATCAAGACAACATAACATTTCTCTTTTGAAAACATCAATTGCTCCAAACTGGTCATGAATGTGCAGCAACTATGCATATGCCTCATTCTATTTTTAAACAAAATAAAGTAACATATAGGGCCTAACAAAACATCTACAACAGCAAACTAATTACATGCAACAAAAGAGCTGTTCAGCCAATGCAAAAATATCCATTTATGTAAGTCATTCAGTGGTAACACATACTGTACTAGGCTTCATAAATCCTGCTAGGTAACCACCCATCACAATAGAAAAGGTCTGCAAAGCTCAGAAATCACTGCTCAACTTGCAAGAAATCTGATACAAAATGACGATGCAAAGATTTTACATCAGAGACGTTCCCTGAGATGTTACACATAATCCCTGCAGTGATTGCTCATGATGGACTGATTTCCCAAGCACATGGGGGGAGCCCCCAACATGTCATGACTGTCGTAATGCACCCAGCAGCGAATGAAATTTGCACACGTGTATCACTGAGGATGTGACTATGAACATGATGAATATTAATATATGCACTGTACACTACGCATGTACATGTACATGTATGCACAGTAACGTAGACTGTGAGTGTGGTGTGCCCCCCCCAAAAAAAAAACATAACAAATAAAACCCACAAAATGATAATAATAATAATGTATAGCACAGATACATGTATGGTACACATATAACCCAAATCTGGGTTTTTTTTTGATTATTGCATGTCAACCAGGAAGTTATTAAAGGTTTATGAATACATACATACAAGGCAATGTACACGTACATGTACATACATGTACATGTACATTCAAATACAAAGGTCACATATTTAACATGTAGCCTATGCATGATGATGGATTTTAAAAAACATGCATGTCAATAATTTCTTGCTAATAATGTGAACTGTTAGCCCAGAATTGTCTACAGTTTGTGGGGACTTGTGGCTTTTATACAGTAAGCTGACCTGTGTAATGAGGCCAGGTTTAAAATGCATTTGCTCTTGATGCTGGCAAATGCCATCATAAAGTTTAGATATTGTCTTGTGACTTTTTATTATTTCTTGGGGGGGGGGCGCTTGCCTGTGTTCCCTTTGTTGAATCAGAATTATATTAGGGCAATTCCATACGTGTATCAGAAAGTCAAAAACTGATACATTTTTAGACCTTCTCTAAAATATTTGCTGATTGGCGAATTGTATAACTGAATACTCCAAATACAGATACCAAACTAGTGTTTCATGGAAACGGCCGGGAATGTGATATTTGGGGTCAAATTAAAAGGATTGATCGGTTTTTGTGGTTCTTTTTTAAAAATTTTGTCCTGTACAGCACAAGTACTTTTCTGCTGTACTAAGATAATATAAGATGAATGAACTTTTACAAAATCAATGATTTAGATGTTATCAACTACAGACATTGTGCCCTAAAAAGAAAAGGTTGATTTATAGACTGTCACTGTTTCAGTACAAATTACGACATAATTCAAAGATGTCCTGTGCGACTATTTTGCCTGTCATGCACGACAAGCTGTCCTTAATTTTGTGGCCTTTCTTTATTCAAACAAATTTTACTCCAGAGATCATAATATCTGACCCTTGTTTATTTGTTTACAATGTTTTTAAATTGCTTGCAAGAAGTTACCACTGATCAACTCAAAAGAGGTTTTGACCCAACTTCAATGTCAGAAAAAAAAGTGAATTTCCTGCGTGGCATGTGACACATGTTACATTTTGAGCAATATTATCCTGAAAAGTAAAGTTTCAGCCAAGTTATTTATTAAGGGAATAATAGTGTGGGAGAGCAGTTTTATACGTTTGGTTTAAAACTGGGTAGGGGCCTGGTTGCTAATAATGACCAGAGCCAAACGCAAAGGTCATTATCGGCGACCTGGCCACTACCCGGTTTTAAACAAAACGTTTAAAACTGCTCAACCACACTACTATTCCCATTCATAAATACCTTTTTGGTCAAAAATGTACACAAATTTACAATAAACTTCCAATGAGTAGAAACATTGACAAAATTCTGACTATGTTTTGTTCACAAATTTTAGGTTAGATTGCCATCCATGTTCTGGGGCCATTTCTATGAACTGAGTGTGTGATTGCTTCCCCCTCCAAACAAAAAGCAACAACAGCTCAAGATTTTTTTTTTGTTCACAAAGACGTTTTTCACTTTTGTTAACACTTCAACTATCCTATCTTGTAACAATTACATGTACATGTATCTTACATATTCCAGTGAACTGACATATATTCAATTATGGTATCGGAAAAACCTCATGAAACTTGTCACAACTTGAATGATTACATGTATTTACAATATATGTAACTGCAAATAGCCTAGACACTTACAATCCAAGCAAACACTTAAAAGTTCAATGCATGACAACAAATTTACCATTCAGTGACATGACAAATATACTCAGATATGGAGAATGAACTGTTGCACTAGGAACCATGTCCACAAAATGTTGAAATCAGAGTGGCTGCCTAGTTCAACAGTGTGAAATGACAGGGTTCAAGCAAGATGGAACAACACTGATTGCCAGTCTTCATCCACAGCATAGTGGCCTAACCACTGATATCAGATTCTAACCAGCCAGCCAACCCTGGCAAGCTCGGTGGCAAGACGCCTGCACCAGTAAACAGGATGTCATAGGTTCGAGTCCCATTTTGGAATGGTTGCAAAAGAGGGGAATGATTACATGTACCTAAGAGCATGTAAACAATACGTAAAGTGCAATAAACCAAATGACACGATTTGCTATTTGGACTTCCTTGTATTACAGGAAAACAACTGTTATTGTTATACCTTTGTCTTGAATACTGTATTTTCATTGGCCTAGAACGATCACGTGTTAAGTTTATAAAAAGGCATGGCAAGGATTGTGAAGGATTGAGGCGCTGGGTATCCTTCATTTGAACAGAAGTGCAAACTTTTGGAGGATTTTGTAGTGAATGAGGATGGTTTCTAGCAAAAAGAACCTAGGTTTTAATACACCACATAAGTGCATAGTCTGGCGCTGCTTGTTTCATGTACAAGCATGATCAACCTCATGCCTCGTGGATACGATCTTGCTGCGCCATGTTGCTTCTCATCATGCCTTGCGCGATCGTAACCCCTGGAATTGTGTACTTTAAATGTGCCAAAATATGGCACACTATACTTAGGGCTGCAGTTTATCCGTTTTACATGCCGACGCCATCTTTAAAATATCAAAAGTTGTGATTTTGAAGAAAAAATCCTTTCAAACATAATGTTTGGATGTTGCGTTATTTAGCAAAGATTTGTATTAAATGTACGTACCCCTTTTGTGCCATTACAACCACAGATACAGGGGTTTTTTTAGCCAAAAACGTGGCTGACATAATCCATATCGTACAGGCATAGCGACTTTTGAATCATAATTTTTTTTTTCGTATGTGATGTTACGTGCAAAGCACGCAAGCGCATTATGGGCGTGCCTGGCGTGCAATCTTCGAAATGCGCGCGCAGTACGCTGTGAATAGCCAATCAGCGTCATTTACGTCATCATCACAGCCAGGGGTTAGTGTGAGGAACGTGCACGTGCCCCTGGAGTCGAGGCTGAAGCATGATACATTTGGAGGCAGTATTCAAGTTAGTCTCCAACAATACAGCTTATTCTACAAACTTTTCAGCCATTCTGAATCGATGCTTGCACTCTGGGACCAGCTTTACTTGGCATCTTTGTCTTTGTAATTTTAAATGACAACAATTTCCTTTCCTGCAAATACGTCAAAAAGCCTATGAAACATTCAGCGAGAAAATTTGGTACAAAAATTATTGGATCTTATGAACATCTCATTCTGGTTAATAATTTAGCCAGTTTGTTTCTAAATGGAGATTCGGCATATAATCTTTGAGACTGTAAAAAGTATGTAAGACATTGAATTGGAATAGAGAAAGACAAAGAATTTTCTTACCAGTTTGCGAGTGCATTCTGATAGGATTATGTAGATGCTCTTGTCCAGTGTGGTTGAGCATGAATATCCAGACAGAAGCAAATAGCTGAAATGTAAATTATACATTGATTCATCTTGGTTATTAAAACAAGTACCAATTGGTACAACCCACCGCGGCCGGGTAATATGGGAAGACGGCTTACGGCACCGTCCGTGCGCGCACCAAGGCCGTACCGGTACCTCACGAGTACAGAAAATGAAAACGAATGAGGCCTGATTTAATATGCAAAAATATGCAAATTAGAAGCATGATAAGTGTTATCAAAACCGACTTTCGGAAGCGAAGTTGGCAGAGTATAGTGTTCACCAACCAACCAACCCACCCACCCACCAACCAGCCAACATAAGCAGTTCAAGCCCATGGCGTGTTTCACACCAATCTAGGGAAAAATAATGAATATTGTCTATTAGAAGTTACATGAATCTCATTTTTTTCTTAAATGTGGCAATTGCAGGACAACTATTTAAATGCTCTGGCAAGGGCTTCTACATGTCACTTCATGGTTGGTTGGTTGGTCGATCGGTAAGTCGGTCGGTTGGTCTGTCCCCAGAAAATTGACCAAAAATGGACCCCTAAATTTCCCATAAAATATACCACCAATTGACCCAAAATTGACCAATTTCAATGCCGTCGTCAGTAACTCTTGGCAAAAGGTTTCAAAACACGCCCCTTTGTCTCGTTTGATGCGCATCATGTCTATTTTGCATAAGAAGTGAGACAATCCGGAACCGGGCCAGATGTTATTGTGCACTCGGGCTTGTTTGTTAATATTTCAAATTTACAACAGGTAACACACCTAAGACATAATGACGTCATGCTTTGTCATGTTTGTTAACATGTGCACTTCCTATGGGAGCTAGGTGGGGACGAGGTCCACCAAGTTCCCATAGGAAAGCCACATGTAAACAAAGTGTGATTCATTATGTCTTACATGCAAGTCTATTCAATGATTTCAATTCAATTTTACTGAAATCCTTGTGACCCTACCCCTCTGATTTCTAAACGTTTTTGTTTGAACACTTAACTTTCTGGTCAAAAGTGACTTTGTAGTGAAAGCAACCGTTTTCATTTTTTTACAGTTCAAATTTCATAGTATGCATAATTTCGCCTCTGTGGGAAAAGTGAATCATTTGCAAAAGGTTAAAGATTGAATGTTGTAGCAACAAGCCAGTTAGAAAACAGCTTTTCAACCAGAAAGAAATGTTTGCAATGCACATGAAACACCATTGCCAGGTCGTCATTTCGATAATTTCTTTTATATAACCGACATACAGGTCCTTGTCATTTGATTGGTGGAACTTACATCACGTGACATTCGTTATTGCTTCCATTCACGCCGCGGCTCAAAAAGTACTATCCGTCCATGGGGAATGGGAAATACTATTGAACAGTTAGGATCATGACGCAGTATTTGTGTGGAAATGCATGCTGGTGTGCGCGTTCAGCGTCGCGCGTATTGTTCCAAAGAGCCAGCGCTACAGCGTTGGGTTCAAACATTTTTGTGAAGGGGTGGTTTGGAAGAGAGAAATACATTTTCCTCCAATTTTCTATTAAATAAAAGTTCAAATAAATCAAATGACAAGGATCTATATGTCAGTTATATAAAACAAATATTGAGTGGCTTTAAATTGTGAAATGGGAGGAATATTATCGCTCGGTAAAATCGGGACTTTTCCAGTTCACTCGGCTTGCCCCGTGAAATGGAAAAGTCCAGCTTTTACCTTGCGATAATATTCTTCCCATTCCACCCTGAGCCACTCAATATTTGTATATCATTTGGTGGGATACCCAGCATGTAATCTGCAGAACAATCTTATCTTAACTATTTTAATTAATTAATTTTTTTTTGGGGGGGGGGTGTTTTACAAATAAAACACAGCCAGATAATTGACAGGAACAGTTGATCTTACTCTTTCAATTTGTTAGCATCCATGATTGTGGAGCCGGCTGCCTGATAATCACCCTCTGCCATGAGATCGGTCGCCTCATCTTTCATCAGTCTCTGTACCTCACGGATTGTTGTCTTCGCCTACAAGTTCAAAAATAAATCCCTTTTAGTTGCTTTATTCTTGTTCCTACAATGTGAATTCGGTCTTGTTAAAACTTAAAGAGATAATATTGGAGTAGCTGAGTTTTTTTGCCTTCAGATTTGGTGTGGTTGCGTAGCTTATAAACAGCTCCATCAGACCATGCCAAGGTATATTTAATTAGCCATTTTTTTCTGGCAAAAAAAGTTGATTTAAAGTACTGGTTTCTTAGCAGTTCATCAGGTTTTGCAAAAAGGACATTTTGAATGCAAATGGGCGTCAGGGGGCATCCCCCCCCCCCCCCCCCCCCGGAAAAGCAAAGCAAAACAAAACAAAACACAACAAAAAAGGAAGGGAAAAAACAATGAAAAAGAGGTGTGAAGTCATACTTGCTATTAATTTAATACACATTTAACAAAATGGGCGTCTGCAGGGGTGTCATTGGGTGTGGAGTGGGTAAATGTCCCCGCCCACCCTCGAAAAAATGATAAATTGAGAATATGCTAGAGAAAGTACAAGCATTTTGGGGAAAAATGTGCTTTGTCCCCCCCCCCCCCCCCCCCCCCTCAGGAAAAATCCTGGTGACGCCCATGTATATGACGCCATGAAGTCATTAAGTGCAGTACACCGGTGAAGCATGCCCACAGTGCAGTGACTGATTCATGTAGTACAGATGTGGCATATGTTTCAACCATGCTACGTCACTCCAGCACTGGTTACATGTTAATGTGCAGTTAAACCTCAGGCTTTTCAGAATGTAAAGTACATGTAAATGATTACTCTGCGTTTAAAGTTCTCTTACACATAGTCTGCATCACAAAAAATTGTCTGGATTAATTGTGTGAAGGCACAAGCTATAAAAGAATGACTTCAAGCAGAAAAAATAACAGCCTTGCTGTTGAAACCCCTCAGCCAGAGTCAAGTTATCATCCGGAAACTATTAACCTTTAACTCAACATGGTAACCTTGACCTTTGACCCCAGAACCAATCCCAACATGCCTGTACCAATGGGCAACCCCCTACCGAAGTAAGCCATCAACATTTCATTTCTAACTCAATTTATCATCCGGAAACCATTCACCTTTAACCCACCACGGTGACCTTGACCTTTTGACCCCAAAACCAATCCCAACTTGCCTACTCCCAAGGGCAACCCCCTACCAAAGTTATACACCAAAATCTCATTTCTAACTCAAGTTATCATCCAGAAACCATTTACCTTTAACTCACCACGGTGACCTTGACCTTTGGACCTCAAAACCAATCCCAACTTGCTTATTCCTAAGGGCAACCCCCTACCGAAGTTACAATCCAAAACAACATTTCTAACTCAAGTTATCATCTGGAAACTAAGCTGCCCAGACAGACATACGGACGGACGCCGTAGGTGATGACAATACCCCTCGAGCCTCTCGGCTGAGGGGTAAAAACTTAACCATCCTTTCATTGGCTCTTTAAAACCTTTTCACAGTTTTAGAAAATCTATTTTTGTAAAACTAGTCTGACAGTGATTTGGCAATGGTGTTTGTTTTGTTTTTGTTTTTCAAGAATTTAGCTTTGTAGAATCAAGTAGGAATAAGAACGTTCTTATTCCTCCATGGTAGAATTGACTTGATTATGTTCATGTACAAATACAAGCAAGGACATTATTTGGTGACCAAAAACAATGTTACCTTTTTGGTCTGTCAATCAATAGTTATTATTAACAGACGCATAGTCAAACAAATAATTTGGTTTGATCATGGGTCATGGTTCTTATTACCTCACAGTTTGAAAGGGTACATATCGTCGGGTCAGTGCAACAAGGTCGTAACTCAATTCTGCAACAAAGTCGCATCTCGCGCAAAACACTCCGACTCCGTGCAACAAGGTCGTATCTTGTATATCGCGACGTCCACTGACTTTGTGTGTACATCCGGGTTATTTTAAGCGAGATAACGACCTTTTGAAATTGAAAACTCGCATTTCACGTGCATGACGTCACACGCCATTTCAGTAGATACGACCTTGTTGCAGGAACATGACGACATTGACATGTGGCTGAATCATCAGTAACTTCCCAAGCTAATTATTTTTGCAACTCTGGGACCAACCTATTGTCCTCTTTGTATCTGACTGACTGACTGACCGACTGACTCCCCGACTCACTCCCATGGGCGTCGCAGAATTTTTTTTGGGGGGGGGGGGGCAAAGCAAATTTTCCCCCAAAATTCCTTAACTTTTTCATTAAATTCTCAATTTATAATTTTTCCGAGCGTGAGCGGGGAGCATTTGCCATACCCCCCCCCCTCCCCCATCGAATTAACAGCATATATGGCATCGCACCTCTTTTTCCTTTTTTCCCCGTTTTCCGGGGGGGGGGGGGGGGGGAGGGAGGGGGCAAGTGCCCCCCTTGCGACGCCCATGCTCACTCCCCTCCCCCCCCCTCCCGACTTACTGACTGACTGTCACTTGGCCTGGTTGTTGGCTGATGAAGAGAGCCCAACATTCCCATTTAATAGGATTCTCCTATACACGCATAAGCTAACTCTGGCCCACGGTGTAAACCAGATGCCATAAAAGACTTCCATTGAATAGCTATTCGCAATCAATTGAACAATAGTTTGAGTACTCTGGCACCAGCTTTACTGCTTGCCATGTTTTGTTTCTTTGAAAAATAACCCTTCTCAAAATAATTCTCCTTTTCATTAGGGCATCCCTTTTTTATTTCTTTGATTCTCATTTCTGACCGACCCTGTTTTGGCTCCCAACCGAAGGAAAAAAACACCTATTTTATTACCGCCGACCTGTCTGGAACCCCATGAACAAAAAAAAAAATTACTTCAAAATTCACACAATCGGGCTCTGTATTATTTGAAAAGCTATAGAAAATGAATACCAGATTTTTATGTGAAGTTTCTATAGCCTATAGCAACCAGCGGAATCACAAAAGATGAGAGGATGTTGCCTCTCATCATGTTACAATGTAGGTGTCTATGGACTCCGTGTTCCAACGAAAGAGGGAGCGTTTTGACCACTTTTGAGAGCCCCGTGGAGGGAACACACAGTGCGTACTGTACTGAACTGGTTCGCGCGCGAAGTACGCACGACTTCCTGAATGTGCCAAAGCTATTAGCCACAGTGTCTTTGCGTGAGCGTCAGGTGTCGTCGGTGTGCGAATACGTTCAAATGTAACTTGCAATGGTCTCCCAGAATAATCCCTGCCCCCAATAACTTTGGATCATTCGAAATACGCAGACGATGGACCGGGAACCAGTCTAGGTCTCCCCCAACTCTCCATTTCTGCTCTTTGAAGGAGTACTTGTGCATGGAGCCTATATGTCATGGCAGCCACTACAGCCATGGTGCACATGTAATGTAAATCAACTAGAACTGGCAAAATATGATGTTATTAATTTATTCAGTTATATCAACTCATGATAAACTCATTGCAATAAACAAAACTACAGACAATACCCACTTGGTAGCATTTAAGTTAGCCATCTTTACGGGTGCAACTGCATTTTTTTCCCTAAAAGATTAATTTTTTTCTCAACTGACCAACCCAACTTCAGCAGGAAAAAAAAAATGAGAACCATAAAAATATATTCTGTAGAACCACAGATGCGAATAACCAAACAAGCTTGGGCAATACATTCTTCAACCTTAACACATTATGGATTCAGACAAGGCAGGAAAAAGCTTACCTCATATCCGATAGGAATACGGTCAGGATGGAACCTGTGATGGAAGAAAGAAAGAAAAAACAATCAAGAACCATCACTGAAGTGAAAAGTCCAAACCTGAATTTTGTCAAAATGTCCTGGCTCTTACTAAATTTAAAATGTTGCCTCACCTCAAGCGGTTCAAGCCATCCTCTATATCACGTTGACGTTCTTCCCTTGATCTAGACATTGTAGCTAGAGTGAGTCTTACACCTCTAGGACGTTGTAAGGAGATAAGAGATCACCATGTTGCCTGCACGGAAAAAAAGTCAGTCGACGTTTAGTTAATATATGACAAATGGATTTAAATGTCCAAAGACTGAGCGCCAAGGCAGTATATACCATGCTATGAGACTGGTGTTTGAGCACAAGTGGTAAGCACTGCAGGACTAAGATTTGGTGCTGCGGCACAAACTTTACGGGTGAGAACAAAGTTGACACAAACTCTGTTTCTGAATTTGTTTCTTTATCCCGGAAAAAGTATAATCCATAGGTTTCATGAAATAATATAATGTACCAGTAGGTTTTATCTATTTGATTATCAGATGATGAAGCCTTCAATGGCAGTAAGGTAACATTTACAATCTTCTCTGCAATCAACTGCACATGCCATCATGAAATGCATCACAAATTTTGAAATGCAATTGCTGCACTCGATCATTTTATGCATCGTGCTTCAAATGAATTAAAGAACAATGCCACATTGTATGGGCTACAGTGAACATCACTATGGACCATTTCATGAATGCTGCCATCTTTGTGGTCGTGCGGTAATCTCACAAGGCATTCCATACATATACAGTGGAACGCCGCTATAACGAACATCGAAGGATCCACAGAAATTGTTCGTAATAGCGATCGTTTGGGATAGCGATTTTAAGCTGCTGGGGCTCTGGTAATCACTTTTCAAAAAATAGCGTCCTTCAGAAATTTACCCTGCTTGCCCTGGTACATTTTGTTACTACATGTACTGGAAGACGACGTTGAACATGTGTCCACTATTGAATTATGTAATTACACAGTTGTCCAGCTTACTACCTACAGCAATAACTGGTTTTCTCCTTCTATTCCATGGGGAAATGATAGCTACTTATCACTTTCCGTTGATATTTTTCAACAACAATGTTCGGAACGTTTTGTACACAAAAATCGGGAGCCATAGACGATGTTTGGTATAGCCGAATGTTCGGTATTAAAGCGGTGTTCGGTATAGCGGCGTTCCACTGTATGTACATCCCATCACGCCAATGTACTACACCCGAATTACCGAATTACTTGGCTATGCTGGAAATTACTGCACATAGCCTATGGAATCGGTGGCAGTTACTTCACATAGACCCATGTGTTATATCCAGCCCTAGTAAAGTAATTCGGATGCACCCTTGTACAGAGATGAAACTGGCATATGGCCAAAAAATCGGAAAATAGGCCCAAGAAAAATAGGTGTCCGAAATCTGGGCCACACTGCAGTTAAATTGTACATGTGCATCAATACACTTCATGCCCAATTTCCGGACACCGACTCCTGCTTTATTTTTGATCCAAACAAAATTTTACAATGAAAAAAAACGGTCAGTGTTTTCATAGCATAAAACGCCTGAATTAAGGTTAGAGTAATGGAGTCATCAACAAAGAAGTTCACTTCTTACTTGAGAAAGTCGAGGAAAAAGTCTGAAAGACAAGGGTGCCATATTCATGGTGCTACAATCGATCATGTCCATGATTCAACCACACAACTCCACTACTCCACTTGCAATCGTACGTAGGGAAAAATCAGGCATTATCGTCTTTCTCTTCCAACCAATGCCAGTGACATGTTTCGCTAACTGTAAGGCCCCCCCCCCCAAAAAAAGTCTCCAGTTTCTGGTATGGAGCTTGCCCAAAAATTGGTGCGGTGACGCGGTTTTTTTTTTTTTTTTACCTGATTTTTTTTGCTTCAAATGTCGGCTGATGACTGCAAATGGTGCCCAACTAAACTTAGTGCAAATATATGGGAGTCCAGAGAGGCCACATAAAGCTTATTCTTGACAATAACCCAATCTAAAAACACGTTAAAATTGTGCAGCAGCAGGATTCCAGTCAAACCAGTGAGTTTGGCGGTTTTGAGACATCATCTTTCATTGAAAAAAAAACGTTTTCATTTTGCCGACGTGCATGGCTACGGCGACGCGCGCGCATACCAGAAACCGGAGACTTTTTTTTTTGGGCCTAAGGTGTGATGAAATAAAAACGACTATTGTTTCTGTCATGAAATGAATACAAAAGGTACTTTTGAGAGCTGTTTTTCTGGTCCTGTTTCGACTCGAACGTGCAATTTGTGTAAAAGTCGTCGTTGGGGGCAGCAAACAAAACATAGTAAATCGTGACGTAATAAACAGGACTCCCTATGCAGCGTAGTATAAACGAGTCCTGTTTATTACGTCACGATTTTTCTGATTTTACGAAGAACCCGACGACTGTTGATTTCAATTATGCGCTCGCCGACCAACAAATTACTCGATGAATTTCAGTTTTCTAAACATATAAACGCACATTACAAAGGAATGGGAGTTTGTCATTATGATAAATATGGGTCTACTCTACAATAAAAAAAAATATAAAAAACAAAACAACTTTCAGCATTCCACAACCTCTTTAACCGCTGGCCGCTAGGTCATCACAAGGGGAACATGTACCTGAAAATGTAGAACTCTGTCAAGTTTTTATTTTCACATTTAGACTTTGTCTGCAGTTTATTTACGCTTTAGAGGCACACACACAAAGCGATAGAAAATTAGCCCCCCCCCCCCCCCCCCCCCCATTTTCAGACAGGTTATGTATATTTCGTTTAATTTCCAGGTTTGTTTGCACACATTTGTATATCTAAATATCAACACGAAATTACACGAAAAGTAGATGTCTGAAAATGGGGGGACTAAATAAAGACGGTGAGTATGCTTCTAACATGTCTAATTCTAAAGCGTAAATAGGGCCTAATTCTACAAATGAAGTCTAAATGTGCAAATCCAAATTTGACAAGTTCTACATTTTCGGGTACATACATGTATGTTCCAAGTGTGGCCTTCACTTACGCGGTTGTCTAGTAAATTGGCCACATTATGGGGCTAATATAAATAGGGAACCGGGCCCTAGTCACTCAAAATCCCGCCACGTCATTTCATGCACATTGCGAATTCTAGTCTACCTCCATGCGGTCTTGCGGGTATTTAAAAAAAAAAATAGAGTGACCGGAAATCGTTCCAAAAAAACATGTGCACAATCCGTCTCGCACAAACATTACCTGGCCTGTTACCTTTCTCCCAGGACCGTCTCTGTTACACAATGTATTATTATTTGTCTTACTCACGAATTGTTACCAATCAATCCCAGATGAACAATGAGAAAAACGGCTGAAATGTGGGAGTGGAGCGTGCGACCGCAACGCGTGCGTCTGATCCGAAAATACAATGGAGATTGCGCCACCAACGATAAAAACCGTCATAACTTCGGGGAATTCCCCAACGCAACGGGTATTTTTGGCGTGAGAAATGTTTTCAAGGAAGCACAGCAATCGTTGCGTTGCACAATGCAGGCCGAAATTGTGAATTCGGGTCGAGTACGATATGGCCCATGTACTGAAAGAATATGCCTGCTACTTGTGAATATATTCCACTGCATACCGTGATAGGATCATCTGCAACAAAATTGCTCAGAATTTTAAGTACATGGTCACCATGTCATGGTGCATAAAAGCTAATCGATTGAAGTTTAAGCTCAGCTCAGAAAACAGAGAAAACTGCACAGTTTGTGGGATCCGAAACTGGATTCCACTGCTATTTTGTTTAAGCAATTTGTGGTGAAGCTTAGCCCCATAAATGTGGCCAATTTATACCTCCGTAAATAAAGGTCACACTTCCACCATGTACAAAAGCATCAGAACTTTATCAAATTTTGATTTTCACATTTAGGCTTAGTTTGTAGTTAATTTTTGCTTTAGAAGCAAACTCACCCTCTTTATAGGCTAATCAGAAAGTGCTGCCTTTTTCAGTTGTCTAATTTTCGTGAAATTTAATGTTGAAATTTTGATACGCAAACGTGTGCAAACGAATCTGGAAATTTGACGAAAAATAGACATCTGAAAAAGGCAGCACTTTCTAATTAGCCTATAAAGAGGGTGAATATGCTTCTAAAGCAAAAATAAACTACAAACTAAGCCTAAATGTGAGAATCAACATGACATTTGACATGTTTTTGTACATGGTGGAAGTGTGGCCTTTATTTACGGAGGTAGTCCAGTAAATTGGCCACATTTATGGGGCTAGGTGAAGCTAGGCCTAGTCTCGAAATTGGGTTAAAAAAATATAAATTTCTTGCAATTAAGACTAAAATCCGAATTTAGTGCTTTACGATCCAATCGCTAACATAAACTAAAGAGCAATGCCACATAACTAAAAAAAAAATACGAATAATGGAAAAGCCCCAGGTGCACTGAAAATTTCATTTTGTGATACTTTATTATCGTAGAATATTTAATGACCTGAAGAGTACTTATAACTATGCTTTTCATTAAAAAAAAAAAAACATTGAAGAGGAGGAAAACCGAAGAAGTCACTAAAACATCAAACGTAGTCAAGCATACTTTTGTTGGAAAAAATAACTGGCTACTGATCCCTGCAATTTGGCCTACCGCTTTAATTTTACTAAAAAAACAACAACAATATATTTGCCTAGCCTACAGCGTTTTTAACAAGTCATTTCATTTTGTTTGAAGTGACCTCAATATGATCATTCCGAAACGCATTCTTACCATATGTCCCAGACAACAACGACTCGGACTGATGAAATCTTCCCAAATAGGTTGTGTGCGCGTACTTCCTTGCGAAATGCACGGGGAAAACATATACACCACGAACAGAGTTACACACAACACGATATACGTGTGTTCATTCACATATTATATTTGCAAACGCGGTTATTTTATTCAACCCTTCACCGACGTCTTTCATAAAACACTATATACTCAGTGTTGCACCGAGTGTTGTGAGAAATATTCACAAAGTTCCACAAACACATACCACGGCCGGCCAGCACTCCAGCAGGTGTTGTCTGTGCAATTCTCGGTTTGCTGTTGGGGAATTCCCATCCGATTGCAACACCACAATACATGTACATGCATAATGCTAATTATGACAAACGACCAGACTGGTGCCCGCCTCCATATATACATATAGGCAAACATAAAAAATGATAATAAGAACATCGGGACCAGTGCCCGACTGACAACCAATCAAAGGGCTCCACCACAGATATAATAGGCAATAGGAAATGAATATTTATAAAAACTGACAATTAAGTTTTGAGTTAAGAGTTGATTATGATTACATTTACATCATGTCATTAAGGTCGATCGAAAAAGATGGAAAAATAACAATCCGTCAGACACTGAGAACAAGCAAAGAAAATGGAGCATAGGCCTACATAAAGTTGTGATCAGGCTTAATTATCAGGACATGTGACATGAATATTCATACTCCATATTGACTGTAATTTTTGCAGCCATTACGTATAGTTTGTGACAGAGATTGAATTGCTGGCACGTTCTAGCAGCGTGGCGCAATCTTCTAGTCTAGGGTATAAACCACAATAGCCTCACGTAACGGTACCGGGAATATTAGTATACCGCCATTGGGGGGGGGGGGGGGGGGGTGATGGTGATGGGGGGGGGGGGGTGCATGCTTGAATTCGGATCGTGTCAGAAACTATACAATTTGCTGTGTTGTTCCCACCGTCACTCTAATATGAAAAACGATCGAGAAGTCATGAGTAAACGTCACTATATGCCTGTCAGTCACCATGGCGTGTTTGAATCACTGTGCTAATGCTATAATATGCTGTTATTCTAGACCGACATGATTTTGTTTAAATTACATCACCCCGAAGCAAATTCTATCTTGTGAATACAAAAAACGCCTAATGCAGTAAATCCAACGGGTTATATTTTCGGTATAAAACTCACTTGGCAATCATTGTGATAGACTGAGACCGAGTTTTAATATAATACATTTTTACATAAACATGTACGTAGGTATATAATTAACATATTAAGGTGGCACTCGGCGGAGCAAAGTTCAGATTTGCATGACACTGCGAATTATACCGCGCATGCGCAGTGGAATGGCGTTTTCTGGATTGTGGGAATTTCGGGGTGAGAAATACACATGTACTTCCCGTCAGCGCCTGCCCACGACATCGACACGACACAAGTGATAATATCAGAGTTTCAGTGCAGTTTCGTTGAAATCTATATCTGTTCAGTAGAGGAGGTTATTTTAAAGAGGGAATTCCAATTTCTTTGGAAAGTAGCGCTGCCTCCCGCCTACGTACGGAGGCCATAGGGTGGCAGGTCTGAACTGGTGTTAGTCCGTCAAAGTGGGCCAGGTGCATATACCTATGTTCTCCAATACCGATGTTCCCCAAAATCCTTACCATATAACCCTAATCCTAACCCTAACCCTAACCTAACCCTAACCCTAACCTAGCCCTAACCCCCTAACCCTAACCCTAATCCTAAGGATTTAGGGGAACATAATTATGTATTGTGGAACATCGGTAGAAGACCCCGTCAAAGTGGCGCGATTGTCTGCTGACGTTCACAAATTTACAAGCCTCTAATTTGTTTAATCATCAGACTAATCGAATGGAAGTTCCTCATTGCGTTGAACGTTGAAATTTCATGACTATAGGTCAAAGGGTTTTGGAATTATGGCTAATTAATTATTCATATGTACGAATGGTAATTCTGGTCTGTGTCCAAGACGTATATGGGAAAATTAAGTGTTCACGGCGCGTAGCGCCGAACATTTTTCGCTGCTCGACAACCCCTGGTCCGATTTTTATATTTTTGGTGTCAAAAGATGCGCAAGGCTTGAGGCTAAAAAGTCATATCAGCTCGGGTCGCGAATTTTTTTTTTTGTAAAGGCTATCGCGGAAAAAGTCGAGGGGGGGGGGGGATTCCGCCCCCCCGGCCCAGGGTTAAATGATTATAATATCTGAATAAAATGTGTTCTTTATTCACATTTAAGGATGCATTTTAAATAAAGTACCAATAATGTTGATCGACTCTGTAACACGAATTGCTATAATTGAACGTCACTGCTAACGCGGAAATCGTACAGAGAAATAATGTTCGTGATGATTATGATAATAACATATCAAGCTCGAGGTCAAAGTTTCAACCCAGACATATTTCTCATCGTGGGGAAAACCGCTGTGTACGCAATGACTTCCACGAAGCACGTGACAATGCTATAAATAGCATGTAAACAGCAGAGCTGGAGCGCTTCATTTCCTAGTAGTACTTCAATGCCAGAGCCTATTTTTTGGGGGGGCCTGGTTGAGTCGAGTGGTACTATTGTATTATCGTCACCACTCACCAAAATGTACCTGTGAGAGTGCCTTGCTGATTTTGCTACCCGAAAATAAACCTATGTGCGGGAAGGGTGAGCTATAAGCATATCGGTCTATCACGCATTTTGAAATATCCAATTCGATATTGGTTTGATCCCGGGGTTTGATCGACCCGATGCCGACAGACACAGCGACTGCCATGAACATTTCATAGGTAAGTAACCTTATTTTATAAACTCCACATATTTTTCATTGTCATGATTGTTCTTTGTGTTGAAAAGCATTGCAGATGTAGGCCTATTGTTTTATTTATCAGGAAAACATTAAAGGGAATATACAACATTTGCAAACATCGAAAAATAAAACTACCAAGTTTTTACGGAATACCTTACTAGGATGTTGGTAAATGACAGTCTTAAGCATCCTGTAAAATTATGGGACCTGGTGTGAAGTCATTTTCAAGAAAATTGTATTTTTGTGTACATTTCCAACGGTGGTCGGCCGACCACCGTCGGAAAAACCTAACTATTTTTCAATTACTGCTCCAAATTTACCATTCTTTTCGGTCCAAATTTTGTTTGCTATTGGTTACATGTTCATGAACGGGTGCAGGCCAGCTAAACTGGTTCCCTTACCTTACAAATTTCCGGCATCTATAAATTGATCCATTTTATCTTTAGTGGAGTCAGGGAACCAGACTACTTGAACATTTTTGTTTTTCTTGGTTTTTCCAGCATTTTCGAACACAAAACTTCAAACATGTCAGTGTAACAATATTTGAAATTTATACTAACCCCTCAAATAGATCATTTCTGAAAATTACAGCAAAAGCCAATGATGTACATTCCCTTTAACATAGGCCCTATTAAATAGGCCTGTACGCACATTATATCTTATAGAAGAACGGCGTTTAACCACTCATATTGCGTAGGAAATGTGACAATATACGCTACTGTTAAACAGGGACATAGGCATATGCACTGTATTAATAATAGGGCATGGGTGGTAGTCAATTATAGGGTAAAACCAAACCGGATGTTACTGTTGAGTTTTACTTCGGACTTGTGCAAATGTTTTACTTTTAGAAATACGGAAAATACAGACTAATGAGTCAAAAAGAAAGTGACCGAATTACAATTTTTGTTTTAATTTTATGTAGGTCGCTCCAATTGATGAAAGGAATAAGTGTGCATGTTATCGACTTGTGAAATGTTCACTTAATGATACTCTATTCTCAAGTTGTCTTTAATTTTAATAGGAATGCCACTATAACTTCACTGAACTGTGCACCGCTGATCATTTTACCGATACGCATTGATGAGTACCCTTTCTGAACGAAAACTTGCAAAGGTATTACACACCAAAATCACCATTATCGTTTTGGAAAAAAAACCCCTCAAGTTATGAATCTCAGTTTAATTTGAATGCCTGTGTGCAATCAGCCAAATAACTTCAACAGCATTTCACATTCTATGGACAACCATTAATGGTATGGTTATATAGTAAAACATGCATGACCCCTGATAGCAACGATCCATTTCAAAAATTCATTTTTGTTCACATGTATGGGTGGAAAAACATGCTCGTTTATTACATGCGTCATTATGTGTATCAATTTAATTGTGTTTTAAGGGGATAAATCCTAGTTACTTCCTTCTTGACTCGCCCTAACATGTAGTATAAGGTGACAGCTCTATATGTTCCGACACCTTGGGCGTTTTCGAATCCCTGTTCTTGACAACACGCGTGTAACACGAGAACTATGGCGTGTCAAACGTTGCAAAATTCAATGTTTCACAATATATATGTTTGATGTTCAATATGTGATTGTTATCTTTTACATTTATGTGCGATGTTCAATATAAGTGTGCGATGTTTTTCATTATGTGCGCGATGTTTAATATATTTGTGTGATGTTTTACAATATATGTGCGATGTTCAATATATGTGTGCGATGTTTTACATTTATATGCGCTTTTCAATTTATATGTGCGATGTTTGACCTTATATATGTGCGATGTTTTCAATATTATGTTCGATTTTTTGCATTAAATGTGCGATGTTTTTCGATACAATTGTGTGTGATGTTTTACAATATATTTGCGATATTCTCAAATATGTGAGCAATGGTTTACACATATGTTTGACATTTCCAGCTATTTGTATTCGATGTTTCATCGGTATGTTTGCATTCGATTTTTGCAATGCTTTTCATTCGATGTTTCGTTAAGAGTCAAAGTCTGGTTACTAGACCGCGAAAGTCTGACTATTTTGCCTAAGGTCAGTGTATGAGACGTCAGGGGATCGCGTAAAGTGATTAGAACCAGACCTAAACGGTAAAAACCGGAATTGTGGGGTAATTCTTTAAGCATACGCAATGCGTTCATCCATGGAGAAATTTCTCCATGGTTCATCATTGTTTGGGCAGTACCCCCAGCTGTGCCTGTACTACCCATAGTGTTGTGTGCATCATCTATGCATTGAGGAGTGCATGACACATGGTCTGAGCTCCAAGGCCGATGTCCACCTGTCCCGTTTAATGATCCAGTTACCTGATAATTTGTTAGCATAAGCTGATAGGCGACAAACGGAGTTACGTAAATTCATTGGCTTATGTGGCACACGATGGAAGTAGTGTGACATTTGGGCCTAAGATAGATATTTTTTTAAAAACTTGACCATATTAATATTCAGTGCAAGTTTAGTGAAGTACCAATTCAGACTTATTCTCAAGTTGCACTCTTTTTTATAGTACAAAATGTCGAATATCCGATCGAGTGTTGTAAATTCGAGTCGGGAGGGGCACCGAGAGGGATTAAAACCATGATATAATACGGCCGATTCCGACTACAGCTACAACCACACAAAAAAGTTAATAATGTCTGAAAAATCTCATTATTAAGATTGCTTACATCATATCACATGGCAAGGGGCTCTGTGCTTATCGGCAAAATGGGTGCGTTTTGGGCGAGCACTGTGTTCGGGTACAAACCCCAGTCCGTTTGCTATTTTTGTAATATTTTCCCGTCCAAAACAGTAGCTGAACCCGTTATCGGCTGCCTCATCAGACCTCGGCGCGGGTGTGCGGGGCGCAACGCACGGCACTTACGTGCACTCTGATCAGCGAACCGCGCCTGTCACCACCGGCCGGGCACTATCTCATCTCGGCCTCAGAGCGTGGCCCTTCCCGACCCGATTGCACTGCAGATTTGAAGGAATTTCAAAGAGGGTTTCAAAAGGGCTTGCCAGTGCGTCGATTTTTTCGGGGCAGGATTCTTTTTCATTCCCCTTTCGTAAGGTGAAAAACCAACCGGCGCAGTACCGGTTGCAGTTTCACCGTAATTCTCGAATAAACAGCCCACCGAGTGTTGTATAAACAAGATAAGCAGAGTCACAGAATTCGTTGTCCGCGAGAGCTTCCTTGCTCTGTGCCGGTGAGAGACTGAGGTAATTTTTTGGCAAAAGATGCTTTCTTTTTAAAACTTCACGGATTAATATTAAGTGCAAGGAGTGAAGTATACATGTTTAGACTTCTTCTTAAGTTACACTCTCAGTCATTTTTAGTACACAAGGGCAAAACGTCAAAATGTCGAATATCTGAGTGTTGTAAATTCGAGCCGGGAGGATTACGGTTGCGCCGAGAGGGATTGAGACCTTTACGGCCGACAAAGAAAAGAAAAACATTAGGCTTATGTCTGCAAAATTTCTTTAAATCGATTGGTTAAACATAGAGGAATATGACATCCAAACTTCAATTTTTATAGGCGCCCCGAATTGCGAAAAATTCGAAACAGTTTCAGCCCAACTCATTGCACATCGAGCCTACATCCAGGCACTTGAACACCCATTTTTCATCGCGGATAGAACAGATTTCCGGCTTTGGAATGCATTTGGTCCGTCATTTAATGACAGCAATTTTAATTTGTTGTTAAATCATTTTACGAAAGGCGGAACTAAAAAAAAATGTATAACTATAAGCGCCTTGAGAAAATCGGTGCATTGGTAAAACCGATTAATTTAGACGGAGATTCGGCTTTTTTTCAACATTCACTGCCATTGAGTGAAACCATGGTGAAACGAAAACCATTAATTCAGTCAGACAATTTTGTTCCATCGCTAATTTCAGAAATGTCCAGATTCGATAGATGGGTTAAGGCACTAATTTATTAGCGCCCCGAATAATTCGGTATCGAAACAGTCTCAGTCCAACTAATTTTATATTGAGGTTAAAATCCAGGCAAAACATTTTTTTTACATACATCGTTCATCAGAATAACGGATTTCCAGCTTTGAAATGAATGTGTTCCATCTTTAATGAGACAATTTCGGGGTTTTTTTGGGTTAAATCATCTTACGAAAGGGGAATGAAATAGAATCCTGCCCCGAAAAAATCGACGCTTTGGCAAGCCCTTTTGAAATTCCTTCAAATCCACAGTGCAATCGGGTCGGGAAGGGCCACGTTCTGAGGCCGAGGGCCCAGAGATGAGAGTGCCCGGCCCGTGCTGACAGGCGCGGTCCGCTGATCAGAGTGCACGTACGTGCCGTTCGTTGCGCCCCGCACACCGCCGAGGTCTGATGAGGCAGCCGCGGCTGATAACGGGTTCAGCTATTGTTTTGGACGGGAAAATATTGCAAAAAATAGCAAACGGACTGGGGTTTGTACCCGAACAGAGTGCTCGCCCAAAAACGCACCCATTTTGCCGATAAGCACAGAGCCCCTTGCTAATGATGTAAGCAATCATAATGATGAAATTTTTCAGACATATGAACTTTTTTGTGGTTGTAGTCAGTATCGGCCGTATTATATCATGGCCTTAATAATCCCTCTGGCAGTGCCGCTCCCGGCTCGAATTTACAACAGTCAATCGGATATTCGACATTTTGTACTACAAAAAAGAGTGCAACTTTAGAATAAGTCTAAATTGGTACTTCACTAAACTTGCAATGAATATTAATATTGTAAAGTTTTAAAAAAAATATCTACTCATGATCTTCGGCCCAAAGGTCACACAACTTCCATTGTGTGCCACATAAGCCAATGAATTACGTAACTCCGTTTGTCGCCTATCAGCTTATGCTAACAAATTATCATGTAACTGGATCATTAAACGGGACAGGTGGACATCGGCCTTGGAGCTCAGCCCCCTAGCCCCCCCCCCCCCCCGTAGAACCGCGCCTGGTCTAGTAACCAGACTTTGACTCTTAACGAAACATCGAATGAAATGTGAAACATCAAATGCATATTGCAAAAGATCGAATGCAAACATACCGATGAAACATCGAATACAAATAGCTGGAAATGTCAAACATATTTGTAAAACATTGCTCACATATTTGAGAATATCGCAAATATATTGTAAAACATCACACACAATTGTATCGAAAAACATCGCACATTTAATGCAAAACATCGAACATAACATTGAAAACATCGCACATATATTATGTATAAGGTCAAACATCGCACATATAAAATGAAAATCGCATATAAATGTAAAACATCGCACACATATATTAAACATCGCACACATAATGAAAAACATCGCACACTTATGTTGAACATCGCACATAAATGTAAAAGATAACAAACACATATTGAACATCCAACATATATATTGTAAAACATTGAATATTGCAACGTTTGACACGCCATAGAGAACGTGTTCTCGAGCTGGTCGTTACGAACGCGCGGGTGCGTGTCGCATCAATATAAAGCAATGCAAAATGGCCGACAATCGTCTGAATTTGTACTTAGGCCTATTCCAAATGAACGAGGACGACTGTTGCAAAACCGGACATGCGGGAATGAAATTGCAGACCTGCACTATAATGGTATTCTTATTCCAATCATAAGGGGTATTAGCCCCCCCCCCCCCCCCAAAAAAAACCCCACAAAACAACTGTACGAATCTGCACAGTCCGCCATTTTGTTCAAGCTGCACCTCGCCGAACCCTCCATCAACCGGGGAGTGGAAAAATCGATCCGCGAACGCCCTCTCGGGTCTGTTCGTCACGTTTGAGACCGCTGTTCTCGTGTCGGGTTAACCCGAGTGTTGTCAAGAACAGGGATTCGAAAACGCCGCATATGTTCTGACAACCCCCACATAAGATTGTATTACTTCCGGTTAGGGTTAGGGATAGGGACATGAATGTACAGTTGGAACAAATGGGGGGGGGGGGGCATGTGCATGTGTCGGAAAAAGGTCTGTAACCATGGAGGAATGGTGTAACCTAGTACAATGCAAAAAAACAACTTGTTTTAAAGTTAACACAGTGACTCAACAAATTACTTTTTAACACAAATATTGATTGATCCTTACCCAACTGTGGTTGTGTCTCTTGTTTGTAAGTACATTTTGTAATTTTTTAAATTCAGTTTGTGATCAGAATTATTATCCTATTTGATTTTAACTTGACATTGCGTTTTTTATCGAACAACAAAAACAACACTTAAGAGGAGTTGTTTTTGGTTTCGAACATCGTGTTTGCATCCCAATCAGACATGTGCATTCTCAAGTATGTGATCCTTATGATAAGACAGCACAATCAATGTCATAAAGGCTGCATATTGATAGAAAATATACAGCTTTGACCCGATCCAGGACTTAAAAACCTAAAAGCGAAATAACAAAGTCAACAGCAGGTGCACATGATAAAATTCGATTGCACTTGTTTTTACATACATTCGATTTGTTTGTCTCCTGCGACTTTTCACTTGTAACTTTCCCCTCTTATTTGGTGTCTGCAACCATCTTATAAAATGGCTCATATTTTGGGGCGCTCTTGCACCCCAAAACAATTTGATCCGCCCTGCAGCGAGTTTAGACCGGGAAGTCAACAGCAGGTGCTGTTTGTTTATATATGTTCATTCCTATAAGTATGTTTTCGTGGGATCGTTAGGGGCAATTGTCATAAATGGGCCAATCTATAATTGTTCAGATGTCGGGAGAGATGCAGCGGCACATTTAAATGTGGAGTTTGGTACGCTAAGGTAGCTGAATTGCTGTTGCGTATTTGTAAAGTAATCATTCCGAAATCAAAGTAAACAACATTTGAAGCTTGTTGCTTAATAGCAATTTAAATGGCCCGAAATAAATTGTACATTGCAATCCTTGACAATGCACCTTTGTATCCCATTAAACTGTATTTCAAATCTTAATACTTGTAGCGCCACTTCCATTTTTTTTTGCATGCTTTTTATTCTTATGCAAATTGACAATATTTAGGAGCACACGTAGGATATCTTTTCAAGGCCGAACCTTCGGTGTTACAGCTACTTCCTCATTTTTTGATAATTTTTGGCCATAATTATGGTTAATGTTTTTTTTCCAAGTAACACGACCAACTGCGGTAACTTCTGCGCAATGTAACCATTTAAACTAAGTGCTCTCACAGTAATTTCCCTATTGCTGGGGACCGGAAGTGTAAGGTATAATGACCTTCTTGACTGAAGTGTTCTAAATTCAAACAGGGGTCCCTTTTTACTCGTTCCCAATAGCACCAGAAAGATTTGATAAAAGTTGACAAACGATGGCGCATCGTCCAGACGAACGACTTCAGAGAATAAGATGGCGGTTAGGAACACTAAGGTAAAAGAGAAACCTAACGTTTCTTCAATCTTTCCATGATTCTTTTTTCATTTTTAAAGTTTGTTGACACAGAGTTTAAATAATGCACCACTGGGTCGGTAAAACATGATCATTGGTGCAAATAGAGTGGGTGAATAACTTCTTGATAAAATCGTACAGTTGGTGTCAATAAACAGCCTGACACCATGCATCCGTCACGGTCGTTTGACTTGAAGTTTGCGTACATAAACAAGCATCCAACACAAATGTACGCCCACACATCTCAATGTGTGTAATGTCTATCTACTACACGGCAACTCTCAAATTCGTAAAGGCAATCGTGTTTGTGTTTCAATCGCAAAATTACAATTCTACGTTTTTTGTGTCTTTTTCCTCAGCTTAACTCCCGTGGACCTTCTGCCTCCTATTTTAGTCGTAAGTGGTCTTTCATGACACACGCTCTTCAAACGATTTCGATTCTTTCTTAACTTGGGGTAATTTTCATTTCAACCCTCGTAAACATAATAAATGATTACGTCAATCCGGGTCAAAGTTTGAAGGTGACGCTGGATTTGTCCCGCAATAATTCACTTCTGAATGATAAATAAGTGTTTTGAAACAAGATGTGCACCGGTACCTTTTGATAAACAGGGCGCTCTTTACAATTTCCGTGTACCAATTGCAGGTACATGTATACATAATCGATATTTTTTAATGGATGAGTTGGGGGCTGATCTATTGCTTATCCAATTTTCTCTTTTCAAGCTAAATCAGCGAGATTTATAAGGTGTCATAATGATGTTATTAATGGATGCAACATTAAATGTACAGCTTAAAGACTTCATAGTAGAACTACAGCAAGACATTCGGGAAGAGGCAATGGATCTGTTTGCGCAAGGCAACTACAACACAGCTGTCATGTATCTCAATCGTGGCATCGACATCAGCGGGTAAATCTTAAGGACCATTTACTATGTTTTTTAATCCATGTAATCTTTAAACAACTTAATTTTTAAATGTTCGTGTTTTAAGGATCTTCGGCGCTCTTTTGGTTTTCATGCTAATTTGAAGGTTCCATATTCATGAGCGAAGCCATTGTGACACTTGAGGCTTTAGTGTTACATCTGCTTTATGCTAATTCGAACTTTCCGTATTCATAAGCAAAACCAAAAATTCGTGATTACCATGATGGCACTTAAAGCCACGTCCAAATTACTCAGTTGGCTACGGCTTGAAATTACACACGGGTCTATGGGAAGTGGTGGCAGCCGCTGTCAACGACTTGTGTGTAATTTTCAGCCGCAGTCAAGCAATTCGAACACGGCCTTAATAAGCCCGGTTACAGCTCCATGCGAATGCGAAGCGAATTTGACGTCATGAAACATTCGCTGCGAAATTTGCCCGAGTTGATTATGTTCAACTTTTACGAATTCGCAGCGCGAATACTTGCCAGTGCTTGCCATCACATCACAAATTCACGTTCGCTTTTCGCTTTCGCGCCGAGTATGAACCGGGCTTAAGGCAGTATGAGTGTCAGTGTTGCATCTGCTTTATGCTTATTCGAATTTTCCATATTCATGAGCGAAACCATGATGACACTTAAGACAGATTGTGAACGCCTTCGCGCGAGATGAAATCCTGGTCCGTTGTTAATTTTTTAATTAAGAATGTGAAAAAAACGTGCAAGTCTGGAAAATATCGCTCGAAAACTGTATAATAAAAGTGGTAAAACGCATTCCAATTACGTGCCTTGTTCAAAAAGAAGAAGAGCTCGGAGACCCGCAAAATATAAGAAAAAATGGATACGGAGAAGGTGTGGTTTATAGTCCATATTTTAGCTTAACATGTCAGAATCTACTGTAAGTTCTGTAACAAATGAAGAACAAACGTCAAAGGTTTGACAAAAATTGTTAACTTATGATGTATTCACTGTATTGTGGTTCAAATTATACCGAGTATTCCTTTGCCTAAACAAAATAGACTACAATTGCTTAAAGGGCAATGCAATGGAATCGTTTTGTAACCGCAATCCTGGAAATGTAACTTTATTTGTTGACTTCATATTGCCATTTTTTGCGTGCCTTATTGGTTTTTAGCAAATGCAAATATCCATATTCATGAGCAAAACTGTGATATCATTCAAGGCAGAAACTTCAGTTCAAAGCTTCAGCATATAAATTCACCAGAATTTTAGGGGTTTGCTGTGGTCATCGTTCTGCTTTCGGTGGTTCATTCTTGTTTCAGTCACTAACCTTGCTCCATGTTTAAGGAGAATTAAGGAGAATTTTGGGTTCAGCTTACAGAGAAAAACCCTGATCTGAAGAGTGTGTTCCTACAGTGACTCACAGCCACAGCGCCCTCGGTTGGCAGGAAGAGCATGAAACATTTTTCATGTTTAAATAAGGTGCCCTTTGCAAAACAAATTGACCAAAAGGGATATCTCGTATCATTTTTAAAAAATATATTTTGAGAGGAATGGATATGTGCTACAACTATGTTCCAGTGTAAAATTCAACGACTGCCAATGACTTGATTAAGGCCTCCATACATACAAAAGGCCTCCATACATACAAAATGTCATTGTTATAGATCGGGTGTAGCGTAAATATCCGACTCCATGAAATGTGGACTCATTGGTAGTACTGCGCACGCGTGAGTACGATACTATGCTATTTTTAGGATCGTTTCGGGAGAGTGACCTTTCACGTGCGAGGGATTAACCAATAATAGGGAAATAGGGGTCCGATTTTCATAGGAGTCGGATTTTCATGTGACACCGGATCTATGAAAAATGACTTTGGTAACATGGTATTCAAATACTGGGATGGTGTGTCAAGGTTACATTGCAACCTCAACCACGGCAGCATGCATGGCTACAGAGACGGCACATACACAAAGGCCTTCCAGATTGTGCGTGTGTGTGAGCGCATTCATATTGCTCCTCGTTAAACCATGGCTAAACATACAGTTCATGAATCATGAGTCATGAGTTATGGAACGCGGGTCGTGCAAGTAGTGAAATCATTTCTAATATTACATGTAGGCCTACTCTTCTTTTGATGAGTTATATCCGTACAAATTGAAGTGTTTGCAATCCGTTTGTAGGCTTCTTCGACGAGACGGTTCCTCTTGCTACACGACAACCGATGCCCAACTGCTCATCCTTCGCTCACAGTGTGCCAACAAACTGGTCAGAGCCGTCTTTTGATTTTTTTTATATTGGCATCAATGCTTCTGTACTAGCATTTAAAATGATACTTTGATAAACGAGCGACGATTTCTTGGGGGGGGGGGCAGGGACGGGGGGGGGGGCAGTGGCTTGAAAATCGATGGTTGGGTGTTGGGAGAAGGGGGGGGGGGGCTGGAAGCTTCCTTTACCCTCGGGAGTGCTGTTGAAACCTGAATGTACATACAACATACACATGTATGTACTCATGCATGGGCGTGATAACGTCAGCCGGTGAAACCATCTGTTCGTTTGTACACCACTTTTCATCGGTTACTTCATGTATGCGTTAGGCCTACCCCTCAGGACTCAAGACTCATTGAATTTCAAGAAAATGGGTCACGTATCTAAATAAACACAATGTAAAAACATTTACGTATTCACGGGGCGATGGGGCCGTGCCCCCCCGTCCCGGTGAGCAATTGACCCCCAACGACAGAAAAAAACCATGTTTACATACTTATGTATTTGTTTTTCATTGTAGTGTGCCCCCCCCCTATAGTTAGTGCTATGGCCCCTATAATGCCCGGAGCTGTTGACGGCGCAGGGGATGTCAAAGGGGTCCAAACCCGTACCCCCATGGTCCGCAAAAATAGGAAAATCATGCAGGAAAAAAGTAGCCATGCCTGCTACCCCCTGACAGCTACCCCCCCCCCCGAGCCAATTTTGGATCCGCCCCTGTAAAGTTGTACAACTAACGTTAAACATTTAAGTTGGCAAAGACATGATGAACATTGAGGTAACATTGGGATATATTAATGGTGCATCGCCATTGGTGTCCCCCGCCCAGTGTTATTGGGGGTGGGGTGTGGGTGTGTGTGTGTGTGGGGGGGGGGGGGAGGCATGCTCCTCGTCCTCCCGAAATCGCCGCCCATGGATTGATGAACATTCGAATCTACAACATGTATATCCAATTTATTTAAAAGTTGAACAATTAAATTGATTTTTAGTTCCATTCCAGAGTTAAGATTTAGTTATTATCATATTGTAACTAAATAGCAAGGAAAACTTCGTGTGGTATATTTTATTCATATTATCACATTATGACCCAAAGGTCAAATTGCGTGATAATGTACAATAATAAAAACATCAAAATCACGGTAAACATGAATTAAAGAAATACATATAGAGAAATAACCCATATAAGTTGGTTAAGAATCAAGACCAATGAAATTAGTACATTGCACATACACATGTAGATTTGTCTGCCTCAAACCTTAAAAAAAAAATTCTCACCAATGGAAGTCATGTACTTCCTCCCATTATACCATTATGCACAACATAAATTATTCAAATTCATGATTATGAATAAAAATCTAGTTTAAAGAAAGTCCCATTTAAATTTGTGATAAAGCCATGCTTGTCTTCCTCATTTCGTGATGATGGCAGTTAACATCTTAACTTCGTTCCGTGAAGGTAACGACACATCTTTACTCTTTGTTTAAAAAAGCAAAAAATCACAGGTCTTTTTCTTCTGAAAATCATCATGCATGTTTGTAAATTAAGTTGTCTTTTACAGGGATATTCTCAAGCAGCAATACAGGATGCCGAAAACGGTACGTGCAAAATTGTTGTTTCAAACTGATAAAGCAACTAAAATTCTACAAAATTGAAATATAAATAGAAACAATTGTTACTGAAAGACATATAATCATTTGCATTGATCTCAAAAGTAATCTACTGAATAATCAAAAAGTTTACTTGAAGCTTGTATCGGTACTAAACAACCCGTGAAATTATTCCGTCTGGCGTGCTGTAAATTGTGAGAAATAAGAAATGAGAAATGTAGGTGATTCCAACGATCAGTCTATTAACTGATTTTGGGAAATGCTAGGACGGAATCGTGTTTCGTCATCAAAAGGTTGTGTACGGTTTGTCACTGTTTTCTCGAAATGTGTAATATTATCCGCCGAACTGAAACTTCAAAGTGTGTTTGGTTTTTTGGTAACGAGCAAAAAGCAATAGATTCGATATGCCTTTAACATTCAAACAAAGATAATTCTCCAACTCGCGGTCAGTGTCAACAGTGAACTTTTTCTTGAAAAAATAAAGTGGTTTTGTTACAGATATCTGCCCTTGCAGTGTAAGAAAACTAATTGATCAATGCATACGATGAATGTAATCACTTTGTAATTAACAATAAGACAGTTTTCAGATTGTAAGTAACGTCTTTGCAATGCTTCATACTTTTTACAATGTCTTCTCAGTCTGGCGATCAAAAACAAAAACAAAACAGAAACATAAAAACACGACAAAAGATTAGTTCTTATCTGAAACAAGGTAACCGGGTGTTGGAAGGGTTCACGGAAGAAAAATTTAGTTGCATTAAATTCATCTTATTATAGTTGTGGTCCTAACAATTCGACTGTTACTAAACTATGTAGCTTTGTATATCAACGGATACTCCATCCCTGCCAGGGTCGAGTTAGTCAAAGCCAAGTACGCATTTGCCTGTGCAGAAGGGGGTCAATGTCTGGTGGAATTCCAAGAATTCTTGCTCTATCAAGTCCCACAAAAGGTAAGACGGTGAAAATAAACTTTAACCTATCCTTTTTCTTTCAGAGAAAATTTCCTTCAAAACAGATATTTTCAATGGCAGTTTTTTTCTTCAGATTAATGGGCCAAATACATGTAGGCCTATAGAAAATGATGTAATTTTGTACTTCTATTTTTCCTAGTGTAGATTTGGGGAGAAGTGGAGTTTCCAGATTGACTCTTCTTGTTTTATTTTGTTTTGAAGAAAAAGCATTGATTTTATGTCTTGTTTCCTGGGCTTTCAGACGGTGGTATAATCTCCATACAGCCTTCACCTTTTAGACGAATAGTTTCATGAAAAAAACAACAAAAATGAGTGTTTTTTGTATAATTTACAGGTTAAAGAAAATCCAGAAATGGGGAATATCATAAGACAGTTTGAAGACGCCTTGGACCCCATGGCGTCGATGCCCCCGACCAGTAGGGAAACCACTGCCAACCAAGCGGCCCTCTGTCTCGAAACACCTGCGCCGAATTGGACTCCATTTCACAAAGAAAACATTGCTCAGAACAACTCGGTGAAAGGACTAGATATGTAGAAATCTATACCCATGATATTCGGGGTTTAATTTAATTTGACAATTTTCCAAATCAATCTTTCGTGTCAATAAATGTATTGTATCATACTGTATCAAGTAGATATTGTGGAAAGCTTAATACTGTATGATGTAGTGGAAGCCTTTAAATTTTTGTTTTTGTTAGAAAATCATTCATAACGATATACAAAAGTGTAAAAGATACAAAATACCAAGAATTTACATTGTCCAAGTTTGTGATTCTGAAAAGGGCAACACTCTCGACTTGACGGGTTAACATAAGAAACTTTAACAGCAATTGAATATGAGCTTATTTTCCTTACTTTTTATAATCAAATCGGCATTACTAACCTATCCGTTGAGTCAAGATTCGTGTTTTTTTTAAGATCAAGTACGCTCTTGCTTTAAAATTCGCGTTTAGGCCTCAGAAGTCATGCTGAAATTAAAGATGACCCCTCGTTATTCACTTTGTCTTAAACACGGTTTCTATTGTAGGAAAACAGTGACATGTCATGCAGACGAAAAGAAAGAGGACAAGTGGGATGTACAACCGTTGGCACACATCCACACTCTGAAAAGAACACAACAAATGGTGAGTCAGTCTTTTGATTTTCATTTTTTTTCCACTTCAAATCTGCTCGAACCACCACGAAATGGCCAGTAAATTTGAATTGTTAATGGCCTTTAAATGATGATCTTTCAATAGTTTCCTGAACTATTTGGAAAGATATACTGTTGGTTTTTCTCCATGAAACAGTGAATAATGATTCGATTGGATTTCTCTTACAGAGTTGTCACAAGTCACCCCACCACCGCTATCACCACCAGCAACATCAACACCACAGCAACCTTTACCTCCACCCCCACCACTACCATCACCGCCACCACCACCATCTTTGCCCCAAACAGCTCTTTCTTCACCACCTTTATCATCACCGACCCAATCATTACCGTCTCCTCGTTGCTCTGAGCTGGAAAATAGCGCCACACCACGGAGCAAGACACAGACTCCGACAGCGGCCGACGAGGAGACCAACAAGGATTCACTAGTTTCACCACCAGAGATTGCTACATCTGAACCGGCGGAGATTTCCAAGACAGCAAATGACTTGGGCTGTAGCCAGGAAGGAGAATTCCAAATCGTTCAATCAAGTGTCAAGTAAGGATAAAACACAGAACGTGGTAGCTGTAGGCTATGCGTTTGCTTGTCGTATGCTATAGTATTGAGTACTGAATGTTTGGAGTGTCCCATTAATAAGGGTTCATTTCATGAAACTGGTGGCACAATTTACAAATGAAAATGTTAAACTGCATTTCGGAAGGTTTCATATAAATTAAGATGTGATCGAAGTCATTACACATTGTCTAAAAATGGACTTCCATTATGATTTATGTACTTGTGGCTAAATTGAGAACTTGGTTAAAATACTCCCGATCTTTTTTTGTTTAGGAAAAAGAAACTTTCCAATGCAAAATCAGCGAGTACCGTCGCCGCCTCTATTCCCATCTTCAACCCTCTCCCGCTGTACGTGTGTGGAGAGTGCTTCGCAACCAAAAAATCCAAGTTGGTTTTGAAAAGGAAAGGCAGCGATCCCGCAGTTTGCGCTGGCCCAGGTTCCCACAACTGGCAGCAGGGCAAAGTAGCTGTGATGTACTCGAAAGAGAAGAAGGCCTGGTTTGAGGTGAAGCCAAGAGATCCTAGGCTAGGATCCAAAATCCAACCCAAGGTGTGTCTATCGGGGGTTACATGCCCGCGTACTAACTGCATGTTTCCACATATCAAAGAAGAAATGCAACTCTGGCAGTACATGTGGACACACCAATGTGAGTATAAAAGTTTACTGGTCACGTTAGACTATATTTCAAAATAGCATGAATAGCAGCCGAAGTTTATCTCCTTCGTGCGGAAATCAATATTGAGAATGCATTTTATATGAGGGGGTAAAATCCAAAAATGGACTTGTAGGAGTTTAGGAAGGTTATAGATTCCTCAGTCCTGCAAAAGAGTAAATAAAATGATACCCATACTTTGCAGGCCCTGTTTTGGATTTAAATGTGATCGGAGTCGTACTAGCCTCTGACAATCGAAATTGGAACTGCTTTCTTTTCGTTTTGTTTCGGTTTTTTAACTCGCAACCTATACAAGACCTCACGGACAATTCAAAGATGGGTAAACTATACAGTGGGTAAATTACATTTGATATCGTGTCTGGTCTTCAGTAAAGTGTTTATGTTTGTCTTTAAATGCTGCCTCCTGTATTCAGTGCAAACGTTGGATGAAGTCTTGTCAGCAAGAAAAGGAACACCACAAGAGACAAAGAACAAGCCAACGACGACATCTTCACTAGCTGCACAGCCGTCAGTTTCCCATCATTCCATCCCACCTAACAGACAAAAAGAAACTGTCCCCATCGCCGCTAGAGAACCTGCTATCCCAAGTTTTAAGCATGCCATTAAGTATATCTGCGGTCAATGTTTTACACTCTACGGTGATGAGCAAGTGGGGCGAGCTGGCAGTAATTCACCCAAATGTGCTGGTGCACTTCCCCACTTGTGGGAACCAAGCAAGGTGGTAGTAATGTACTCAAAGGCAAAGAAAGCTTGGTGTAAAGTCATGCCAAGACATCCCAAATTAAGGGCATCGGTCCAACCTGTATTGTGTCAGCACAGTGGAGCTTGTCCACGACCCAACTGCATGTTTCCACACATCAAGGAAGAAATTGATTTGTGGGTGTTTATGGCTAAGTACAAATGTGAGTACAAAAATGTCGGTAAAAAAATGATTAAGATAGCCTTTGCACACTATTTAAGATCAACATTCTCAACTGAACTACTGTTGAGGTTCTTTTAAGTTGGCGATCCTTAAAAAAAAGAAGATTATCGGAGATGTTCAATATGATAAGACATGACCCATCTTATAAACGTTTGTGCACGCTTGTTCTCATATATTTTGCAGTGACGACCCTCGATGACGTCATGCCATTTCTGAAGCAAGCAACTGAGGCTGCAAAATCTTCTCCTCAGTTATACTCGTCCGCAAAAACTCGACCAGTCCAGCGACAAACAAGTGCCTCTACTGCTGATATCGTGCCAGCAAGACTCCATCAGCCTGCAGCGGCAAGCAGGGAAAAGCCTGAAAGAAATTCCTCCGCTGTCTCCAAGTCATCAGCCTGTAAGAAACCCCTGCAAACTGAGTATAATGCCACGCCAGACAGACATGGAAAGCAAGAAAATACTCAGAAAAGCGCTACACCATCTACATCATCATCTCTCGTGCCGCCAACCTCTCAAGAATCAAAGACCCCTAATGCTGCAGCTGTACGCACAGATTGTTTATGTGTCATCCAGCCAACCACTCCCACTTTCCCCCACCCCATCAAGTACGTCTGTGGTATTTGCTTCCAACAGCACGGTGGGTCTAAAGTGGTTGGACAGCGGGCAGGCAATGGTAAATCGCAGGTATGCGCGGGTTCAGGCTCTCATGCCTGGAAGCAGTGCAAGATGGTAGTGATGTATTCCAACACCAAGAAGAGATGGTGTAAGGTTAAACCGAGACATCACAAATTGAGACCCAAGGCCCATCCTCAGTTGTGCGTTCGAGGCGAGTCCTGCCCCCGGTCGGATTGCATGTTTCCACACATCCATGAAGAAATAGAACTCTGGGTCTACATGGCAGATCACAGCCGTGAGTATACCATTAGTCTCAATATTGACACCGCTATGAGCTGAGTGACTGAGGAAAATAGTCCAAAAGCTTTAGTGGAAAAATCTGCTAAGAACGTAGCCATGCCAATGTTGACCACTGTGACAAATAAAGACAAACTAACTTTAACGGCTTAAACTCATTATAGCCATGCAAACCTTTAAAGCAATCATTTCACTTGCATTCAAACCTGAGCAAAATTTTCATTCAAACTCTTTAATCTACTTATTTTTTATATTATTATCACTCAGTGAAAACTTTAGATGAAGTCGTTTCTGTTGGGCAGAAATCGGTAGAAGGTTCCAAGACAAAAGCTGTTGTTTCTGAGCCATCAACTCTCAACAAATCCGCTTCATCAGAGGAACATCGTCATACCTGCTCCTACTGCGATAAATCGTACCCGGAGCAATGGCAGCTTCAACAGCACATCCAAAGCAAGGATCACTGGGCAAAGGTCAACTCAGACGAAGACAAGAAAGACCAGTGGAAGCATCGCAGCCCACCCTGGAATGTCGTCAACGGACAGTACCAAGAATGTTTGGAGTAAGTAGTGTCAGTTAGCCCTGTCCATTGGTTCATTCTCACGGAACAGAAATCACCCTGTCTGTATGTGAACTTCATGCTTCGGGTTGAATTTCTTAATTAATTCTTGATATTTCTTATATTCAACATCGCTTAGGAATAAAAAGGAAAGGTGCGTGTTCACTGACTGCACCAAAGCGCATAGTGTCGAAGAGTTGGAGGAATGGAAAGAAAGACATCGGTATCGAATGATGAAAGTGAAGAAAGCCAAGGAGCGCAAGTTGTACGCGTTCATGGACGGAGTTCTCGAAAAGTATAACTTCTCGACACGGGGCGGTGATGTTGTGAGTTAAAAAAAAAACTCGACTCTTCAATCAACGGACTGATTTCAATTGAATAACCCAATCTTTTTTTACGATCAGCTTGCCCAATTTAAAGCATTTTCTGGTGTCGGACACAGATTTGAACTATTACCAAAAAACGATCGAACAGTTTCTTCATCCCATTCAAACCTTTCAGATTGCAGAAGAATTACCGGGAGTCCATGTCAGTTGCTCCGATGAGCTGACCCAGTTTCTTGTCACGGAAGGAAAGAACAGTGACTCGGCCAGTTACACCTGGACATTCACCTTTAAGGCTCCGGACACGGTAATTTTGAATAAATAACTGTCACGAACGTTTGTTATTTTTTTGTTAATAATAAAGTGTTTAGGAGCAAGGATATTTAAAACAAAAAAAGGAATATATCCCAATAATGTCGAGCTTTACAATTTTCCACTCCCAAACAGAAATCTCTGCGGCGTGTGTGTCTGGTTTACGATGACAACAGACTCTATTTCAGGTTGTCACAGCCTGCTCGTGAAAGCGAGGCTCAGGTGTGTCCTGGCAACCTGATTGTAGAGGAGGACAATAGGACATATCGGATTGACGTCATCTTTCGCTCTCAGATCCTCGGTTGCTTCTCCCAGTGGGTCCTCTTTGACCTGGGTACTGAACCGTATCTTGTCCAGAAACTTCAGGTAAGTCAAACCGAAAAAATGAAGAGACAAATGTGTATGTCAACAACTAGAAATGGGCACAGGTCTAAAATTGATGCTGTAATGACCACGTGAGACTAGACTTCGGCCCTGTAAATGCTTTGTCAACTACCTCATCATTCGATGCCCGGCATAATCCGAATCTTCAAATTTACGCTTGTGCCTACCATAAAATCCAGTCTCAATACCAATATCCCTTTTTAAATACTGGCAAGAACAATTACTTTTTCCCTTTCAGGTTCAAGTTGGTTCAGCAGCTCAGCATGAAGCAATCAACGAGCCTCAGAGAGAGCTAGCGAGACCGATGGTCGTGTGGAACAACAGCGACTCCGACATAGTCCGATTTGACGACGAGGACTACCAGCTTTCATCCACTGAAGAGGAGCTGCTCTCGAGCTATCGTGTACCAGCCAAGCTCGGCATTGACAATCTGGAAGAGATGAGTCGTGACAACTATAAAGAGTACATGCACAGAATGCTGTACTTGGAAGAACAAGAGTGCAATAGAAAGATATCCAAGTGAGGCAGAAGAAGTATTTTTCTGATACTCAGATATATTCCTGACAGCTTTTAAAGACAGAACAGTCCTTTTTGGCGTTATGTTTATCGACGATTTTCAAGACTGAAGTAGGCATTGAAAAATGCATTCGCAGTACAAGACTGTTCTAGTTTTGTATACTCGTTAAAATTTGCAAGTTGTTAATATTTTTTTGGCCCGCATGGATACCTTCTGTATTTGTTTTAATATTGCAATACTTAAGATCCGACTATCTATCTTTCAATTGGAAAAAAAAATTAAGTACATTTCTATCAACCAGGTTCAGCAGCTGCAGCACGATGAAGTGTCTAAACACGATTTATGTTGAGACGTCGACTGGAACAGTCGTGAAGTATTCCACGGGTGATAGTAAGTATGGAATGGTGGATATGAAGACAACCCTCATGGATGACTCTGAGACCAGTCAAATCATCGAGAGAAGTGTGCGTAAGATGATGCTGAAATTCGCCAACTCAGAAAGAGTAAGTGCATGATGTTAGATAGTCTTGTTGGAGTAATCGATGAGCTTTTCTGAGTTCATGTATTACCCATGATGGCGAATGGTATAATGGGGAGGGTAGGCGGTCTAACCCCGCTCCCCCTGGGCTGCAACAATATATAGGAAAAGCTTGCAGAAAAAGGTAGCCCATGTCTCCACCCCCCACCCCCCGACAGCTGCCATCCTTGATGAGCCAAAGGTTGAAATGCCGCTGCTTTTTGATTTACCTGAAGTCCCTGGAAGTTAAAGCAACCTGTTGAAACCGTTTTAGAAGTGTAAAACATCGGCCTGCAATTCCGTTCACCGTGATCTCTATAAGACTCTTGATTATGGACCAGTTTTAAACTGCGACTCTTGATTATAGACCGGGTATATAAGCTTCGTATAAAGCATTCCTTGCCCATTTCCGCACATATTATTCATATCAATTTGTCATCCAGATTTACGAGGCAAGCATACTTCTGGATCAAGATGAGACTGGGAAACAACCCGGGAAACTCTCTACGTAAAACTCAGTCCAACGTGTGTCGGTGAACAGAAGCTCAAAAATGGCACCGAGTACCAAGTCGAGATACAACTCCAGCTGAGCAGGCTTCAGTTCTGTTACATGCACTCTGCCGTCGATCGACTGACAAATATGGACATGGTTTTCCCGCCAAAAGAAAAACCACAACAGTAAGATTTTTTTTTCCGGAGTGGTGATCTTCTCTTTATTGTTGATAGGGATCAACGCACAATATCGTTGTTATCGTTTTCAAAGATAACGTAACCAGCTGATCATGTGATAATACTTAGTAAAGTGAAAAAAAAGCAGTTAATGCAATTATGTGGCACTTGCGTTTGATGAGTTGACATGAAAAGTTTGTATTGCTTTACCTTTTATTCAGACTGCCCTCGCTCCAGGTCAGAGTGAAGGATCAGAATCTCCATCAGAATCGGGCAGTGGGATTCATTTCAGATCACGGAGGGCGCAATGCACGCCAAATGACCGGTGTAGGGCCGGTGCTCGTGTTGGGACCATTTGGTACGGGAAAAACACACACCTTAGCCACAGCCGTCCAGCGTACGTTGCAGCTTCGACCTGATAGCAAAATCTTGATCTGCACCCAAACAAACAGGTAACAATTTCAAAGATCTTGATACCAAAAAAGGTCTTCGGTTATCCCTTGTGACACAATTATATTAATTGCATAGCTAAACTTAAAAAGTTACAGTTTCTCATTGAAGTTACGTTCGCTTATTTTATGATCTTGTGGTCGACATCACCACTTCTTTTAACATTTACTGCGTCAATATCTTTCCAGACAATATGGTACTGGCTGGTTGAGTATATCAATGATTGAGTAATTCATTAAATAAAGAGAAGTATTGACGTAGGGCACAGTGATAATTATGTAAATTATTGTTGCTTCATTTGACATTTTTACTCCACAGTGCTGCAGATTTATACATCACTGAGCATTTTCACAGACTCGTGCAGAACGGCAGCATCAGTAAGATGGTTCGTGTCTGCGCCAAGTTTCGTAACATCAAATCCATCCCTGAGATTGTGCGATATTACATACCCATCAAGGGTTTTGACATTCAGTTCCCATCAACGAAGGAGATTAAAGCATGCAGCATTGTCGTCACTACCCTGGCAACATCTCACAGACTTAAATCATCCAAACTTCATGGCCACTTCACTCACATCTTAATCGATGAGGCAGGGCAAGCCCTGGAGGCAGAAGCGTTGCAACCTTTGACCTTAGCCACAGGAAGTACATGCGTAGTTCTTGCCGGTGATCATCTACAGATGAGTCCGAAGGTATATAGAACCTTTTTGTTCAAAACAAGCTTATAAAGACTGTGCGAATACGCCGTAATGCAGTAATTCGACCCAGCTGGGTAACTTTATTCTTGCTCTTAATATGTTTTATATTTTTAGGTATTTTCCCGAACCGCCCGTCAGGGTAAATTCCATATATCCCTTCTCGAGCGTCTATTCTACCTGAAGGCGGCCAGAGTTTTGCTGTCCTCAAACTATCGGACCTGTCAGAAGATGCTAGACTTCATCTCCGGGTCATTTTACTTTGGAACCCGCTCAAGCCAGAGCTTAGAAGCAGTTGGGAAACACGAGCCACACCCGAGATTCCAGCATCCTTTGATGTTCTGCACGGTGAAAGGTGTGGATCAGAAGATCGGCATGTCGTACGTCAACCACTACGAGGTAAAAAGAAATCCACTTGAAAAACAGCTTAGTTATTGCGAAATTACATCGATCCCTTTTGAATGTGTCATTATTTATAAAAGTAATATCAATTTAAATCCAACAGGTGGGACAGATCTTGGGTATAGTGAAGGACTTACATGCTGACTGGCCTGAGGAAAAGTGGGGGAAGTTTGACAAGAATAGCATTGGTGTTATAACACCGTACTTAATGCAGGTAATGTTTTTGATATATTCACATCTCATAATAGCATAGATTTATGCAGATCTAAGAATGAGGCATGGGTATGCTGCAACCGTCAGTGAATGATGTAGTATATAATTTATAAAAGACGTGAGTTACAAACGTCCAACACGTTATTGTTTGTATCAATCAGGTACGTCAAATTCGTAATGAGCTTCGAAAGGTTAGACTGGCAAACATCACTGTCGACAGGATCCACGGTGTGCAAGGTAAACACGTTAGTGATGCAGCCTGCCTTATAGTAACAACATACATGTACTTCATAAGATTTCTGAAGGCTATTTGTATATTTCACACCTATTATGCAGGGTTGTTTTACCTTAAAGGGAATATACATCATTTGCTTTTGCTGTAATTTTCAGAAAAGGATGGAATTGGGGGGTTGGAAATATATTGCAAATATAGTTACACTGACGTTTTTGAGGTTTTGGGTTCGAAAATGCTATATAAACAAAGAAAAACAATCATTTTCCTGTAGTCTGGTTCCCTGACTCCATTTAAGAAGAAACAGAGCAGTTTACATATATTGGGGAAGGTCAGGGAACCAGTCTAGCTGGCTTGTACCCGTTCGTAGGTGTGTAATCAATTGCAAACAAGTGCGATGGTCAACTGGGGCCAGTATTTGAAAAAAAGCCATTTTTTTCCAACGCTGATCGGCCGATACGCGTTGGAAATTGATACAAAAATACCACTTTTCTTGAAAATGACAGTATACCAGGTGCCATGATTTTACAGGATGCTTTACACTGTCATTCACTAACAGTCCAGCAAGGTATTTCAAAATGATTTGGAAGTTTTATTTTTTGATGTTTGCAAATGTTGTATTTTCCCTTTAAGTGTGATTGGTCACATTGAATGGCTTCTGTTTTCGCCCGTTTGGTGGTTATGTTTTACGTGATGATGTCTGGACTACGCACATTAACTCAACGGATCTGTTACGGGGATTAAAAGTAAAAAAAAATACTGAATATGAAGAAAATTATCCAAAGTAACTGTATAATTATCAATAATTAATCTTCAAACCTCGTCTTTTTCCTTGTTTAAAGTTTCAGCCAAAACGAGTTATGTTTTTTTCCCTTGTTTCATATCTTAGGACAGCAATATCGTGTGCTGATTATCAGTCCAGTGAGAACTCACAGCACATTGAACAAAGTCGACTTGACTGCAATTGCGTCGACAATTAGTCCAGCGAATCGCGCCGACGAAACCTTCGACTACGGCTTTCTGTCTGATCCCCGACTCCTCAACGCTGCATGTACGCGAGCACAATCTCTGCTGGTAGTTGTAGGTGATCCATCGACCTTGTGCTCAGTAGGTGATTGCTCTAAGATATGGCGAAGGTACTTGAAAGAGTGTGAAGAAAATGGCACTCTGTTCCCATTGGTGAGTTGCTTCCAATTTAATATCGAAAACATAATCATTCGGTCAATCGACCTACATTCCGTAGATAATGGGAATCCAAATATCACCATATCTCTGAACGATTAACTAGGACAAGTCAAACAACATTGATTAAAGCAAGCCTATTGGCGACAAACACCTCGAATTTTATTTTTATTTCAGAAAAAAAATATATTAATATCTCTCTTCTTTTTTATTCAAAAATGCAGGGAACCACAGTTGCAGAAATTCAGCACGAAATGGAAGCATCGAAGCAGCGTTTGAACCCTTGTGCCGCCGTCTTCAAACCTGCAGAATCATGGACCAGCACAACTCCTCCAACCGTGAATGAAGCTGATGACGAACCACCACTTGTACCAGAAGCTCCAGCTTCATCCGAGATTGATTCTTGGCTACCAGAGGACGACGACACAGTCCCAGATGGTATCATCCGGGAGCTACAAAGGCAGATCAATGAAGATCAGAGCATGTTGGAGGACACTGGTGCAATTCCAGAGGTGGTTGATGATCATGATGCCTACAGCCAAAGAAAGGGTCATGCTAAATCAAGAAGGAAATCTCATAAGTACAGGATGGTAGAAAAAAACGATCGCATCATTCTGGAATTCAGTTATGAAGACGAGTCGAAACGAGTGCGTGGTAAAAATAAAGTGGATGAGTTCGACTTCGACATGGGCTTGAAGAATGACGAGCATGATGAGAGGGCACGGAAGCAGGCGTATGAACGAGTGAAGGAACAACCAGACAAGTATAAGATCTGCTCCTTTCATTGCGAGGAATCGGGGCGCACGTATGCAGTTCCCCTGGATGAGGGTCTTGCTGGGAGGATTTCAATCACAAGTAAGAGGAGACGTGGAAGAGCTCTGAACCTAGACGAGGTTATAGTGGAAATATTCGACGACATCGATGAATCGGAGGTTGCAGAGAATGAGAAGAAAAAATGCTACGGGAAAGTCATCTGCATATGCAAGAGGGCTGCTAGATCTGCACTGATGACTGAGATTGTTTGTAGGCTTGATGAGCACATGAATAATTTGATGGTTCCAATTGATCGCACGCTCCCCAAGTTGTATGTATGGTCTCACAACCAAGAGAAGAGTGGAATGAAAAGTCACAAGTATGCGTCACCTGACTTCAGTTCCGTGTCTATTTACCAGTTCAAGGGTTCAGATGATTACATGCCATTTGTTCAAAATGTACAGGTGTCAAGGAAGGATCGGAAAGACAAGCTTTTTATTGTCCGATACCAGAAATGGCTTGCTGCTCTTCCTTACCCGCTTGGCGCTGTGACAGAAGAGCTTCCGATTGGAGATGACAGAGAGAAAGGGCTTCGTATCCTAAAGCTTATGCATGGTGTAAGGGATAATTGGAGGCCTAGTGTCATTGAGAAGGTCAACAAGCAGTTTCCATCTGATTGGACCATTCCTGAACAAGAAATCAAGGCGCGGTATGACGCTCGGAAGCAAATGGCCTTTACCATTGACCCACCAGAAAGTCAGGACCTTGATGATGCTTTGAGTGTAGAATTGGTAGGAGACAACTACCAAGTTGGAATTCACATCTCAGATGTATCCTACTTCGTCTCTAAAGACACAGCGGTAGATCAAGTGGCCAAGAGCAGGGCAACATCCTTCTACCCCCCTTTAGACAAGCCTGTCAACATGCTACCTGAAAGGATCAGCAATGGGCTGTGCAGTTTACTTCCAGATCAAGATAGACTTGCAATTACCATCTTAGCAATGCTAGATCAGGATGGCTCAGTTGTGGGTGAGGTAAAGCTCATGCGGTCCGTGGTTCGTTCTCGCAGGCGGCTGACGTACAACGATGTCGAGAATATCATCAGCAGCTCCACCAGCAACGAGGTAACGAGCCTTGGCACTGTAGAGGGAAAGATCTACGCTCTTAGTAATTTGGCTAATGCCAGAAGAAAAATTCGGCTGGGAGTTGGTCGGTTTGCTTTCTCGCATGATGCTGAAGAAGATGAGGTGCAACATCCACTGGCGCATTCTTTGGTAGAAGAAATGATGCTCCTTGCCAATCAGGCCGTGGCCATTTATCTTGTGAAGGTATATCCCGACTGCACTCCACTGAGGAAACAGCTTCCTCCAAGTACTGAAAATGTCAACGATTGGTTGGTCAAACACGGCAAAGACGTCACTAACAGTTTGGATCTGCAATCTAAGAATTTACCAGTCGATGGGTTAGACAACAGTCAGGGTCCAAGTGAGATGAGAGTATTAAAGGAAAAGTGGAACCAACTGCGAACGGCTACTGCTAGTGATGGAGCGCACGACCAAATTACAAGGATCACCGACTTGATCACCAGTGACGAAAATCACCCACAACTGGCCGCGGCAAAAACGAATTACTTCCGTATCCAAGAGCGTACTAGCTATATCAGCACTGGAGAACATCCAGACAGATCTAGGAGAGGTCATCACTCGCTGAACATGTCAGCCTACACTCACTTCACCTCACCGATTCGTAGGTACTTTGACCTCGTCGTACATCGCATGCTGATTGCTGCAATAAATGACGAGAAGGCTCGAGGTACTCTTCATCAGTCGGAGAGACCGTACACCGATGTCGAAATTGGGGCAGTAGCTCATCACTGTAACTACCAACACTCCAATTCCCGTGCATTTGAAAGGAAGGCCCTTGCCTTGCAACATGCACTGAGGCTCAGGGAAGGCCCTCGGTCGTTTGCGGCTTTCGTGAGTGAGATTTCTGACTCTAATTTGGATCTGTTGTATCCCTACAAAGGATTCCTTCCGTCAAGGTCCCCACTCAATCTTCTAAAACCGATCAGCAGGCCGGAAATCAGCGAAGACAACATGAGAATGGAGCTGCAGTGGAAGGAACGAGTCTATGAGTTGCACAGTCCGGGTACAATGGCGAGGCAAATTGCTGTTTCATCTCATTCACGGGAAACTGTATGCACACTGTACACTGAGACAGCTGTGGTAAGGGTTTCAACCGAAGATTGGCAGGAAATCCTGAACGGGGTTCAAGCCCAAAACATGTACATGATCAGTAAGGCCGTGAATGATGCTGACAGCATCCAACAACCTACCAGAGAACAAAAGAAACAAGAGAGGAGACGGAGACGAAAACACAACATCATCGAGGAAGTAACCTGCGAAACGTCAGACGCACAGAGGCCCTTACCCTTCGTCAACTTCAAGCGTAACTTTGAACGAGGTGACGTGGTGCAGGTTCAGCTGAATGCTACCATTCAAATGGGAGTTTTGATGCCCAGCCTTCAGCTGTTTTGCCTCACGCCAAATCTGAATCTGTGCACCGAACACCGTGCGAATGCCATAGAATGCTTCTCTCGGGTAGCGACACACCGTCCTCCTGCCAGGATAAAGAGCATTTCTAAATATCAGGCAGTGTGGTTACCAATTCTAAACATGATCTCAGCCTACGATGCTGTTCTTAGTGATGAGGCGAGTGTACTTCATGGCGTAGACATAAAGTGGAAATGCTCCCAGGAACATGACGATCAGCCAGTGAAGTTCAGTGGGACATTCGAACTTATGAAAATGGTCTGTCACCACCGCAATGTAAGACTACGCACCGGGGATTATCTGTGCATCCGCTACAGGGATGTACCCCTGGATCCCAAGACGAAGCACAGCATCCTGGAGCTTGGCAGCACATCTACTTCCAGTTCATCATTCACAGCAGACACAGATAAAACCACCTTCGTTGCCCACGTTGTCATTTCTGAAATTGAGGACATCAAGATCTGGACTGACGACTGGAAGCTGATCGTCCAAGTTTTGATGAATCAACGATCGGCACCATTTCCAGACGTCTTGCTTGGGTCTAAGAAGATCCCCGCAGGCACCATCGAGATAATACCGAAGTCCAGTTCAGATAGGTAAGTGCACGCATTCAAATTCAATTTGAACCCATATGAAAGATTACATTATCATAATTACATGTGTAAGACATCACTGTAAAATGAGTCAAAATGAAGTCAAAGTTAAAACATATTAATATGCTTACAGACGTCTTGAATCTGCAATGAAGAATTTGGATACAGCAGAAAAATTGACCAAGGACATATGTCTTCATAAGACACCGAAGGTTGACGACATAGGTATGTATAATATCACATGTTTGCATTTATCACCTGTGTTTATGTATCACTTAGCACAGATTTGGTACCAACTCATTGAAAACATGTTCTCAAAGGAATACCAAACCAGGAAAACAATACTCATTCCAAAATATTACCATTAGATCAAAGTACAAACTAAATGTATTGACTAATTCTCTTGGGAAAGTATGAGATTTTTTCCTGAAAGTCGTAATTTTCTAATGGCCTCATGAGAGGGTGATCCTTATTCTCCAATTCATTTCATAAATTGTATAGATATCGTGATGAAGAGGCTGTTGGAGCTTGGTGGACAGATCAGGTCGTTTGAAATCCGAGGTTCGCCATTCCCCGTTCCGAATGGACCTCAACAAGCTGCACTGAGACTCGCTCTACAGCAGCAATTCACCATTATCCAAGGCCCACCAGGTATGGAGGATATAGCCCATATCACCCACCATGTTTTAATCGTGCTGAATACAAAAAAGGCACCTCAATCTAGTGGTTGGTTCATCAATCTAGTGGTTGGTAAGTGATCCGACGGGGTATGACAACGAAAGACAGTGATGTGCTTGCTCGGGTTCAGCTTCCCTGATGAAATTGTGTTCCTAACGTTCCTTCGCCATATATTGTGTATAATGTTGATGTCGAGGAAACTTTTGTTTAAATATTGTAATTCAGTTGGACAGTTAACCTTGTCGAGTACGAGGTTTTAATATTATGTGAATGTATTTGTGAGTGCTCAAAAGATGGTTCAAGTAAAAAAATTGCAGGATTTGCTATCACGATTTGCACAGTGATTTTTTTCTGTGCTTTATCCAAGTGCTTTAATGTATCATTTGGGATGGACCAATCTTCCGTTTTTTTATGATCTTAGGGGACATCTGCTATTAAGTCAAGTTATCTTACTTTTAAGTTCGTCCTGTCTTTCTTGAAGCGGTCTTACTCTTTGTTTTTCACCTGTTCTTTTTTGCAGGCACGGGCAAGACAATAACTGGTGCCCATCTGACCTTTTTCTTCACGGAAGTGAACAAGCAGCTACCTAATTCGGGCAGGGGACCACCGCAAGTCCTCTACTGTGGACCATCCAACAAATCCGTCGATGTTGTTGCCCGTAAGTTAATGAAAAATTGAACTGTTCATTTGGGAAACTGTATGCTATCACAAGACGGAACTATCACGTCACTTATATTGCCCTCTTCTGCAATTTTTACACATCTTTCCATAGGTTTTCCTTCTGCAGCTATAAGGTCATGCCACAGTGACGTAGATTTCTTTACCATTTCTATCCTTCGTAATTCAGACTATATCCTAAGACTTGGGATACCGGCCGTCCGAGTGTACAACCACTTGGTGGAACAGCAGGACTTTCCAGTTTCCGGACACACTTACGGATCCAGTAAGATTGGGAATGCTCAAGAAGCCAAGATGGACCCTGATCTGCGGCACATCTCATTGCATCATCTCATCAGGCAGAAATCAAACTCGTACAGCCCAATCATCCGAAACTATGACCGGATATTCCAGACACCGCACTACAAGATCAGTTTCTCTGAACTGCTGCAGTACAGAAGGACAGTTCAAGCGGCCGAGGTTAGATTTGAGCAATGAAAATCACACATTTTTCATTTCACTCTCGTAAACCTCAATTTGTAACAAGCCAGATAAAAGTGCCCATCACTGTTGCTCTCGTGTTCATCAGTTGTACCCAGTGGTGAAATTTGGGGTGATGTATATTTTGCATTGAGATGAGCAGGTTTGGTGTTGTGAGGTTTACTGCGCATAAGGTGTGATATTGGGCAGCTTATAACTCCGTGATGTAAAAAGGTGATGTGGTACGTTGAATTAAGTGCGATAAGGTATTAGCGCCAGTAAAAATGGTTCGGTTGTGTTATTCATAGGAAGAAGAGTTGAAAAACTGCAAAGTGGTTCTTTGCACATGCAACGAGGGTGGCAGCGGACGCATTCAAAAATGTGTGAATGTGATCCAGTGCATAATTGACGAGGCTGGGATGTGCAACGAACCAGAAACCCTGATACCACTGGTGGGTACCGTCAAGAAGGTAGAGCAACCCAGCGCCGTCCTCAAGAAAGTAAGGCATTCCCCACGACAGGTTGTTCTGATTGGGGACCACAAACAACTGAGGTGAGTCATGAGGTGGTGCAACAAACCAAAAAACATCACATTTCCATCTGGATTACAACGACCAGCTCTTCTATTTTATTGGCCTACTAAACGTTGATTACATTTATCCTGTAATCATCAGAGTGGAGATGCAGAATGCAAATTAGTGGTCATGGGAAATAAGTATTAGTCTGGTAGTTTGGTAGAGATTTTCCCTTTTGATTTGCGATCCTGAATCCATCGGTCGAAGCCATTATTAAAAAAAAGTTGCAATAAGTGTCAGGAGGACAGTATGCGTAAGTGACAGTTTTCTAGCCAAAGTGGATCGTGGTTGGAAATGGGAAAACCTTTACAGAAAAAATGGAATTGATAAATATTTTACCACAAAGGCGTAGAGATAATTATTGTATCACGGCTTTGGTTGCAGACCCATCATCCAGGAAAGGACTGCTGTTGAGCTCGGTATGGAGATATCACTGCTAGAGAAATACGAAGAGGAAGCCACTATGCTGACCATTCAGTATCGCATGGTGAGTTCAAATTTGTACAGTGACCCTCACATTTGGACAGAAACATATTTCTCCTTCAAGTCCTAGGTCTTTTAGGTCTACCTACAACTTACAAGGTTTAATTAAAAAGGTATTAAAACTTGCCCCTTCTTACCTTGCTCTTGCATAACACAATATTTTCTCCATAGCACGAGTCCATCTGTGCGTTCCCCTCCGAGACTTTTTACAGTGGTAAGCTGAAAACAGCCGAGACTGTGAAGAAAAGAGAGCCACGTCTTGGGATGATATGGCCGGGTGGCCAGAATCACCCGCTGGTCTTCTGCCATCACGTCGGGGTTGAAGAGGTCCAGAGTGTACGGACTGGGGAAGGCAATGAACAGTCTCGGGCAAATCCCAAGGAGGTCCAGCATGTGGTGAGCTATACCCATGGTTTAACATTTGATGAAATGATTTGCCTTTGACTGCTAAGATAAGCGTTGTGTCTACTGGTCCCAGGGGCAAGCCTGTAGTACTCTTTGTACAAACTACCTGACTTACTGACTTACTGACCGATTGACTGATGACTGACCGATTGTCATTGTGAATTAGACTTGCCTAAATCACTCACTGACTGACTGTCGCTTGTGGGTTAGACTGGTTACCTTTCTCACTCACCGACACTTGTGATTTGAACTTGTTAAGTCCCTCACTGACTAACTGTCACTTTTGAATTTGACTGGTAATCTATCTCTTTATATTTATCTGTAATATGTCTTCATGGATCATAAGCAATTTTCAAAAAACGTGTTTTACAAAAAAAAAATGAATGCAAACGTAGGCGTTTGGGATACTCTAGATTGGTTTCGTACATTCTGTGATTAGCCCAGTTTGGATGTTGTCTTCATTGTATTACGATATTCCTTTATAATGTAGCGTGGTAAGGGAAGTTAGCTTAGCTTATTCTAAGATGAACGTTGGTCATGCACACTGTTGAAACGATGTATCTATCACCTGTTCCGAAAAATGCATTTGAGACCTCAAAGAAATATGCCTATTTGGCATTCAAAACCGTAAAGGTGGTACTATCGATGAAATACTGTTCTTACTGTAGTCTGTACGATATACTTCGTTGATAGATCCGCATAGCGTCAGTAATGGTGAATCGTCTGGGTGTCAAACAAGACAGGCTGGTTGTCTTGACCCAATACCGCCTTCAGAGGGCGCTGATCGAGAAGGAGCTGGCAGACACCGGCCTGGGAAACATTGCAGTCAGCACAGTCATCACAAGTCAAGGTAGGCTAAGATTATAACTAACGAATTGCGAGACAGTTAATATATTAGTAATATAAATATCGGTAGTCCGATTATGGTGAATAGTAACTTTAAGAATCCTGTCGTCCAAGTCTCCATTGCCAAGAATACGACGAGACGAAGGCCATTGCAGTCATGACAGGGAGCTCAAATAGAATTGATGTCAACTTGTGGGGCTTGAGGTAGACGAGAGAAGGTGACCTTTTTACCTCAATGACCTACTGAGCAATCGAGATCTTGCCGGCGTCAACATGAACACCTATTTTTTTATACGAAAAAAAGATCCGTTTTGGCAATGATCTTCTGTTCAATACGTGTACTTGCTCACTTTATCAGGTAGAGAATGGGATTACGTGATCTTGTCCACCGTCAGATCACTGCCGAAGGTGGAGATTGATGAGAAACCATCAGCTTCATGGAAGAAACGCAACCTGGGCTTCATCTGTGACGAGAATCAAACCAATGTCGCCCTCACGCGGTCCCGAATGGGTTTGATTATACTTGGTGAGTGATAAATTCATGTGTGCGTTCATCATTTTCCTAGCAGTCTCGCTCAAAAAATGATGTCGCATATTAACAGGACGGCTGTTTACTGCCACGTCTTTAGACAGTGAGCTATGACATAATTGAAAGGCAATGCACCTTTAAGTTGCGATCCCCGTGCTCATCAACAAATCCGATTTTTTTAAAGAGAGTTTCAATTTGTGCGTTTAATTCTAACCGAAATTCTCATTTTCGCCAGGTTTTTTTTGCACGTTTTTAAAGATTGATGCAAAGTGCCATACTGTGAGATTTCTTTGTTGAAACATTTCGTAACTCGCTCCCCGGTAATACATGTACTACCAAATCATCTATATTCTCATCTCAAACTATTGAACATTGTTTAGAGTAACTTATGGAGACACTTTCAGTATGTCTGACATTAGGGAAACACTGGTCATTAGGGGGACATTTGAATATCTTCTTAATGATTTAACTACCATTTCTAGAGGGAAAATTGTATGGTCGAGAACTTTACGATTCCTTCGTGAATGGTAGAATTGAACAATTTGGGGAGGGGCAAGTTTTTATGAAGGGATTCCGTTGGTTTTTTTGTGCACAAGTCTATGGGAATGCCTCCCTATATAGAAACCATTCTTTATACTTACTCCTCCTATCACAGGGTGTTATTATTTTTTTTTTCAGGAAACGAATTTCTCCTGACCGTTGACAAAACATGGGAGAAGCTGCTGACCCATTACCACCACAAGGAAGCTGTGGTTTATGCCGAGAACTTCCTAAAACATTACTAGTAAAGACTGTGACAGCACTTTCTTGCTAGTTGATCGAGAAGTATAAGATGAATCTAAAAGTGTGGCTAGACGTCAAGTGAATCCATCTTAGTGGGCAAGGTTAGAGCTGAGGTAGCCCATTATTAAATGAACTGAAATATAATCTCAGTTATAGTATTGTGTAAATTGAAATCAATTCAATACAACTCGCTAATTGACGAGTTGTGATTATTCAGTTGTAGTTATTAATGATATCTGTTTTATGCTAATTCCTTAATAATATGCATCAATGCTTTCCATAATTAACAGTCTCTTGTGTTATTAAATAAACATCAAATAAAACAGATGTAATATATTGATCTCAAAAATAGGCCTGCTAAACTAAAGGTCAATCGAATGAAATTGTCATTGTTTCAAGAAAGTGTGAACAAGGCACATTTACTACGTTTTCTATTACAAAGTCGTACAAATATTTGTATTACTATTACATCATGTGTACAAATTAATTAATACTATCAAAATAATATATATATACTTCAGGTGATGGTATTGTATCCATTGTCGGTTTCATTGTTTGTTTCAGTTACAAGATTACACCATCTCTATCCAAGAACAGGGGTGGTATAGGCCTATGCAATTTTGTTAAGGCCGGGACTAAACTTTACTACTCATATCTCCGGACATCGTGATAATCACATTTCAAACAAAAGTTTGTTGGAAAATTAAAATCCTGTTGGAAAATTTGTTGCTGCAGTAAAACCTCAATATATTTTTGCTGAGAATCAAAGAACATTTTTTTGCTTAAATCAAAGAACTATTTGATTTAAAATGATACCATGCATTCCAGATGACAGTTTTGTAACTTTGATGTATATTTTCACGTATTACTCTCACGTATTATTCACGGAAGTATATAACGTATTTAGAAATGAAATACATGTATTACGAATAGTAGAAGGAAAAAAATATAAACCTTATTCTTTAGAGCTTAATATACGAAACTGCTATATCAACCTTGAGTGACAGAATTATCACAGTTAGATTTACTAAAATATTTTATTGCCAAAACAATGAGTTATTTGGAGGAGTTTTTGTGCAGGCACAAATATTAAGAACAATGGAAAAGAACTGCCCTAAAAGATGAATTTTTAATGGTCTGTTCATCTAAAGTTACGACTGTGCTCACATTTCTAAACGTTTGCCATATAAATATGACCCAGAATATACATTGTGAAGAAAAAGGGACTGTGCTTATTAACAGTAAATAAGCTCAGATGCCATAGTAAAGATCCGTCATGCTCGTGCTACACAGAATTATTGTTAATTTGAAGCTACAATTTAGAGCATGAATGTATATCGACCAAACAATATCCGTAATCAGAGCTTTGTTATAAATGCTTTAACTTGAAATAAAAGAAACTTGTTGGCAATCAATGTGTATAGCCTAGGTCGGTAATCAGATGCCGGACTGCCTCCGAATCCTTGGCTCCACTGCCACTTGTAGAAAACCACCCCTGATTTTTTTAACATTGAAATATGGACTGATCTGCAACTAGATTGTTTAGTTTTCAAGCACATACCTCATTACATTGGGACCAAGACAGAGGCAGAGGCAAACAAAGGCAGTCTTGTATGTGCAGTGGCGTACGTAGGGGGGCACCCCCTCCCCTTAGACCCCTCCCCCAGGACGGCGATCCGTATCCACCTAAGTGCCCCCCCCCCCCCATCAAATGCTGGTGCCCCCCTGTGCCCCCCCAGACTGAAAAGTCTGGTGACGCCACTGTGTATGTGCCCCACCCTTTTGATTTATATTGTGACGATCAAGTTCATCCAGACTTTTTCGGCAGAGACATGGCGAGGGGTTTACTTGTCTCCCTTGGAATAAAAAAGGCGGGGGGGGGGGATTAAAAAGAATGAAGTATAAAATGTATCGCAGAAAAGAAGTTAGTTTAAACCGATACTATAAGCGTTATTTTTTTTGTATTTTTGAATAATTGAAACTTCTGGAAAGGGGCCCGCTGCTTTGTACACAACATAATTTACATGAACACATTTTCAAAAGCACCCCAAGCATCAAATGATGCCCGTCTCTTACCCCCACCCCCCCCCCCCCCGGCCACACATACACACACTCACCCATCCTAGGTTTTGTTTTTCTCTTTCGGGCCGGTAAGCGCTTTGCGCCCCCCCCCCCCCGGAAAATATATTGTACCCCTATATCGAAGCTGTAGATTCCAGTTTAATATCACGGGTCGTTCGCTCCATGCATGAGCATGATCAAATCGTTCATAATGATGAGCAAAAGTTGTCCCCTAGTTTGAATATTAAAAGCCCAAGACAGGGCTTCTGGGATAATATGACGACAGGCACAAAGCCCTGGTTTCACAACTTGCACAAAGGCCCATGACCGGACACTCGATCTCAGTTTTTGTTCCGATCGCATGCATTGTGCATTGCTTACGTCACAGATCGGCATATGCTTAGCTGGGGGGGGGGGGGATTTATTTACCCATCCTCTCCCGAGACGTAATACTCCTGAAAATACAAGGGAGCTAGCAGCTAGTTTTCTTGTCGCCTTCAACTCTTGGAACGATAAAGAACTGGTTCTTACATCTGCAAGATCCAACCCACCTTCAATGAAGTACATGAAGGTCGTCACACACTAGTGGCCCAAGAAAATCAGGAAAGCCCACAACTTAAAACTTAAACCAGGCCGGAATATAAAACTTCGCAACAGGAAGGGTTGACGACATACGTCAAAATCAACTTTCGCTCTGGAACTGTCAACCTGGTAGTTGGTGACAAGACTGTCAGCTCTTCAAAGGCATGGGCCCTGAAAGACTAATGGACGGTATTATATATCTAATTATTTGTTTTCTCATTTTTCATCAACACTAGGGTGCCCGTTACTACTCATTCATACAGGTTTATTTTAGACTCATTATGGATTTCTTTCAAAATAAGGATAGACTGCTGTTGTTTTTGTGTTGCTTTACCATTAAAGGGAAGATACAACATTTGCAAACATCAAAAAACGAAAAATCAAAAAACGATCAAATAAAAAAAAATCTAAAAACGATCAAATTATCACGAAATGCCTTACTGAATTGTCAGGGATTGACAGTCTAAAGCATCCTATAAAATCGTGGCTCCTGGTGTGCTGACATTTTCAAGAAAAACTGTATTTTTCCAACGCTGGTCGGCCGACCAGCGTTGGAAAAAAAACTGGCTTTTATTCAAAAGCTGCTCCTATTTTTTCATATAGTTATTCCGCATTTTCTTTGCAATAGATTACACACCTGTGAAGGGGTACTAACCTGCTAGAGTGATTCTTTGACCTTACAATTCCCCAAAGTCTTTACGTTTCTCCGTTTCATCTTAAGTGGGGTCTGGGAACCAGACTATGAAAATGATTGGTTTTCTTCGTTTTTCCAGCATCTTCAAGCCCAAAACGTGAAACCAGTCAGTATAGCAGTATTTGCTATAAAGGGAATGTACAGCAATTGCTTTTGCTGCAATTTTCAGAAATAAATGGATTTGGAGGATTAGTATGTTATAGCAAATATTGTTAAACTGACTCGTTTCACGTTTTGGGCTTGAAGATGCTGGAAAAACCAAGAAAAACATCTTGTTCATGTAGTTTGGTTCCCTGACCCCACTGAAGATGAAACGGTGCAGTTTGTCGACTTTGGAGAATTGTCAGGTCAGAGAATCAGTCCGGCAGGCTTGTACAGGTGTGTATAATCAATTGCAATGAAACTGCGGAAAAACTAATTATGAAAAATTCTGGTTGGCCGACCAGCGTTCATATTTCACTGATCCACGTGTTCTGTGTAATTATTATAAAAACAGTTGACGCTTTCAATAGAACTAGTGTCATAGACCCCACATAATATCCCCGAGTCACTGAAGCCCAGCTGTTGCTGCTTAAAGGGAATGTACAACATTTGCTTTTGCTTCAATTTTCAGAAATAGGTGGATTTGGAGGATTAATATATGTTATAGAAAATATTGGTAAACTGACTTGTCTCACGTTTTGGGCTTGTAGATGCTGGAAAAACCCAGAAAACCTATCATGTTTTGTAGTCTGGTTCCCCGACCCCACTTAAGATGAAACGGAGCAATTAATACACTTTGGGGAATTGTAAGGTCAGAGAATGAATCAGTCTAGCAGGCTTGTACCCCTTCAGAGGTGCGTAATCAATTGCAAAGAAAAGTCGGAGTAACTAAATATGAAAAATTCAGAATTTTTTTTGAAAAAAGCCAGTTTTCTCCAACGCTTGTCGGCTGACCAGCGTTGGAAAAATACAGGTTTTCTGGAAAATGTCAGCACACCAGGAGCCACGATTTTAAAGGATGCTTTAGACTGTCAGTCCCTAACAATTCAGTAAGGTATTTCGTGATAATTTGATCATTTCGTTTTTTGATGTTTGCAAATGTTCTATTTTCCCTTTCACCTTTTCCAGAACTAGACCCACGGTTTTGGTAGAGCGTTTGTCCTAACTAAACAAAATTCACCCGAAGAATCCAATCAAAGAAGAATTTAGTAATCGGCGAACATTAACTGGTCAATGTAAATATATCCTAGAAAATCAAAGGATTATTTTTATGTACACATTATTGTATTCCACTGCGTAATATAATTTTCAAAAATATGAAAACATAAAATACTAATGCAATATGAAAAAAATATGAAAACATGAGCTGTGCGAACAAAAAAGTATTTCATTAAAAAAACTACAAGACGTGAGAACCCCTTTAAACGCACTTCCGCTAAGGCCAGAAATAGTTCGTTAACCTTGTATTACATGCTCGCAAGTATTTTACGAAAAAGTATTGCACCATTACCAAGTACAGTGTTACCAGACACTGCAGTGTTGCACAATAGGGGGCCTGCATGTATGTCTGCATGTGCATGTTTCTTTCTGTCCCAAAACATTGATTCACCATGTTGGCACGTGAGAAACAGTCACCGAAAAGAGTGGTTCACTAAGCAGGATTGCACAACTTTCTGAGCCATTGGGCTCAACCCAAAATATTTACCTTTCCACAAGTGAGGTGCATGTCTGTTGTCGGTAGCGTATCGGCGTATGCAGGTTTTGAGTCTGGGGGAGGGGCCATGAAAATGGGTAGTTTTTCTGGGAAAATGGTAAAACGCGGGGAAAGTATTACTCCGTTTTGAAGCGGTTGCATGTGCTGGCGCTCAGGGGAGACTTGTAGAACCCCCCGGATACGTCACTCTCTGTTGTTTTCCAAGACAGGAAACAACTTGTCGATGTCCACTACGTGAGGAAGAGGAAGAGAAAGAGGGAATTAGGATCAAAATTAATAAATGTGCAAAATGAATTTTTTTTTATGAATTCTGAATTATTATGGATTCCTATGACTCGATCTGCAAAGTGGATGTCAATTTCGGTAAATACAAAAAAATTAGATTAGCCTTGTGAAGCTGGTCCCAGAGCACACACAATTCGAATCAATTGGTTTGGAATGGCTAACAAGTTCGTAAACTTGATGGAAATGAACAGAAAAAAATCAACTTTTGTCATACGCACGGAGACTTTACTGCTGCATTACATGCATGAGTAGGCAAGCCCTCGTAAAGCTTCTTCCAGACAAACGTAAGTCAAGTGACAGTGACATCCAATGAGTGGGTCAGTACGTCAGTCAGTCAGTCAGTCAGGTGCAAAGAGGACCGACAGGCTCCGTAGGACCAGCAGCAGTCACTATATGCCTATACGTAAGCTTGTCTTGTACTGACCAAACACCGACTCGTCTAAATCCTCCAAACTACAAAAAGCATCCAATGGGGGTATCGAACTCGCACCATCGGATTTGTAATCCAATGAAGTATACATGACACTACACCAGTGACTCGATCGATGGGGTAGTTTTAAACATTATACTTTTGCATATATAGTTTTACACGGGCTAAATGCAACAGACAAAGAGGTCAAAATGATGAACTGTTTAAAATTTCCATTTTTTTCGGTTAAAAAAAAGAAAAAAGAGGCGGCCTCCAAAAAGGAAACTGGTGTGGACGCTTAAAGTTTTTATTTGGCCCTTACCAAGTTCGGCTTTAGTCTTGTGAAAACTTTTGAAGAAGCATTTTGTCATTTTCAGTATTAAAGAAATGACCACAAATGACCACAACGTGACTTCCCCCACCTCCCCCCCAAAAGAGAAGTGACTGCCTGTCGATGAAGATCCTGTCCAAATTTGACTGAAATCCGCCAAAGTGTTTGGAAGATGTAGCATTTTAAAGGCCAATTCGGTAGAAAGAAGAGGAAGATACGTGTCAGCAGCGCCAGTATTATCAGCCGGTGCCGTAACACACGTTGTATGGCTGTATTCTCGTAAAATATCGCTTCCACGATCTATTACTAACACCTGATAGGGTTCAAGTACTACGATCGCGCTGTTTCACAATCGTGGTCGTATTTCTCTGAACCTGACCTGCAGACATGTCATGACTTGTCGAACAATGCATATACGCAACATGCAATTTCTCATGCGGGGATTTTTTGGGATGAGAAGAATCCACATTAATAAAAAGATCAGCAGACTGGAGGATATTTGAAAAGCGTTTGCATGCTGCAATGCTTTCATCATCGGGTAATTTTGGTTTACATAGAGTGCGTTCGATTACTTCCGCCGCGTTTACTCCTGCAAGCGCCAGAGCGCTCTCTCACGTGACTTAATTCTCGCTCTTATTCGAGCCTGGCCCAAGTAACCGACTGGCGCCGAGCCGGTTACTTGGGTAAGTATTCCATGATAGGCCATGTAATAAACATGGCTGCCAACGTGACGTCCGGTGAGCGACTAATGGAGATCAATATGGACACCCATTGATCTCCATTATAGATCAATATGGGGCCTCACTCAGGCCGTGTCCAAAACGGGCTTCCAGAGCTACGGCTACATCTAGTGTCAGCGCGTCCCCGCGTATTTTCAATGGGTGCGGACCTAGACCTAGCTCTAGACAGTGTCATGTCCAGTGGCGTAGCCAGGAATTTTTTAGTCGGGGGGGGGGGGCGCTGGGGGGGGGGGGGGGCCTGGAACATTTCATGGGGGGGGGGGGCGTCATGTAGATCAATGATAATTTTTTTAGAAACTCAAAATCTCAGTGAGGGGGGGGGGGGGGCGACTGGGGGGGGGCGACAAGGTTTCATGGCTGTCGCCCCCCCCCCACTCCCCCCTCCCCGTGGCTACGCCACTGGTCATGTCAAAGTTCAACTGTCCAGCTCTTACACGAAACTTTACCCGATCGCGTTTATTTAGCTCCACTGCGCATGTCTGTCATCACGCGAGGAGCCAGGCGCGAGTAAGCTGGGGGAAGTAATCGAACGCACTCATAGAGTTCTCCAAATCTCTACTCTACTGTGCGAATGGAGGAACTTGACATCTTCAGGGCCGATCCGATTGATTTTCGGTGCACTTTTGTTATTAGGTATTGCTTAGATTAGCGCATAATTCGTCTGACTGCCTGCTTGGCGACCCGCTCACCCATGTGATATTACCATCATTAAGTGATTAAGACTGGTAACTATATAACAGTAAATGGGTGCCTTTTTGAAAATTTGTATCAGGTCATAAATCCTTATCCAAAATATTGTTAATCATATACCAATCACATACTTCAACTTGTTTCAGTACATGTCAGCAATCGACATACTCTATTGTTATCGACAGGATATGAACGATAAGCGCAAACACAAAAACACGCGGCTACACGCCCACAATGAACGTGGGTCTGTATTAAGAACTATGCATGTCTATTGTCAAGAGTCAGCTACAAGGCCGTACGTCATCGAACAATGCACACACGCAACATGTAAATATTTCTCATGATGCTGGGAATTTTGGAGGATGAGAAATATCCTACCCTCATAATGGATACATCCTTATTCCAAGGGCCAATTACACATGTAAGCTTATGTTGCAAACTTGCAATGTTTCAGAGAAAAGTAGAGATTTATTGCAAGGTTTCAAGTGTGTTTTTGTTCATGTTTCGAAAATGTCAAAATGTATGACTCTTTCATCTGCACGACAAAGGGCGCATGCGCACCAATTCATTAAATTAGCGCTGCGTCACATGCAAAACAACAAGCATGGGCGAAATTTGTCATGGGGGAAATCCCTTATACGCAATCCAGTTTTATAGCGCTGCAGCACATTCAAAACAACAATCATAGGCGAAATTTGTCATGGGGGAAATCCCTTATAGTTATACGCAATCCAGTTTTATAAAATGCGTAGCGAAATTCTATGCGTTTCAGAGTACAGACCAGTCGTACATGTACATGTATTGGATTGCTTTCTCTGTTGACTCAAGCACAAGGTGCCAAACTGCTTGCAAGTGGCTCCGTAACATTTAAAACCACCTTTGTAGCTGCGTTCAGAAAATGGGTCTGCCCAAGAAAAGCCAATCAAGTAGAGCTAATCTGGCGACCGGTCCGGTTACGAGCTATTTCTTGATTGTTTGAGCCTCTACAAACGGACATTTAGGTAAGCTATTATAACCATGTAATTTGACAACTAGGGGCCTATATCATGACCAGATGTAAAATGTATTTTAAGCTACATTGTACAATGTTATTTTGTAGAAAGCCGTGGCATTTTCGCTTGACTATAAAACTGAGCTTTCCAGGCTGAATACCTATAATATATTGATTAATAGTTAAGTCAGTGAAATGAATGAATAATTACCTCTTTGGCCCTTTTCTTTGATTATAAAGCAATCCAGATTCGCACGCGTTGTATATAATGACCCATCCATTTTCATGTATTTTTAGGCCTTCGAAAGATTAATAATAATAATGGATACTTATTTAGCGCTTTTAACTAAAGATCAAAGCCCTTTAATTATTATTAATACCCCTGATCACTGGGCCAACATCCAAAGACAATCTCAGTCCCAGGCTAGTGGGTATACAGCCTGATGCTGTCATTTCGGCGCAAAGCGGCTGATACAGCTTTTTATTAAAGATGTCGAATGTCAGTAATTTTTAATTCTTACTATTTTATTGCTTTTTTGTCCATTTTTTCCCGTGTGTTTTATTTGTTTGTTTTGAAACTGTTTCAATTTTTAATCTTCAGTGTATATGCATATCCAGCCTTTTATGTTTGTCTTTTGTTTGTCTTTGCTCCTTTGTTTACTTTTTTGTTGGTAGCGTTTTTTTTTTTTTTTTTCTGTGTGCTTGGGTCTGTCCTTTTTGTGCACATGCATGTCCTGCCGTATGTATTTGTGTCCTGTTTGTCTTTGCTGCCATTGTCGGCCTTTTGCTCACTGTTCTCTTTGTGTGTTTATAAAGATCTGTGTGCTTGGATCCGTCAATTTTACCCCCAAATGCATATATTGACTTGTTTGTGTTTTTTCTTACCTTTTTTATTTACAAATAATGAAGTTTGTTTGCTTGTTTGTTATGCTCTGTGTGCTTGTGTGTCTGACTGTTCGTCGTGTTTTTGTTTGTTTTTTTGTTCGTTTGTTTCTGTGTCTTGTGTAAAAATTGTACTGTAGTGGGAAAGCCTCTCGATAAGCTTCTTATGTGCTAAGTTTTTTAGGCAATCCATCAGAGCCCAATTCCTTAGGCTCTTTTAACCACAGAATTCCGCGCTTACGACCACAAATTTTGTGCTAACCGCGCTAGCAGAAAAATTCTGTGCTAACCCGTAAGCACAGAATCCTTAGTTATGGGATATAGCAAAAATTCCTCGCTATGGCGTGGAATACGCTTACCGTAAGCACAGAATTTTCTGCTATAGTAAGCAGGCATTTTTCGGTAACGGTAAGCAGAGCCAAGAAAATGGGCCCAGCAGCAGGCCTACATAATATTGCACAATTTGTTCAGTGTTTTTGATGTTTTTGTTTGGGGGGGTGTATTTTAGTTTCTTGTATCTTAGCTTTTGTAGTTTGTTCTTTTGTTGTGACTTTTATGCAATGAATTTGTAAACTGTCATATATTTTAATTGTCTTATAATTTATTTGCCTGAGAAAAAATGTAATAAATAATAAATACATAAATAAAAAAATCAGTCACAATACCCATCTTTGCCCAAAAGGCACCGATTTGCTCCTAGGTGTGGAGAAGCAATGAGTGACAATGTGTCTTGCCCAATGACACACGTAGGGTTGCAAAGGGGTGGAAAGTTTCCGGGAATTTTCGAAAGTTTCCCGGAAAGTTTCTAGGAATTTTGAAGGGCTCGGGAATTTTTGGAATTTTCAAATATTGGCATTTATTATGTTTAACAATTGGGTGTTTTTTTTATTTATTATATTTAGTCACCCGAAAGCAAATGAAAACAGTCTTTAATTTTTCCCCAATTGTAAGTGATGTTTACAAATAGGTGTTATAAAATTAAAATTAGGGCTTGTTGATATGTTCTTATATAACAGATTTTTGTCAGAAAAGAATGACTAAGATTTAATCATAATGGGGGATGTCCCAAGTCTAGCTCTAGCGCATTTTGGAATTTCCAAGTTCAGCAACTTCATGTTACATATTTTTGGGAATTCCCATAACTGTTTAACAGTGGGGGCGCTGTTCTAATCGGACGCCCATGCACACTATCGGCAATAGTGTGCAAATTCACCCCTTTACCCAACGCTGGCTACGCTTCTGTGTCCGATTATTTTGGACAGGCGGAAATAATAACAACTTTTTTTGCCAGAGCAGGGGGATTTCTACACCCAACCCTCCCCCTCCCCCGCCCCTCGATCCGCGCCTGTCACACTGTCACAATGAATGTCCAGGATGAAATCGGTCGTTTGAGGAATTATGATTGTAACATAAAGTGATTGCTTTTGAAAATCTTTCAACTCAAAACAGGAGAATGGATGACGACCGGGAACAGCGTAGAGAAAGACTTCTTCGAAATTTTAGCCTACTCCGGTAAAGAAAAACAAGCTATTCATTTTGAATTTTGTTCTTGTCGTTTTTAATTTTTAATTTTACCGCTCCGTCTAATATTGCCGGTTGAAGCCACGATGGCCTTGGCGAAAGGCTAATGGAGTCGAGGCTGGGTATATAATTATTATGCGGACCTTTGGTAACAGCCATAATGGAACTTCGAGCGGCCCAAAATTTGCTTTGATATTAATCAAAGAGCTTTCGTCGAAATTTGAGAAATGAAGGCAGTATCCTGAAAGGTAATTCATGCGATAAGTCAGCCTGATACAAATAATATATAATAATAATATTGGATTTTTTTCGGGAGATACAAGGATATATTTGCACTCGCTAAAACAATATTGCACTCGTCTTCGACATGTGCTCGTGCAATATATAATCTTGTATCCCCCTCAAAGCCATCCAATATTACATCAAAATCTCACATGATGCCGAGGATGAACTCCAATGTTGAGACTAGACTATCTCGTGTAAGCGTTAGTCTATAAACGCGCCGAGGTAAAGTTTGGTTGGATCAGGGAATGTTTTTTTTTTCTTTCTATTTTTCTAGCAACAAAAGTGCTATTCAGCTTTGTTTGAGACATTGGACCACAAAAACGGCCACTTTTATTCAAGTATGGAATAATTACCTGACAATTTTGTGTGCAAAAGCAACCTCAAATAAATGCCGATATAGTATTTCAGAGGGTTGCGGATAAAACTACAATTTGCTGAGGAGTGCTGAGCACGGACAATACATCTTTAAAACGGCCACATTCGAATAAATGGTTTTCTGTCTCTTTTTGTTTTTAGTGAAACACCTGAGGAACTACTCCCACCTCTGAGTATTGTGAGTGCCATTTCTAATTTATATCGAAATAGGTGGTACAAAACCCATTAGTTTTGTCAACGAAGCCCCATGATGCTTATTTATTCTTAACGCCTAAAAAATGCAATACAAGATTTTCTTCTTTAATTTCCACGCCAAATTTGACACCATATTTAGGTAAGGATTACACATCACGTAGACGATTTTTAAGTCACTCATCGCAGTCGACTTATAAAAAGGGTTTAGTTTTAATTCGCCACACATGTCGAGCTTAAAAGCTATTGTCCATCGTTTGCAGCTATCCATAAAAGTAACTGACGTAATTATTGTTGAAAAACATACTTGGTTGAAAGATGGTAAGAGGACTAAACTCCCTGTGAAATTATTCTTTCTGGCAAGCTGTCATTTTGAAAAAATCAACGAAAGAAGGCCTTTCCAACGGTGCGTCTTGGTTTAGGTTGATTTAGCTCCATTACTTTACGTTAATTTATTGCGCGTCCACGAGAGACAACACAAATGGCGGAGATGGCGCAGTGAATGGGCGTGTGTGGATGCGCTGCCGATCTAGTGTTTTTATTCTGTGAATTCATCGGATCAGTGCGCGACATCGCGTATCTTCTTCTTATCGAGTCCACTTCACAAAGCTAAATTCGGTTCAGCCAACGCCAAACACGTTTCTCTGCATTTTCATTGTACAGTTGTGCAAGGGTATTGTAGCTGCAATCGGCTCAGTGAGAACGTGTCACAGACGCTGAATGCAGGCCCAAAAACACGATTCAGCAACATTTGATTTGAAATCGAGATCCTAGAATGTTTTTTTTTTGGCGGAATATACAGCTGAAGCTGAGCTGAACCTTCATCGGGTTAGATGTTAAGCACCCTGTTTTTTTAGATTTTGAGCACTTTTGTTGCTTCAAACAAACAAAATGCACAAAGTACACATGATGGACTGTACCTTTAAGTGATCCTCCAGTTGGTGATTGTTTATTTGTTGTCTGATAGGCCCAGTGACAATTTACCCTGTGACAATACATGTTCTGATTTCTTCAATGCACACTCGAAGTATGCAAACTAGACAATATTATTTAAATTGACAACGTACGACAGGATTTTACTATAGTGATGTGCGTCAGCTTTTGGCAGTCTGTCTCTTGGTAAATTTTAACGCCTATCTTTATCTTTTCGAACTTTATAGTTAAAGGAATTCATACGGGGAGTACAGCAAGATGTCAAGGAAGAAGCCAAGGCGCTGATAGCAGAGGAAGACCATGAACAGGCCCTCGAACTTCTCTGTGTTGGAATCGATAATGTTGGCGGGTACCTATTTCATCAAACTTTTGAATAAGTAAAGATAAAACAGAATGCGACACATAGAAGGGAACTTCTCAAAAGGGGACCGCCACTATAAACGGATTTAAAAATCGTAACCTTCCACGACAACTTACTATTTGCTTTTAAGTTCAGCTATTATTCAGTCAAAGACAACGGTGTTGGCGTTCTCTTTCACGTGCGATTTTTTTTTTTTGGGGGGGGGGAATCTCTTTTTTAGCCTACTTTGTTCTTTGAATCTATTTCACACTATTTGTTATGTATTTTTTCCTTGAGAATTCTGTCAAGTAAGGGATATAGCTGTGATACAGCAAACGACGCCAGGCTCCTCATCTTGAGGTCACAATGTGGCAACATGCTGGTAAGATTATTTCATAAGTATTTCAACCATTCATTTGTGTAATAACCAGATGTGTTTTAATAATCCACGTAAACTGCAGCAACAGTAAAAAAAAATACATATTTCAGTTAAAAAGATATACATATTTCAGTTAGAAAGAACAGGGGGGGGGGGGGACATAACATCACGGGGGACGTCCACCCCCAGCGGATGTCCCTGCCTTCCTGGGTGCCCCCTCCCCCTACCACCATTTGAAATCTTGAACTGAACAGACTAAAATTAAACACATTTGCCTTCAGTTCCCCCCTTGAAAAAAAATGGCGCAAAAATTGTGCACCCTCAGGTTCAGATTCCCCATAAAATTTTAACTCTTACACCGCTAAAAAGAAAAAGTTGTTTTTTTATTAGCTAATTGTTTCTTAAGTCCCAACATTTGCGATGTTTCGTGTGTGTGTGTGGGGTACTTTTGAAGCCCAGGACTTGAATGTAGCCACACCCTGCAGCTTCAATACTGATCTCACTTCAGGGAAAGCAAGGGGCAACACTTAGGCTTCATAATTATTGTACAATATTACATCCTCGTGGAGAGTGAAACTAGGACTCGCATGATTTAGATTGATATACCCTGAAGAATGAGTCAATCCAGTCGTAACTCAGTGAAAAGTCGATTGATTCGATTGAATGAATTTCACTTAGGTTGGTAAAGACCTACTTCATACATCCATCAAGGTATTTTTTCTCAAAAAAAAAAAAAGGATTTCGATGCATTTTGACGATATTATTTTACGAACAAATCGACTAGAAAATTGAGTTAAGAATATTTTAAGAATTCGATGTACACCTAATGTTTTCAACAACTTCCATTTTTCACAACGCGAAAAAATCGTCGCCATTGTAAAGCATAGAGCGGGGAACCCAAACACTGTGTGACCTTGTGACCCATACGCCCTCTGATTGGTCGAGCTCGAGTATGGCCTGCTTAATATTAATTTCATTCATTGCACGTTAGCACGTGCTTATCACAATGTTTTCATGCCGACGTTCGTCGGCTTACTTACGTTCGTTCACACGCGTACATGTGATTGCAAATCATGAAATCTCGCAAAAGGCTTAATTTTTCAACCACCGATTTGGACCAAACATTAGAAGTCTCCTGCACGTGTTTCACATGAAAATGAAGCGTATACTTTCATCTATCTATTAAGCCTTGCCGTTTCTTTCGGCCTTTTTTAAGAATTGATTGTACACCTAAAAAACTATCGAACTTCGATTTTGTTGATAAAAAATATGATTTTGTTTGACAGGCCGTAACAACACTTTACATTTGTCAAAAGCAGTCGGTTATTTGTGGTATAAAAAAAAACACGATTGACAACTTTTCACTTATTTAGCCATCTTGGCCAAACGGTGCATCCTGACACTTTTCGTGTTTTTCTTAAATCTCGTAAAATCTCGCGTACGCTTTTGCAAAGGCCTGATGGCGTGGGGTCAGGGGCCCGCTTAAGGGCTCTCGGGAAATTGTTGGATTCTCGATGCTCTGTGGTGCAATCGGAGGCATTTCCTGGTTACTTTCCCCTGACTTTTTGAATGAAATAAGCGCGTGTTTAGGGACATGGGGTGGGTCATCAAAGTTGATATAATAATACATCACAAACATCACATCAAAATTGTAGCTTGCCTCTCTGTCGAGATTTGCCCTCTTTAGCCTGATCCATGATTTTGAGTAGTCACTACAGAATCAGCTCAAGTCGTAACTGCACCGGCGAGCGAGCACGTGTTTGTGTTTTGCAAAGCTGTAGCTGTCAACCGCCGTATATGAAGCGACCTCGCGCTGCAGCTCGTGCCGACATGACAGAATGTACAATCCTTTGCCATGGGTAACAGAACCGAATTTTAGCTTCGCGGGGTTTTGAACAGCGGTGTTTATTTTTTACATTCCCCCTCTTCCCTGTCCCCTTCCTTGTCCATTCTTCATTTTATATTTTGCTGACAGGACCATGATTTTGCCGAAAAAACTGACTAATGGGTTCGGGGGTATGACACCCCCACCCCACCCCCTCTAGCAACGCCCGTGAGGGTACATTAAAGAAGTGTTCAGGCTAGATTTAGGGTACAGGCTGGGCTATACATTCATTTAAGGTTACATTTAGGTCACAGGCTACATTTTGGATCCGCTCAGTCGAAAACACCTTAGAGTTGAGACTTTATTTCACTTCTAACGTTATTTTTTTTTAATTTCAGGGAGCACACCTAGAAGCATATGATGACGCAGAAAAAGGTTTGAAGTTTTTTTTCTCAGATTTTGTTATTTTTATCGTTGCTTAAAATGGATACAATTTCATTTGAACATTAAACTTAAAGGTACGACAATGATGAATGATGGTGACAATTAAAAATAATATAATAAATTGGATTAAGATTAAAAATAAGGTGAACAAAGAAATTAACTGGAGCGGGGTGGTTTGAACCTGACTAGAGCAGCGTCAATTCTTTTGTTCAACTATACAGTTACGCGTTGTCAGTTTCCCTTATTAGAATAAATGGTGCATAATAACAATTGGAACTTAGACCGAAAACAACAACAATTTTAAGTAATACTGTTCAGGTTTTCGTTCAAAGGTTTGTCCGCTGATGGAAATAATCAAATGTTTCCGGTTCGATGTTTTTGTTCAGCTTTGCAGATTGATCCCAATTCTGTCCCTGCGGAAGTTGAGCGTGCGAAAGCCATATTCGCCTCACGCTGTAAACTAGGTCTTGGCCTTCTCGCGAAATTCGCTGATTTCTCATTAGACGAATCGGTAAGATATTCTGCATGTCACGTGTTTTATGATTATGGCTTAGAAAGAAGCTTTCCTTCTTTTAAAACAGAGGGTATCTGCACATGTTTTGCAGTAGGAAAACCTCCACCTTTACCTATAAAATCCTATTGTGCTCTGAATTCAAGTTATATCGCTTTGTATATTGGGTCCGTAAAAGATTGATTGAGGCGGAATTGTCAATTTTTCAAGCGTTCTTTAAAGACCAGCCTTTTCCCAAACGTCTCTTAAACTACCTCCCCCCCTGGATTTTGTATTATTGTTAGTTGCTCTGTTTTCCTTACCCTTCGTGTTCCCTCTTTTTGTTAGGCGCTGTGATCTTGGCATAGCGCGGTATAAATACTCTGTATTATTAGTATTTCTATATAACACAGCTTTATCAGCCAGCGGACCACAGTTTTTCCAAGACTATGCATTAGTCCAAAGAAAAGCAGTTTAGCCACTTTGTCCGGTGTAGGTTTCCATCGCAACTGATGATGCACCAGGAGCTAGATGGTTTGGTTTATGAAGCGACGGGTGATGTTGCATGTTTGGAGGATGACTGTCTGTTGGAGAGGGTGCGGCTATTGGACTGTTTCCTTCAGCATCAGACCATCTGAACCGATGATGACAGGATGTATGGGGGCCTTGACGTGCCCATTCTCAGGTCTTGGTTTGTCTCGTTTCTCGGCAAACTTCCTACTGATGTTGCCGTCTGCAAGAATGCTGACTTCGATGATTTTAGCCTCACGTCGCTGTTTGTCTATGGCGATGATGTCAGGTTTGTTAGCCATGATGGTACGATCTGTTTGTACTAGCTGATCCCACAGCAGCTTCATGACATCATTTTCTGCAACTGGCGGAGGAGTGTGCTCGTACCATCTGCATGCGGCATTGATAACTGTCTGGCGACACAATTATTGCCAGTGGATGATGGACGCCACTTGGTTGTGTTTCTCCATGTAGTGCCTCGGCGCCATCATCTTACATCCGCTGATAACATGGTTGATCGTTTCCTCACTCTCACCACACATTCGGCACGTTCCAGCCGTTTCCAACCAAAGCCAGTGGCCGCCCGATAGTCCGATAGTCCGAATGTCCTTTAGTCCAAAGGTCTGATAGTCCGAATGCACACAGTTTCCATAAGAGGGGGTTCGTTAGTCCGAAAATGATATAAGGTTAGATTATCCGAAAATTTGATGCAATAGTACGAAGGTTCATTAGTCCGAAGGTTCATTTATCCGAAGGGTCGATAGTCCGAAACGAAAATAAGGTTCAACATTCTGAAGGTTCATTATTCCGAATTAACAATAAGGTTCGATAGTCCAAATCGACTATAAGGTCCGATAGTCCGAATCGACAATAAGGTCCGATAGTCCAAATCAACAGTAAGGTCTGATAGTCCGAAGTGTCATACTGACGAACCGTATTGCCCATTCGGACTATCGAACCTTATTGTCAATTCGGACTATCGAACCCTACCGTATATTCGGACTATCGAACCTTATCATCTATTCGGGCTATCGAGCCTTCGGAATTGACCTTATTCTACTTTCGGACTATAATGGGCCTTTCGGACTATCGAACCTTCGGATTATCGAACCTTCAGACTATTGAACCTTCAGACTAACGAACCTTCGGACTAATGACCCTTCGGACTAAAAAACCTCCGGACTATCGAACCTTCGGACTATCCGGCTGTAACCACCAAAGCCATTGATATGATGATTCAGGAGGTACATGAACTTCTACAGCTACTCTGCAGTGTTGCCCATGGAGTGGTTTGGCTTTCACCTATCCTTCATCTCTTCTGTATAGTACTGACGGTACTCGAAATTTGATGAAGGACAGAGGGCGCCAATGTCAGCTTTCTGGCAGATTGCTCTCGCCTGTTTGGTTATGGAGTGGATGGGCCTGCTGTCATGGTGGATTTTTTTTCAGGAAACGGAGAAGCCGACCGATGTAACTTCCCAAGGCTATTACAGCTCAGCTACGCATTCCTCCTAATTGTAGGAATCCCCATCCACCATTCCTACGCGGGAGGTAGAGTCGTTCCACTGCTGCCCTCGGATGGTGCAGTCTAAACTGAGTCAAGAGTTTCCTTGCCACTCTGTCCAAAAGCCGTATCTCATCTATCCGCCATCTTATAACGCCAAAGCTGTATATAGGCAGCACAGGGACAGCAAAGCTGTTGACGGCCTTTGTCTTACTGCTGCTGTTCAACTCTGTCGCCAAAACGAGGCGGACCCGTCGAGCATATTCCCTTCTCAGTCAATCTTTCATGATTTCATCTTCCTGCTTCGCATTCTCCTCCAAACCAAGATAGCGGTATGTTGCACCTGGGTCAAGGTTTCTTATGGCTTCACCATCGGCGATGGCGGTTTTTTTTATTATTGATAGTATTTCACTATATTACAGATCTGTTATTTTCCCCGGGTTTTTTTTTGGTAGAAAATTATTAATATTGTGAGTATAGGGGTTAAAATGTGCACAGTGAACACGAATTAAAGATAAAGCCGCTCATGAACTGAGCTTCTTGCAGTTCGCAATCCTGTTGTATTCATAATTTTTTTTATAAATACAATGAAAAGGGTTTATTTTTACATGGATTGACCGGTCTTGATAATGGCATTGAGGTGCGAAATTGTATCGATAATCGTTTATCTTATTAAACATTTTAATAGGAACAAGAACAACCGGAAGTACCGGGCATAATAGGACTACTTGAAGCGCTTTTCAATCTGACAATGCCCGCTGCAACTACAACCATACAGGAGTCAGATTCAAAGGCTTTCGACACAGATTGGATCCCTTCTCACAATAAAAAAATTGCCAAAAACAGTAAGGTAGGAATTTGTTTTGATTCAAACCGCACAAACATATTTTCATATGCTTAACAATTTGCCTGTGGAGGAATTCCACATGACGTCACAGGTCAATGGTCACCCACACATCCACCATATTTGACGTCTACGGTTGCAGACTAGTATTAACTGCCATAGAACCCAGTGACTACTTTCGAAAATCATAAATAAAACGTACATCTCCCCGAGGTGTTTGAGACACGCATCAAATTAAAGCTTATTTTATCGTCTTTGATTTTTTTGTGCATTTTGTGGGGGGTTAATCAAAGACGTTTTGGAGAAAATTTCATCCCAAGATGATAAATGCAATGCAATCAATCATAACGGAACGTACATTTACTGCACGAGCAATCGATTGAGCGCGGCCAAGCTAGCGGATACAGTCCACGCGATACGGTCATGTAGATGCAAAACCTCAGTAGTCATATTTGTACCAAACTGACTCACCGACTGACTCTCACTTGTGAACTCGACTAGTTTATCTCACTGACTGACTTTCACTTGAGAATTAGACTGGCTACGTATTCCAAACACCACTACAGCTTATTTTATAATAATAATAATAATAATACTGAACATTTATATAGCGCTCTAACTGTCATAGAAAGTACCACAGCGCTTTACACAAAAATGGACCCAAACCCCCCCCCCCAAACCAGAAAACAGAACAAGAAATAAACTACATGCAAATACATGAGTAAGCAATAACATATTAATTAAACAGATCAATTAAACAGATGGGTTTTCAGGGATTTTTTGAATGTTGCTAGTGAGCTAGAGTGGCGGATGATGTAGGGTATATTGTTCCAGAGTTTGGGGGCAGCAGCGTGGAAGCTTTTCTCTCCAGTGGAAGTGCGAGTTTTTGGTACATGGAGTAATCTGGTGTCAGTAGATGATCGGAGGCTTCTGGTCGGCTTGTATATGAACCTTTTAGCCATTCTGAATCAATTGAATAGAATTATGTGTGCGTTCTGGGGCCACTTTTACTAGGCTGCGGCTGGGTACCAAAGCATTTTTACATAGTTCCACATTAAAACCCACTTTACTGGGGTCCCTATGGTACCAATACTACTTACCACTTTGCTTAGATTTTTTTGTAAGTGCACAGATTGAGGACAATCTTAGTGATGAAACTACATGTAACAAAGAAATGTAATATTTTCGATTACCAGATTACCACCTCCAGGCCTAGCGAAAAAAGAAGAAAGATTAAACAGATCTGTGATGGTGCAGAGCCAACATTTGCCAAAACAGGTACAGTGGTTTTGTGGGGAAAGCTTTGTGAAATTTACCTTCATATTGTATGTATGTTTTAAATATTACACAAACTGTAAGGTAATAATAATGCAACAGATCTTGCCTAGTTGCAGGATCACTAATAGTACATGCATCTGAAATCTGATTTGATTACAGTTTTGAGTGGGCGTGTCCCTAGGTCACTGTATGCTGGTGGTAGAATATGAACGTCGTGCATGTTTTCAATTGTGAACTAAGAATTGTACATCACCATGTAAAAGGAAGAGCAGGATTTAACCCCAAAAAAACACGTTCTAGAAGTTCTGTATCTCCTGAGTTGAAGGGAGGTGAGACCAGCAAGTCAAAGTAGTTTCCCGTTTCCAATTCTTTGTTGTTACACGGGTGTGTTGCCTGCACTCCAATCCCATATCCACTAGTTACTCCACCCCATCCACCCAGTCCACTACATAGGTAATCCACCTCGTCCACCTCATCTACAAGGAAATCCACTGTATCCACTTAGTCCATCCAGTCCACTATAGGTATCCCCACAGTCAACCGAATCCAACCAATTCACGAGGTTATCCTCTATTCTCTAAATAAAGTCACTCGCTGTGGCCCACTGTGAAACACATAACATCTGATCGTCAGTAAGTGCTGTGGCCTTCATTCTGACCAGAACCAGAGTAGGGAGGTTGCAATATTTCGGTCTACATTAGATCTTAAAGCGACAGCACTATGCACGTTCAATGACATCTTCAATGTTCCCACAGTATTTAGGCCTACACCATCTTCATCACAACAGTGGGTTAGACAGGGGGCAAGGCCAAAGAAATCAAGCAACAAGGTAGGACGAGTACCTACTTCAAGTGTGGTGCCTGCAAAGTCTTCTAAGAAACAAACTGGCAAGGTCCCCAAACGAAACGAAGTTGAACCTTCAGCAGGTAGTGTCAGGTAAGGAGGTGATTACGAGCAATGGATAATTATTGAAACTGTCTCAATCGCAATTAAAATGTCCATAAGTGGTGGTGATGTTCTGTTTTAAGTCTTCCACCAGTTCCTTACATTGCAAGCTCTTTCCAATGCGGCCACTTGCCTTCATTAAAAATCCATTAGCCTACCTAGGCTGGAGAATGAACTCTTTGTAAGGGATGGACTGGATCGACAATGATCAGCTGTGATGCACAATATTCTGTTATTGCTGCCCTTCAATCATCAAGCAATGAGGATATAAAACAAACGCCCTACAAATCAACATAAAAACATAAGTGGTAATTAAGTACATGCATATTGCACGCCGAGTATATATTGTTTATAACGTCGGTGAAGGGTACAACCTATTGAATGCATATTATTGAATTATTATTAAATCACAACCTCGCAAATCATGTGCCTGCACCGCAGCGAACGCACGAGTAATCCAGCGAGGGCGCGAGTGATCCAGCAAACACGCGAGTAGCCTCGCAATCGTGCAAGGGGTTGCTGCTTTTAAGCCACACTGTACCATGTGTGGAACACCGTTGCAATGATATCCATGTACCAAACACTCTAAAAACCTACTGGACACCAAGTAACTCCTAGTGGACCGGCAGTCTGTAGTCTCAGAACCCGTATTTTCATATGTATTTTGCCGCCCGAATAGTGTGTGAGCTCCGCACAACAGGGCTTCAGCCATGGAAAAGGGTAAGACCTCCGCGGAACCAAATAACACGATAGACTGGTATTGATATCCGTGCGCGGTAAAATATACAAATATTATAAATGACTTGAATCATTATTCAATCAATTTCCAAAAGATTCAAGATAATTCAAAAGGCAATACTAGAAAGTAATTCCCACCTAAATGTATCTGAATCAAATGATCATTGGAAAAGTAGCTAGATCTACTCCCTATACAGTGGCTGGAATACTATAAAGTCAAAAGTAAACGAACTTCTCGTTGCTACGCAAAAAAGTAAAAGTGAAATTAACAGTGCAGTTGAAAGTGTAAGAGAAATGGGGCAGATCCCCATTTTAGTATTAAGTATGCTCATTGACACTGGGACTGTTGGAATGGCGTTGGTACCATTTATAAGAAATATATAAAAATGTTATTTGGTCAAATTTCAGCCACGAAAAGGCCAGAAGTCCCAAGAAGAAAAACGATCAGTGCCCTGCTTCCAAAGCAACATCGGAAAATCTCGCAGCTCTCCCAATATTCCACTGGGACATTAAACACGTGTGTGGGATATGTTACTCACGAGGTCACGGTGAAGTAGTTGAACAACGATTAGGGAGCAAGCCACTAATGTGTGCCGGCTCACCAGGCGCACACGACTGGAAGAGCTGCAGGATGGTGCTTGTATACTCCAGCGAGAAGAAGAAATGGCGTGAGGTCCGACGGAGGCATGAGAACGCACCCCTTATTCCGACACTTTGTACATCTGGTGATGCTTGCAAGCATGGTCGAGACTGTTGGTTCCCACACTTCAAAGAAGAGAAAGACCTGTGGATCTATATGGGTAGACACAAACGTGAGTCTTACAACAGTATTGTGGTAAACTCTAACTATTTCGTTAATGACGAGTGACAATGTTATTTGTAAATTAGCTGCATAGGAACCACATTGCTTGTGAAAACTTCTTTCGAAACACTCCACAATAGAGGGCTTGACATGTGGCAAAAGACCCTTGATAAAGATGGGAGCCTTAATGCCACACCCTCTTATTGGTACGATTTGTATAAGCAGTTTGCAGCGATTCTGTATTTCCTTTGAGAGAATTGTTTGATACCACAGACTAAATAATTCAAGACACTATGCGTTCCGTGAACAAGTATCCCTTCAACGGCCAGAAACTAGTTGTGGGAGACCTAGACTGGTTCCTGGTCCAACCATTGCGTATTTCGAATGATCCAAAGTTATTGGGGGCGGGGATTAGTCTGGGAGACCATCCAAAGATAAATTAGAACGCATTCACGTGCCGATTACGCATGACGCTCAAGCAAAGACGCTGTAGCTAAATAGCTTTGGCACATTCAGGTTGTCGTGTGTACTTCGCGCGCGAACCACTACAGTACAGTACATAGATATAGAATAAAAAGACAGGCACACGCCTGTCTTTTGCCTGTGCAAGTCGGCATCTATTTTTTTGTCAGCTATATCCTTGGGCAAGACAGTTTGTTTGAATTTATTGTCTTTGGAAGAATTACCCTGACGAACACGCGTTATCCAGGGAAAAAAATTCCTGTTTCCCTTTTGCAAAAGTAACTTCACTGTTGCTAGTCATGGATGGTGTTGTCTTCTTTGTAAATATTGCTTTATTTGTTTTTTTCCAGTCACAAATTTAACTGACGTAGTGTTCGCCGGACGTGCATCCCCGGACGTTACGTCAAAAACACTCCCTTCCAAGTCGCAGCGTGACAAGCAACCCCCTCAGTCTCAGCATTGCTGCACTTACTGCAATACATCTTACCTGGAACAGTGGCAGCTTCAACAGCACATCCAAAGCAAGGATCACTGGTCAAAGGTCAACTCAGACGAAGACAAGAAAGACCAGTGGAAGCATCGCAGCCCGCCTTGGAATGTCGTCAACGGACAGTACCAAGAATGTTCAGAGTTAGTCACCAGTTTGACGTTTTGGAACTTATAGTAAAAATTAATACAGTCTTTTTAAATATCGGGACAATTATTGGAGGAGTCGTCGCTGGGCGCTTGCCAAAGATTAAGTAAATCGTAACTTGATTTTAAAATCGTCTTGATAAGTGAAAATAGTTATGTAGTATAGCATTACATTTTTATTGACTATCTTGGTCCTCTAGGAATAATAATGGTAGATGCGTGTTCACCGACTGCACCAAAGCACACGGTGCCGAAGAGTTGGAGGAATGGAAGGAAAGACATCGGTATCGAATGATGAAAGTGAAGAAAGCCAAGGAGTGCAAGTTGTACGCATTCATGGACGAAGTTCTCGTTAAGTTCAACTTTTCTGCCTCACAAGGGAAGGACGTGGTAGGACATTAACTCATTCTACAGGCAAATTCCACCTTATATACATCGAATGTATGGAAACAAAGATACGTCCATGGAAGCGAAAATAGGCTGTTACCCAGTCCATTATCATAGATGAAACTTTTCAGATTTTAATCTGAAATCAGATTTTTAAAAACTTTTCCAAAGAAGTTTCAGATTTTTTAACGATCGCACAAAAATGATTATTTAACCATTTTTCCACAAAATGTTTTTTTTAATTATAATTTCCAAGAAAAGTCGATTAAAATGGCATGTCAAAAACGTGCACAAGTGTAAAACACCTAGACCAACGCTGATCAGATCCCTTTCCGCCTGGAGAAGAGATTACAATTGTACCGCCCCATGACATTGATGCGCTTTGCTGCGCTGCACCGCGCGACGCTGTGGCAGCTTGGACCCTGTGGCAGCTCGGACCCAAGGTCCAATTTCAGATTATTTTTTGCTAAGGCCAGTTTTATCTTTGCATTATATTTTGGACACTGAAAGAGGGGACAATAAATATAGGCCAGCGAGCACACTTTTTACGTCCGTGAATAATGGAATCTAATTATGAGACTCCCAAAAATGTGCATAAATTTGTTCTGTTTTCACAAATGTGTAGTAGCCACTGAGCTACAACTTCCACATGTTAGTTGTAGTGCACCCTTCATAACATTTTGAGCAACGAAAAAGGCACAAGAAGCAAACGAAAATACGTAGATTTAAAAGGGAACTTATGCAAGGTACCTACAACAGCTTATAGACGAATCCGGACACGTGATCACTGCACATACACGAGGCTGTACACCCACACACCCCCCATACACACACGCTTACATATGCATAGAAGTGGGGTACTTCCTTTGTTCTCGTGTACTAAAATTTTGCAACGTCGCACACTTATGTCAAAATGCTCTTATTTTAACCATAGTTAATTTCCTGGGCTGAAATTCGGACTTAATATCCCTTTTCTAAAACTCTTCCATTTGCGACGGATCAACCCACCTTGGAAATTCCTAGTTTTTGAGTAAAATCCGTATATCTATTCCGTGAAAAACTTGTGGGGTACCAAAACGGTACCCCGCAAGTCGGTGGGCATTCTTTGTGGGGTACCTCCCATTGTTCCGGTGTAGCATGAATTTAGGTTTTATGAAATACGGACTCGTCGGTGGTATTGCGCATGCTCATGCATAGATAATTAGGAGAGGGACCGGTCATGTGAGAGGGTTTAGCCAATAAAAGGGAAAAAGAGTCCGATTTTCATACGAGTCCGATTTTCATGTGACACCGGTACCCCACAAGGCAGTGTTTGTACACGCACCCACACACACCCTTCAATGGTGAAAGCATTGTGCAAGATATTGTGCTAAATAGCTACTACCTATGACGGATTAAGTTAACATAGCTAGCACAATGCTTTCGCCATTGAAGGGGGCCTTTACGATAGAATTGACAGCGTGTCTGGATTGGTCTATGCCGGTTTATTATGGTAACTTTTTGGAAATTCGTAGCCATGATTTTATGATTCTTCGTAGATTGCAGAGCGCTTACCTGGAGTCCGCATCGACTGCTCTGAGGATCTCGTCCAGTTTCTAGATGCAGAGAGGAAGGACAGGGACTCGGCATACACGTGTGCCTGGTCATTTACCCTTGACCTCAAGGCCTCAGAAAATGTAATTGGAGAAAAAATAACAGTTAAATGCATTCACCCTCGTTGATGACGTTGTGAATAAATTGCTCCAGTGAATTTATGTCTGAGTAAGGGTAGACGAAGAAGAACGACGGGACATTTAAAGCTATAGTCCATCATTTGCAGCCATCCGAAAAGTAACTGGCGTAATTATTGTTGGAAAACAAACTTGGTTGAAAGATAGTAAGGGAACTAAACTCCCTGTGAAATTATTTTTTCTGGGAAGCTGTCATTTTGAAGTAATTAACGAAAGAAGGCATTTCCAACGGTGATTCTTAAGAAACACCGTAGGAAAATTTAAATTAGTAGTTCGTTTTGTTATTCAGCGCAGCGCGCACAAGTATTGGAACGATGCACACGCGCGCGCGGTTGTTATAATTTGTCGGATCAGTGCGCTACGTCGCGTATAGCTGCAATTCAAAACAATTCAAAACATGATTCAGTAACTTTTGATTTGAAATTGAGATCTTAGCTGAAACTTCATCAGGTTAGTTGCTCACTATCCTTCATTAGATTTTGAACTCTTTTGTTGCTTCAAACGAACAAAATGCACAAATTACAAATGATGGACTGTAGCTTTAACGCTAATTTAATTAGAGTGATATGATTTTGTTCATGAACTTCACAGTACAAATCGACTGAGTAAGTCTGTAATTTTTTAAATGAATGACTAGGCATCAGCAAGCTTAACTTTGAATTTTTGTTTTATGAAATAGAAATTCCTGAAGCGTGTGTGCTTGTTCTACGACGACAACAGACTCTACTTCAGGTTGTCCCAGCCTGCTAATGAAAGCGAGGCTCAGGTGTGTCCTGGCAACCTGATTGTAGAGGAGGACAGGAGGACATATCGGATTGACGTCATCTTTCGCTCTCAGGTCCTCGGTCGCTTCTCCCAGTGGGTCCTCTTCGACCTGGGTTCTGAACCGTATCTTGTCCAGAAACTTCAGGCATGTTGTGCTGTTTGTTTTTCAAATGTACACCGTTATAAGTCCCGGGTCAGATTTGACCCGGAATGTGGGTCAGATTTGACCTGACCCTCTTCTGGGTCAAATGACAGTTTGTCGTGTAAAAAATGTAACTTTTGGTGGTCACATAATCAATTTCTTTTGTGTCAACATCACACTTTTCCGGGTTGTAAACGATAAAAAGAAGTTACTCAGAGAAGTGTCATTTTGACAATGAAAAGTGTCAGCTCAAATCTGACCCGGGACTTGTTAGAGTGTAAAATGTTTGATCTGTCCCGTGTTGATTTGTAATTCATATTTGTAACAAATACTTCGTATTGTTTCAGTGTTCCCTTTTTTCCTTACCACAACAAAAATATTTTGAAAGTGACGTTAACGAACAATGTAATTGTTAAGTTAAAAAGTTGAAATTGAGTCGTCTGATTTAAGGTTCTACTGTCAAAATACTGTGTTGATCGGCGATTAACTTAAGCCGTATATGCAACTAAATACTTAATGTTTTGTAGCTTTTTATAAATAAACATATTATCTACCAAAAACGATGAGACTTTTACGAAGTGTCCGGATAAATATCCAGATTGAGGCCATCTTCTCAAATCATTTTCTTCAGGTCCTGGTTGGATCGCACACACCGCACGACAATTCCGATGAGATAAGCGGGGAAAAGAAGACATTTGAGCCGTGGACTGACAGGAACTCGGATATTGTCAGATTCTCCAAAGGCGACCGACAACCTTCAACTAGTAAAGAGCAGCTGCTCAACGACTATGAAGTACCAACGCCACTCGGTATTGAAGATCTAGGGGAGTTGAGCCGGGACAACTACAGAGAGTACATGCACACAATGCTGTACTTGGAGGAACAGGAGTATAATATCAAGATATCAAAGTGAGTGAATGAGATGGGCATTCGTCTTATTTAGAAGTGTTAAGAAGCCAGGGCATTTAGTGGTACTCATTGAGCCACAGATGAGTAACAGAAAGAGAGAGAAAATAGTAAACCTTAAAACGGTAATACAAAAAGGAGTAGAGACTTACGAGATGAGTCAACGAAGAAAAATGAACATTTTGTTAAGAATGCAAAATATTTTGTATATAAGTCGCTAATAATTATCTGCACTGTTTCTCTATCTGGATAAAAAAGGTTTGCATCGGAGGGCAGATTAGAATGTTTCGAACAAAGCCTGTTTGGCAAGGTTGATTTGAAGAGTGCACTGATGGACGACTCGGAGATCGCTCAAATCATGGAGATAAACTTGCGCAAGATAATGATGCTGAAATTCCCAAACTCGGAGAAGGTAGGAGAAAATACATTTGTTTCTTAAGTTTCTGTTGTATACTGAAACGATTACGAAATGATTTTTAAGCTGGCCCACTTTTTAAAACGGTTTTACCAAGTCTCTTTTTTGGCGAAATAAACGTTCGGCAAAGTGTACCTCTCCTTTCGCGTCAATGACACTGGTCACTGATCGCGAACTGCGTCTGTATCTGACGATACCCTCATAAAAAGTCACAGTTACACTCATACAACAGGCTTGTAGCCACAATGATTAACACTGATATCCCGAGAACACAGTATAAACATTCATTCATAAATACCTAAGACAGTTTACCTATTCCTATTGGTCGAGAGCCCGTCACGTGGCCAGTCTTAAACGGATGATAAAGACATGGCTAGCTGGTCTTAAACACTTTTCTAGTTTCACATGAAATTTGGACTCCTAAAAATCCAGTGCCTCTTACCGTTTCATTGGTTGAACGTTCACAATCCCCACGTAGGCATGCGCAATTGACCTATCGCTGTTTGCGAGTTAGCCACGCCCCGTAGACAACAAGCCTATGTAATTCGTGTACGCTAAGTTGTGTTTGTCTCATATATTGCGCGTTCTGCGTCCAATTGTATAGTATGTAATTATACCAATATTGAGTGGCTCAGAGTGATATGGGAGAAATATTATCGCTCGGTAAAATCTGGACTTTTCTGGACTGGACAACTCCAGATTTTACCGAGCGATAATATTCCTCCCATTTCACAGTTTAAAGCCACTCAAAATTTGTTTTATATAACTGACATAATTATAAATCCTTGTCATTTGATATGCTTCATCTTTTATTTCAATACAAGATTGGTGGAAAATGTTGTTCTCTCTTCCAAACCACCCCTTCGCGAAAATGTTTGAACCCAACTCCGTAGCCTGACCACTGATCTCTATATAAAGACTGGCTAGCGGATATCTATACATCAGTCACACATTAGCCTTTGCATATTGACCTTTTCACTCCCGGTCTCACGAAGATGGCCCCGGTCTCACTGACCTTGGTCAGTGGTGGTGGTCAAAATTTAAGTCAAGTGAATCGCGATGGTACAAAAGAAATCATGCTGTCTATAAAGACGGCAACTTGTCCTCTGTAGATCACCAGCATGTCTCACTGGTCTCACCAATATGGCGTCAAATTCATTCATTGTGTGGGTTTTTATCACTGATCTCTATATAAAGACTGGATAGCTAATATAGAGCCGCACAATGTACGAATTTGACGCCATATTGGTGAGACCGGCTGGTGATCTACAAAGGACAAGTTGTCGTTTTTATAGACAGCATGATTTCTTTTATATAACGTCGCGGTTCACTTGACTTATATTTTGACCACCATCACTGACCAAGGTTAACTACAATTTTTCTAACATCGTGGTGACGTGGTTACTAAAATGCCGCAAATATAACTTTTTCGGCGTTTTGAAATAATAATCACTACGGAAATGTGTCCCTTTTAGAACATCATAATATGTGTACGTGACCAAAATGCGCGTCAACTGTTGATACAACGCGCGCGTATTTACGAGTAGAACGTTTGTATATACGCGGCCATCTTCGTGAGACCGGGGGCGAATTGGTCAATATGCAAAGTCTACTGTGTGAATGTTATATGCATATCCGCTATCCAGTCTTTATATAGAGATCAGTGGTTTTTATCCGCTATCCAGTCTTTATATAGAGATCAGTGAGCCTTATTGACTCTTACAATACGCACTATACGCACAACGCTGGACGCGCACACCAGCATACTTTTGCACACAAATACCGCGTCATGGAACAAGCATCGATCCTATGTAACTGTTCAATAGTATACAAATATTGAGTGGCTCAGCGTGGAATGGGAGGAATATTATCGCAAGGTAAAATCTGGACTTTTCCATTTCACGAGGCGAAGCCGAGTGAAATGGAAAAGTCCAGATATTACCGAGCGATAATATTCCTCCCATTTCACAATTTAAAGCCACTCAATATTTGTTTTATATAACTGACATATAGATCCTTGTCATTTGATATATTTGAACTTTTATTTCAATACAAACCTGGAGGAAAATGTATTTGCCTCTTCCAAACCATCCCTTCACGAAAATGTTTGAACCCAACGCTGTAGCGCTGGCTGTTTGGAACAATACGCGCTACGCGCAACGCTGAACGCGCACACCAGCATGCATTTGCACACAAATACCGCGTCATGATCCTAACTGTTGAATAGTATTTCCCATTCCCCATGGGCGGATAGTACTTTTTGAGCCGTGGCATGAATGGGAGCAATAACGAATGCCACGTGATGTGAGTTCCACCAATCAAATGACTAGGATATGTATGTCAGTTATATAATAATAGATATGTGCTTGGTCGGTTTTAACCACTTTGTTTAAGACCTCTTGGAGTCTGGGTGCTGATAATTACCCTCGCCTTTGGCAATATAGTGAAAAAAATAATCGAAATCGAAACAATTGTCGTTTTTGACATGCGGCTGTCTCTTCATGAAACCGGTGACGAGTGGTGTGATCACAATCATGGTGGAAATCAGTGTGACCTAAAGTGGGAGCTATATGATTGAACTATATATGCTAACACTGTGAAATCTTTTTTTCTTTCTTTAAGGTGTATGAAGCCATCATATTGGACGCACAAAATGACTTTGGGAAGCAAACCCAAGACAAGCTGTATATCAAGCTCAGTTCAACATGCGTAAAGGAGATGGACCTCAGATGTCAAACTGAATACCGGGTTGAGATTCAACTTCAGTTGGATCGGTCCCTTCTCTGCTACATGCATTCGGCAGTTGATCACCTACAGAACATGAATATGGTGTTCCCGCCTGTAGCAAACCCAGACAGGTGAGTTGGTCATCAATAGAACCAAATCTTACGCAGACAACCACAAATGGATTTAGAGGAAGCTTGTGAAAAAAAACACTTTAATACTTTTTGTCTTTCTTGGGAGCAGGGAATGGCACATTCTGTGTCCCGTAACTGTTTGGTTCAATTAACACTGAGACCATAAGTTCATGTCGTTGAACCTTGACCAAAACAGGAGAGGGTTATAACTCTGCTTTGGAAATCAACATTAGCATGTGAAATAGGCATAAGAAGACATCTTAAGCGAATAGGACTCCATCTTTTGATATTAAAAAGGTCAGAAAGACATGACGCATAAAACATATTACGTTTAAAGCACAAAATGTCCTTAGCGAATCTGCTTTTTTTCATTGAAAATTTCTTCACCTTGTATTTCCCTTTTTGGTTTAAGTGGTACACGTTTCCAGTTCAAGTGACAATATTGCAATACTCTACCTTGTATCAAAACATGGTGCCATTGGAATCCACGGTTCACCGTGCGGAGTTTTGTTCAACCTTTTTATAAAAATAGCATTTCTTGTTATAGGCTTCCACTCGTTGACAAAGTAGAACAACCAGGCACGGATTGTCACCAGGAAAGAGCTATTAGATTCATTTGTCAGTACAAAGGTGAGAAAGCAGATCCATCGTATGGAGCTGGACCCTTGCTTCTTTGTGGACCGTTTGGAACAGGAAAGACTCGTACTATGACGACGGCAGTAAGGCGTACCCTAAAGGAACGTCCGGACAGTAAGATTCTCATCTGCACGCACTCCAACAGGTGATTTTGTCTTCTTGGGCAAATGTGCTGCTTAGGCCTATAGTCGAGCAGCATAGCCCAATATTTTCAAAAATGTCCACTTTGTGATAAAAGCATGAAACTTCACATGTTGGTTCTTCATGGCATGAAGAAAATAAAATTTTCACATGCACATGTGGAGACATTTCGTATTTGACCTCTGGTCAAACTTTGAGAGGTCGGTGACCTTTACATACTAAGGTGACCTTTAAGGGGTCATGACGATTGTAAACCCTATCTGCAGATATTTCTGTAGGCATCTTTCAGCTGGGTGACAACCTTAGCGTTAAACTTGTATTGATCTTCGCAGCTTTTGCGATTAAATCTGTAACTATCATTACTTAGAATGTTGTGTTCGATGTTGACAACTGAGTGCCCGAGATCTGTCTCTGCGTGTCGTTTACTGTGCTGTCACAGCTTGCAAATTTGGTAGATCAAGCCATCCATCTTGTCTAATATGGCTGCCTGCCATCCTGCAACTGCGTGTTTAACACGGTCATCGATAAAGGCTGCTTGCACTTGTGCATCCATGGTAGAATAGAAACTAAGGAGGTGGATCTTGTGAAGTGCTTTGCTAGACATGGCTTTCTTTTATACTTCCTCCCTATTTATACTACTCACTGACCTCATCACGTAACACCTTTTCTACTAATCACCTAGCACGAATTACATGCGTTGCCCGAATTCCAATTATTATTTCCCGCTATTCTCCGAATCGCGGAAAATGGATAATGTGAAAGTGAATTTTGAAGAACAATGGTTAATATGGTATGTAAAGGTCATTGAATGCCCAAAGGTCACCAGAGAACAAATATGAAATGTCCCCACATTTGCAGATTGATGTGTAAGCCTGATGTGCTGACTGATAATGCGGTTATATTGAAGGACAGGCGCTCTGCTAGCAGAAAATTGTGTGCTTACTGACGCATGAAATTGGGCAGCGGTTGTTTCCTAATATTATTCTTACATTTTGACTTTAAAAAGCGAGTTTTTATCAAATTCTTTTAGCAGAAAAATATTTGTGATGTTTAACCTGAAATACTAATTTCACCAAATACTGCACAAAAGACAACTGAGAGAAATTTGATAGAAAAAACCGTTGAGTATTTGTTGTTCTGTTAGTGCTGCAGATTTATACATCACCGAACATCTGCACAAGCTGGTGGAAGCTAAAGAAATCAAGCAGATGACTCGTGTCTACGCAAGGAATCGAGACATCAAAACCATTGGTGACATCGCCCTGAAATACACCAAAGTTGCAAACTGTAAGGTTCAGACACCAACCGTGAAGGAAATCAAAGCAAGTAGTGTTGTGATTACGACTCTCACTACGTCTTACAGCCTTCAATCGTCGGAGCTATATGGTCACTTCACCCATATCTTGATAGACGAAGCGGGACAGGCTTTGGAGACGGAGGTACTGCAACCTTTGACCTTTGCTACAGGAAGTACCTGCGTAGTTCTGGCAGGAGATCATCTACAGATGAGCCCTAAGGTAACCACACAATTCAGGCTTCACGACTCACTTATCCTTTAATTTCTGTAAGATTTTTGTTTAAATTACAATTTAAGCAGCTTAGCTGTACTTGACGGGACCAGCAGTCTAGCGATTTCCAATTGAGCTCTCACTTATAAGGTTGTGTGACAAGAAGGATTTAAAAGCAGGATCACGGATTTGTACCAAGTTAGTTTCGAACTCAAGTTTCACATGGTATGATTACGTTTCGTTACCCTTTATGTGAGTTCAATACCCCACTTTAAAATATACCCGATTTTTAAATTACAAGGTAAAGATGACTTGTTTAATGTTTTCCAAGGTATTTTCTCGCACTGCTCGCCATGCTAAGTTCCACATTTCTCTCCTGGAGCGTCTATTCTACCTGAAGGCGGCCAGAGTTTTGCTGTCTTCAAACTATCGGACCTGTCAGAAGATGCTAGACTTCATCTGCGGGTCATTTTACTATGGAAACCGCACAAGCCGCAACTTGAAAGCAGTCGGTGAACATGAGCCGCATCCGAGATTCAATCATCCTATGATGTTCTTCACGGTAAAAGGAGAGGATGAGAGGATGGGCATGTCGTACGTCAACCACTACGAGGTGAAAACACTGTAAAAACACCTAGTTAGATTTGACAAGAAAACAGTCAAACTTGCACGATGGGTTTTCTTTCACTTGAACGTAATCAGCAGGTCATGTTTTTTGGCTACCACCTAACAACGGCCCTATCTAAATATAGTTGGTGTTTTTATTTTTGAATTTCGATACTAACAGGTAGCTAAGATAGTGTCAACTGTGCGAGACTTGCTTCACGACTGGCCCGAGGATAAGTGGGGGAAACCAGGAGCTAACTGCATCTGTGTGGTGGCATCATATAAAATGCAGGTATATTAAACTTTCTTAACGGTATGTTGACGTTTTAGCTCAGCGCATGCTATACATTTTAAGAAAACAGAGTAGTAGGTGTGGGGCAAATCAGTCCTTGTTTTAGGATTTTGTGTCGAGGATTGAGGATTAAGTTGAGGATCAAGTTCTATTTATAGATAGAATAAATGCTTAAAAGATGGAATAAAGGTGGCGGCGCTGACGTCATTTATCCTATAAGACGTCATAGACAATAAATGTGAACATGACAACGATTTATGTTTTTGTTACCACAATGGATAGCACCACGCTAGGAAATATATCTGTTTTATTACAAATGGTGCCATTGTTGGGCTTTTTTTATATGGATTGTCTCTACTTATGAGCCCTGGGATAAGGTCATTTATTCGCAAAATGTTACGATTAATCTTTATATTATTTTTGTTTTAGTTTACCTCCGTAAATGGTGCTCTTAAATGGCAAAGCCGGTACTTTTGCCTTTCAGCCCCCCAAAAAACTGTAATTTTTTAAAGCTTATTTTGGGGAAAAAAGATGAAATCATATTTTGGGCCAGTGTTGTCAAAAAACTGGCTCAGCCGTGACCTATTGTCACTTTTAACAATCTTGAGAGGATGGATAAACAAGGAAAAACATGGTTGGTCCAAGTTTAATTTGCATTTGTACTATCCGAGGGCATATTGATTTGAGGATACTCCCAAAATTATGTGACTTTACCCTATTTGGGGACACAAAATAATGAGTTCAAAGCTCATGTGTTTTCTTAAAATAGCGACTTTAATTGAATATTGTATAAAACATGTTTACCCTCATTGCTCCGTTATTTTTAAAATACCATGAATTTATTTTGTCATCATTGAAGATACGGCAAATTCGTACTCAACTTCGAAAAGGAGGGATGGGAAGCATAGATGTATTACCTGTGCAGAGTGCCCAGGGTAAGTCATTGAAGTTTAAGCAAACTTAATTTGGATGGTACCCTTATTGTAACGAACGGCATAGTTGATTTTATAGTGCGTTATCCTTGTTCTTTATACCAAACAGGGAAACAGTATCGGGTGATGATCATTAGCACGGTAAGAACACGAAGCACCCTGAACAAAGCCTACACAACGGCATTTGTTTCAAAGATAAGCCCGGCCAATCACCCAGACGACACATTCGACTACGGCTTTCTGTCTGACCCCCGACTCCTCAACACAGCGTGTACTCGAGCACAATCTCTTCTGATAGTTGTAGGTGATCCTTCGACCTTGTGCTCTGTAGGTGATTGCTCCAAGATATGGCGAAGGTACTTGAAAGATTGCGAGGACAACAAAACACTGCTTCCACTGGTACGCACTTTTGATGTTGTTTTCTTTCACTGACCACGTCAACACATGTATTGGTCTGTAACATAACAATAAATATTCCAAAAATTTACCTTAATTCAGCACCATAAGTGTTTCCATGTGCCATGTTGACAAACCTTGAGTATCACAAACAATTCATTTGTTTACAGGGGACTACAATCGCAGGAATCCAACAAGAGATGGAAGCAGCTAAACAGCGTTTGAACCCTTCGGCCCCGGTCTTCCAGCCTGCTTCTGAATCAACCGGCAAGCTTCTTCCAAGGGTTCATTCTCCAGAAGCCAACAAACCGACCTACTCACCAGAGGCCACAGCATCGAAGCCAGTTAATGATCCATGGTTGCCCGACGATGATACAATCCTCTCCGATGGCATCATGCGAGAACTGTACAGGCAGATAAGCCACGATGAGCGTAGACGAAACAAGTCAGAGGAGGATCCTGGTGTCGAGCTAGGCGAACCCGATGATGCCGAAGTCGAAAGGGAAGTGTCTCTTAAATGGAAAAGGAAGCCTCCTAAGTTTCGGATGATACGGGAAAGCGATCGCATAGTTCTAGATATCAAGTTTGCCGATGGAGACAAGAGGGGGGCTGATGAATCCGAGGAGTCAGATTCTGGCGAAGGTTTGAGAAATGACAAGCACGACGAAAGAAAACGCCAAAACGCTTACAAGCAAGTTGAACAACGTCCAGACAAATTCAAAATCTGTTCTTTCCATTGTGACAAGTCCGGGCACACATACGCCATCCCGCGTGATGAGGGAATGTGTGGGAAGATTTCCATCACCGGCAAAAGACGACGGGGAAGAGCCTTGAATTTAGATGAGGTTATCGTGGAAATAGTCAACGCGGACGAATCTGTGGTCTCAGAAAGCAAGAACAAATACGGGAAGGTCATATGCGTGTGCAAGAGGGCAGCTGGATCCGCTCTCACATCGAAAGTAGTTTGTAGGCTTGACGAGCATATAGACAGGCAAATGGTTCCGCTTGACCGCACTCTCCCCAAGTTCTTTGTCTTAAGTCGAGATGAAAAGAAAAGAGGGAGCACAAGTACTAGTCGTGCATCGCCGGACCTTCGTACCGTGTCTATCTACCGTTACAGTAGAGAACTTCAGGAAGACTCGCCCTTTGTGAGGAATGTGAAGGTGTCCAGGAGAGATCGAGCTCACAAGCTCTTCGTCGTTGAATATCTGAAATGGTTTGCCAAAGATCCTTACCCAATGGGTGTGGTTACGGAAGAGCTCCCGCAAGCAGATTGCAAAGAAACGGGCCTTCGCATTCTGAAGCTCATTCATGGAGTAAAGGATGACTGGAAATCTGACTTAATTGAGGAGGTGGAGAACAAGTTTCCAGATGATTGGGAGATTCCTGAAGCTGAAATTCAGTCAAGATGTGACGCCCGAAATCGATTCGCCTTTACAATTGATCCCCAAGAAAGCCAAGACCTCGATGACGCTCTGAGTGTAGATTATGTGGGAGGAAACTACAGAGTCGGCATTCATATTGCCGATGTGTCTTACTTCGTGCCTCATGGTAGCAAGCTGGATAAAGACGCAAGAGCGAGGGCTACCTCGTTCTATCCACATCGTGCTCTCGCCAAACCAATCAATATGCTCCCTCCACAGCTTAGCAACAAGTTATGTAGTCTGCTGCCACAAAAAGATAGACTTACCATTTCAGTCTATGCCACCCTAGATGAAAAGGGGAATTTGGTGGGTGACCCTGATATTGAGCGGTCCGTGATTCGTTCCCGCAATCAGCTGAGCTATGATCACGTAGAAGAAATCATCATGTCGACAAGCAACAAGAGAAACAACAACATAACCATCACAGAAAAAATCTTGACATTAAATGAGCTAGCGAAAGAGAGAAGAAGGATCCGTCTGGGAGTGGGTCGGTTTGCTTTCTCACATGATGCTGAAGAAGACGAGGTTCAACATCCACTGGCGCATTCTTTGGTAGAAGAAATGATGCTCCTTGCCAATGAGGCCGTGGCCATTTATCTTGTGAAGGTATATCCCGACTGCAGCCCACTCAGAAGGCAGCTACCTCCAAGTGACGAAAATGTTGAAGAATGGTTGAAAAATCACGCCCAAGACCTTGCAAACAGTTTGGAACTCCAGTCGAGATGTTTCCAAAAAGAGGTTCAAAATGAAATTGACGTGTACGTTCTGAAAGAAAAGTGGAACCTTCTGCAATCAGCTGTCGATAAGCAAGACAATATTACTACGATCACCGATTTAATAACCAGCGATGAAAACCACCCGCAGCTTGCCGTGGCCAGAGCAGACTTATTTATCATGCAAGAGACTGCTAACTACATCAGCACCGGAGAACATCCAGACACATCTAGGAGAGGTCATCACTCGCTGAACATGCCAGTCTATACTCAGTTCACATCACCGATCCGTCGGTACTTTGATCTTGTCGTACATCGAATGCTGATTGCTGCCATTAATGACGACAAAGCTCGAAGCACTCTGCATCAGTCAGAACGGCCATATAACACAGATGAGCTTTCAGCAATTTCTCATCACTGCAACATACAACGACTGAATTCACAAGCTTTTGAGAAGAAGACCCGTGCCCTCCAGTGTGCTCTGAGGCTCGAAGAAGCCCCTCAGTCGTTCGAGGTATTTGTTGGTGGATTTTCTGACTCGAGTCTGGAACTGATATTTCCCTACAGACGTTTCCTCCCGTCGGTGTGTCCTCTTAGGCTATTGAAGCCAATCAGCAAGCCAGAGTTTTATAGGGAAAATGCTGATATGGGGCTAAGATGGAAAGAAAGGGTCTACGAGTTGCGTTGCACAACTACTCCCAAACCACGGTTTGTGTCGCAGCTAACTCTGGATACGGAGCAGATGATTGTAAAGATTTCTGCGGACCATTGGAAGGAGATTCTAGGAGCAGTTCAGGCACAGAACATCGATGTGATCCAGAGGGCTGTCAAGGGCGCAGACGGGGAACAACAACTTACAGAGCAAGAAAAATCTAGAAGACAGAAGCAGCGACGCCTACCTGAGAATCAGGACCTTCCTATTGAAGAAGTCACTTGCGAAACCTTAGATGTAAGAAAACCCTCGCTTTTCGTAAATTTTCAGAGAAGCTTCAAGCGAGGCGATGTGTTGAAGGTCCAGCTTAATGCAACGATTCAGAGGGGAATACTGTCACCTTGTGTGCAGCTCTTCTTTCTCACCCCGAAGCTGAGCCTTTGCGCGGAACATCGAGGGAATGCAATTGAATGCTTTTCCAAAGAGGCAGCACGTCGCCCTCCTACAAATATAGGCAGTGTTGAACAATACCAGGCCGTATGGCTGCCAATCATTCAGATGGTCTCAGCCTACAGCGCTGTTGTGAGTGATGAAAGCTGCGTGATCCATGACGTAGATGTCGACTGGCATTGCACCGAAACAGACGACCAAAAACGAAATTACAGTGGGACGTTTTTGATCAAGCAAACTTTCTGTAGTGATCGGAGTTTTGGTATGCACAAGGGTGACTACCTTTGTATGCGCTACAGGGACGTACCTTTGTCTTCCGAGGCACAGAGTAAGCTCCGCGAACTTGGTACCACCTCCACATCCAGTCAACGTCACATCCAGTCATCCAAGACTACGTTCGTTGCCCATGCAGTCATTACGTCCATTGTGGACATAAAAAAGAAAACCGACGCGTGGACGATCCAAGTTGAAGTTGGAGTTAATCAACATTCAGCCCCTTTTCCAGATGTGTTGTTTGAGCAGAATAAGAAAGTAACAACATGTACCATCGAGTTAATACCAAAGGCTAACTCAGACATGTGAGTAACAGTATCAGTTACACATTTAAGCATTGCGATTTTCCTCCTGATTGATGTTTCTGATATATAGTGACATATTTGTCCTTTTATGTTGATTTTTCAATTTTAGTTCGTATTTTAAGTTTTTCAATACAAATTGTGGAATTGATGTACGCAAGCTCGGCTTGTCATGCATAGAACTTAAGTCTAATGACATTATTCTTTTCGTTTCAATTGTGCATGTGGTGTTTAAAGAAATATTTTTGTTGATTTTGACAAATCGATATAAACACAATTTCCTATCGATTTTTCTTTTCTTTATAGCCGCCTTGAGTCTGCAATAAGACATCTGCACAACGCGAAGGAGCTGGTCAAAGGAATATGCATGCACCAAATACCTGCTGTCAGCGACACAGGTATTTTATTCCAACTTTTCAGCTATATGTGATACAGCCTATAATGATACTGGTATCTCATATCCTTGAAGTTAGGTCCAAGTAAACGCTGTTTCAGACACCTGTTTAATTATAAAAATTTCGTTTACTTCCACCTGGTTGTAAACGTCTTAACATTTGATTGATCTGCAACTACATGCTTACACACAGATCCGGTCATCAGAAAGCTTCTCGAGGAAGGTAGAAAGATCGAGGATTTCTCCATCACAGGATCACCATTTCCCAAACCCAATGAATCACAACAGACTGCCTTGAAGAAGGCTCTGCGGCAACAATTCACAGTCATTCAAGGACCTCCAGGTAAAGTCTTGTAGATGCCATTTTTGTTTGTATCCTTCATCATCAGATTGTTTCCCCAGTGCTGCTTTAAATGCACTTTGATTATTGTCTATGAACCAGGGTAATTTTGTCTTGATATATATACTGTTAATGTTTTTCCCCCAGTTTTGAACATGTTTCACATAATTTTTATGTAAATCTGTATATGGATGTGAAATTGTAGGTTTTCGAATTCATGCGGATTTTTGTAAGTTGTGTTCAATACAATTCCGACATAATCAGATTGTGCACATTTGTTCAAGATACGCTCAGTCTTGGGCTTGAATCTAAACCAAGCTTATATAACTGCAGTTAACACAGAGAAGAGAGTTTATTAAATGTTTTATGCTGTGAATTTTGTTATGGAAATCGATGTTTTGATACCGTAACCTTGTAACATAATAAAAGATGAAGGGTTTTGCAGCCAGTTTTACGGACTGCATGTCACGATGAGCATCCATTTAAAACGATAATAAAACTCTACCGAATATGATAGTGAGATTTACAAGCCACTGTTGTATATAATCGCTTTACAGGTACGGGCAAGACAGTGACCGGTGTCCATCTTACATATTTCTTCACGGAAGTCAACAAGCAGCTTCCTGCCTTGGGAAGGGGACCACAAGTTCTCTACTGCGGACCGTCCAACAAATCTGTAGATGTCGTTGCCCGTGAGATATCCTGATATATATTATTTTAAACAACGTTTGTTTCGTTTCGCTTTTTTATCTGAAAATAATATCAGTGTTCGGCGTTGACAAAATTCTTCACCACAGATCAGGAGCATGTAATTATTTCTCGCTCGTTTCTTGTTTAGATTACATGCTACGACTGAACATAGCAGCAGTTCGGGTCTACAACAACATGATTGAACAGCAGGACTATCCCACACCTGGACAGTCAGGAAGAGCATCGAAGGCTGGAAGCACCAAAGAAACCAAGATGGATCCTCATCTGAGGCAAATCTCACTCCATCATCTCATCCGGCAGCCATCCAACCGACACAGTGAGCAAATCTTGGCACTTGAGCAAAAATTCCAGAGTCCGGGATACAAGATTTCATTCCGTGAACAAGACAAGTACAAAAGAGCCATTCACGCAGCTGAGGTATGTGTTGGAGGCTTTACAAAACGAATTCAGTTTTATTGTAGCGAACTGAGGGCTGATTAGGCAAAGGGAGAGATTTGAAATGGATCTCACACAGTTTTGACAATTTCACTTCTCTTTTTTTTTAAATCAATACTAACTAGACTATGCAGATTACTGATGGCACAGATCATTGGCAAATGAAACCTCCACATGGTAGTTTTCTTTATACACAAAATATGGCGGTCATTTACCGTCAAACAGTTTGTAAGCGTCTATTTGGAGGCAAATCAAAGTACACATGTTAATAGTAATACTACCGAGCACTTATATAACGCACGTATCTACCAACAATATTTGGTACTCAAGGCGCTGGAAATTATGTTTATTATAAAACACAGGTGAATGAATGTTAAGATGGTAGTAAGTTTAACTTTTCTTCCTTTGCTCAATAATGGTACTTACTATGATATGGAATTGCATAATATATACATGTTTGAACGGTTGCCAAAAAAGAAACGAAGATTTCAGCCAGACATGGTCTCCTTTCCTTTTTATGTAGGCTGAAGAACTCAAGAAGTACAAGGTGGTCTTGTGTACATGCAATGAAGCTGGGAGCATACGGATACAGAGAAATGTGAATGCCATACAGTGTATCGTGGATGAGGCTGGCATGTGCAACGAGCCAGAGACACTGATACCACTGGTCGGCACTATCGAAGAATCGGAAGACCAACCCGTTACACGCAAGAAGGATGTAAGACAGGAACCACGCCAAATTGTCTTGATCGGTGACCACAAACAACTCAGGTGAGCAATAGACCATATGCGTTAGGGTAGTGTTGGAGGTCAGTGGTTGGGTAGGCATGAGTACAACCTCGACCCCAGGGTGTCGAGCAGTACGCGCCCATCACTACCTACTCTCTCACCCTGGTATTGGGTCATTTGCATGTGCAAGATTATTGAACACGTATGCAAATGAGGAATAGTCTGGTGCCTGCATGTGCGTTACATTATCGTTCGTTTTTGTATGCGGTGTCTGGGGTAAAAACAGAGTCAATTCGTCGCAGCGCGAGCACAGCGTGAGTTACGAAAACGCGATTTATTTAACTAAACTGTTACGATCTTATCGAGACAACATATGAACAAATTGGAAAAGGAAAGGAATGTTTTTGAGAAGGCGTGGACGAATGATCGTGAAAACACGTACTGCACAATGTGAATAACAACACAAAGTACACGATAAAAATCCATTACTAGCCAATTGCGATATCGAATCAGGATACAGGAAGAAAGTTTACTATCCAGGGTTTACTATTGGAAACACGGTTGGAAATAAAGTAAGCACTGGGGACGAGGTTGGCATGAGTAAAACTTCAGTTGTTACTAAATTAAAATAACAAAGAACATCCTCTGAGGCACCTGCCACGTATAAGATCTGTATCTCAAGGTTTTGTGCATACGGCGCACGTTGTAGCAAAAAAACTCTGGCAGTAAGCTGCTGCTTGGGATTTTGTTCTCGAGAGAAGGTTAACAATAATGCGTGGAACTAAAGTCAAAATGACATTATTTCTTTCTGTTCTCTTCAATTACAGACCTATCATTCAGGAGAGGACTGCCGTGCAGCTAGGCATGGAGACATCGCTGTTAGAGAAATACGGAAAGGAGGCCACAATGCTTACCATTCAGTATCGCATGGTATGTTCCAGTATAATATCCGTTTTACTAGAATCACGAAATGAAGAAACCGCTACGTTTTGTTCACGGAAATAACGACAATGTACTTGTGTACTTCCATTGGTGTTCACTGCGATTTAGCGATTTATCCTAGGAGGAGCGGTGCACCCACATTGGGCATGAACAAATCGCTGAGTTTCTCAAAAGTTGGTCAGACTACCTAAGGCCAAAAAAAAAAGTCTCTGGTTTCTGGTATGGAGCTTGCCCAAAAAGTGGTGCGGCGACGCGGCTTTTTTTTTTTTCTTACATGTTTTTTTTTGCGTCAATTGTCGGCTGATGACTGCAAATGGTGCCCGACTAAACTTAGTGCAAATATATGGGAGTCCAGAGACGCCACATATAGCTTATTCTCGATCATAACCCCATCTAAAAACACCTTAAAATTGTGCAGCAGCAGGATTCCAGTCAAACCAGTGAGTTTGGCGGTTTTGAGACATCATCTTTTATTGAAAAAAAAACTTTTTCATTTTGCCGACGCGCATGGCTACGGCGACGCGCGCGCATACCAGAAACCGGAGACTTTTTTTTTGGCCTAATCAAATTTTATAGCATTTTCGTGCCTATGGTCTTGTTTATATTTGATGGAAAAATCAAGAAAATCCGACGATGCAACCCAGAGTTAATGATTTGGCTCTGCATTTTTCGACCTGCACAATGTAATTTCCATACTAGTATTTGCTTGTACATACCAACTATTGGGTTATTGGTATGTGTTACACAGTGCTTGAAAAAATTGCATAATATGTTGCATTTGGCTATATTTGTTCACAGATAACATTTTACATAATAGATAATATCAGGTGTTTAGTCTTTGACAGAGGTGTTGAAAGGGCAGTGAACTTGCAATTTTTTTACAGCTGAAATGTAGTAGCGTAAGCTTATCTACAGAATTCTAATTGTGCAGGAGGAAAATAGTATAGCCTTACAAAATCAACAATATCTCTGATTTGCATAGATGGATTTTCTTGATATTTTCAACAGTTATAAACAAAACCATAGGCTTTAATAAAATATAAAATTTGATTAGCTAGTATAACCACCTTTTGAGCAAATCAGCGACTTCGTGCACAACGTTTATTGGGACGCGCTATAGAGATTGACTTTACCATCACTTCACAGGAGCATTGCACTTTTCTTTCCAGCACGAATCAATATGTGCCTTTCCATCAGAGGTGTTTTACAAAGGGAAGCTGGTTACGGCAGACATTGTGAGACGGCGGCCCCAGCAGCTGAATAAGACCTGGCCCGGTGGGCGGGGCAACCCCCTTGTGTTTTGTCATCACATTGGAAGCGAGGATAAGCAAAGTGTCAGGACCGAGGAGGGTGGGGAACAGTCACGGGCTAACCCTCAAGAGGTCACACACGTGGTACGTAAGGACTTGAAGTAGCCATTGGGAGTTTATTTCTTTTGTTAGGCAATCTAAAAAAATCGAGTTAGATTAATTAACCCGTAATCTGAGATACCTTTCAGGGTCAAACTGACAATTTTCGGGTCCAAATAACACCTCTCTGTATCATTTTAAAAGTGTCGTTTAGACCAACAAAAGTGTCATTTTGACACTGAAAAGTGTCGGGTCAAATAGGACCCGGGACCTCTTAGATTGAGAATTAGTTGTTCCTCGATCTCTTCTGCTTTTTTTTTGTAATGGATGGAAATTCAGCTCTTCGTATGCTCCGACCGTGTCCAAGAAGACGGCTATCTTTGGTTCACTGGACTTTTGGCAAATATTTGCACAACAGGAAACTGTCATTTTCATGTAAAATGCATTTTTAACTGGAGAATCATTCTGTCGGTATCTCTGCTCAACAGGTCCGCATTGCGTCAAACATGTTGCGTCTAGGCGTGAAACAAGATAGGATCGTCATTCTTACCCAATACCGCCTTCAGAGGGCGCAGATCGAAGAAAGGCTGAAGGAAGCCAACATGAAAGATATCCTCGTCAGCACTGTCATAACCAGTCAAGGTAATCTAACATTGCTTCACCGTTCTATGGCGTGCGGCGTTTCAATGTTAACTTGCATGTCATACCTCTTAACCAATAGGCCTATAGTTCAAACAATATGAATGATACATTCCGACTCTAATTTGATGGATGTATTCAAAGTCTACAGAGCGAAGTGATTATCTTGCGTCACATTAATGCATTCTTATATGACTGGATTTGACCTGACTCTGTTATTGGTCAAGTGGCCCAGGAAAGTGACCGAGAGAATTGTCATTTTAATCCGATAAAATGTCAAGTCAAATCCGATTTGTGTGGAACCTGACCCGGTACTTTTAATATAGTGCTAGAGTATACTAGCCCGTATACTATTTAACATATTCAATGGGTACTCCGGTTGGTTGTTTTTCCCTGTTATAGGTAAGGAGTGGGACTACGTGATTCTGTCTACAGTCAGGTCACTTCCACGGGTAGAGATTGACGAGAAAGCATCCACAGCCTGGAAGAAACGCAACCTGGGATTTATCACAGATGAGAATCAGATAAATGTCGCTATCACCCGGCCAAAAATGGGATTGATCATTCTAGGTAAGTTGGATTTTTACAGGACTGCGATCTTTTATTATCAGAGACAGGTTATCTAAATATGTTGAATTAGCTGGATCGGGTATTGATTTGGATATTGGTATTTTGATACTTTTTATGTGTTACAATTTTGAAGACGTCTGGGGTCAGATTCAACCTGAAATCTGGGTCACATTTGACTTCACACGCTTTTCGTGATCAAAATTTTGTGGCATACAAAGAACACTTTTCTTAGTTATCTTGGCGTGAAAAAAGACACTTTCCCCGGATCAAATGACTCGGAAGAATGACTCAGAGCAATGTCATTTGACCACGAATTATTTCAGGTCAAATCTGACCCTGATTCGGATCGAGTCTGACCCGGGACTTTAATGAATGTACAGCTTGTCCAACATGTCAGACATTTCGGAGGTAGTTAAACATACAAAGTATGAAGGCCACAATAAAATCTCATATCATTTCTTGGGGAAACGGTTGGCTGTACACTCTTAAAAGTCCTAGGTTAGATTCGACCCTAATCCGGGTCAGATTATCCGGACCTAAATGATACTTCTCTGAGTCAATTTCTGTGTCATTTGACCCAGAGAGGCTTTTAGGCCTATATGAAAATTATCATCTTGACCCAGAAGAGTGTCAAATCTGACCGGAACCGTGAAGTGTGCATGGGAACAACCGCCTACAAAATGTCCACTACGTTATCGAGAATATATCTTTTAATAAGGAATCTTGTAAATGTGTGTTTTCATTTCAAGGCAACAAGTACTTACTTAGTGTTCACCGCTCATGGAAGCTTCTACTGGCCCATTACGAAGAGAAGGGAGCTTTGGTGAACGCAAAGGACTTCCTACCTTAGACTGTGAACGGGAACAGCTAAAAGCTGCTACAGTAAATCAAGCGTTGATAGCCATTGTTATTACTTTCCTGCATTAGATTAAAAAAAATATATCGGTATTAATGAGATGGGCAAGTGTGGTTTCTCATGAAAAACAAAAAAAGTGTTTAACCTTAGCTGTAGCCACACGTATAGTTATAGTGTGCCTTAGCCGATTGGGAGTCATTTTGACGAGTGCGAATCTTAAAAGATGTAGTCTTAAATGATGTTGTAAAACCAATCCAACCATCTTACTTCATATAACAGATGCATAGCATAGTGTACAAATAGGTGATGGGTAATGGTAATGGTTTGGTAAAGACCAATTAATGGTAATGTATCGTTCCGAATAAATGGCAATTAAATCATTCCAAAATCAGACCTCAAGTCAAATCTGAAGCCTGCAGATCAAAAGTAACAGGGGATAATAATCACAGGGATGCCTTTGTCACATTTTGTTTAAATATAGCTTGTCACCTGACTTGAGACTGTGTGACATGTGACTGACTTTGGATGCTTATAAAGCCGAGTTTATATTCCTCGGCCGTTTGAAAATTGTCCCCTCTGACCTTCGGGTGCATAGATATCCTCTATTGACCTCATTACTATAGTCAATATGTGCGCGTATAATATTTGCATCATTTTGAACATTGCGAGTCAGGGCGTCTTTCAGGAAATGTTTCATCTTCTACTGTAAATGTCTGATATATAGGCAAAAGACATATATGGTTTTAGCGAAATTGTTTTTAATTTCGTTTTTTGTTCTTCAAATGATTAAAAAATCAAAAGAAAGGCGAGTCTTCGCTCGTCCCCTCGCCCTGTCTAAGGAAGCCCATAATACCGCCAATCTATTTCACACAAAAAACCCTCATGCAGGACATATAGTGGTCGCAAAGCATTGTGGGAAAGTCTAGTACAAAGTATGTGCGTTACATTGATCTCCATTAGAAAGTCTTTCTAATGGAGATCAATCGTGCATTCCCTGCGCACGGGTTATGCGCATGCGGAAGTGCTGACCCCGGGTCACCCGCTAAACAAATGTATCAAATGAAAGCTCAATGAAAGTGCAGATCACAAGCCTTGAATAGGGGTCAAGGTACGAGCGATAGACACACCTTGTAAAACACGCTTGCACTTTGGATACAAAACACTATATTATTATATATCATATGAAAATATATTTATGAAGGTTTATATTATATTAGTCAAATATATTTTCCTTTATACACCTTACTGCACATTCTACTATAAAATAATATAATTGTAGCATTATTATAAATAATTTTCGATTCAGAATTCTATATCAACAATCGACTCTATCATTATGATACAAATTTTACAGTTTTTATTTGTATGTGCCAAATACTTAAATACAATCATGAGGAATCACATTCCAATTGTCTTAACCGTTCATTATTTTGCTTTGGAATTACGACATGTTTAAATTGTTAATTAGTTATCGTTATTTTATCCTAAAATTTTTATAGTATAAAAGACTGTGCCGTCACTGAGTGACAGCACTTTCCTAGTTGATCGAGAAGTATAAGATGGATCTAAAAGTGTGGCTAGACGTCAAGTGAATCCATCTTAGTGGGCAAGGTTAGAGCTGAGGTAGGCTATTATCACATGAACTGAAATATAATCTCAGTATAGTATTGTGTTAATTGAAATCAAGTCCATACAACTCGCTAATTGACGAGTTGTGATTATTTAGTTGTAATTATTAATGATATCTGTTTTATGCAAATTCCGTAATAATATGCGTCAATGCTTTCCATAATTAACAGCCTCTTGTGTTATTAAATAAACATCAAATAAAATAGATGTAACATATTGATCTTAAAGATAGGCCTGCTGAACTAAAGGTCAGTCGAATGAAAATGTTTCAAGAAAGTGTGAACAAGGCAAATTGTTTACGTTTTCTATTACAAAGTCGGACAAATTTTTGTATTACTATTACACCATGTGTACAAATTAATTAATTCTATCAAAATAATATATATAGACTTCAGGTGATGGTATTATATCCGTTTTCGGTTTCATTGTTTGTTTCAGTTACAAGATTTTGGAAAGGGTCCGTAAGCGTGACAATGGCCCCCGTTTTTCACCATCTCTCTCCATGAACAGGGGTGGTATAGGCCTGTGCAATTTTGTTAAGGGCGGGACTAAACTTTACTACTCATATCTCCGGACATCGTGATAATCACATTTCAAACAAAAGTTTGTAGGAAAATTAGTCCTGTTGGAAAATTTGTTGCTACAGTAAAACCTCAATATATTTTTGCTAAGCGGAGATATTGGCTTGGCAAGGGGGAGGGGGCTCTAATGCACCGGGGGCCTTGTTGAAATTACAGCGGATAGGACTCTTTAGGTTTTTATGTATGGTGTTTTTACATGATTTTACAGGTTTCGTATATCAGGAATGGTTAAATAAAAGGTTAAAATATGTTAAGGACAGCTCAGTTTTTGAAACTTTTGAACTCCGGTGAATCAAAGAACTATTTGATTTAAAATGATACCATGCATTCCAGATGACAGTTTTGTAACTTTGATGTATATTTTCACGTATTACTCTCACGTATTATCAACGGAAGTATATAACGTATTTAGAAATGATATACATGTATTACGAATAGTAGAAGGAAAAAATATATAAGCCTTATTATTTAGAGCTAAATATACGAAACTGCTTTATCAACCCCGAGTGACAGAATTATCACAGTTAGATTTACTAAAATATTTAATTGCCAAAACAATGAGTTATTTGTAGGTGTTTTTGTGCAGGCAAAAATATTAAGAACAATGGAAAAAAAGCAAGACAATGAGAATGCTGTCCACGACAACGCACCAGACGAAAATTGAACTCACTTGCGGCGCCTGAAAGCGGTGTGGTACCCACATACATCGCGCGGGCAGATTTTTTTCGATGTCATCACGTGATGCATACATTTACATAATTAGCAAATTAAAATGGACGACAGCCGTTGGAACTGGCGTGTTTTTACGGACAAGCCACCGAAATCGTCAAGATTTTTCACATTTTTTGTGTGTGGTCTGTTTCAAGTCGATCATTAGGCTTCGTAAATGACTGCTGAATGTATGAGGTATGTAAATGAACTCTGGGGTGGGATATTAGAGGTAAAAATGAACAATTCTTGAGAGGCCATTTTTTTAGGGTCTCTTGCTACCACATTCTAACGAACAGGTTATGCCTCCAGCGCTACATGTGAATGAGTATGAGCATGTCAGCTGGAGTTACTTAAGCTATTTTCGGGTACATATGTTCTAAGTGTGGCCTTCACTTACGCGGTTGTCTAGTAAATTGGCCACATTATGGGGTACTCCTAGAACTATGACATGTATGAGGCTCCACGTAGCTCCACTACGTGGAGCCTCATGGTTCTAGGAGTAATTATGGGGCTAATATAAATAGGGAACCGGGCCCTAGTCACCCAAAATCCCGCCACGTCATGCATGCACGTTGCGAAGTCTAGTCTACCTCCATGCGGTCTTGCGGATATTTAAAAAAAAAATAGAGAGACCGGAAATCGTTCCAAAAAAACATGTGCACGATCCGTCTCGCACAAACATTACCTGGCCTGTTACCTTTCTCCCAGGACCGTCTCTGTTACACAATGTATTATTATTTGTCTTACTCACGAATTGTTACCAATCAATCCCAGATGAATCATGAGAAAAACGGCTGAAATGTGGGAGTGGAGCATGCGACCGCAACGCGTGCGTCTGATCCGAAAATACAATGGAGATTGCGCCACCAACGATAAAAACCGTCATAACTTCGGGGAATTCCCAAACGCAACGGGTATTTTTGGCGTGAGAAATGTTTTCAAGAAAGCACAACAATCGTTGCGTTGCACAATGCAGGCCGAGATTGTGAATTCGGGTCGAGTACGATATGGCCCATGTACTGAAAGAATATGCCTGCTACTTGTGAATATATTCCATTGCATACCGTGATAGGATCATCTGCAACAAAATTGCTCAGAATTTTAAGTACATGGTGCATAAAAGCTAATCGATTGAAGTTAAAGCTCAGCTCAGAAAACCGTCAGAGAAAACTGCACAATTTGTGGGATCCGAAACTGGATTCCACTGCTATTTTGTTTAAACAATTTGTGGTGAAGCTTAGCCCCATATATGTGGCCAAATAAAGGTCTAATTTTCGTGAAATTTCATGTTGAAATTTTGATACGCAAACGTGTGCAAACGAATCTGGAAATTTGACGAAAAATAGACATCTGAAAAAAGCAGCACTTTCTGATTAGCCCATAAAGAGGGTGAATATGCTTCTAAAGCAAAAAATAAACTACTAACTAAGCCTTAATGTAAGAATCAAAATTTGACAAAGTTCGACATGTTTTTGTACATGGTGGAAGTGTGGCCTTTATTTACGGAGGTAGTCCAGTAAATTGGCCACATTTATGGGGCTAGGTGAAGCTAGGCCTAGTCTCAAAATTGGGTAAAAACAATTATAAATTTCTTGCAATTAAGACTAAAATCCGAATTTAGTGCTTACGATCCAATCGGTAACATAAACTAAAGAGCCAATGCCACATAACTAAAAAAAATATGAATGATGGAAAAGCTCCAGGTGCACTGTTGTCAAGCATACTTTTTTTGGAAGAAATAATTGGCTAATGATCCCTGCAATTGGGCCTACCGCTGTAATATTACTAAAAAACAACAACAACAACAACAATAGCTTACAGCGTTTTTAACAAGTCATTTCATTTTGTTTGAAGTGACCTCAATATATGATAATTCCGAAACGCATTCTTACCATATGTCCCAGACAACAACGACTCGGACTGTAGTCTAGGGGCTAGACGTTGTTCTTGTTTGCTACGCCGATAACCGGCCACCGCTATAACCGTCCACCGCGAGAGGGCGCTATCACGACCAACCAATATCACCCACGAACCTGTCAGAACCGTTGTCTAGGGCAACCTCGTCCCCAGTGCTTACTTTATTTCCAACCGTGTTTCCATTAGTAAACCCTGGATAGTAAACTTTCTTCCTGTATCCTGATTCGATATCGCAATTGGCTAGTAATGGATTTTTATCGTGTACTTGGTGTTGTTATTCACAACGTGCAGTACGTGTTTTCACGATCATTCGTCCACGCCTTCTCAAAAACATTCCTTTCCTTTTCCAATTTGTTTATATTAATATGAAATGTGATACTGCATGTTGTCTCGATAAGATCGTAACAGTTTAATTAAATAAAACGCGTTTTCGTAACTCACGCTGTGCTCGCACTGCGACGAATTGACTCTGTTCAGTTTTACCCCAGACACCGCATACAAAAACGAACGATAATGTAACGCACATGCAGGCACCAGACTATTCCTCATTTGCATACGTGTTCAAAAATCTTGCACATGCAAATAATCCAACAATACCAGGGTGAGAGAGCAGGTAGTGATGGGTGCGTACTGCTCGACACCCTGGGGTCGAGGTTGCGTCTAGGGTACTTGCTTAAATTTCCCCCCGAAAAATGGGGGAAACTAGTGCGCGTGCGCCGATTTTGTATGTTAGTTCCTCTTCACGCACGCGCACTCACGAAACAGATCTGCCACAAAACTGCACAATAGTCTGGTAGCTCGCTATACTACTGGCTGGACGTTTCAGACATACAGTGGATAATGTCTGCTGTCGGCCGAGCCGCAGGTTGCCAGCCGGCCGTGTACGGCGCCGGGCCCGTCCGGGGTAGCATTGCAGTACGCTCGCGCTGTTTGGTTCGTAAAATACGACGGAGAAATGGCGGAGAAGTTGCCATTTCCAACTTAGCGCAGTATGATACACCAAAGTATAGAGCCGTAGGCGCCGTACACGTACACGCACACCCACACACATCAGTGTGACCGTAAGGCAGAGCTAAATTCTGCTAGATGCACATAAAAAATCTGTCAGATTTATCAAAAATCTGCCATATTCCCCAGAATTACTCGAAATACACTATAAACATTCTATAGTCACATAAAGATGTTATGAAATTATCCCGTAAATTTTGGGCAAAACGCAGATTCGGCCCCGACGACGTTTCCCAGTGAACTTCAGCACCTAGACCCAGAGTTGTAACGAGTCACTGATTTTTGTGACTCGATTCTAGTCAAGTCATTGACCTAATAACTGGACTCGATTCTAGTCAAGTCATTTTAAAGAAGTGACTCGAATCGAGTCCAGTTATTAGGTCAAAAAGTCGAGTCAATTCGAGTTACGATTATTTGAA